ATAAAAACACCCACTCACACACAAGAGCAAACACACAAACAAGCACGAATAAACAGGCTCAAGCAACCAAACACAGTTCCCAGAGAAGGAAATCCACAAACACACAGTGACTGTTTTTCTCTTTGGATACCTGATGTGATGAAATAGGTCCAAATGCACTCACTTCTATTCTAAACTTTAGATCTCAGCACCGTGGATATTACTTCAGCACAATGCATAGAGGACGTCAAGGTCCATTCCAGAGTTTGTATCCATGCAAAGAGGTTGAAACAGGCGCTTATTGTTAAGATGTAGTAAAATCTCTACCTCTTATATGCAATAAATTGCAGTAATGCAATGTAGTACTCACTCGAGTGTTGGTGGAATATATTTTTAATTTGCTCTCCTCAATGTCTTATTAATGTACAAATGAAATACCCTCAAGGAATCATAGGGGGCATGGCCTTATCGGAGATGAGAAAAAGAGGAGAGAGAGAGAAAGCTGCAATAAAATCCTAGTAAATCCCTCTGATACCATTTGGCAGACGCTTGCTTGATATACCTCAGGCTGGATATTAAAATCTCAGATGGGCTGTTCAACTGACAACTTAATCCATTTAGAGACACTGAGTAAGCAGCAGTGTGGGTCAGTGTACATATAGGTCGGTACACAAGGCACAATAAGTTCATCTCTGGTAATCTATTCCACAAACTAACAAGTCAAACTGGAACAACAGAGGGGCAGGAGAATGCAATAATCCTGTTTGGGTATCAAGACGATTTAAAGGTCTCACAAAATGAAAGGCTGCTCAGACTGAGGCTACTTGTACTTGAAAGGAAAAAAAAACATCTGGTATTTCTGGCCATTTTCAACAAAGAAAAAAGAAAGAGGCTGTAAAGACCTTGTTGTCTCGATGTGAGACTATACGTTATGCAAAATCATTGGGTTGCAAAGGGCAGCAAAAATGACCTTTCGAAAGCCGTACAGTTCAGTATGTTAATTAATAGGGCCGCCATCCAAGCGAGAGCAAGATTGGCCGGGGCGAAAGGAGTGCAACTGACTTTTCTATTACACTCTGCAGGAAAATAGAGGAAGAGATTTGGTGTAAATTGAAAATACAGAAAGGTGGCTTGGAAAACAAAGTTGGTTACTGCTTAAGGCCAGACATGATGTTAATGAATAGAGAAAGGGACTGTACGTAAAGTTAAGCCATTTTGGAGATATGTAAAGACCCCGTTGCAGTGGTTGATTCTACAGAAAGTAGATTAAGTTCAACTTTTCCCTCCCTGGTACACAAGTCCTGTAATCCTCAATCATATTGTTAATGTGTTAACAATTTGTAATTGTTGTAATGTCGGTGTTGAAATTCAGGTCAAAGTCTAAAACAAAACCAAAACATCTGCCTCGGTCTGGGATTTTTTTTGTCAACATTGTCTCGGAAACAGCGACAGCAAAACGACTACTATTAATAATGACAGTAGCGGTGGGATCAATGTCTAAACGATGTATTTTCATGTGGATCTCATTGAGGACCGTACAGCCAGCAGATTCAGCCCATTTTTTTTGTGTCAACAAGCTGTTGTGTAAAAAATAGCTTTTCAGTAATTTAACAAAACAAAATGTTGTTTGTCGTGCGCCTAGAATGGTTCATTAGTGACCCTTCTCAATGGTTCTAAGAGAGTCTGCAATATCCAGAGCGTGTGGGGAGATACCAGAGAGATGTGTTTACAGAGGTCTACAAATGTTGTGTGACGGCCTACAGGTTTTTATGATTGATCAGATCAAATTGAGTCATGGTATTTGATTTGATTTTCGGCGGATTCATTGCATGCCCTTTTACTTGATATGGAGGCAATGAATGCTGTGTCTGATTGTCAGTGAAGGTGGCCAATTCTTAGCAGGCCCTGATAGGCGGAAAGTCAAGGGAATGACACAGAAGGGTTTGTCAGCCTGTTGGCAGTAGCAAACAGGGCATGTGCATTTTTATTAACTCCAAAACGATATGTACAAAGTGTCGCTTTATAGATTTCATGATTTGGTTCATGATGAGTTCAGCTTTTACGACTGTTTTTCTATTCTTATCAGCCTGGCATGTCTCCATTAGGATAGTTTCTTACAAGAAACAACATCATCTTAGTGAATCCAATAGCATCAATAATATTTAGAATTTTAGAATTGAAATTATCTACAAGCTTATTGACACAGATGTGGTGGAAATTTCCCCCAACAACGGACAGAATATTAGTTTGAATAAATATGTTTCCCTATGATGGTTACTACAATTTTACATTAATACATTCTCACCCTGACCGCCAGCAGATCGTTGTTGGGAAATGTTGTCAATACATTTTTGATAACGTGACTAAACGTTAACGTTTAATAACGTGTCAATTTCAGAAAACCTTGAAATAAAGCAGCACTAACTACTTGTGTGATAATGGAGTGAAGTAAACGCAGGATGAAAACGTCTCCTGTCTGTGTCGTTATCCCAGCTTCTACGGGCTTAGTTTATGAGGTCGATCCAGCCGGTGGTGCGTTTCGGTCCCTGCGTGCCGCCATCGAATGGCTCCCTCTCTGCGACGGGTTTACGGGGGCTTTATCACACAAGGTTAACACTTTGAGATCAGTCAGCACTGTTTGCATTGTTCATGCTGTTAGTTCCGTGAACTCTCAGCCTCCGCCATGTGGGGCACGTTGCATGTTGGCATGTTGAGGCAATCCCTCAGTCACAGCTATGCTCTTAATCTCCAAATAGAAACTTTAATGGGTAATTTAGGTATTTCTCTGACTGCTGTGAAGCTTTAATCGGTCCAGTGTTGAGCTGGAACTCTAAACAGCCGCTAAACGGGCTGCAAAATGTAAAATACGGTCCAGGGGAAAATTAATTCATTTAATATTGAGTGGAATCATCATCATCATTTAAGCTGAATGGATGGATCTTATTCAGAGTTGACTGTTTATTTTGCCATTGGTCACGATCCTAGAAGCCAACAAGTTTCTCACGCACATAAACACAGAAGACACGACACACAAGTTTATTTGTGTCATACAGTTGGTGATGTTAGCTGACAGTGACTAATGTATTGACAGAGGAATTTACAGTGAATTTATTTAAGCTTTTTAAAAAAACGGAGCCCTGACAGGTGTTATTGTGCACGATCTAACTTCACCTCACCCAGAGAGAGAGAGAGAGATGTGTGGGTGGATGACAGTGGGGGTGGAGGTGGCCACATTGTTTGTACCGTCTCTCATCCCTTTCAAATCTGCTCCTGATGAGATCCGTTTTTTGACCCGGAATGTATGAGCTGCTAGTTCAATACTGCCATCTTCTGGATACAGCTCTCTATTGTACACACAACCTGCTCACAGCCTGTCCAATTATGATGGTAGATGATAGATACACATTATTAATATAAATGTGTGAATAACAAACGGATGAATATGCTAAATTCTCATCTAACTGGCTATAAATACATACACATAAACACATACACTCACCTGATCAATTGCTTGTTAACACAAATTGCTAATCTGCCAATCACATGGCCGCAACTCAATGCATTTAGGCCTGTAGACGTGGTCCAGGCAACTTGCTGAAGTTCAAACAGAATGGGGAGGAAAGGGATTTAAGCAACTTGGCACGGTTGTTGGTGCCAGACGGGCGGGTCTGAGTACGTCAGAAACTGCTGATCTACTAGGATTTTCACGCACGACCATCTCTAGGGTTTACAGAGAACGGTCCCAAAAAGAGAACATATCCAGTGAGCGGAAGGCGTGTGGACAAAAAACGCCTTGTTGATGCGAGAGGTCAGAGGAGAATGGGCGGACTGGTTTGACATGATAGAAAGGCAACGGTAACTCAAATAGAGCAAGGAATGTAGAACAGCATCTCTGAACGCACAACACCTGGAACGTGGAAGAAGATGGGCCACAGCAGCAGAGGACCGCACACCAGGGGCCACTCCAATCAGCTAAGAACAGGAAACTGAGACTACAATTCGCACTGGCCCATCAAAACTGGACATTAGAAGATTGGAAAAAACACACATAAACATTTAATGTGGGGGGATATTTTCTTGGCACACTTTGGGCCCCTCGGTAGTAATTGAACGCCGTCAGCCTACCTATTGTTGCTGACCATGTCCATCCCTTTATTACCACCGTGTACCCGTCTTCTGATGGCTACTTCCAGCAGGATAATGCACCATGTCACAAAGCTCATATCATCTCAAACATGACCATGAGTTCACTGTACTCCGATGTTCTCCACATCACCAGATCCAAATCCAACAGAGCACCTTTGGGATGTGGATGGAACGGGAGATTCGCATCATGTGCAGCAGACAAATCTGAAGCATCTGTGTGATACTGTCATTTCAATATGGACCAAAATCTTCTTGAAAGTATGTCACGAAAAAATTAAAGCAGTTCTGAAGGCAAGAGGGGTCCAACCTTTTACTAGCAAGGCTGCCAGTGAGAGTCCATAATGATGCAGATTTTTCCGTACTCGAAAACAGGCAGACGCATATGATCTTGATATTGCCGGAAAAAGCTTTTTATTTTTTGCTATTTTCATTCAATGTTTTCAGCCCCTCGTCATCCTCATTGTTTCCTCCTCCACCCACTTTTTAGTTGCGTGTCAGTCCTTCATCTGTTACCTGGGAAACACCCTCTAGAAGACCTTCATACACCGATACGGTAAAACCTAGCAAATATTATTGTGAAACACAGACGAGCTAAACCAGCCTAGATAGAAAATGAACACTCCGGATTGTATCATAGACTGAATTTCACATCTGCAGTTCGGACAGCTGCTATGGCCAAGGAATGAACTAATAGACTTTCAAACTAAATGTGTATTACTTGTAAGTAACCATCGGTATGGTGTGCTCAAATCCGACTGTTTCCCACAGTATCACTGTAAAATGGCAAAGCCGTTCATTGCGTTTTCCGTTTTTGTCCCGCACCTGAAACCTGTAAATAAAGTTTCATGAAAAAAAGTGGCGCTTTCGATGACGTATATTTAAGGCGACAGAAGGAGGGCGGTTTGAAAGCCGAGACGCAACTTCTGTCAACATGTTTAAAATACTTCGAATTACCTGACATGACAGAAGTGAGAGTTCGCCATTAGTAAGATATCGTTCCTGCAAATTATCCGACACTAATTGTTTGTGTATTATTGCCATCTTTTAGAAGTCGCATCTAAAGAAACTTGATATGCTAGCTGCCGTTAACCGCTTGCTAGCTGGCTAACGTTACTGCGGATGTATTAAGTTAGCTTTAGCTGCTGGGTGAGTTTACATTTCATTCCCAATAAATGTTGACTCTGTGAACCGCAGAACTTCACTCTTACTTTGCCGTTACTTGATACAACACGGCGAAAATGGCGAGTGTGCACGAAAGCTTGTATTTCAACCCTATGATGACGAACGGAGTGGTCCATGCTAACGTGTTCGGCATTAAAGACTGGGTGACTCCGTATAAAATCTCCGTCCTGGCGCTGCTGTACGACATGACCGCGTCCAAAATCACGCTGCCTGAGAGGAGACGACTGAACAAACTCATCCTCCCCTTGCAGCAGGTGTGTTTACCACTGTCGCCGTCTTCTGTGTATGCGTGCAGGTGTCTCATTGTGTCTCCTGTTTCATGTGGGCTTATCAGGGTCCTGACCTGACGCTGGGCCAGTTCCTAAAGACGGTGGAGGAGTGTTGCCCTCAGACTGCATATGCAGTCAAACTCCGGTAAGCTGCTTTAGGCTGCTGACATTCTGTGACTTTCTTTATCTGCTCCGTAGCTCTGGGAGAAATCCAGTGAAAGGTCATCCCTGCTGATACTTAATTTCTGATGCTTTCACTAAATTGTACCACATCATAGTGACAAACTTTTTTTTTTTTTTGCAATTACATCTACTGAGATAATAACCGAGGCCCCAGACAGCACTGTATTGCAATGACTTTCAAACATTTCACTGTTTAGTTGCTGTGATCGCTGTTTTTTCTCTATAGGCTGCATGAAATGGCTGATGGAGAGCTCAAAGACATGGAGTACTTCTTTTCCACCCTTCCCACTCCATTCACTGCTTTCGATTCTGAGGCGTATAAAACCAGTGTTGTAGGTGAGTAGTAGTGTGTTTTGTAAATGTCTGTGTTATTGTTGTGAACAATACTTAAACAATGTCTCCCCTGTATTTATTTATTTTTTTAGGGCTTTTCATGAGACACATGCTCCTGGCCTACAACAAGTTGTCTTTCAGTCAGGTCTACAAGTTGTACAAGTCCCTGCAGCACTACTACCACAGTCACTACGCCAAGCCTGCCGACGGAACGCTTGGTCTGCCGGCACTGGTCGCTAACGACTCCGACATGGACCTCACCAGCACTGAGGACACAGTAGGGGACAGGATAGACCGAGACGAGCTGGACAGCCCACTGCATGAGTCAGAGCTTCGGTTTGTGATGCGGTTTCTGGATAAAGTGCTTTTGTTTGTTTTACCAAAGTTTACTTTCAGCGGACAGCGGAGTGTTTCCACCTCAACTTTCATTGTCTGTACTTACTACTTTTATTAGGTTGTATAACTAATTTGTGTACACCAAACACTTTAATTTAGTGACTGGACAATTGTGTAAAGCGGATCTTGTGTGTTATTTTGGCTCGGCTTTAGAAATGACAGTACTCCAAGCAGAGGTCCCCTCTCTCAAAAACAAGCGGAGTACTTCCTAGCAAGACAGGTGAGTTTTTTAAATCAAGGAACTGTATTGAATTACATTAACGCTTTCTGGTTCAAACTATCAGATCTGATATTAAACCCAACTCAAATGAACCAAACCCAGCGTGCCTCCAACCTAGATGTGCTTTTTACATTTTTTGAAAACCTCTTTTCTGCAGGCATATCTTCTGAAGAATGATGAAAACAAAGCTCTAAAGCCTGCTGCACTGCAGGAAGAGCTCAACAACATGCTGAAATTTAACCCGGATTTTGCTGAGGCGGTGAGCTTCATCCACTTAACTTTGCTTGCTGTATTAGCAAGTCTGCCTTCAATCAAAACATATTCTTTTCTCTCTCTCTCTCTCTCTCTCTCTCCCTCATCAGCATTATCTAAACTACCTGAACAACATGAGAGTCCAGGACATCTTCCTCTCAGCTCATAGTCTCTTACATTATTTTGACCGTCTCATCTTGTCTGGAAATGAGGGAAAGAGCAACGGGGACGAAGGCTACGGCCGCAGTCTCCGCTACGCTGCTCTCAACCTGGCCAGCCTGCACTGTCGCTTCGGCCACTAGTGAGTACAAGATCTGGTGGTCTGAGCACACGGCTCAAGTTCCTACCTCCGAGCATCTGCATAAATAATAGCGTACAGTACCTGTTCTGACTAGTCTTTTCCATCAGTCAGCAGGCTGATCTGGCTCTGCAGGAGGCTATCCGCATCGCCCAGGAGTCCAATGATCATGTGTGCTTGCAGCACTGTCTGGTAAAATACTTTGTTTCCGCTATGATTATTTAAATTGTCGAGGGTTGTCTAAATGTAACATGATGCTTTGTATTTTTCTGCCGGTCAGAGTTGGCTTTACACGCTGGAACAAATGAAGGGATCTGACAGCACTGTGTTAACCGAGGACTCGGTGAAAATGGCGGCCCATTTCTGCCTTCCTGTGAGTGCAACGTCACGGATGTTTGTAGCACCTGTCATTCAAAATGAATTCAATAGTTGTGTCCTGTACCACTTTGCGCTTATGTTAGTATTTCTTTAGAAATTAACATACAGAAAAAACATGGTAAATTGAAGGAAACAAATGAAAACGCAGCTTGCCACATATGCATTATAAAACCTATATAATGCATCATTGTATAAAGCTTAACCTGATCGTTGTATAATTGAAGTATGACGTGTGATCCACCGCACTGATTAATAATCCTCCCTTCTGTAGTACTTGGCATCTCTGGGCATTCAGTCTTTGGTCCAGCAGGGGGCGACACAAGGTAAAACAGCCCACAAACTGATGGATGCACTGAAGGACACGGACATCCTGCACTGGAAGCACAGTCTGTCGGAGCTGATCGAGATCAGCCTGGCTCAGACTACGTCCATATGGAGGATGTACGGCAAAAGGTCAGCGTCCTGCCATGCCGACACAAAGTTGTCTGTTTTGGTCACTGTTTCTGACAGTGGATTGCATGTCGGCACACAACCTTCTCTTAACTCTTAAATCAACATTGTGTAATGGGGCAGTACAAACTTTTAGAAGTGCGAAAATAAATGACAGATCCGTAGCACCAGCATTTTTCCCCAACGTCCTTTACAGTGTGTGCTTGTGTCTCGTGCAGCACCATGGCTCTGCAACAAGCCCAGCTGCTTCTCAACATGAGCAGTCTGGAGCCGGTCAACTTTGGGGTCCAGCAGAATAACACGGAGGCGTTCGCAGTGGCTCTGTGCCACCTGGCCGAGCTCCACGCTGAGCAGGTAACGCCTTTAAATTGATCTGGTCCGTCTGCTTCCTGCCCCACTGCTGCAAAACCCATTAATTCGTTCACCCAATGTTGCAGAATGCTAATACATTTATAGTATTGTTTCCTGCTCCCGGGCAGAGTTTAAGCCATTTATTTTTCTATTTCTGTTGCAGGGCCTCTACTCTGCCGTTTCAGAGATTCTCCAGCATCTGAAAGAACAGTTTCCTCCTCACTCACAGCATGCTAAGGTTTGTTCTGTCAACCGTACTGCATTATTCAGTGGTGTCTTATTAAGACAGTGGTAAGTGCAAGTAGAGTGACGTTTCAGACGGATTGGCTAAACTGTGCAACAACCAATGAAATTGTAATGCCTTTGCATTTTTAGGCTAAAGCTGCATACGGTTTTAGCTGTATTGTTCTGTCGTCTGGCTTTAAAAGTAAAAAAATACCAATGATATGTGAGTTATTGAATAGAGGTTCTTTAGGTGTAAGTATGGAAACGCGTTCCCACAAAGGTGCTTGTGTTTGATAATTGCACTAGTGGGCTCAATCAGCTGTGTCTGTATAGCAGCCATGAAAGATTGCCATGATGATGGTGAGTGCCCCCCCCCCCTCTGATAGTCTTTTCATAGAATTTAAGTTGAGGCGTACATCTCGTCCTTCCCAGACAAAACACATAACTCTTATTACTTTGATTTGTTTACCGTGAGGATTCAGGACCCTGTGATGAATGCACATCTGAAATGTGTTTGTGTAATGTGAAATGACTTCCCTTTACTCTGCGATACATGATATGAGCTTTCTACAATGACGTTTTTTTTTGTTGTTGTTTTTTTCACCGCTTTCCCTAAATAAGCTCTGGATGCTGTGCAATCTGAAAATCCAGTTTGAACGACATATGAATGAAGGGAAGTACCATTTGGCAGAGCCGCTAGTTACAGCGATGTCTGCTTTAAACAAAACAGAAGGCCTCTACAGGTAAACGTCGATGCACTTTGAATCCTACCAATTGTTGGCTGACGCATGTTTTGATACGTGTTGGAGCTATAACACCGTGTTTGTTGGTAGGAAAGCTCAAGTTCTGAAGGCCCTCAACCGGAGCACTGAGGCATACAAGATCTTACAGCGGCTGCAAGTGCACTGTGAGAAGAGCAAATGTACGGAGGTGGTGATCAGGTAGATGGACACATGATTGTTGGAGTGAGTCAACTCACCTTAACGCTGACTTATTTATTTATTTTTTTTGTGCAGAATATTTCAGGGCTCCTATAAATATAGAATGTCTTCATTATTGCCCTTTTTATATCTCATACAGAGTTATGCTTTCTACCGCTGAGCTCCACTGGGAGTCGTCTGGCTTTTCCACCGCTCTCCCCCTCCTCCTGCAGGCCTTGGCACTGGCTAGACAGCACCACCTACAGTCTCTGGCCTCAGAGACCATCCTCCACCTGGCCTTCACTCAGGTCAACCACATCACCCAAAACACTGTTACAGCACTCATATGTTCGTGTTTATGCGAGATAAAAACAAGCATGCGTGGTTTGTATCACTGTCTGTTTTTCTCCTCTCTGCAGCTGATGTTGGGGGTTCCTGAGCACGCTCTGAGTGTTCTCCATGAAGCCATTGAGCCTGTCCTGGCACACGGCTCGGTCATAGACAAGGGTCGAGCCCTGCTGCTAACGGCCCGCTGTCAGATGGCAGTGGCTGGGTTCGGGCCAAACGGACATGGGCAAGCAGGTAACCGCCTCTACAACTCCCTCCCCTGCCTGCCCAACACCAGCCCGTGGCTATTTACACACAGTTGTTTATTGTCTCCCTGCAGATTTGCATTTGGCCGCTTTGGCTGTTGACACACTAAATGAGTCTGCAGCCTATTTCTCCAAGCTGAGCTGTAAGGAGCGCCTGCGGGACGTCCACTACCTGCAGGCTCTGCTCCACCGTTCTCTGGGACAGACCTCGCAATGCAACAAAAGTGCCATGCTCTTCCGGCTGCTGGACCAGGAGCTGCAGTCACCCGCGCCACCGGTCTCCATGAGACTGTAACTACTTTCTCTCAAAGAAGAAGCTAGAGTCATCTCGGCTTCTAGGAAAACACACCTCTATGGACGGCTCAGGGGAGTTGCTGCAGTTCACCACTAGATGGCGGCAAGGATCGGTCCTGCTCTGTCACTGAACTATTTCATTTGTAAATATTTAAGCAATGTGGAGCTATTTGCATGCGATGGCAGGCAAATATTTAGAGAGTTTTTCAATACTTCAGCAACAATCCAGGTTTGTGATTACCCGCCTTCTGACGGAGCCGTATTACCCTCTGCTTTTTGATAAATGAGGGCAATATCCCAGTTAGCTACGAGATGAATGTGTTCCAGCGGCCTGGATGATGAATGATTTGGAAAAAAAGAAGCTAGAACGAGGAGGCGGTTATTGTTCTCATACGTGTAATGTAGTAAACCTCTTTTGGCTGAGAACATTAAGGTGTTTTCACAGGCCTGTAATCCATTACTCACTGTTCTTTTTTAAAAAGAAATTAAGCAAAACATGTACAGGAATGATGGTAAAGTTTAGTAATGGGTTCAGTAGTATTTGAAAGTAGTCCGTATTGTCTTCAACAACAATATCGAAGGTGCGGAGGCGGACTGGTTATCTTGACATCTATGTTCACAGAATATTTGCCTCTTTCTGTTTACCTTTTGTACTGCCTTTCCAAGTTCCTGTTTAGTGAGTTGAAGTACCATGTTTGGCTTTGTTTCAGTTACAGCTTAAACAAATGACAGTAAAAGCAGGGCTGTTTTCAATGTAAATAGCCAGCGGAGATGTGTGATACATGCAGCTCTCACACGCTGCTTCAGCCACTGGGCCATAATAAACCTAGATTATAGATTATAACTAATTTTGTGTGGCACAGTTGGTTGAGAGGTTTGGTTTAAAAAATGATGACCTGTCACCACCTTTCCTGCCTTTACCCAAAGAATATTTGTTGTTGGTATAATTTGCTTAATTTGGATCCAAATCACTAATTCGTATGTCAAGTGGCACTGAACCATTTACAGAAAAATGAGTTTTAATTGACGCTGCTGGTTGGAAAGTGCTTTTGATGCCGCAGAGCAATTTAAGTTGAGAATTTTCTACCAACTGTGAGGATATTTAAGCTCTTTTAAACTTAAAAAGATGAAAAAGCAACAAAAAATAAATTCCAAGGGTAACTGGTACTTGTTGTTTTTTTTGTTTTTTTATAAGAATACTAATAGAAACTCTGGACAGTGAAAGTCATTGTCTTCAGCCTTGGTTGAACCACAGTCCAAAAAGAACTTTTCTCATGAGCCTCCACAGATTAGTTTTATGTTTATTGTTGGTTTGATAGCAGAATTACAGAAAGACAACTAGCCTGACTTTCATGAAACTTGGTGAAAGGGTGTAGAATATATATGTATATAATTGATATTGAAATTACCTTTCCGTAAATTAGTGAGTCAATTTAAAGATGAATCAACATCAATTTTATATTTGAAAAATCTTTTTAATCAGTCAAAAATGGCAAACATTCACTGCGCCAGCTGCTTTCCTCTGTTTAAATGTATTAATGTGTTATCACAGTGCATGAGGCTCAGTATAAACCCTAAATAACAAAATCTGCCCAGCCACAATGTGTATGTCGTGATTTCATGCCTAATATTCCAGTAACAGAAGCAGCACAGAGATATTCACAGGGTCTGTGTGGTAAAATATAACATCGTTGTTCAAAATGTCTAATAACAAGCATGGCATAAGAACATGGCATAAGAACAATGCATGTTTAGAAAAATATATCTGCAAATGTATTTTTCAGGATTACACTTTACATTAACTTAACCTAATCTAAACTCGATATTAAACATTTACAGTTCAAGAGTAATAGTGTCACTGTAGAGTCACGTTTTGTTTCATAACCGACTTCCAGCAGGAATAAGATTTGGGTAGAAAGAGGCAAACAACCTGAGGTGTCTATTTTTAGTTTGTTAACAGGTCTGGTTTTTAATTGATGGTTTGACAATAGAAAAGATAAAAGTACTACATGGACAACCTTCAACCACACAGATTCGCAAGTAAAAATGCATAGTGTTGATTTATTGATGTTTACTTCTTTTTTTGTATGTTATACATAAAATAGATCTATTGTATAAAGAAGATGGTGTTCTAGGTTTCCCCAAAACCCCACCAGTACAAAATGGTATTCATAAATGATTCAAACTAGGTCCAACCTCCTATTTTACTTCCAAACTCAAGTTATAAAAATGAGAAAAAAGTAATAATTGAGTTTGAGTAAAGGAGGTTTTGGCCATTTTTCCATGTTTAAAAGTGGTGGCTGTTTCTCCGTAGCTTAAACACTGCTTCTTCTCAGTCTTCCTTGAAGGCACCTTTTTGTATCGTGGCTCCATCCGAGTGTCGTCGAGGAGGCCGAGTCCAGACTTGGAGGAGCAGAGGAGGTCCAGAAGTGGCGGTCAGTATCCTGCCGGATAGCCTCCCTTCCTGGGGTCGGACTCCGCACAGAGGCGCTCTCCCTGTCGCACCACTGCTTGGACCACCGAGTCTGGGGTCGGCAGCAGCTGTGTCACGTGGTTCTTCTGGACAAGACCCTCCAGGACGCTCTGCCGTGGTATTACCATTACACGCACGCAAACATATCATAACATATAACATCTTTAGAGTAATTACGAATGTCCGAGCTGAGATGGATAATCTATCAAAGAAAGCCATACTTCGCTTTTTGTAATTCTTGCCGATCATTGATTTTCATACTGGCTTACATTACGTACAAAAACTGTACAGATATTCATGGTGATGCATCCTGACGACATGGTGCTGAACAATTAAAGATCAGTGAATAAAAACCATTAACTAGTCGTAGTATTGATCAGCTGAGTCATGTTGTGGCCTGTGTATTTCTTTCTTTAGGAGAAAAGTATATTTGTTTACAGTTTGAGAAATCCAGGCATCCATACAAATGTGTTATTAGTAGTAGTTCACAGTAACGGTATGTGATTTATATTGGTATACAAGTCATATGAACCCTGGTAATAATTTAGATGAGAACTGGTATTCTTTTGAGTCACCACATTTCTATAATCATAATCTCAGACTAACGACAAATAAATGCCTATTTAGTGAAGGTATCATGAACTATTAAGATGATTTTCACTGTGGCATGAATGTGGTATGCTGTGTAAATAATTGCACGCTAGTCCAATGTGGAACCTGCACAGCTGTTAAGTCATTCCATACATCCCACACGATGATCTCCGTGTGTGTCCCACCTTTTCAAAGCCTCGCTCCACCACCGTCATATTTGGGTTGAGCTGATTGTGAACTCGCGGCTCCGTCACGGCTTTCTTTAAGTCATAGTCGAAGAACAAGGAGTTGAGGATGACCTGTTTCGGACAGGAATGAAATGACCTTAGCGTTCAAATACCGAACCGCGTGGGCTGCCGGAAGGAGGTGATGCGTGTGAGCGGACAGGACTTACTAAGGCGGTGGCTGTGGTGATTTTTGTGCCCCCGGACGCTCCTACAACCATCTTCACTTTGTTGTATTTGTCAAAGATGATCGTAGGACACATGGACGACAGAGGCCTCTTCCCTGCAACAGATGAACAGAATGTGTCTGTGACGGTTGTCTACTTTTTTTCCTTATGGGTTTTTTGTCCACGGGCAAAATGTATATTTAACATATGACAATGAGCATCGCCTCTGCATCTTCCTCACTAGAGGAAGGGTCATCCTCTTTGTCATGGGCTTAATTAAAGAAAACAACATTGTTATCCATCAACATGGACAGTCCAAAAATCATAACCTAAACTGCAGGTTGTAGTAATACAACTCAGTCCAGCCACACCTGGTTGAATGAAATTGTTTGGTGAAGGAGGGATTCCAAACCCGTTGGTCATGTGCGGAGAGCTGAAGTCGTCCATTTCGTCATTAAAAATGATTCCAGTTGATCGAGACATGACTTTGGAACCGAAGCTGGAGGGGGGGGGAGGAAACGCTTTTAATGAGTGAGTGATAATCAGCAACAATCTGGTGCAGGAAATGTTTCTCTGAAAGTTTGACTTCTTACTATAAATTAATGGTGCTGGTGGCTGCCACTGCGCTCCCGTCCTCGGCTATGACTGACAGGTGGGCCGTCCCATGGTTGTCTGGGACAAAGTAGTCTGGCTCATAGTAGCTGTCTGGGTGGGTGGTGTCATCTGTAATTTTACTCCTTATGCCATCAGCAAAGTAGTCTGAGGTCATGTTTAGAATGAGCTGAGGGGAGCAAAACAAGTCGGCCCCAGAGGAGAAGCTCATCACGTGAAAATTGCCAATGGCAAACAATAGCTGAGCAATCTTGCTGGCCTTGGTAAAAATACAGAAAACACTGCCATAATCTTCTGAAAACAGCATTTCGCATCCACCTATTGAATTTCCAACAGGCTAGCGAGGGTATATACTGTATGCAGGGAAGCTAGCAAGGCCCAAAGTACGGTCTGACGTGTGATGATATGAAGGCATGAAGTCTTACATCAGTGATATTGAGATAGCGCGGGTCCCCGAGTCGGCTCCTCTTAGCATAAGCAAAACGGAAAGCCTCTACGATCCGATGGTACGTCAGAGTCTTTTTCTCTGCTGTCGAAACGCTTGTGCCTGTGAAGTTGTACCCTGCAAAATATCCACAGGAAAAAACATATGTGAAGAATCACATTTTCAGTGTCTAAGCAGTTAAGCAGTCTCCTCCATCACTGATGAATCACAGATTCTCTGCCTGAACAGACGGAGGTGTCGATGGTGAATTGATTTTGGCGAGCAGGACTGAGTCGCGGATCTATTTTCTGCTTCCCAAACAGGGATGAGGCACGATCCAGGAGCGACCTGGAGAAACCTCGACATCCTTTCAAGCACTTGGCCAGGCTCCTCACCCTCCACTATGTTGAGGATGAGTGCCAGCACGGGGCCACTGGAGGGGGCGTCTGGGACATGCATGGTGTATTCTCCAACGTTCAGCTTCAGAGGGTTCTCGTTCAGCACAGGCTGGTACTCCAACAAATCATCCAGGGAGATGATGCCGCCTGCAACAAGCACAGTAGTGTGAATTTAAATTTGAGTAATACTGATTATATAAATGATTATTATTAATATTATTATTGATTTATAAATGATAGATTTTTTTAGGACCTGCCGCCTGGATGTCCTCAACGATGGTGCGTGCCATGGACCCATTATAAAACACATCAGGACCCTCTTCTGCTATTCTTTGGTATGTGTCGGCCAGCCTTGGAAATCGAACAATGTCGTTTTCCCTCAGTATGTTTCTTTGAGAATCACAAAACACGTCACTGGGACATAATAGAAAGAAAAAGTAGGAAAAAAACAGTTAAATGTTGATGGGTTTGAGCTTGTAGAAAATAAAAGCCACTCCTAGAACATTTTAGGCATTTTAGATGCATTAGGAGAGATGGTAAATAAGCCTTGTGGCCGATGTGCTCCAGTGGCTACTCACAGTACTGCAGCTAAAATATCTCAAAACTATTTCTTCAAATCAAAATCAATGGCCGCCATTTAAAAGTCAACTGTCTAGTTCTTGTAATACATCCATTGCGGCCGTGAGAAGCTTTGATTAAAGAAGATAAGAGTATTGCCCCAAATATCTAACTATTCCATTTACGTTGTCAGCATAAGTTATTGTGCTATTAAAGCCACCAATCAGCTTGCAGGCTTCACTCTCACCACATGTTGGCATCTCTTTGGATAGAATCTTTGCTCCTCAAGATGGCGTGAGCCAACGCTTTTCCGATAGGAAAGCCGTCCCGTGCCAAAGCAATGCTGGGCTCAAACAGGTCCTTCCACGGCAGCCTGCCATACCTCCTGTGGGCCATCTCGTAACCACGGATCTCCCCGGGAATGGCTATGGATAATCCACCTGTCGTGTGGAAACAGCAGAGCTTCTTTGGGGAAAATTCACAAGCTCTTTCCTTGTGGTCTTTGTGTCTGACTGTAGGGTCATTGTTAAATAAACAGCAGCAGACGCATGGAAAACAATAAACCAAAGTGGGTTCAAGAGGAGCTGGAGGGTAGATTTTGGGACTGTATCCTTTCTAAATTGTAATTCTGATACAACATTAGAGTCGAGTTGCAGTTGCTGCAAAAGCTTCACTGAATACAGTGAATATGTTTCTCCTTTTTGCCTGGGAAATACTCCAGCAGTTCAAGGCTAGTATTGGCTACCTGTACGGGAAAGCTTGGTGCTGTTGCCAAACATGTCCTCAGTGGCGTTCATGGGGGCCGTCTCCCTCGCATCGATGGTTTCCACCTTCCCTGTTTGAGTAGAAAATGAGGCCAGATGGCGAATTATGTTTTTTGCTCAGTTGTGAGAAGTTGTGATTGATGATGCAGACTCACCTGTAGAAGAGTCATAGATGACGAAGAAGAGCCCTCCGCCGATGCCCATGCTGTGAGCGTTCAAAAGGCCGACACAAAGCAAGGCAGCGATCGACGCGTCCACGGCTGAACCGTTTTTCTTCAATATGTCCCTAAAAAAGAAAGCAAAAAAAAACACGCGGTAGAAGCAAATACACGAAAGCCGAGCACGCAACTGTCCAAACGAACGTCTTCTTACCTCCCCACTTCTGAACACTTCCCAGCATCAGCAGCCACAGCAGCCTTTGAATAGAAGTGGTCCATGGGGGCAGCCGTGTTCTTCTTCCCCAAGCCCATGAACACCCCCAGGAACAGGCTCACTGCAGCCACCAGAAGGACCACCAGACCCGCAATCACGGACCTCCCAACCATTTTTCTGCCGAGGAAAAGCACCACACCCCCACAGTCAGGCAGAACCCTTCGGCTCAGATACAAGCGTCCTCTCCCACAAATATCGCCTCACATCATCAGAGCCAAACCGTAGCACGAATAAGTCGAGGACGGGAGAGCAGGAGGTTCACTCACCTTCGGCGTGTCGCACAGTTAGAAAAGAAATATTGGACATAAAGAAGGTAGAGGAAGGGAGCTGACTGTGTGTGTGTCACGCAAAGGTGCTTATTATGACCAACTTCACTGATTGTGGATGATGCAAACATGATGTGTCATCTGAGCTCAGGTGTCCCACTGGATAATAAGCACATGTTTTATTTTTGAAAGAAAAATGGACTTACTCACTCTCACATTGCCTCTTTTTTCTGTTTTTTCTTGTTTATTCGTTTTTCTCTGGTTACGTTACCCTGAGGGAAACGTTTCCAACATGGGCTGAGATACCTTTTTTTTTTACTTAGTGAGGTTTCTGAGTCGATCGTCCAGGAAGTAAGGGACAGCCACCGTAAGAGATGTTCAAATTCTCTCAATGTCAAAGAAAAGGTATTTCAAGGCTTCTTTTCTGATCGCCTGGACCATCCATCACTGATGAATTGGATAAACTGCAGTCCCACTTTTAGACAACATACGATTCAGACGTCAGTGACATCCACTGCTATTACATTGTACATCATGGATGAATTGAAACCATGGTGAAACCACCAGGTCTAATTTTTCTCTTAAACAGGAATCGTTTCTTTAAATGAACAGCGTTGCATTTGTCAAAGGGCATTTTTTGTAAACTTTATCTGTAATGTTTAAGCATTTGGAAAAATAACCGCACCAAGAAAAACCATAAGGTTTGAAGCCCTTTCTAGTCCACTATAACCTTTTAGTTCAAGCTGATATCAACCTGGCCGACCGTGGCAAAGCTAAGGTGAGACGGATCTGTTTACATCCCGGGGCTCTGTGTCATTGGCTGAGCCGCTAACGTTGCCATGCTCAGTGGCCGTGTCACAGTCTCTGAGCGGTTGAGAAGCCCGAGCCTTCGCCCCAGAAGCGCAGCTCCAAGCCGCCATCATCGGTGACGGCAGCCTCTGAACAGCAAATACCTGCCTGTGTTAGCTAATCTAATCCTGCGTGCACTCCTGTTTGTGGGCCAACCAGATGAAGCATTGTCAAAGAACCCTGTGGGCTGCTGCTGCTGTGATTGAGTCCAAATCAAATCACTATTATCCGGTTCTGGATCTTCCAGGTTCCCAGATGCTGGAGAAGAGGAGAATTGATAAAATGGACAGAGCTGACTTTAGCGGAAGACAACAATTAGATATCTGTTTGTTGCAGATCACAAAAGCTTTCCTTCATACTTTTTGTGCACGTCACTGCTGCACAGAGGAGGATTTTTCTAAATATATCCTGAAGCTGGTTCATAATTTTAGCCCTCAGCTAGAATATAGACTTGAGTTTTTCTTTTCTGAGAGGTTCCCCTACCACGTCTCCCTAAAGGTGTGTTTTCACACAATAAAGTGGAAGGCTTGTCTGTTTCTATGTACCGAACAGCAAATGTAATCACACGCTGCTGTTGTTCCTCTGTGACTGGTGAAAAGCAGCCTGGAGAAACACTTAAAGCAGAGCGGTGGCCACGGCTGAAGGGAGGTGATGTGTTTTTAGGGGTTTCTTCATTCCTTTAATGATACAATGTCATAGACTGACATGCATCTTAATGTTTTAAAGATTATTTAAAGATTATTTCATCAGTATTTCCCAAATTCTGACAGAACAAATTAATAGTATGGGGGGGAAAGGGTATCAAACATTTACTAGCAATTGGAGTTCCCCACTTTCCCACGCGTACAAATGTCCTCTGAAACCACCAATTGAATCATCACACCCCTGTTAAAAATGAATGAATCCTAGAAAAACATAAAATCTATGTTTGTGTGTATGCTACAATTACATTCAATTGTCTTGCACATAGAGTTCTCCCACCGATGACCCATCAGGGACCACGGACCAAGATATTGATTTGCATGACGCACACTTAGGGACGTGGATGTAGTTCAAAAAATGACAGTTACTTGGTGGAGTCGTGACAAATGCAGGTTGTTTAATCCCAAAGTAACAGCAGGATTGCCAAATGAGAGATGTATATTTGTACCGGGCCAATGACGAAGCACAAGCTTTAATGTCTTCATTTATGATCTGAGGGGCTTCCTCGTGGTTAATCTGACCGTGCATTCGTCACATGGTTGTCTAAAAAAAACAACCCTGACATCCTTTTTATTTATTTTTATTCTCCCTTGCTGCAGCTCAGACTGTTATTTCAAGCATTGAAAGAGAGGTGCGTAGCGAGCATCTGATTGGTCGGACGCTCCACGTTGCTCAAACCTAAACAGCAGCGTAAAGCAGCTGTCTGCCGGAGCATCCTCAGCATCCGAGCCGAGCCGAGCGCACGTAGGGGGATAAAAAAAGAAATAAATCTGAACAGCAGTGTGTGTCGCGTGCACGAGAAAGTGGTAATATATTAGCCCGCCGAGCCTCCGCGCCAGCCTCCGACAACACGGCGCCGCCGAGGAGCATCTGAAAAACACTGGGGCTGATCATGGGTTCGTCCTCTTGGTAACAGTATCCGATCTGCAACACTAACCCCAACCCCCCCTGCGCCAGCAGGAGAAGCAACGCAATGGGCTCCAGACTGAGCAGACAGAGCAGCCTGGACCATGAGGATTTCTCCAAAAGGCGACGCGAGCTTCTAGATGGCTCCGGAGAGACGCGCGACAGCAGGGGCGGCCGGGCCGGCGGGGACTTTCTGTTCGCACTGATGCTGAAATCGGACAAGCTGCCTGGCATGCTGCGGAGGACCAACCACAGCCCGTACATCAGGCGCGTGGCGTGGGTCAAGGAGATACAGAAGCTGCTGCGTGACCGCAGGATGGAGCAGGCGACCGACGTGCTCAAACTACTGAGGAAGGTAAGGAATGAGGAATAAGGATGGATGAGACTGCACACCACTCGGCCTTCGGGGAGGTCACGCGTGTTTACATCCTGCAGCCTGCTTCTTTAAAGCATCCTCATCAACACCCCGAAGCAACAGATGAGAACAAGCGAGATGGAGATGGTCACACGTGTGATTGCATTTGGATGCGTGGTGCATGTGCTCGATCTTACAGTTCCACAGGTGCTTTAATTCCCTCCTAATCCCTCCCCTCCCCCCAACCTTCTGACCTCTGACCCCACCCCCCAACTCTTCTTTCTACCCCCTTAAGGTGACTCGGCATGCATGCATTACTGCTGTGGTTTGCAGGTTGTGCTACTTTCAGAAGCAACTGTTTTTCCAGAAAGTAGGCCACTGGCAGAGCGATGCACCTGTGACACGCTGTTTCAGTCGCAGACGGTTCGTGACTCACCGGTTTGTGAATCTCACTGAGAGTAAACATGCTCCATGCTGCCATGTGATTTGGCAGGATGATGTGCACTGTAGGAAATAGCCAACCAATAATCTGGATCTGGATATATAGATAGATAAATATCTTTAGATAAATATTCATATATATACATGGATACAGATTTATGAAGCGCACATAAAACCTCCTCACCATCTTCTTTACATCTGTCCTCCACTCCAGTCTCACCTCTCCATGCTGTTCCGTCTCTCTCTCTCTCTCTCTCTGTTTCTCTCATCAGTCTTTGATGTCTTTGTTGTGCACGTGTGAGAGTCGTGTGAAAACCTCTGGATGTTAGTTGATTTTTATTTAAGGATTAATAATTGTTTTGGCTGAGGAAAATCTCTAAAAACCCACAGCCAGAAACCTTGGTTGCGTTAAAAGGCTCTTGTGGCAAGATATTTTTTACATTCTTTACTTGACCCTGACAATAATTAATAAGTAGGTGATGTTGTTGTCGTGCCCTAGGATATGTCACTTCTCTTAACCTTGACCAGAGGTTTGTTTCCTTGGCCTTCTCCTCCCTGTGTAACACCATGTAGGCACATCAATGATGTGACAGTGAGCCTTGGTGATCTCATTTGTTTGCTCGGCCTCAGGCCGCCTTCTGTCTTTTAGCTGTCAGACAACCCTTTGTTAATTATCCCTGAAGCCTTCACACAGGAGAGAATAGGTCCTCCTTAATCAAGGCGAAGAGATAAACTGTCTGGCCTCGGCTCCATGACAGCCACATCACAGGGGACATAGACTCGCTTCTTATAAATGAGCTCCACTTTTATTAAATAAGCCTTACTTAATCTTTACTCGCAGCATTGCAGACAGATGTCTGTGCGATTCTGTTCCTCCCGGATTCAAAAGAGCCTGTGGCGGATGTAATGGGTGTTTGTGTGTGACGGTGACACACATGACAAAGGATGTGAGCTCTAATGCAGATATATAAATATATATATATACGAAGGAGATACAGCCCACGCTGCGCTCGGCACAGAACAATTGATCATCTCTAAACCCAAACCTCAGATGAGATATTTTTGGTACCTTATTTCTCAGGAGGGCGGAAACCGCTTTTTTTTTTTTTTTTTTCCAATTCACGGGTTCATTTTTTTTCTTGTTGCCCTCGTTTCAAAGTGCAGCCAGCTGCCAGGCTCCCACTCACACCGTGTATTGCAATCAATGGCAATTGTGTTTTGTGAGAAACGAATGTGTGCGCGTCTGGGTGCAGGAGTGCGTACACACTGTATGTGTCTGTATCAGAGGCTTGTTTCCCTCATTTAAGTTGCATGAGCGGTTCGAGTGCTTGTCGTAGTTTGCCTCGTTTGGACCTTGGGGAAGGACGAGTTGATGAAGACAGATTACAGTTCCGTTCACACGGCTTTTTTTTACAGAAGGTCCTTTGGGGTTTGTCGAATGTATGAGTGTGCTACAATGAGAGCTGTCACTTCTGACCTTTTTGCAGATGTTTGCAGGCGCTGTCATACAAACCGAGATTTGTGGTTAGATAGATGCATATGTTTTGAAAAAAAACAGTCTGCACGGTGATTAAATGTCTCCAGAAGAGCAAGGGAACTAGAACATAGTATCATAGAGAATGCATATTATAAGTATGAAAAAATTACCTCACTAATGGGAGATGTGTAGCTCAATGCCACAGTGTTTTTATATATGATGAAACGCAGTATCCCCTGTGATCCCCCCAATGACCTCCTATTTCCTACTGTAGACAAAAAGGTGTCTCTACTGAATATTTAAAACAAAACACTTATTTTCCATCTAGAGTCACCTGTGACAGAGTAGGGCCCAGTTTCCATCACGAACGGAAAGTCACACTTGATTTAAAATGATTGCGGCATGTCTCTTATTATTCTACATGGCCTTGATTTTCATGCATCTCATCTTATCTGCTTTGCTAGGATCTCGGCTTGGAAGGCACCTCGCTCAACGACATCTTATACAAAAACGCTGCCTTCCTCAACCTGGTGGACCCCATCTCACACGAGCTGTTGCTCAGCCTGGCTCGAGAGATGCAATGTCCTAAGAAGGTCAGTTCACGTGGTTCTTCCTTTGTGTGAAATTTTCAGGGTGTCAATAGAGACCCAGCCTGAAAAATGGTATTCTGCCAAAAGAAAGCTTTCTCCTAAAAATACTGCGGGTGGTTTTCCTTTTGTTAAGTAAGATCAATGAAAACCCGATGTGAGGATGTTATCGACTTGTATTTATACGGATGGATGGTTAAGAGAAATCCTGCAGATACATGTTGGCCTACTTATGAACAGCTAGGAATAGAAAGGACTATTTCTTTTGATATTGGGTTATATTCTAATCAGCCTGTATGTGATATTGGAAGAGGAGCTAATTCCAAATAGTGAGGAAAAGTCCCAGGGGACAATCATAGGACGTCATTTTGGAAAGATTATGTACGTTTTCATTTTTTAAACCCCTTTGAATAGTGTCATGAATTACACAGAGGATGTTTTTCAATCCAAAGCATCATTTTGACCATCAAGAAATTCACTTAAACTGAAATGTAAAATGTAAATGTAAAATGTAATTTAAAAAGAAAACGACTGCACACCACAGATTGCTGTAAGTGACTTGCTGATTCTACAACACGTGGACAATGGTGGACACTCAAAGGCCAGAAAGTGTAAAATAATGAATAGCAAAGATGTTTTAACTCAAAAATCCAAGCATCCAAGTCTAATTTTGTTCTGTCGCTGTTGTTTCCTTCGGTCTCTTTCTTTTCTGCAAACCATTTTCTGTCTGCGTACAGGATGCAGACACCAGAAAGTCCTCTGATAAGATTTGCAGACAGCTGATCTACCATCTGACCCCGCACTCAAAGTGGCTGAGGCAGAGCATGACCAGACGGAAATCTCAGGCCTGGTAAGCCTTTCTGTTCAGCCATCCAGTGTGTAATAAATCCGCTGCTACGCACAACAGTGATCAGGGCTCAGCTCGGTGTCATCGAACGGAGGGCGGAGCCGGCCGCAGGCTGACCTGAACGTCATGGTAACCACAGATGTCTATCGTCCTTCTTTCTCTTCTGTCACTTCAAAAGTGGCAAAGCAACAAATCTATTTGCAACTGAAAAGCTCGGAGGGTTATGATGAAATATCCCCCTGAATGAAAGAATGGATTCCCATTGATGTGCATATTATGAGCAGAGAATTAGCCTGTGTAGCCGCCCAGGTGTTGCTCAGCTATTGCATTCATAGACAGGCTATCATAACTATTTGTCATGTAATTGCCTATTGTACAGCAGTATTGTGCGTCATTGAGAAGGAGACAATGGGAACACGGTGAGATGGGACAAATTCATTATGTCTCAGTCTTTGGTATCAACACGCAGTGCCAGATGACAGCAAAAGCAGATTTGCAGGGCATGGCGGAACACCACGTTGAGCTGCACACAGAGAGCTTCGTTGTGCTCATCGGCGCTTTCAATTTAGCCCAGAAGAGGAAAGACAAGTTTAACTGACACTGATTATATCTCCGAAAAGGTGCAGATACATACGGTTGCTATATGACGTGGTGTTTTTTACTCGGCCATGTCGGCTTCGTAAACCTGCAGAGCAAGAGAGAGTCTGAATGGCAGAGACTGAAAGAGCCACATGAATCATTAAAACAAAAATCCACCTTAAAACAGAATATTAATAGCCTACAGACGATGCTGTGAGCTCTGACACACGCCGCTGTCATTGACGAAGGAAAACCTGTCACAGCTGGAACGAGACGAGAAAGGGCAAGGTGTCGTGAGGCTGGAGAAACTTTTCCTTCTTTAGCACAAATCATCAATCATAATGAAAGCAGCTATGTCATCTTTTAAATTCTGACACAAATATATCCTGGATGCGCAGTTAGTCTTTAATTGTTATGAAAGAGAGCGGCTGAGCTCTGTTTGCAGAGTGCTGTATTGCAGTTTGGTCCCGTAGTGTTGGAAATGTTCAATTATTTGTTTTTTAGTTTGACCTTTCGGGAAATGCACTTATTTACCTTCTTTGACCTAAAGTTAAAGAAGACCAATGCCTTTCATACCTGTACTGTAAATAAGTAAAAAAGCCTGCAGGCAGTTGGCTCAACGTCAAATACACACGGGAAATGAAGGGGGACCGGCGCTGACGGGCTCGGTCCTACGGTAACTAAATCTGCTTAAAAATACCTTTTAATTGGTTTTATCTGGTTTTAGTCAGTTGTCTACCTATAGGTTGCTGTTCCCCCGTATCCAGTCTTTCTGCTAAGCTAACATTCTCCTGACTGCAGATTCTTACTTAGCGCACAGACATGGGAGTAGTTTCCATCTTCCACCTAATCCTCTGCAAACAAAGTGATTAAGCAGAATTTACCAAAATATTGAATTATTCCATCATCAAATAAGGATTTCAAGGTCCACATTTACAGGAAAAGGATAAAATCATATTGTTTTAGGGTGGATTTGATCTCCCTTTTAAACTCCATCTTTTTGGGTCGCAGGCAAACTGCTCTCATCTGTGCAAAAATGCAACAACCCGACCTCTGAGAGATTTCTGTGTTCTGTGGGAAACAGAGAGGGCTCAGTCCTTTTTAATGCGACCGGATTGTTCCTCCCTTTATTATCCAGCATTAGCACTAATCACCGGCCATTTTGCAAACTGCACACACATTTATTAACTGCATTAACGTCTGAAGCTCCCTAATCCTATTAATCTAACTAGTTTATTCGGGTTTTCTTTTATTCTATTAAATGAAGGCTTGTCAATAAGCCTGATGGAAGCAGTGACCCAGGAATGCTGCCCAGGCGTTCACACTTAAAGGATCATTTCATGTGAGGTTATAAAAATCAGCCTTTTCTGACCTCGTAAATCACTTTATTCTTTTTCCATCTAAATGCTCAGAAACTAAATAAACGAAAACTACCCTTTTGTAGCCGCTGCCTTTTTAGTTCCCACTTTACCTGTTCTCAGATTCGTTGATAAACATGCTGTGCATTGTGCCATTATAGTCATGTTAAAACGTACCATGATGCCGATTAGTCATTTTACTGAGTGTTTCAGCTTGAGGAAGATACAGAATAAGATACAGAAAGGACAAAGTGGTCAGCCCAGTTTGTCAGGTTACGTTTTTGACAAAAGCATTGATCCAACCTGGAGAAATGGGTGTGATAACTGCCTCTCTTGATATGGACGGTGAGCTGTGGGGTTGGGTTCCCAGAACCATGAAGGACAACGCAGTAGAGCGAGTGTGTCTGTGTGTTATTAGAGCACACTCCTCTATAGTCTTGCGCATATAATGATTCATCAGATGAAGTGAAAATAAAAATGAAATGTCATTGAGCAAATTTGAATACGCTGCTCATCTCGTGTCTCTCCTGCAGAGTTTAGCTTCAGACGTCAGAGGGCTAATATGAATAACAGCAAGCCGTAAATGACTCTGCAAAAAACAAACACGAGCGAGGCTGTAAGAGCCCTCGGAGAAGTGCGGTGCAGAGAACTCCTGGAAATGAAAATTGCTAGATGTAATGGGATGTTACCACCCACCAACACATTCATTTCAACATTTGACATTATTTTCTTTCTTTTCCAAATGGCTTTTCCCCAAATCTCAATTAGCCTTAGATTGCCCACCAGTGATGAATATCCATGTTAATAAATAATGAGAGCGATTCCATTCCTGCCAACTGAATTCAAATGCTGCCTCGTTATATTAAATAAACGACGCACAGTGATGAGCCACACGTCGGGGCAAGAGACACGCTGTGCTTCCAAGTGCTTCATTTTACACCTCACATCATACTTATTTCTAAGTCATTGTTTTTTCTACATACCTTTACTAGCATCCACTATAATTAAAATTATGAGGTCGTTTGCGTTATTACTGGCTTCAATTCATTAGCTAATGTGGTGCGGGGAGGGATTCAATCAGCAAAGAACGTCTACTTTATATCACATGAACATTTTTTTCCTCATACACATATTTTTTTTTTATCTGTCAGAAGGTGTCAGATTGATCTAGAGGACGGATTAAAGAGACAATTTAGACGTCCATTTTTCCTAAGCTGAAAAAGGTGTAATGGTTTCTAACAAAGGAAGGAGTTGTGTGATCAAAACCTATTCACACCTAGAGGGGAGCCTCTGCCGGGCCGCAGCTTGAGGGTTCTGTCATGTAAAAGTCCAGACAATAGAGAGACAATAACCTCTGATACAGCTCGAGCAGTCTTGATAAATGACTTAGCTCATCAATTTTGTACTAAACAGCTGATGAAACTACCCTTTAAGCTTGCTTCATGAGTGGGTTTCACACTCCTTTTTTGTGTTTTGAAACGAACATAAATTCTCCAAAGCGTGACATTTGTTCTCTTCAAGCCATCAGCCGTCTCTGAAATGAAGCATTCAGTGCTGCTCGGGGCACATCCATTTTAAACACTCTGCAAAGCATGACAAGTGACAGGTACTCCTGCAGCTGATGTCCCAGTAAGTCCCCGGGCCCCGGAGGGTGTTATAACTCACTCTGACTCTGAATCAGCGTTACAAGCCACATCATCTATATATATATAAAGTAATGGAGGATTCATGTAAGAAAAATAGTAGACATTTAAAAAATCTTGGGGTAATAATCTCTGTATCTGCACTACACAAAAACAAACTTATTAACGTTATTTTGCCTCACTTTTCAGAAAATGTAACCAAAATCTTTAAAAAATAAATAAAAAAAGAGGCATAATAGAACCCATCACTTCTTTGGTGGAGACAATACAATCATCTCAACACTCCATTTCCAAAAGAATAAGCTTCTTCCTTGCAGGTAAATATGGGGGCCAAGTAGCTTATATTTGAGGTTGAATCCTTTTCTAAAACAAGTCATCAATGAACCTGTTACGTACATCACGGTTCTGGCTGTAACGAGCTCTGTGCTTCTGGCCTTCAGAGGGTTCAGCTCAGCCTGTTGGCTTGTTCGGATGTTTTGGCTCCTCTGTTTACACTAGTAAATCCCCCTGCTGCAGCCTCTGTGTCAGCCTTCCGCTCCACGCCGGCCCAGTAACCCCCCCCCCCCCTCACACACGAACCCCTCCCTCCCTTATACAGCTCAGGAAACACAACACGAAACCAGGGCCTTGTTCTGAAGTCACATCCTTTCACCCCCACCGCAAAAAACATCACTCGTTTGTGTGTCGTGTAAGACTCATCTTTCTCTCTCTGTTGTCTCCTCCAGTCTCAAGACGACCTTACAGAAGAAACTGTCCAGCGAATCGGTCGACCTCTCCGGCGTCCCCCTGTCCACCCGCGACGTCCGCCAAGTCGCCTTCTACCTCCAAAACAACCGAGACACCGTGGTGGCTGTGGACATCAGCTTCACTGAGCTCCAGGACGAGAACCTGAAGATCCTCCTGCCTCTTCTCGCGTCGTTGCCCAAACTCAGCACCTTGGCCCTGAACGGTAACCGACTCACCCTGACTATTCTCAAAGAGCTGACGGAGATGCTCAAAGACCCCAAGATGTTCTCCAGCCTGGCCTGGATCGACCTGGGCAACAACGTGGACATCTTCACGATGCCGCAGCCGCTGCTGGTCGCGCTGCGCCGCCGCTGTAGCCTGAAGAGCAGTTTGCCAACCATCTACGAGTACACCGAGGGCCAACCCTACTGCTACCGCCTGGAGACCTCCATCGAGGAGCCCAGCCTCTACGAGGGGGAAGAGGAGGAGGACGACGAGGCGGAGGACGACGAGGACGACGAGAGGAACAAATTTGAACTTGAGGCGTGGAGCTTGGGGGAGAAGCAGCTCTCCAAAGACTTCACCCTCCACTACTGTGAGAGGTGAGGGTTTCCTCTCGCTCTGAGGCTCTTTCCACTGTGGTTGAAACGTCTTCCCACAGCACTCCGTTACCTCCTTTGCCCTCTCGCTCCCTCACACCACGAGCCCCGTCACCTTTTGAGGCACACGTGAGGCCAGTAGCCACACGGTTCTCGTACCCAACACGGCTACCAGGCCACTCCCAAGCATCTCTTGAGTTAACCCGCACAAGACTAGAGGGAAGCGACGACGGCGGACTTACTGTGTTGGTGGATGGTGCTCTTGGGAACAAGGTGCGGTTTCATTGGAGGGGGGCTGGAAGAGTCAATGAACCGGTGCGCTCTCTCTCTCTCTCTCTCCCTCTCTCTCTCTCACTGTCTCTCTCCCCTCTATCACTCTCTGTCTCTCCGGCAGTGGCAGCTGAGGAGCCAATCCCAAGGAGATTTAGATCAGTCGGTTGGATGGAGGAGCAGCATCCCGGCGGCGGCTGAAGTGGAACTGGAGTGCGTTTGGAAACGGAGGGTCCCTCTGGGTTCTCTACCGGGACTGAGACTATCTCTGGCAGGCAGGGCCTAGCTCCCCCATTGTGTGTTCTCTGTTAATCTCTCAACAAAAGCTATGACACAAGTTCAACAGACTATACAGCCGACGACCCGTCACGTGATACCGGCAAAACTGCCATGTCGAGACTTTTTGCGTTTTCCCCCCCTTTCCAAATGTCCACTTGTGAATACCCACGCAGCCGTTGTGTAAGATGTAAATGAGGACACACACACACACACACCATGGTTCTCTTCTGTTTCCATGGGCTATTTTTGTGCACTTTTGGTGAACAAAGCAATCTTAGAAGACAACAGGTAGGATTCATCAATGAGTAGCTGTTACTGATTGTGTTTTGATATTCTGTTGTCATCACCACAGTGTTTCAGTGCATTTATAACAGCACAGTGTTACTATGGGCCACCGGCCGGTGCTGCCCGCCCTACTGCCGTTTGTCTCTACAAACATGTTGTCATTTCCATTGACTGATACTTATAGGTGGAGCCGTGTTCGTTATGCCACACAGACGTGACTGTTATGTATTGGTTATAGCCGGTCTACAAGTAGCACATAATGATTAAGTTCGACTGACTCAAAGCACTTGAAGTCATCTAATTTTTCTCTGTATTTCTGTTTTTCCAAAGCAAATACTTTGTGAACATTTATAACTCAAGATATTTCTAAAGCTGAACGCATAGCAGAAATGATGCCCATATAGCTCTTGATTGTTGGAAGGATCCTTAACAAACACCATACCTGCATCACCCAGATATATAATAAATGTTTATGTGTGAGTTATTTGTATTTTTAAGTGTAAAATGTCTAATTACTGCCTTGATTAGTTGTGTTTGTGTTGTTTTGGTGTTTTGTCTTGTGTCCAACTCTGTAATTATAATAATGACTAATTATGAAACTGAATGCGATGATCATCTCCCTGTAAGCTTGAGCAGTGAACAAAAAAAGGTACACAGAGGAAAGCATTACACAGATAAGCAGGAAACAATTAGGTACATTTAAAGAACACTTCATGTAAAATGTTCCATTGAATGATGGAGGGCACTGTCCACTGTTCCTAGTTTATGTTTCGTGTGTCAATATCAAACTTGTAGCCAATGCGTACTTGTTTCATGCAAACTACTGACTGCCAATTAAAGGACCAATCCCAACTGAAAAGTGATGTCTGGATTTGTTTTGTAACTGTTGTAACGTCTGGATCCAGAGCAGAACATGCAGCCACTGACGGAAACATTTATTCTCACTGATTATTCCCCAAATAGAGCAATAAAGTAAATCAGCTGGGCCGTGGTGTTCTTGTTTGTGAGGCAGTGGATCATCTGTACGGCTGCGTGCCGTCAGGGTCACACCCGAGCAGCCAACCTTTGCCAGGGAACGGCCGGGTGGTCATCGCATGAGGACGTACCCGTGGTCCTCTCCAGGCAACCTTTTGTTTCTGCTTCGTCATGCTAATGTGACATTTGCAACTGGGGGGGTCCCATAAGGTCATGGCACAGTGAGACTGTCACACCCCCTGAGGTGTTAATGCCACGTGATAGGGCAACAGATCTTATTATCGGAAATGTTTCCTTCGGTGTGGATTGATTTCCCAGGATTTTAAAGTACAATAAAATACTTTTTTTTCTTTTCACAAACGTAATCTCACTAGATTTCTATCGTATATGTTTGTATGATTCACTATTCCATCTGATTGCCACAGCTGCTGCATCCCGCGGCACAAAAATGAGAATAATGTATGAAAACCAGCTAAGAGATGTCACAGATTGTTGGGAATAAAATAAATAAGCATGGATTCACAGAGATAAACGACCATGATCTCAGGTTCAAGAGATTAAAGTGCCAGATGTGAGTAACTTGCCTTGTGCGTTATTCATTTAACACCATGAATTGTCGTTGGTATAGATTGCCACCAGTATTTATTGTTACTGAATATGTGTACAAACAAAAACTCATTATATCACAGTTCTTTCTTTAAAATCCTGCATGTCACTGCTGCAGCCAGTTCTGTTGAGAGGCAAAGGGTTCATGTAACGGTGTTCAGCCAAAGACGACAGTTATTCTGCGATTCGTTACGAACACGTAACATGATTTGTCGTCGCTTTTGTGCCTTCGGAAGGTCGCTGTAACCTTAAGGCCCTCCTGCTGAAAAGGAACGGCACCAGCTCTGGGTCTCAGTAACCCGCCGCTTCGCCCAGTTTCCTGGCATCAGACACGGCACAGATGCAGCCGTCCTCCCTCTCCACAGCATTGACCACGTTGTAGAAACGACTTATAGTTTTTTGCGTGTGTCCGAGAGCCGCCAGAGCCTTGATCACGTTCTGGGGAACAAGGAGATAAGGAGACTCAGGTGGAGAAAATATCAAGCGTTTATTTCAGCGAATAAATGTATTTAATTTAGTTACCTCATCAAAATTGGGCTCAAAGGATAATATGTTTTGACCGTTGACGTAGACAACCGGCGCAGCGATCGCCTCCTTGAGGCTCTTGCCTAACCAAAGGCGGTTCATGAGGGTCTGGAAGGGGAAACAGAACGATAGATTGCAGGCTGTCACATGGAAAAGTGATGAGTGCAGAATTGATTATGGGCATTATGGTGACAAGAAAGAATGTGTTCTGACACCAGTGACGGCAGTAATTTATATCAATGGTCCTCAGCGTTATTGGCCCGGGACACTCACCGACACCATCCCTGCCGTGATCATGTTCCCACCAGTCGATCCGATCACCAGCATCTTTGAATTGGACTTCAGCACAGTGGGGGCCATACTAGATGGAGGCTGCTGCCCTGACAACACAACAAAAGCCTTGACTGACGGAGCAAACGGCTTTTTACTCAGACTCTTCCATGTGAGAAGAAGGAAGTTACCATGAGTGTCTTTGAATGATAGCTGACTCATAGTTAGAATAATGGTGTTTATTTAACCATCTACCTTTATTCAGCAGCTGACATCGGGCAGAAACCGAACTCTACAGTTAAACAAAGGACTACTACTCACAATGAGAAATTCTAACTCATGTTGAGCAGGTTTGATGTTTACTGTTTATTACCCAAGTTGTTTCTGAAGAGAGCCTGCATCTTTTGTATATTTCCCCTAATTGGCTAAAATATAATGCATAATGTGGAATACTGATCTGGTTACCAGGAAAGATGTGCTCTTCTCTCCCACAGAAGTCAGACAGCTGGTTGTTGAGGACGACCCCAGTCCTTGGAGACATGACCTTAGAGCCAAATCTGTAAAGAGAAAATACCCTAAATTAACTGGATCTCATCAAACAGATGCCCTTCTAGAAACTGGGCCTTGCCCAACAATGTGCATAAGGACTTTGACACCCGGAGAGAAGAGATTCCTTTTCAAATTCCCTTTACAAAACCACTCCTTTGTTAATCTCTTAAATCTTAATCTTCTACTTTTCAACCAGCAGCGATTTCTCGCTGTGAGGCAGAACCCCTTCAAACACTGACATGTGGTTGATGGTGCTGGTGACCGACACAGCAGATCCATCCTCTGCCAGCACAGACACGTGCGTGGTGCCCATGCTGTCCAAATGTGGCGTGACGTTGTAGTAGTGGGCATCGTGAGTCTGGCTGTTGCTGATCAAGCTCTGTATGTGCTTGACAAAACTGTCCTCGGTGAGTTTCTTGGCAATCTGTGAAAAGTACGGAGCATTAAGAAAGATGAGGTAGACCACACGTTGTTAAAGGTAAAGTTGTGATTGTATTTGATAGTTGCTTTGCAGAAGAAACTAAAGAAAATCAAGTCAAACAAAGTCATTCAGAAAAGGATTGCAACTTTCACTCAACTCGCTGGTTTTAAGGCATGTCTAGACTTCATTACTTGAAGATGAACTTACTTCTTCTGAGCTGAATCCTGGATCACGGATGTATTTCTTTAATCCGTTGGAAAACTTAAAGGCTTCCACAAGACGATGATAAAGTAGATTCTTTTCTTCACCTATCAAAGACTTTGAATCCAACTTGTATTCTGTAAATAAAAGCAATTGTTCAGTTTCACCAAGTGTATTCCACTTCCCAGAATGTGCAATATTGAGATGTTCCTCTTTTATTAAACCCTCATATTCTCCTAATTTATGTAAATTACTGCAACAAAGAATGAAAATGTTATTTTGGCATTTCTCTGTTTCACACATGAACAAACTATGTGATTATAAAGTGTGGGTGAGTGGCAGCTCTGCAGTTTGTGTTTAGCAGGGACCTTTCAAGAGGTTAAGGACGAAGCTGAGGATGACGCCCCCTGCAGGGGGTGGAGGTATATACATCTGGTACTCTCCGAGAGGAACAACCCACGCATCAGTCACCGTGACTCTGTACGACACCAAGTCCTGCGCTGTGAGAGTTCCTCCTGTGCAAAAACATTGAAACAAAGGGACCTGAACAAAATAAATCTCCGCTCCCCATATTCAAGACTTCTAACGGGTCCAAGCAGCTCGCATCGGTGGCTGTGAGTGGTCGCTGTGGTGATTTGCGCACCCAATTGAATGATGATTTGTAACTTGCGACATTTTGGCAAAGAGATAGAAAATGGTTGAAAAAGAAAAAAGGATGATGAAAACGGTTTGACAATACCTGCCTCCTGTATGTCACGGATCAAGTCCTCTGCTATACTTCCAGTGTAGAAGGCCTCTGCCCCCTGGTCTGCAATCTTCTCCAAGGTGTCGGCCAGTTTCTCAAACTTCACAATATCACCAGTCTTCATCAAGTTTCCATTTTTATCCGTGTACAAATCCCTAAAAGGACACATACAAAGGGGGGAAAAAAAGCATGAACTACAACACATGTTGTTCATGTTGATTTTGTGCTCCTCATAGTTATGACTCATTTTGGAGAGGGGCTGGTGGGGGAGGGGTGGAGGGTTGTACCGTAGTGCTTTGGTCTGGTTCGTGTTGATGTATGCGATGTATCGTCCTTGGATCTCAGGAATAGGAAAGCCTTCCCTGGCCAGTTGGATGGTCGGCTGGAAGAGGGCGGCCCACGGCAACTTCCCATAATGCTTGTGTGCCATTTCGTAACCTCGAATTTCCCCTGGGACCCCGATCCATTGGCTGCCTGAACGGACGGATAGCAAAGAACAGTTACTTTGCGTTTTGATTACAGGGGCCTCCAGCATGTATATGATACAAAAAAAAAATGAATATTGAGGTGTGTCCCTGTCCCCAACAGCATGGTACCCAAAGCGAGCGTATCTTACGTAACAGGCGGGACGAGAAGAACAAGAAATGCTCGAAATGAAAGAATCCCAAAAAGAAAAGACGGCTTTTTTCAGAATCTGCCAGAGAAATACCTGAAATGAGTTGGAAAGTCTTGGGGCACGATTCCAGCAGGTCGGGTTTTATGTGTCTTGGCACGGTCTCTCTGGAGTTGATGATTTTAACATTTCCTTTGAAGAAAACATATTATCAATTGACCCCTCGTTAGTTCCGCTGCTGTATCAGAGGGCTGAATGGATGAGGCGGTTACCGGAGCTGTCCGTCACGGTGAATATGGAGCCCCCCCCCAGGCCCATGCTCTGCGGGTTTATAAGCGAGGTGCAGAGCAGCGCGGCAATGGCGCCATCTACCGCCGAGCCTCCTTTTCTAATCATGTCCCTGAAAGACGAATCACTTATTGACGCATCCATGGCATTTACAGTAAATACGCAATGATTCCATGTAGCTGCAAAGTAAGGTCGCCTTTTTTGTTAATTAAATATTATCATAGATTTTAGCTGGAATGAAATTGTGGCCTCGAGACGTTTTTTCTATTAAATTCATTAAGAGGCGTTTTTAAATCGTTTTATTAGGGTTTCATTCTTAAGCATTTTGTGCGTAAAGTCGCCCACTTGTTCTGGTCAGTGGATGGTGCTTATGAAGAACACCTTGCTGACCGGAACAACATGGACATTTTCGTGCAGCCTTAGAAGAAGCGCAAATTGCCACTCACCGTCCAATTTGGGAACATTTCCCGGAGTCTGCGGCCACTGCGACCTTTGCGAAAGTGCCTTCTGGGCACTTGCGCCCCGCATACGCCGCAACGCAGACTATCACAGCGACCAGGCCGAGCAGCATCAGCGCGCAACAGCAGTACACTCTCTTCTTGGACCCCGCCATGCTCGATGAAAGCTCCAAAAGATCAAGGTTTCATCGTAAAGTCAACGGGGAATGTCTCTCTCTCGCTCTCTCGCTTTCTCTCTCTCTCTATCTGAAACACTAAAACTTTACTGACTGACCTAAACGCGTTGCCTCATCAGGGTGGGGGGAGCTGGCTCCACCTCTCCCCCCGGGGTGTAGGAGGAGCGGAGGGAAGGTCTTGAGAACATCCAGGTTTGTCGGTTGGTGGTAGTTCAGATGCTACGGGGGGAGACTGATTGACAGCTCGTTTAACGAGCTTTCCGCTGTGGCGTCTCCGGTTCTGATCGTTGTCACGTTCTAGGTTTTTTTCTCTTTTGATTTCACAATGAGTCAACGACATGTTTACATGTTAATTTTAAAGGTTTGACATTCAGATGTATATAATAAAAGTAAAACAAAATAAGTAAAAAGTATAGTAACCCTAAAATACTTTTCGTCCTCTTATTTTTATTTTAATACATTGTTGTATTTTTCAATGTTGAAGACCTAAACTCAAACGTTCAGATATTTGTTTTCAAATGATCAAAGCTTTTGGCCTGAATTTGGCTCCATACTTTCTAATTACTAATCATTTCTACTTGCAAGTGGATTAAAGTCGTTCCCCTTGAGCTGTTCCAAACATTTGTTTTTGACAATTGTCCAATGAAAGATAAAAGGTCAAAGCCAAATTGAAAGGACTTTAATCACTAATTCGTTTCAATATTACTGTACATACCGTATTTTGTAATCAAAGTTATGCTGCAGTACTTGTTTTGAGTTGTTATGCTTCAGTGCGAAGTAATAAAACTGTCTGCGGCATCCAAGCTATTACCATGCGGCTTTGTGGCTGACGTGACAACGCCGACAAACTGCAATGCATCTTGGGAAATGATGTTTACTGTTCTATCACTCAGTAGTCGATGGGTAACACGGAAGAGGGAGGCGCACAATTAAATCAAGTCTTTTAAGAGATTACCAGAATAATGCCGGATAGAAGGCAGTATTTTCTTCGAAATAAAATGATGGCCCCCTGAAAAAGAGGAAAAAAGAATGCTTTGAGTACAGCTTCCACTAACGGTTGTATGCATTGACTATTTGCTAGTTATTTTCCTAATTATCTGTTAATTAACTATTTTTCAGAAAACAGTAAAACAAAATGCCACGGCCCAAATTGTATTGAAATTACTTTTTATATCCAACCAACTGTGAGTTTTCCTTTGTATTCTTCGAAATTATACTCATAATATCACCCTTTTCTACAGACAGCTGTAAAGTAATTTGTTGACATTGACATATGGCACATTACTGCTAAATCGCTACTTAGGAATATTCCACGATGAGCGATTTATTTTGAAAAGGCTAACCGGAAACGTGTGTGCGCATTCCTCTCGTTTTGTGCTCGGTAGTTTCCACTGGCGGAGCCTCGGTATTTACAACAATATTGTCTGAAGCCTCTCTGGCGCTGCCGTCCACCACAGACAGACACGTAGTCCACCCGTCGGCACCGCGTTTTGTCTCTGTCGTGCGACGGTTGTCGGTCCCGGTTAGGACTTTTTTTGTACATTTTGTTTCCTTCTGGAGCTGTTTCCTATCATGTTGGCGAGTGATATCCGTCTGCTTTGTGCACTGCAGTGGTGCGCAGCTTCGCCCGGAGAAACACCTGTGCGCCTCTCGTCACCACTGGCCGCAGGCATCACTGTTGAGTAGGTATGGATCCAAACCCACGCACCAAACAACGCACCGAACATCCGCGCAGCGCTACTCGTGGGGCCGCTCGGTTTCCTCCATATGCTTTGTTTGCCGCGGCTTGTTGAACGTTTCAGCTCGTCGGTACGTGGGCCGTCAGTTTGTTGGGCATCTTGGCCCCGGTGGCTGCAGCGCTATCGGCCACATTAACATGGAAACAGTGGAGGAACAACGCTGTGGGTGATAGTGTGTGTGTGTGTGTGTGTGTGTGTGTGTGTGTGTGTGTGTGTGTCGGGGATGGTTCGTGGTTTGGGTTTGGTGGTCCTCAAAGCAGCGGGACTGAGGGAGGGAGGGAGGGGGGGTCTCGCTGCTGTCAGGCAGGATGTAGGGGAGGATCTATTGGAAAAGGATTACCCGACCATTTTTGGTGTGAAGCATCGCGGAGATCTGGTCCCAGTTGACGCATTGCACACTTCGGGCTTGGCCTGTCGGTCCATTATCGTTATGTAATCGTAATCAAGTAGTCATTTCTTCTTTTTCTATGTTTTACTTAAACAGCCTGCAATTACACCAGGCTACAGTTCGCCCCCGCCCTCCTCCCGAGGATCCATTAATGCAGCTCATGCTGAGCAACCTATGAATGCCAGTCATACATGTGGGTGGATCAACACTGTTTGGGTTTACATCACTCACTGTTTGGTCCGCTTCTTTAAGCGGGGCTCGCCAAAAATATATAAGAGGGAGAGATTTGTCTTAAATGCACCAATGTGCCCATGACTCATTGTTTTCATGCAGGGCAGTATAGGAGAGAATGAATTCCAAATTGTGTTCAAAGCCGGTGGGGGAGGGAGGGGTGTCATTTTGAAGTCCACATTGTGTGGGTGAGTTTCAGCAGGTGTGCTCTGTGGTGCATACAGGATGGGAATTCGCTCAAACTCAGAGGAGCAAGATATTTTTGGCAGACCCCAAGCACATTGTTACGATACCTGCATTGGGTTTATCTCCTTCTGGATGCCAACACATGGACAGAAAATAGTTTTGGTCCTTTGCGTCCATTGCAGCATCGCCCTAATGTCAGTTCCAGTACCCTCACCCCTTTTTCTCTCTTTCTGTCTTTGTTTTTCAGGGAACAGATAACCCTAAGGCGCGGTGTCTGTCTGCATCTGTCTGGAAGAAAGAGAAGAGGAGCAGCATGAATACCGCACAGCCTGGAAATATGCAAGGAGAGACCTTCCCCCGTTGCAGACTGGTGAAATGTCAGGACTGAGGAGCAAGATAGTCCGATCAAATCAGCAGGCTGTTTACCAAACAGTGGGCCAAAAAGAGCTGCTTGGCATTAGACCCAGACTCACTTACGCCTTGTGTGTGGTTTAAGGCCATCCCAATCAAGAACGGACGTGTTAACTAAGCATTCATCAGCACAACCCCACCCCCCGTCGCCCCTAAGATTCAGCAATCCACAGACCAGATGGAGTGGTCACTAGATAATGTGAGAGAGATCGTGGCTGGAGGGATGCAGTCTATCAGGGAGTGTGAGATCTGTGCCTTTGCGATAGCCATGTGTGTGCTGCTGCTGTTCATGTGGTATTGTTACAGGGTGGGCCGGGAGCATGGCTCCAGCCCTCTGCGAGGCAGGTATCTGGCTGGGCCCAGCCGAATCGGAGGGGTGGTGGGGGGCTTCATGAGTTCAGACTGCCGAGGTAGGGGGAAAGGGAAGAACGGATCGATGCTCGAAGAGCAGAACGGCTTCGCCTTCTGCCAGTCGTCAGAATGCTTCCGGTGCACCAGTGCCGGCGAGAGTCTGAACCAAAGGCTCTATCACAGCCTGCAGGATTACGCCAAGCGCTACACCTGGTCAGGTATGGGCAGGGTGCACAAAGGAGTCCGCGATCAAGGCCGATACCTCAACAGCCGACCGACCATCCAGCGGCCAGAGGTCTTCTTCCTTCCCGACCTGCCGTCGGCTCCTTTCTTCTCCAGAGAAGTACAGAGACACGACGTAGAGCTGCTGGAGCAGAGCTTCCCCGCCCTTCTCGCCGAGTTTGAGAGCATCTACCACCAACCTCCGGCCCGCGACGGCTCCTCCCTGCCACCAGGATGGAAAGCCAACAACACCCCGCGCGGGCAGTGGTGGACCTACTACCTGGTCAACCAAGGCACCCCTCTGGTTCTAAATGTCAGGAGGTGTCCGCGGGCCTGGAGGGTGCTCGGCCAGCTGCGCACCTTCATCGCCAACAACGTGTTCGGAAACGCCTGCTTCTCTGTGCTTACGCCTGGAGCTTTGATCACTGAGCATTACGGTCCAACGAATGTCCGGCTGCGTTGTCACCTGGGTGAGAGAGCGAGCTGAACAGTCAGCGGAGACCCGTCGCACCGTGTGGTGACTGAGTCCTATTGGCCAGCCAACCGCAGATGTTATGTACATTTTAAATGGCATATTTACGTAGAGAGGAGGAGCACCAGCATCTGAGCTTTGGTTCTACTTCCAACTGCCCCCCTCTAAAATGGATCTAAATACTCACATTTGATGTTGTAGACGGTCTTTTGTATGATGCTTTAAACCGCATACTGTAATCATACGGGTCTGTTCTGGGATACATCACCGGGGAGGAAGTTCAGCAATACCATAGTGACAGTTGAATAACAATGACAGTTTTGTTTGTTTTTCTCGGGCAGGTCTTCGAGTGCCCCCTTCCTGTGAGCTTGTAGTTGGCGGAGAGCCACAATGCTGGTCTGAGGGCAGCTGTCTGCTTTTTGATGACTCCTTCCTCCACAGGGCCTTCCACGAGGGTAAGAAGGGGAATTAAAAATAAATCTTTAATGCCGTGCCTTTTTTATTTAATTTCCTTAAAGGAGAATTGAGCTAAAAATTATTTAATCCAATATCAAGTCAATTGAGAGCCTTTGAAGACGCCGATTGTTTTTACCTGAAGATCATATTATAATGGGTTCATGTTTTGTTTTTTTCGCTATGTGTCTGCGTGTGTGTGCAGGCGGCGCAGAGGACGGCCTTCGAGTGGTTTTCATGGTGGACCTCTGGCACCCCAATGTGGCCGCTGCAGAGAGACAAGCCTTGGACTACATTTTTACTCCAGGCCGCTTAGAGGACAAGGAAGGGAAATAAGTGTGAGTGAGAAACCACGTCTGAACAGACACGTATGCCATTTAGGGAAGTGTCTTGATGGGGAACAACTCTTTTTGTGCCTCCAGAACATCTCCCGCATTTTCTCCGTCACATACGGTATCTTTCATAACTCTTCTTAGCGGATGACCAAACATTGGGCCTCTTTTGTCAAAACCTACGAGAGACATAATTATACAAATCAGCCATTGCATTAATGTGTGTTAACATAATGGCAGGGAGATTTTAGCTTAACGGTCATTATTCTATTTCCAAAATCTGAAATATTCAATGTATTTGCATTTGCACAATCATGTGACTGAACACTACAAAAAAAGCCCATCTAGCAGTTTCCATCCAATATTTTTTTTTTCAACTTTTGGCCAATTCTGGAGCAAAATCATTTCTTTCAACTCAGAAGTATTGTTGGTATTACTTTTTCCTAGCATATAATCCACATTTTTGAAACCAAGGGCTAAAAAAAGAAGAATTCATTCAATTTTTTCATATTTCTCAACATATTCAGTCACAGTTAAGATGCTAATTTTGAGTCAAACCAAAACCTGATTGTCAGTGCCTAGGCACATTTTTAATTAAAAAAAAAACACCCACTTTCCAACTTTTTCCTCCTGAACAAATGACAAATCTCTTGCTTGCAGAATGGTGTAATATTTTCAGTGATTACATTGCCTGTGTGAATCAAATCACAGCCCGGGTTAAGCCAAAGCTGAGGGATATTTGCAGCTGTCCTGGATAACCTTTTATGTTCCAAAAGGTGTCAAACATATTAAACAAAATAAAACTGTTGTTCCCCAGTGGTTTTACAAATAAATGCATTCAATTTAAATGTATGTAAACTAAATGAATTTAATGTAATAATGTCGCTGAGATAATAATGACTAAAGATGGTAATAATTCATTAATTTAAGTCATTTCTAATGTCACTGTATTGTTTTGTTTTTGTTGATAGATGTGATAACGGAGGTCCAATGTTGATCATGAATGTTTACAGACGCTGCTAGTATCCGCGTCATGACTCCTGCCAGTGTGGTAGTTAATTGTGCTCTCCTTTGAACAATCAATCCTGCTTTCAAAAACCTGGTTAGATAAGCACATTTTTATGTGTGTGAGTCGGCCTGTGCTGTAATACTGGAGGTGAAGAGTTTTGGTAAATTTACTAAACCCTTGTAATTTGGTTGTATTTGATATGAGGTTTGTATTTCTGTAAATAGGGTTGAGGTAAAAAGAAAAAAACACTAAAAAACGGAATGGTCTGAAATGAGTTACAATGATTGTCTTCAATGCTATAACTATTGTGTTGTCATGATTTACAGCTTATGTGATTACATTTCCTTCTGTTTCAATCATTTTTATGGATTCCATTTGTAGATTCTGTAAATTGCTTGAAATGAAGTATGATCTTTGTTGTTCTGTGATATCTTTATTTATATTCAATCTGTTATTTAGTAGCCCCATATGGTATCCATTTTTAATGCCACAATCCTTAATTCCTCAAAAGCATTTCATTGATAAATGTGCACAAAATGTAAAAATGTACCTTCAACAGCTTTACAGGTCCATCTATTCAATTATATTGTTTACAACATCGGCCAACACTGACACTCACATTGAGCTGTCCATAATTAGGTTTAAAATGAAGAGTGCTGTCAAGAGTAAAACTGTCATTCCCAAAGCATCGCTTCACATATGCAGTGATGGAGCAACCATTTTGTTTACATTAGGATTAAGGATTTGTCCTTTAACGCATTCTTGTGTGGATTTCGAACAGTATTTCTGTACATTTAATAAATGGTTGAGTATCTTATTTAACCAGCTGTTGTCCGAGATGTTTCTTTTGCAAAGAGGTTAAACATGAGTTGGTCTTCACACCGCAAGCATGTTGTTCATCCCTTTCTGCTGAATCATCCGTTTCACTAATGAAACTGCTACACTGATTAAAACATGCTGCAGGAGCTAGTTGTTCAGTATTGAGAAGAATAACATCTTCTGCATGTTATATTGCTGATACACCAAACCCCTACCTTGAGTTGCCTCTTTTCAGAAGCTCATAAAGAATACGGGTTAATGTTTTGCTGTTTCACCTGCCTCAACAGAAAGGATTCTCAAGTCTGCCTCCCTCACTCAACAAGCTTTCTCTAAGGGCACATACGTGTTGCTGAGTCTGTCGGCCCGAAGCTTTGGTGGCTGGAAGCCCATGTTGACATGAGGTTGGTGCCAGTAGTAACACAGAATGAATTAAAAAACGCTCCTAGGGCTTGTTTTCATAAGCTGCATGTTTTATGGGCACATAACTGTTTTTTTTCTTTTCCGTGTCGCAGAGCTTGAATTATTAAAGCAGACTGTAGTTTCATTACTACTCGGCTTGCTTTTTGCACCACATGTGTTAGTGAAGCTGTGTGTGTGTATAGAATTGTGGGAGGGGAGAACGATTTTGAATTAGTGTTACTCTTTGAGCAATTTGCACAGGAGTTCGATGAAATATCTAAAATGTATCTTATTAACTGATTAGCTTTATACTGTACGGTGAAGTCAAGTATAGAGGTTGCTGATGGGTTTCAAAATTGGTTTAATTTGACATTAGTGTCCTTCAAATTCGGACAACCGTGCAACATTTAGACACATCAGCATGATCAAATACCCTGACAAACAACGAATAATGATGCCCGATCTTCAATTTACCATTTATTTATGTCAGCTTAAATAATTTAGAGTGGCAATTATCTTATAATTAACGATTGATATTCTTCACTAATGAGACATAATTAAAATCTGTTCATCTGGAAAGGGCCCTCAGGTGAATCCCTCCTTTGTACCCAACCGTGAGGCCCTTTGTCAAAAATCATGTTGCATGAGTCATGTCCGTTTATAATAACTGGTCGTGTTGTCGTTGGTTTTCCTCTTGAGGCTCTCGATTCGTACATTATTATATTGTCATAAACATTTTCTCCAATAGAAAGACACACACGAAACTGTAAAAACAACCAACTGCCGTGTGGTAACACAACATTAGAAACGGCACCATAGAGCTTCTCGGGACGAGTCTGACATTATATGCATGTTGTGTCTACACCCAGGACATTTTTATCGTTTGATTTTAGATATTCATTTCCATCTACGTGGGTGGTGTGATGTGTATCTATTTATTCCCTCTTTGTCCCGGAAAAGTTTTGCCCACCACTGGATATTTTACTACACCGTCTGTGCGGCCACGTCACTGCCGCGCTGCCGGAGAGCATCATTCACATCAATGAAAAGGTGACGCGCTCCGCAGCGCCGTTTGTGCCCCAATCCGCTGCGCCGTCTGCCTGCGCGCTCCGGACGCGCTGCCGCACCACAGCAAGCAGGTGGTGAAATGTCGCCTTAACTTAACGCGCTCTGCTACGCTAACATGGGTCGACGATGGACGCGAGACGACGTGCGATGTCGATGAGCGACCCGCCGGGACCGACTAGACCACAACCGCAGCAATGAGCGCCTCCTTCCCCAAATCTGAATCCACGACCTCCTTGCTGAAATCCTCCTCTGCGGCGAGGCGACCGACACACCTCCCAGAACGCGCAGCGGAGAGCCGGAGAAGTCAGCCGCATACGCACCAGCACCACCACCGTCCCGCTGCGCTCCACAGCAACAGCAACGCCGACGAGTCCTTCTGGTCCGCCGAGGGCGATGTCAGCGCCCGCAGACCCCTGTGCCACCCGTCCCTCGCCGGCGGGCAGGACAGTAGTAACAACGCAGCCCTTCGGGTCAAGGGTAAGTCGCGCGTCCCCCACAGCCAAGTTCCTGACCCGCCGGAGCCAAACGGCGAGGTGGACCGAGGCGTGAAGGAGCGCTGCAGGTCATCCAAGCCCGCGCACCGGCACCACCACCGCAGGAAGCATAACCGGGAGGACCGTGCACTGGCAGCGCAGCCGCCTGCACCGGAGCATCCCGGTCGCTGCCCAACGCACGGCCGACCGGTCCCCAGGGTGCCGTCCCCGTCGGACAGCAACGACGACAGGACGCCCCTCTGTGAGCCGAGGGACCATAGAGGGGTCGGTCTGGCTGATACCGGCGGTCAGGTCGACAGTCCGTCCCCGTCCACCTGCTCCCCGGTGCCGCTGTCCAGTAGGTCCTCTCACCGCTCCCGGAGGTCCAGTGCTGCTTCCTCCGCGTCTGACGTCAACACACGCACTATCCTCAATTCACTGTTTGGGCAGGTAAGGTCCTGACATGCAGGGGGAATAGTGGATCAGTCATTTCGACAGTTGTTTAGGAAGATAAGCTCATGTCGAGAGGTTTAGTGAAGTGCAAGGATGCTCCTGGAAATGCAGTGTGACACTCCAAATCCCAATTTATCTCAAATAGAATTGGAAAGGCCTCTTTTCAAATGTTCTACAGTTTGATTGACAACAATAATGGCCAAACTGCCCACGGATCTAAAAATATGATGCACTAAATTTACTTTGGCTTGCCATACACAAAAAATAGTGCTTCGTTGTCAAAAGTGCACAGAGAGATTTAAGTGGGGCTTCTGGCAAAACCGATGTCCTGTCTACAATTAGCGCTAATGTGCTCTGTGATGCTCTCTGCGAGCATTACTTTAATGGACGGATTGGACCGGGGAAGCGTTTTCTACATATCCATTTCTTATGTAATTTGTAAATACAGCACCACCTCCTACATACCCTCTCAATGAGGCAGGCCTTTGTTGTTTAAGTGGATGTGCTAGGGCACAGGATGTTTGTTGGGAGAGGTGGAAATATCGTATGTGCTCATGTGTATTTGGACAAAGATCTTATTGTTCATTCAATGAGGAACATTGCAGTGTCGATGTGTTTGAAGCACTTTGAAATCCTGGCAGTGACGGAGGCTCTATTTTTAACCTGAAATCTATCCACACAAAGGGAAATAACTGCTCAATACACTTGGCATTTGTATAAATGGAGTGAACGAGCATAATTTGGGTTTACCGTACTAAAGTCTGTTGCCGGGTTTTAGTTTTACACAAATCCTTACAGCTCACACATTACATTATTTTAGCTTTGTATGGTATTTGGATTTTAATCTGATCATGAATCGTATAAGGTGATTCAAAATTAGGAAACTGTCCACCTTCAAAATAAACTCGATGGGCAATGGGAACACAGAGATCAACCATTGTTGAGGAGAGAAACACCCTGGCATGAAATTCTATTCTACAAATAATCCTGCAAGCAGCTCTGCGAAAACATTAACGACAGGAGTTCAAGAACTGGCAGTAATGTAACACACAGTTGAAGAGGTGCATGCTTTGCTATTTTATCTCAACTGATGCATTTGGAGTAGAGGGTGTTTTGGGGAGTTTATTGTTTCGACAGAATGGAAATAAAGGAATTTAAATAAACGGATGGTGATTAGGTAATTGGTTGTAGGCTTTTACGAAGAGAACGAAGAATCCTCATTAACGTGAAGAGAAAAATATGATCTCACGGCTGTCTGTGCTGTGATTCTTGGCAAATATAAAGACACCTAAATGTAATTTTCACAAATACAGCGTCTCTCTTTGTTGCAATGTGGCTGGTGGAGGTCAGAATGACCTTGTCTTTGGCAGCTGAGGGCAGAGGACGACGCGTGGTGGATAAGGCAAGAAAAGGCAAAGGCACATGCTGGAATATAATTAGCATTTTACAAATTAAAATGCAGGCCACAAACTGACAAATTAGTTTAAGAGATTAGAGTGAGAGCACAGGTGAGGAAATAGCTCAAAGTGGTCTTGCAAACTGGCCTGGAAAGAGCAATAACCTCACAATATCTGTGACCCTGAAGCAAATGTCACCTGCTTGCATTTATTTTCTGCAGGAAAGCCGACACGCCGTCATCCCGTTGCTTTTGCTTTGGGGCCAGTGACACCATGTTGAATTGTCAATGTAGCCATTATTTCGCTTCCCTCTTTGGTCTACTTCCCTCTTTCATTTACTTTTAGTCTCGCCTCACTTCTCTCTCTCTCTCTCTCTCTCTCTCTCTCTCTCTCTCTCTCTCTGCCTCTTACTGTTCACTCACTTGTCTGAAAATCCAATCTGCAAACATAACAGAGAATGTCTCAATGTCCTTTTTAGTGAGTCTTTCCTGCTTTGGATAACTGCTTAGATTGGCCTCTGAGAACGGTAGGATAATTTTGTGTGATGCACTTCTACAGTCTCTCTTTCTTTATTTGTTGGGGGGATTTTAGTGAATGATACTGAATCGTACCACATTCCCAGAAACTATTTTGCTGTATTTGTTATTTATTTGTCTGTCAGCTATCATATTGTGAATTGCTTTGCAACAATGCTTTTGACCATTTCTGAACATTCTTTTTAAGAAAAATGTCCATGCTGTTTAGTGTTAGTGGTGGAAGTTTCTTGAACTAAAACTACTCTGCTTCTAGTTGGCTCTTGAGTGCGTTTTGCTAAACATTAATGGCTTTGGACTTTGCCAGACCTTTGCCGTGCAACAGGAACAATCTTTTTCTAAAAGATGACTGTATGTCTCACAGAAGACAATTTGTCTTAATGTCTTTTGTGATGACACAACACTTGTAGCATGGGCCATTTTTTCTGCTCCTGATCCATGTTTCCATGTCTCCATGTTTATTGTTCCTATGACCGTGTGTAGGCTTCAGTCTCTCCAACCAGAGTAAACTGCTGTGAATTATGAGTGGAAAGTTAGCGACGTGCTGCTTTATAAATGATTTTTCTGAAATTTACACACAAGCCCGCACACATAATAGTTTTACAGGGAACTACATTCCTGTCACTGCATTAAATCTATTGCCTCAAATCAAGAATATAGAGAGTCTACATTGACTGTCACACATGATCCTAAGCTGCAACAGACCCCTAACACTGTCTCTGACCCTCTCTGGAAAGATGCTCCAGGATGCTAAGAAGAGATTCAGATGGCTGCCGTCCCATGAGTTGATGCGCCAGGCAGGGTATCCTGAGCCATTATCGGGGGTCGATTGTTTCCATGACTCAGAACTGCGTTCTTATGAGCAACGTACGGTTGCAAATCTGTGTCTTCCTGAGTAAAGTAACTATCATTACCAAGCTGCCACAACAACTATCACCGCTCAGTTGTTGAGAGGCCCGTTCCATTACTTTCCAACGTAATATTCTACTGTTTCTAAATCTGCTTCTATCTTAGGAAAAACCTGACCGGAACACGTATTCTTACAACCGGAAAGCTCAGCAATCGGATAGCTTAGCATAGCTTAGCAGTAAGGCTGGAAGCAGGCTAAAAGCTGGCCTATGACATCTAATAATGTAATGTAATGTGGCTCATGTTGGAGTATAACTTGTCTGAGGGCGGTTAATACTCTGAGGCATCATTTTGTAGTTTCAGAGGAGCTCGTAGAGAAATGTTTTTTCTAAAGTGGGGCACGGCAATTTTTTTTATTTATAACACCCTCCTGTTCAATTTTACTCACTTTCAAACCCATCTGCGCAGTCCTCTTTGTCTAGGGTATTAATGGCAAGTGAAATGTATGAAATCACTGACCAGTTCATATTTGCTGCTTTTTAGTCTCAATAAAAACCGCAGAGTAATGAAGTTTTTTGCACACGAGTAAACTGATGAGCCCTGCGTCTGTGTAAGAGGTGACGGGCGATGGACTGACAGTGGCGGAATCGACAGATTGCAGCACTGATGGAGGCCAGATGTCCGATCGGCTGGTCAAGCATCCTCGGGCTCATGTGCCGTCTGTGTTCAATATGCGGTTCCACTCAGACAGTTCTTCAGGCCTGACGTCAATGCTCAGTGTTGTGTTTACACTTTTCACTGCTCCCGCTGTTAACCCCTGAAGGCTCTGGGATATGTCTTCTTCCCTCTCGGCCCTTTAAAGGTCGCATTCATTGTAAACAAGCGCTGGGGAAAAAACAAAAACCCTCACATTCTTGTGTGAACTGGGTTATGGTTTCCAGTAATGTTTCATAGGAATTGGCCTATTTATACTTGGAGCTTTCGTCGTGGAGATGTGAGATAGTTTCAGTGTGCCGGTCACAGATTCACTCTCAGGCGTCTTTGAGTTGAGCTCCACAAAAAGGCTGAGGCTTGTTATGGAGAAAACGGCTGATTTAAGTGTGGGCATCATTGGATTCCCAGCGGTGTCACCGGTATGTTTGGATGTAGCTCACACACAGTCGAGCAGTTTGTTATGATGTGTGATCATGACGGCTACTTTGGTTTTGCACTGACCAACGCTTGCTTGTCCTTTCTGAATAGGACAGAGAGCTGCGTCCAGAGGAAATGGATGGTAAGTTTATTTTTCTTTAATCTTCCCAGTCTCTTTACTCAAGTGAAGGCTATTTTTTTTATTATCAAACAACAAAAGTTTGTCAATGTGCTTTGAAGAACAAATATAAATGCAAAATTAAATTATTTCATCACATGGTGCCATAATTTCAATACTTATGGGCCAAGGAACAATTAAACTGCTAAACATATACCTGTTGTTGCTCTACAGAGTTGCGGGACGCTTTCAAAGAGTTTGACAAGGACAAGGATGGTTTCATCAGCTGTAAAGACCTTGGAAATTGTATGAGAACTATGGGATACATGCCCACTGAAATGGAGCTGATTGAACTGAGTCAACAGATAAACATGAACTGTAAGGACTTACCTTGTATTCAAATCTAATGCATATAGTTGCATCCTGTGTATTGTGATTTGATATCCTGTGCCCGAAATCTCTTTTTCTCAAGTGGGAGGTCATGTTGATTTTGAGGATTTTGTAGAGTTGATGGGCCCCAAACTCCTCGCCGAAACGGCCGACATGATTGGAATAAAAGAGTTGAAAGACGCGTTTAGAGAGGTAAGAGTGTCTGGATTTGAAGTCAGCCAGCTGCTCTGCGAAACAATGGGTCTTGTGAGATTTTAACTAATTGCATTTCCATGTTTAATGTTGTTTACCTGCTTTTTGCTTTCAGTTTGACACTAATGGAGATGGTGCCATAAGCACATCTGAGCTCCGAGATGCGATGAGGAAATTATTGGGCCAGCAGGTAAGAGTTGGATCGGAAAGAGAAAACAAAGTGTCTCTGATTTATTCATTAATGGATACACAATGTGTGTGGCGTGCCAGTAAGTGCTGCCAACTCATTTTTTACAGGTGGGTCTGAAGGAAGTAGAAGATATCCTGAGGGATGTTGACCTGAATGGTGACGGCCTTGTCGACTTTGAAGGTAAATCCTAATCTAAATCTGAATCTATTAACTATTTATTTAAGGTTTCTTGTAAAGTTCACTGTCATTATCCTTCTCTCTCTTTACAGAATTTGTTCGAATGATGTCTCGCTAAGATCATGAAATGAGCGGTTCTGAATGTGAAGCTGTGTCCTTCTCCATACTTGACCAAGAACAACAGAGGACAGGCTTAGATCTCTGAGCTATTCGATTCTGAATAACACTGGAATTAAAACTCCTCGAATGTTGTGGAGCAAGGAGTCACCCCACACTTTCAATCAGTGTTCAAGTGTTCTTCCTGAAAAGTCTCCAGTTCAACTGAGGCCAAATTAGCTGTAGCCTAGCTGGTGATTGTCCAACTTGTGTTTTTGCACTTTAATTCTCACTAAATAACTGTGCGGATACATTGCTGGTGTGTCTTCTCATCTTCTACGTGGGGAAAAAATAGGTCTTGCAAAATGTTGCAACAAAGTCAGGATGTGAGAGGGGATTCCTGTAGAAAATATGTAAAAGATCAGTCCACTGTTCAAGTTATGTTTTCACACAGTATGTGTTGTATTAGAAATTGTAAGTGGAATGTCATTTGTGTGACATCGGTGCTCCAACCAGGAACACATGTGGCAATATAGCACCTGTATTGTGGCTGTGTGACCATCTGTGGTTTCTCACTGTGCAAGTCAAGTCCTATAAAAATGTCACTGTCAGACAAAAACATGCAACAACGAAGCAGATCTCTGATATTGAACTCTGAAACGCATTTCATGTATGTTATTCGCTACAATAGATCAGGGGTATTGTTTGTTGCCTTTTCAAAGATACCACGGTGGTAAGTAAGTGCTCACGGTTTGGAATGTTTAATGTAGCTTTTGGAACAAGTGATCTTTTAAAAAACCCATACTACCCCGTCTGAGATCACACAGTAGGAATGACGTATGTGAACAGGACTTGTAGTGGATGTGATTGTGTCGTACCTGGACTGTTTGTCAGTGTCAATATGATTGTAGTTGTGGTAACTTTCCACACCTCTGTGTTGTCGAAAGCAATGTTCATGCATGCCAAAGAGAAAATGTGTTAAAATTCTGTATGGAGATTTGCATTTTTGTCAAACAAGTAAATAAAACATTTCCAGAAGGTAAAAATATTTACATTTGAGCCCCTGTTTCCGTGGTGATTTTGACAACAGCTTGTTTTGGTAAAAACCTAAAATAGCATGCTAGACTTCTTAATCTGTAAAGGTTTCTGCTGTATATAAGGCTTATATGAAATGGTCCTTCTCAGTATATTTGTGCTGTCACTGCATGTCCTGGGTTCAAACCTACTTAAGATATATATTATTCATACAAATCTCGCTGGACAAATCTTAACCTGTAGAATCAAAACTCTGCAAATCATCACATTGTAATAACGGCAAGTATCTGTGCTGTGTCCCTGCGTGACCATTGATTCATTTTGCTTTCGTTATTCAAGCTCAAAACATTTATTAGTCACATATATTACTAAAGAAACATCAAAGCAAACATAAAATGTAGGAATATCATATCATAAAAGAAACCTTGATGTATTTGGGAGGCAGTGGCTATTGCATAATATACATAATTGTCCTTGTGACAACTGCAGTCATTTTATTTCTCTGTTTTTTCCAGCTAACACTATTCAAACACTACAGTAAAAGATAAAATGATATAACACTAAAGTAATCAGTGCAATCCATCCATTTCATGTCAAAAAATGTGAGGAGATTTTTGCAGGCACAGCAAAACCCACGAACCCCAGAACTGCTGGATTTCATATTGCCTGTTAAAGAACATTGGACGATAAAGAATCAACAGAAATATGCCCATTCGCTCATGTAAAGCACCTCCTGGGAACATTTAGACTTTTAAAGAGTATGCCACAAATTTTGCAGATATTTGCACCACAAACAAACGATTTAACTACACAAGGGTTGCGCGTGTTTCCTTTCAAGGGTGGTCGCCATTCAAAGGTATGTTAAACAAATAGATATTTTTCTTTTAACCTGACACGGCGTCATGTTGAAATGAAATCTAATGAACCCCGATGTCATCTATGTAGGTATTGCTGTTGCCATAGCAATTCTCATTCGGTCCTATCCGGGGAACTGACGAGTGCACCGTGTGCGCGCTGCGTTGGACTCCTGTGATTGGACGAGACTCGGACCATACCATACCGGAAAGAGGGGGCGTGGATACTTCTTAAAGAGCGCGGGTGATATTCTTATAGCCCAACAGATCTGTCCTTTTTTAAGCTCCTCGATTACGGTATCAGACATGATGGATGTCTTGCATGTGGTTACCAGTGTGAGCAGGACATCTTAACAACTCACACTCTTATAGGTTTGGATTGATCGAACGAATAGACCGGTGTGATAAATAATGCAAGGGCAATCAACATGGAACATAGCAGAATTTCCCCTATTTCAGCATATCGGTGATTCAATTTAAGTTCAGTTGTTGACGTTGACTCGGGCTTGCTGCGGCCTAGATCTACATTTACATCGCACGTCACGATATGAAATGGTGTTAAATAGTTCAGGAACCCTTAACGGGACCGTGTGATTGGACGCGGCATGTGTCACTCATTGGCCGTGGGAACCCTACGGTTGGGCAGCTCTGCTCCGCCTCCTTCGAACTGGCAGCCGCTGAAGCTAGCAGCAGAGCAACTGTTACTTCGGATGCACACATTGAATGAAAGTCGCTGTGACGTTAGCAGGCGGTTGCCACCAGCAACTGGGAATATCTCCTCGCCGTTCAATTGTTTTATCCAGGCACTTGGTGCGACTGTATTAGCAGAGATTATTTTACACGTTGGCAAGACTCGGGCTCAGGGCATTTGTGGAAGGGGAAGGTAAGAGACGTTTGTATGAACGTTGGCCGGGCTCTCGTAGACCTAGTATTTCTGGTTAGACAGGTAGGTTAGCTAGCTAGCCTACCGACCAACGTTACTCGCTGCGAATTCCCCGTTGTCTTCTAGTATGTGATAATTAAAAAGCAAGCTGTGCGTCGTGAATAATCGCGTGTTTCCACTGTTACTTCCTGTGTCGCTGTGTGCTCGCGCTCTGCCGGGTATCAGTTAACGTTAGCACGTCGGCTAACGTTAGATATCATGTTGCATGTCCTCGTCCAAGACGAGCTGGCTAGCTCCGTATGCTAGCTAAACGCGTATGTGGTAAATTTCACATGTGTGGGGGGGGGGGGGGTCACTTCCGTAAAAGCAACTGTGCCAGTTACTGTGTGCTGCTAGCAAGCCGAAACCGACGCTGTCTTGTCTCTTGTGTCTAGGACCGTCGCCTGTGTGTGGCAATGCAGCGGCTCACGGCGCAGCTCGTCGCCGGTCTGGTCGCGGCGGTGCTGTCGCTGCTGGCGGAGCGGTGCTGGGCGGACGGCGGGGGCCTCAGCCTGGCCGAACGGGTTATATGGGCTGTAAATTGTGGCGGTGAATCGCACGTGGACGTGCACGGTATTCATTTCAAAAAGGACCCGCTGGAAGGAAAGCTTGGTAAAGGTGAGTAGACGTCAACTGCGGTTAACCGATGATGTGTGAATACGCGTGTGCTGCAAGGTTTCACCTGTGAGGTGTTGCAGAGAGGGGGGGGGAGGGGCATTGTGAAGGTAAAATCACTTCCCAGCAGTATACATTCTGCTCGGTGTGGCTAATGAGGTGTCAGCATATAGGGCCACAGCTCCGCCCCTGTCAGTATGTAGAGGAAGCAGGTGATTGGCTCTAGAGTCGTTCTTGGCTTCAGTTAAGAGCCACAGATAAGGTAATTGAAAGGGGTGAACCCATTCTTGTAACTTGCCATTCCAGACAGAAGGCCACTGCATTTCCACGAGTGCCGTAAAAGGTCAGCGCTTGTGCAATGTGTGGCTCTGCTTGACCTCAAACATGATCATCTTTTCCCAACAATGCAGCGTTTGATTTATTCTCCTGTGAGCAAAGTGCACACCGACTGAACCTGATGCTGTCCTCCTTTTTTAGCATCTGATTATGGGGTGCGTCTGCCAATACTGCGCTCCAGTACAGAGGACCAGATTCTGTATCAGACAGAGCGCTACAATGAGGACACTTTTGGATATGATATCCCTATACGTGAGGAAGGAGACTATATACTTGTTATGAAGTATGCAGAAGTTTACTTCGCCCAGTCACAGCAAAAGGTATGGGTATTAATAAACTGTCCAGTGTAAATTAAATGAATCAAAAAATGTCTGTACAGTTTGAATAGACCGTGTATATTAGTATAACAGTATACCATTGTCTTCAAACAGTATTCTGAGAGCTGATTGTCTACTCTGCTCTGGCCAACATGAATGTTAAGCAGTGTGTGGATTAGCTGCTAATCATTTATTGACATGGGTGTATGTTTGGCTTTTTTTCTAGGTGTTTGACGTCCGTCTAAACACCCATGTGGTGGTAAAGGACCTGGATATCTTTGAGCGGGTCGGTCACAGTACCGCTCACGATGAGATCGTGTCCTTTTCGATTAGACGGGGCAAGCTGAGTGTGCAAGGAGAGGTGTCCACTTTTAACGGCAAGCTCACTGTGGAGTTTGTAAAGGTGAGTTATTAATCCATATCATGTTGTGACGACCATGTTTCGACAGTGGTTTCTTTAAAAGAAAAGGCTTATCAAGTGTCAATGGTATTGATGAAATTCACATGCTTTGTTTTTGTAAGTTATTCAACCCCACTTGTATAGAAGTGCTTTCCCAGTAAGTCTAATGTTTATTATTTATAGGGAATTGATTTTATTTTGATAATGAGTATGTGTCATATACAGCTGCTGGAAGGATAACCATTACACAAATATTGTTACTTTATATTAAAGTTATATTAATATGGATTAGGTCTGTCCTACAAATAACTACAGTAATTGAAAGAATTGATAGTTACAACATTTAAAGCAATAGTTGCCATTTTGGTGAGTACAATTATTCTTTTTCTTGCTGAAGGAAAAATGAAAAGCTTGACATCCCTTTCCTGTCTAAATATGAAGTTAACTCATGTAAGAGTTTCCCATGTTCAACTATTCCTTTTTGGTAGGATCGCATGGTAAATGAACGTTAGAACTTGTATTGCAAAGGGACTCTTATTCAAAACAACATGTAAAATCGACACCACATTTCCATAATGAACTCTATGGCTGAAAGGGCTTTTGCCAGCCCGGTGGGGGCGGGGGGTGTGTGTGTGTGTGTCAGGCAATGGTTGCACATCTGGTTTTTCTTTTTTCTTTCTTATGCAGTGCAGCAATTAACTTTTTCTCTTTAGTTCTCCCAAGACTCCCACAATCTGATTATGCTTTTTATATTTCCATATTTCATTTACCCTTTCTCAAGTTGGTGTTCGCTTGTCTGACTGGTATTTGCCATCATTTAGAAGAGGGCATTCCAATGTGCAAAAGGCTGTTGCCTGGCTTTAAATGATCTGTGAGGTCCATTAATCTACCGCCCAAAACTAATAAAAAGGGCCTCTTATCTATTGCTTTCATCGTAATGATGTTCACTCTTTTATTCTCTGGTAACACATTGAACTTGTGTTGATGAGGTGCATTATCAAACTTCTGCATTTTAGACACTAACCATCTATCAAAAACCATATCTATATTACACTTCCCTTTTTTTGTAATCTATGCAATCAATACAGAACCATGAGACCCTTCATTAGTGTGACCATTGGCATCGATTAGTGAGAGTGGTGATGGATTTCGGAGGGTGGATGACTTGCGTATCAGCATGAGTTGTATTTCTCCTCCTGCATAACCTGCTACAAATGCCCATGCCTATATCGGGAAAACTAACTAAAATTAAACTTGTAAATGTTTTAATATTGAGTGTGTGTTTGCATCTGTCTTGTTTAACTTCAAATATTTGTTTTAGACCATCCACTTGTTCAGCAGAAATCCATGGAACCACTGTAATAGATTTATACAAAAATTGAAACAAAGAAAGGACAATATGATTAATTTTATGTCAAATCAATCGCTTAATTAAATAGTTGTAGTACAGCCATTGTGTCTTTGTGGGGGGGGATTGTAGACAATCTCCACAGACGAGATGTATCAGGACTGTTTGCTGTAAAGTGACCCGACTTACAATTGACTGTTTCAGGGTTATTATGACAACCCCAAGGTCTGCGCTCTCTATGTGATGAAGGGGACATTAGAAGGTAAGTACTGAGACTGCTGACATACCTGTTAGCGTGTTGTGTTGCTCAACACATGTACTGATTCCGGGAAGGAATGATGAACAAAACTCTTCTACGTTTCAATGAAAGGAGACAAAAAAAATACTGCACATTATGTAGCGAACACATCTTATTAAATCTCGATGACAACATAAATACACATATCAGCTGCTTATGACCTCGCAACAAGCAATCCAACCGAAAATAACGAGGTAAGATTTGTGCTACGGTTTATGCTACCAGTTAGATAGCGTTACAGTTTTTTTGGAATGTCATCCTATGCATTTACCATTTATTTATTCATGTCCACATTCATTTCTGGGCGGCTTAGGTTGCGTTTTTACAACAATAATGGGAGGATGGAGAAAGCTAACACAGCACTTTGTTGTAAAAGCGTTACCATGCGCTTTAAAACCATTTGTGGATTTATTTTTATATAATTTGGCCAAACTTCCAATTACACTTTTTTTCACCGGACAGATGTGCCAAAGCTCCAGCCTCACCCTGGCTTGGAGAAGCCAGATGAAGAGGAGGATGAAGAGGAGGACAGTGAGCCCGGCGAGGAAGGCGGGAAGAAAAAGGTCCCGGCAGGTTCCAAGACCAGGGTCCAGTCAGGGCCCCGGACACCGAACCCGTACGCAGCCGACAACAGCAGCCTGATGTTCCCCATCCTCGTGGCGTTCGGGGTCTTCATCCCCACACTGTTCTGCCTCTGTCGGCTGTGAGCCACAACCAGCGGTCGAGGGGACGGAGTGATGCTTTGGAGCCAGGGCATGGGGGTTGTGGGTGGGGGGTTGGGGGACGACCAGGTGGCAACAGCAGCACAGGTAAAGGCGCACAGGGGAGAGAAAACTCTGAGAACATCTTGACAAAGGAGGACAAAAAGAGACAATAACTTTTGGGAAAGCAGCTTTGCGGCGACGCAAAATCTTCGGTTGAATTCTGCCGCCAATGTAGGAAGCGGGTGCTCCTTTGTGAATGTTTATTTCGCATCCACCTCTGCTGACGGTTTTGATGTTATTCATTTTCCGTCAGACTGTGTGGGATTTTCAGATGCTGATCTTCACGGTTTGAAACCACATTTCAGCGAGTGAGAGATGCTCGGGAGTGATGCGTCTGGGCCCTTTTCTAAACTAAAAGCATTGTTTTCTACTGGGTGGGGGGTAGCAAGCGCCCTCCGTTTTACTCTCCTGCGTCTGGTCAGACGTGATCCCTAAAATTAGAAACGGTGCTGCTTAGAAATTGGTTGAATATTTAGTGGAAATACAGTTGCCATTTAAGAGGCCTCCATTTTTGTCAACTTGTCGCATTTCTGTGTCTTTCTACTTCGATCTAGTCGGTCCATTGACGTGCCATCATCTTCTTGCCATAAGTTTTGAAAAAAAAGAACAAATCAGCTCTGTTGCTGGCGGGATTATTTGCTGTCTAAATTGGTTTGCCTTTCTACAGTCCTTTTTTCAGGGGGTGCAAAATCTGTTTTGTGAAAACGCATGATATTATTTGTCATTGTTCCATCAAACTCGAGGCCATTCGACGTGTCTTCAACAGTCAACCCAAACTCTTTTGTACTTTAGCTTTTTCAAGAAAGGATCCATTTTAAAGTTCAAACATTAGTTTCTTTATGTAAGAGACACACAAGTTTATGCTGAAGCTTAAGTGAGTAAGTCTTTACATTACTCTGTAATCTGTGAGCTTTTGTTCTTTAATCATTAGACCCGCCGCTTTGTTTCACCAAAGAATGTCTTTTTTCAAATTTGTTAGGAAAATATCTTGGTGGCCTGTTTTAATTTGACAAACCTCTTGTAAAATACAAGTTTGGGAGGGTTCTGTGGCAGGTGGTTAAAATTGGCTACATGTGGACATACTCTACCCCCAATATATTCAGATTGAACCCATATAGAGCAATAGGGTTGGCTGCATTTTATATTGGGGGCTAACCAGGTGGATGGTATTATTTTTAAATGTAATTTACAGATTTCTGTATTTAATTTCATTTTGCTGTGTTGACTCTGATGGGCCATGAACATCCTTCCTTCATGTTATTTGAAACCGAGAGAACAGGCGTCTGCTGCTCCATGTTGATGTAATAAACCGTGAAGAATCTGTGCTAGTCAATTACACGCGTGTCACACATCCCTAAAGTTGCTCTGTGCGTTACCAGAAGTTCATCCACGTAGTCACAGATGAGACGGCGCAACATGATTGGAAATAGAAAATCAAATGTTTAATGATTTTTAAAAACAATTAATTGCATTTTCCAAAATCTTTACTCTTTTAATACTGTCTTCAAACCTTCTTAATGTTTTTTTTGTGCAATTAAGCTACTGGCCCTTAAACAGATGGAGGAGACATTATCAGAGTCTGGGACAATGATGTCCCCTTTTTTTGCTTTCAATGAGGTCTGAAAAGCAGCTTTGTTCTTCCGTTCACTGGCGTTGTGTTGTGAAGCCTCCTGTTTATGTATCTAGTTACATCCCATAAGTGCTTAGCTCGACCCCCCCTCCCCCAAGGAGGATTCTGTAACTTTCCCCCAACAAACCCTGCCTGTAGCAGCGTTGCCATGTGCAGCTTAATAATTAATAATTCATGGGTCCTTCTCGATTCTGCTTCCCATTTTGATTGATGGTGAGCAAGAAGTAAATGCCAATCGTTTGTGTTTAGAATTTTGTTCTCCTTGATTTTTATTTTTTAAGATTTAAACGTAACACATTTAAGACATAAGCACCTTTTTTAGGGGTGGATTTCCTCTGAAAAGATGCAAAATTGTTTTAATTCAGCACCAAAGTCCTTGTGTTCTGCCGGTCCACACAGCTGCGTGTGTATATAAGGTACTGAAGCACACTCCAATAGTGTGGCGGCCGCTTTGCTCTCCTCACTTTTGTGCCGTCGTTGAGGTTCAAGGATTTCTTTGATGATCTCTTCATGATGACTTTGTGGCCTTTCGTCTGGAGGAGGAACACTTGCTGGTACAGAGCATACACATTTTTAGGCACTGTCTGATGAACTGTCAGTCAAATAAATTCTTTGTCTGAAAATATGAGATCTTCCATTCTATATATATTTAAAAACATCAGAGCGGAGCTGATCTGGAGATATTTTATAATACGCTTGGATTTGTATGTTTTTGAGTTTGTTTGTTTTTTCTTCCTCAGGATCTATTTTGTTTGGAGTTTTTGAAACTTGATATTTTATTGGTGTGACATTTTGCACTGCCTCGTGTATTTCAAAATTATGTATTTTGTGTGTGTCTTTTGCCTTGAATTATTGAATACATTGTGCTTTACTATCATTTGCCTTGAGGTTACTCTTCTGATGGATTGTATCAGATTGGCTCCGCCCCCTCTTTTAAAACACTTTTCCCGGCTCTATTACACTTAAAACACCTCTTGTATTGAGGGATTTCTGTAAGGAATCATAAACATCAACTTTTTATTTTTGTGCGCAAACCCAGTAAAAACCAAATGGATCAGGATTGTAAAATTCTTTTGTGAGCCACTTGTTTCCCTCTTTAGCACCTCCCTCGCCTGTGTTTACCTGTTACTGTCATCACATCTCCTACTTGAATGAATGAAAGTGGAAAGAAGCTCTACTCTTTTTTTTTTCCCCCACATAAGAGACAAAGAATTTCCAACGTTGCATCATAATTTTCCAGCGGTCATCTGACGGAACGATAAAGGTCTTTCATCTATTTTTGCTTGTCTAGTAAAGCAGTGAATAAGCATGAGGACCAAAACCTACAAGTTGTAATCTGATTTTCTTTTTGTCACCATCTTTTTTTTCATTTTCTTAGCAACTGAACATAAGAGGAATTTAAATTGGCCGTCGTCCAGGCCGCTGACCACACACACATTGACGTCTGAAAGCCAGTGATCACACAGTGCGAGTGTGCACTTACACGTGTCACCCTGTACACATACATGTTGGATATATTAGTGCTCCTCCAGGGACTGTAGGCAGCAGCAGGTGGACTGTGAAATGTACTCGAGACCCCTGATCTTACGCTGATGTGGCATATATAAAATGGGAAAGTATGATAAATGCTGCCTCTTTTTAATAAATGTGCTATTTTATCAGAATGTGGTGCTGCTGTTCTTCCACATTTCCCGTTGAGCATTAGTCCAATATATTTCCTGACTGATGAACGAGAGCTGTTGCAGCTAAGTTCAGCACGTCCATGCCCCCTTTGTTTGTCCAGGTGCGATTTCTCCACCTTTACCCACAAACCTCTTTAAATAAAACTACATATCTGAAAGGCATTGGGACCAGTGTCCAAACAAGGACCACGGACAGAATCATGTCCACCAACACTTGTCACAAGGCATCGTTAGATCAAGCTTTAATAACCAAAGAACTCCATAAAGATACAGTATATCATATTGACTATTAACATATATATTTTACAAAAAAATTACATTTATAAATTAATAGATTTGAAGTTGAAGTGCATCATTCAGCTGTAAGCTCCGAGGCTTTTCGGTTGGAAAACAGATTCCCCCGATGGAAACGTCTGGTCCCAGTTTGACTTCACCTGTAGTACAGAGCCACGAAGGGTGTGTGCAAGAGGTGAACGCCGCCCGTTCCACAGGACACCCGCGCTGAAGCCTGACTGCAGCCCAGGATCAGGCCCAGCTCCAGTGCAGGCAGCGCGCTGGCCACCCCATCCCCCAACACATTGGCATCAGTGTCCTGCAGAGCCCCGGAAGCAGGCCTTTCTCCTGGTGGATGCCTCCGGGAAGAAAAGGCCGTCCGCCGCATGTTTTCCAGGCTGGGAACTCCGACACCGCCCTGTTTCACATTCTGGAAAAGCAACAGCAGATCTACTCTCAGCTCCACCGTGTTGCCCTTTGACCCCGAGCTGTACCTGAAGGAAGGGAAAGACAACAGGGTTACGACCAGGCCTGACTATCCCAGAGGCCTTAGGTCTCACAACTGCTTGGCGTCTTTAAAAGGCTTTGGGACAGATATGGAGAATTTGCGTAGAAGTAAAGCTCTCGGTAAGCGTGGACCTTTACCTTGTCGGTAGGTCCTGCTTTGCCAGGGATGAAAGCACAGGATAGATATCCAAATGTTGAGGGTTGGACAGTTGGAGGTGGAGCTCGGCTCTTGTGATAGTCAACGACAAAACCTCCCTGGTGAGGAAGAACTCCACATCTGTGCCTAAGGGGGAGACAGAGAGAAAAAGGGGGTCAGAATTCTGCCGGAGGCCCAGTGCAGTTTAGGATGGATCATTTGGTGTCACATAGCAACAGAGACCCACTCTGGGCCGGGCATGCAGAATCCCATGATTATAGTAGAATCTTAACCACAGAAATGTGCTTTTCACTCATAATACCGTCTTAATCTGTCAGCGGGAAATTTCAACACAGGACATAAGACTCATTTGTACGCAGGACATGGCCCTCGATACAGTCGCATTAATCATGTAATTAATGTCCTCCAAGCTGCTTTTAGCTTAACCACACCAGCTTTCACTTCTAGCTGCCTACTCACATCGCCATCCTCTCTGCATGTGAGCTGGATCGGCAATGGACATTTTAGCATAGCCCTCTTGATGGCTGTTGTCCATCGGCCTGCAGGCATTTTGTGGAGACGCAGGTTTTAATGTTGCATTGAGCAACATTAGGTGGAATTAAACCACTTAACCTTATTTAATGTTTCGGGGGTTTAGGCCAGGCATCCACTGGCCTAAACCCCCAGTGCACAAACCACCACAGTTCTAGACCCTCGGAAGATAAAGTGAGTCATGACATGGTGTGTGTTCAGGAACATCTACTGGGCCTTACCTCCTCTCAATCGACCTTGAATTCCTTTTACGTTTCTGCAGTTTACTCCTTCTTGACAGCAGTGGTAAACGCGTCGGACAAAGCTGAAGAGAGGTTTTCCGGGGAAAACAGAGTACCGGGAGGCTCTCGGGGAAAAGGGCCGAAAGCGGAGCTGCAACAGCGTTGCATTATCCTCGGGAGCTCGTGCGTTTTGCAGCCAAGGCGCCGCCAGCTCCAAGCAGCGCTCCAGGTGCGTCTCCGCGACGCCGCGCCTCCAGCGCCCCGACGCGTCCGCGCGTAAACTTAGTCCGGAGGATTCCGCTGGAGTTTGCGGGGAATGTGACACAAATCCCAGCTTTTCTACAGCCCGACCAAATACTCCAGTGTGCCTTGCCATCGCCGAGAGAAGAAATAGAGCGATCCAAACGCGGTGCGAGAAGGCCATGGCGAGGTGTCCTGTTCACTGGTGGATGGGGGGCAGCTCCTCTGTTGGGCCAACGCGCTCTCCCTCTCTGTGCTATATACCCCATGGGACAATGGAGACATCTTAACACTTTGAATTTGAATCCCGACCGTCCTCGGAGACCCTGCCCCTCTTTTTTTGTTCGAGCCCTTAACCACCCATTTGCCAACCCACCCCCCAATGCTTGCTTTTAATGCGCCTGCATAATGAGGCGCCCCAAAGAGCGCCGACCCCGGCCATTCAGATTCAGCGACTCGGCTAATGACTCTAATGACTCCAGATCTGGAACATCAAGAGCCGCTTACTTACGGCACATATAGCTCACAAGCTTTCGCACAGAACATGAATAATAATATTTTGTGACCATGTGTTTGGCTTTGCAAATGGGGTTTGCGCACGTCCCTCTTTGGACTAGTTGCAACCATTTGAAACGAGGCATTGAGCCCGAGAGGGGTTGGTGGGGGGCAATGGGTCGGCTTGCAGGGGCACATGCAGGCCGCTGATGGACCTAATAAGGCCGTGTAGCCCCTGCGGTTTTAAACAAGCAAACAACAAAAGTAGCTCACAAGACTCAGAACTGAGAGGATCATGTATTCATTTAATTCCCACTAATAATGCGTACAGCATATCACAGAGGACTGTTTATTAGAAAGCATCAGGACACTGAAATGTTTAACAAATGACACTTTTAATGGAAAGAAAAATTGAATTGCAAAAGACTTAATTTTTTTATGTTACCAAAGACTTCATTTCAAATAAATTATCTTTATAAAATCTATTTTTGGATCATGTATATACATTTGTCAACAACAAGTTGCTGTGTGTGCGCTTTTGGAAGTACGGTGATAAACAAATGAAGTTAAATAATATGAAGATCCTAACCAGGCTCTAGTCAAAACGTCCAATTAAATAATAAATACAAGTAAGAGGAACTTTAACATTTGCTTTAGAGGGCGAAAGGAGACACCTGGAAAATGAAAAGTTTGCAACATGTGTCCAGTGTTTTAACAAGAACTTAATATGGAAAAAGATACAACGGGTTTGAGCATAACGGAAAAAACAGGGATGAAAACTGACAAACCTTGTTTTTAACTAAAATTAATCTACATAACTTAACCAACCATCCTGATATTCACAGTTCTAATAGAAATTTAGAAAAGGCAAAGCTCGGTTGTGAGTGCCAAATGGTTCACCGCACATACCACACAGAGGCTAACATTATACAACCACAGCAGCCAAAAAAACAGACTAAGACTTAAGTCCTCTGATTTGGTCCTTGGATTTTAAAGGTTACTCACAGGGCAGCTTTTCATATCTTAAGTACAGCAGACGGGGCGGCGCTGTCCCGTCAGATCAGGTTGACCCCGTGTTTCAGCAGCCGGTGCCGTGCCTTGCCGGGAAGCGAGAAAGCACTGTCCTGGTGGTTAGGGATGCCGGAGTTCCTCAGCGATCCCCCGTGCTGCTGGAAGTAAGTTTCCTGGGCCACGCTGCGGGTTCCGTACACAGCAGCTCCAGCACTCCTGCGGTGAAAATGTCACATTTACATCTCCAGCTCGTAGGATGAAGACGCGCTACACAAGAGCGCAAAGTGACATAGAAATAAAAAAAAACATTGGAACTTTCCCCTCCACCAGACGGGAGTGGTTTGGAGTGTGATCGAGAGCGGAAAAAACATTTAGGAATTGGTGGAATGCGATGACGGACAAGACAAATTGACAGATCCAACCCCCCTCCCCCGACTTCTACTTGAGGAGCGATGAAAGGCACGAGAACAACCCCCCCGCCGCCCCCCTTCCCTCAAACCACCACCATCAAGTCACTGCTGTACTGACCTGATAATAGCCTCCTGCAGAGTTTCAGTGTTACAGAAATGGGAGTGAAGAAGTGATGTGGCTCTCACAAAAGGCCGCTGCAGGGCTCCCCCCGGTCGAGCAGACAGGTTGGCTGCAGTGACACACAATAACAGGAGACTCAGTCCTGCAGAGGCACGTTAACCTGGACATAAGTGCCTGGTGCACAAAGGAATGCTGATCACCGTCGTACTAATTAGCAGTTGGTTCATGCAAAGACAAATATAAATTACCGCCTCCCCACTCCCCTACTCCCCCTATTCCCCAGGTAGAGGTGGTGGGCAGAAGGTGCTCACTTTAGAATGAAAGTGGGGAAACTAGGAGAGACAAATATTAGGAATGTTTAAAAAGATGCAAAGTCAGTTAAGATCACAAAAGAGACAAAGAATAAAAAGAGCCTCACTTGTCAGCGTGCTCTGAACGCAGTCAAAGTGGGCAAATAAATAGGGTCCTTGAGGGCCCGATGCCCCTGGAGAGACGGTCCTCAGATGGGCCTCCAGTCCATTGAGAGACGCCAGGCTGCTGTGATACTGGATGCAAACCATAGAGGAAGAGCCACATGTTAGCATCGCAAAGCAAGACGTGACCCCCCTGTACACACTGGAACGTGTGTCATGAAGCTTCTTTCTGGTGTGCTCTTAAAGAGAACCAAAAAAAAAAAAACTTAACTGTCAGCATGACAAAAATGAGCAAAATCATTATCACGGTTCCTGTTTCTCACCACTTCCTCCATCGAATCGGTGTCACTCAGGAAGCACGGCTCCACCAGCAGGGCCAGCACCAAGCCTTTGACCCGGTGCAGGTACAGCGTCATGGGAATCAGCGGACTGTCGTCGGAGCGAGCCGGATCGGGGCTCTCTGCCCCTCGGCCCTGAACGTTCCCACAGCCGCCTCCACTGACCTCTTCGAAAACGTTGTGGTCGCGCGACTCCTCCGCCCCTCTGAAGTCAAACACTGGCCCGCGGGCCGCGTCTCCATCTCCCCCGCCTCCATTTAAACGGGAGTCTTCTCCAAACAATGAGCCGCCTGCTTCGTTATGCATCTGACTGACTCCATTTCCGTTGCTGTGAAAACTTTCGTAATTGGACTCTTCCGGCACTTCCTCCTCCGCTTCAGGAGAGGGTTCTCCGTTTGAGAAAGGGGGGTCCGGCTGCTGGGGTGTCGGATCTGCGCCGCTCTGCGACGGATCTGGGCTGAACACAGAGCTGTCGGACAGGCGTCGACTGAAGGACGGGGAGGAAAACGCATCCGATGGCTCCGACTCAGTGGAGGGAGTGTTGGATAATGTTCTGGACAGGCGGGTCTTCCTTGTGGGTTTTTTTTTGTGGGGAGTAGAATGGGACCTGAAGGGTAGAAACCCATTTGAGAAGCTTAGAAAATTGCCACACGAAAAGGGCAGAAACTTAGCGAGGGAAGACCGCTACCTGAAATCTTTGTCGCCGGGGCCGGATTGCAGGTGCTGAAGTTCAGACACGGTCAGGAAGACGGTCGTGGAGCTGACGGCACCGCCAAATGAGTTGAAGGTACCCGGGTCGTTGCACCTCGGGCCCTGAAACAAAATGAGTACACTTAGGTGAGACTATTGACTGTTCGATTAAGTTCAACACTTTGTGTATGCTTATTGACCTTTTCTATTATTTAGCTAAACTGAAAAGGCAAAGCTAGTGATTGGTTTACTCCTTCAAATGCGAAATAGAAAACCTAACAAAGCATATAGGCCTTCCATCTTACCTTGGTGTATGTTTCACTCTCATGAACCATCACCTTCATTGTGAGCTCTGGAGATATCTGTGTGCTCACAACCCTGTGGGGAGAGGTCACAAAGGTGAGATTTCAAAACCTCTTATTTAAAAAAAAAAAAAAAAAAGATTTTTAAAAAGCTGTCGCGCCTGCAGGTGTGTACGGTCAAAATGTCCACTCACCGTCCCCGGAAAAGAACGCAGCCCGCTGAAACCAGAGGGCAGCGCTGACACGCCTGGAGAATGAGGGCCGCTTTGAGCAGGAGAAGTGGGTCAATCTGGGAACAACCACTCAAATTGTTACCGTTTAGTAAAGCAGGGACATGAGTAGGTGATGGATATAAAATTATGTAATATATATACGTTGGAATATACTATCTAAATCTATTCTCTAGCAGCAACGAATATGCAGAAAGTTTGGCAAGACGTACTGAAGACTTAAGCAATACTACAGAACATTGTGACATATTCATATCCTGTCTGCGAACATCTGTGTGTAGCTGCTGCTGTGACACCGTTATGTACGTACATTAGTTGCGTCGATTGTTCTCAAGCAGCTGAAGATGTGATGGAGGTCTGAGGATCCCGACTGCAGGTGTGAGAGGTACTGCGCCCATCGACTCGCCAGAGTTTCAGGCCTGTTAAGCTGCGTCGCAAAACAAGGCTGGAATTTAAATGTGCAACTTTCAAAATGACAAAAGTGCAATGAAAAATGTCAACTGAAATGTAGCCTAGTTTACATTATGTTGTTGGTCTACAACTTAATCTCAGGGGGACAAACCCCAAAAAGAAAACAGGGCTACTGTGGTACAAGACAACTAGGAAACCAAGTTGTGGACCTGGTAGCTCCTCCGGACAGAACCATTGTAGAAACGGAAGAGGTTTATCAGCTGATCCAGCAGCTCACAGACACTGATGGTGGGTACTTCCACTGGGCAGCCCAGAGCCTGGGAGCAAACATAAAGGTACCCACGAAATAAGGGTCAGAGGCAGAAACAGCTTGAGAAGTTTTGCAGCTGCACCACCTGTGTGCTCGCTCACCCAAAAAAAGTCATCTTTCATACGGATGGCAAACTTGTTGCGGCGCAGCCTCAGTACGCACACGGGGGAGGAGGAGAGTTCAGAGACGCAGCGGCCGGCGCCGGCCAGCTGACCACAGAGCAGCTCCTGCTCATCTAAAGGGGTCTGACAGAAACGAATGCAGAACTAAAAAAAACGCGAGTAGGAGTATGAACACAAAAAGAAGCATTGTGGGATCATCATCATCATCATCATGATCAACCAGACGTGTCACATGCAATCGTTTTTGGCAGTCAAACCTCTTCAGGGTAGAAGTAGCAGATTCCTTCTCTTGTGAGATCACCCTCTCCTTTGACTTTGGATCCATCGTAGAGGAAGAAATAAGTACACCTGCAAAATAGTTACAAACAAAAGGGTATAAAGGACTCATTGAATGGCCGAAAAAGTAAAAACGTTGCTGTCATAAGCTTCAGAGAAGTGTATTTGAATACCTGGGCATCGACTGGAGGATTATTTTCAGCTATTTCATTAACACGCCCTTGTTTCACTGAATCACTTTAGTCATATTCTTCCTATTAAAGGCCAAATGTCCCAAAACATATTGAAGCAACCGTGATAAACCAGCATATTTGATGTTGCAGGTGTAACAGAAATACGTGCCGTAGGTGGCTTCCCGTAAAGAAATGTGCATGTTTGGTGTAATAAGTCAATTCGTTGTTAGGGAACACAAAGAATGCACATTCAAAGATCAGAGCAGAGGGGAATGTTTACGTTTATTTAATCTGCACGCAGTCTCAGCTGATCTTACCTTCGTGAGTCCGGCTGCATGAGCTCAGTCATCACCAAGGCGAGCCCGCAGGGGGGGGGGGGCGCGATTCCACTCAGTTCATCAGTTATCTCACACGCATGTATTTCCTACCCGATGGACTGAAGAAGAAGAAGAAAAACCTGAAGGTTTTGGCTGCCACTCCCAAGTGAGATGTCAAATTCCGAGACTTGGAGAACACAAATGAGTGGAATGTTACAAACTACACACACACGCACACACAGATAGACGCGCGCGCGCGGCAATAGCAATGGGAAGTGTCGTCGCCCGCTGTTTGCGTTCAGTTGCTGCTAAACTCAGTCAGCTGGACAGAGTTAGCGCCACTTGAGGAATGCGGGTCGGTCACACGTCTTCAGTGGAAGTCATGTGAAAGTACGGCGAGCGGGGAAGGACAAACTAGTGGCCGTTAGGAAACGGTACACAAACAATAGAAACACGTTGTTTGGGGCGGGCTATGGGTCACAGTGCCCCCGAAACAACCCCGTTATGATTCAAAGTTACATCAACACTCCGCGACTTCAACATATTAATGCTTTATACTTTACTTTATCTGATTTTGGAGCAATGGATCACATGGTGTAATATGATCGTGTTTTCCATTCTGCTTCACGAGGATTAAACCGCAGCCCTTTAAATCATTCAAAAGAAAAGAAAACGCAGCCAGACATGCAGTTAATGTGCAGGAAATGTCAAAAGATATTGATAGTCCATCTCGCTCTGGAGCCATCGTGAATCCAATTCTCAACCATCGATTGAGGATGCCTTCAGGTATTGATGACGTAAGCGTGCGCGGCCCCGTCCGCGTTAAAATCATTTCATAGGGAGACGTTTGTCGGTCTGCGGTCGTTCCACCCAAAATATTAATCACTATCACTAATACCTAACGTGCCCAAACCTCCGTATAATTAACAGAGAGGGTCACCATGCTGCTGTTAAAGTCTTTAGGAGCAATATTCAACCAGATGATAAAGGGCAAAACATGTTTATGGTATATGATATAATTTACTGTGGTTCTAAATGTCACTTTTATGTTACACCACAGACCATTATTTTCGTCATGTTGGTCTTTACTAATACCCATGTATGGCATACTGTACTATGACTGTACTGGTATAATAGACAACATTTCATTTACTATGACTTTCTAAACAATGATTACTTTAAACAACTTATTTTTTGGTAACATGTTTTTATGGCATGCTTTAAAATGGCAAATTTGAGACGTTATTTCGTACTTCAAGTCAATTGATCGGGCTCTGCAGCTGATCAGATGGAGTTTCATACTTACATCACAGATTAATATCAACGTGTATTTGTATTTTCATTTATGTTTGATTGGTTGTCCGATTAACCATTTGGTTTAATATGTTCATTGTAGATCTGAACAACAAAACTATCACAAATATTTTCTCACAAACAATTATCTTATGATGAACCAAGGACATTTTCTCTATAGATATTGAAAGAAAGAATATAGAAAAACATTCCTCTTTAAAGAAATGGGCAAAAGCTGTTCCTGAATAGTTGGCTGACGTCAATCCAACTAAAATGTGTTTCTCTTCCTGTTTCACTTATGACGACAAAGGATTTGCAACCAAATAGGAAATATACTACGTTTAGTAATATAGATGGTCCTAATTTTCAGATGTGGATATAGTTACAAATCTTTAAATCCAATGTGTTAGAATAGACTAGAGTGTGTCAATGCACTCATTTCATAAGGAAATTCTTAGTGTCTCCACAGCGAGTCTCCATAAACTCTTAATATCATATGAGCAACTATCGTGGCACTGATGGTCTGCTGACTGCAGTGTTAGGCCCTCTGTGCTGCTGCATGTGTAGAGTTGCACAGTGCATTATGGCAACAATAAAAAGGACACGTATAAATGATAGAAGACATTGCTGCATCATTGCTGTTAACTCAACAGTTTATGTGACAAATGATGTGCAATGTGTTACAATTGCCAGCAAAAGGATAAATCAGACATTGTTTTAACATATTATAATAGTGAGACAAAACATTAATATTTCTTTGCAGGGTCACATCAGCTGCCTGTCAAGTAGTAAAATTTCTTTCTCCATCTTCCTCATTTTAAGTGCTCTGTATGCCATCTGTTGGTCACGGTTCTCTATCTCCTTCTTGAGGTAGCAGCAATAAAGGGCTCTTATATCTTCAGTATGTTTCTGCAAAAGAAATAAAAAAGACATTAGCTTATGTTGTCCTTATTCTTTGTCATTACCAAAAGAGATAAAACTCACCCCAGGACTTTTTTCATCAATTGGAGCACAAGCAGAGTCGTCTCTCCCCAGGAAGCAGCGAACATCCTTTGAAAAAAATGACATCTACATGTTAGAGTTACGTGTAGAAATAATATCCTCCAAAACCGTACTCTCATATTAGTATCAGGGAGAAAGTTTTTACCCCAGATTATGGTTGCAGTTTTTTTAACTTCAAGTTCAAGCCCTTTAGAAACCAAACATAACTAACCTTACATAATAAAAACATATAAATAGAAGAGCTAAAAGTCAGCAAATAAAGTAAAAGATTCCTCCTCCCGTATCAATAACAAAATACCTCCCAGAAAGCATAATTCACAATGCAATTTATTTTTATGGGGATGCTATTTTTTTGAGACAAACCGTGTCCAGAAACACTTACCCCTTCGAAATGAGTGTCACTGATGTCCGTCTCATCACCGCTCAGGCTTTCTGGTTCAGTCTTTGTTACGGGCAAGAGGAGGACAGGGTGTCCTGAGACTGAATGGGTTTGGCCCAAACATGGAGTTAGATACGGGGAAACGCTTTCAAGTTTCAATCACACTGCGTGTTCACCTACCGCTGATAAATGAGCTGTCAGATCCAACCAGTGGTTCAATACAAGCACCTCCGGGCAGGACCTCCACTCTCAGCCTCTTATCTTTGTGCTGCAGCACGTCCTCCTCTGCAGAAGTTAGAGATGGGGTCACCGATCCCCCGTCATTCCCCATCCCCTCCGCCTGTCTTCTTTTTGCTGAATGAGCACAACATTGAGAAGTGAAAAACTCCCATGGACGTTATTATCACTGGAAATATTGACTTGCAGGAACTAGATTACCTGTTTGCACTATGTTTTTATGTTTGATTTTCACTTGCTGCCAGGATCTTTTGTGGCCGCTGTCCGATACCCTGGAAAGTAACGAAAAATAATGAAGAGTAAAGTGGTAAAAAGTGGAGTAAAGTTCAATAAGACAACATGAATTTTCTTACGTGTTTATTTTATCAGCAATTCTCTGCCAGGCTTCTTCTCTCAGTTTTGAGGCAGTGGAAGTGTTCGACTTGGCTGTCAATATTGCTCTCTCTTCTTCATACAACTTCAAAATGAGTTCCTGCTCTCTAGAGCTGAAGAAATGAGCCCGCTCCTGTTTTCTCATCATCTGGGAATCTATTTAAAGAAACATAAAAAAATAAAGTTTTTTTGAAATGCACATCTGTAATAGTCTAATTAGCATCATTTATTTCTATTTCACGAGGTCTTGAACAAGTTCGGCTCACCTCTGTCTGTGTTCATTTATAATGATCCGGGTTTCGGCGTGCGATTGCTTTCCTCTCGTGACGGATCGGGTGCGCGCAGTTATCCGAGATGTTTCAATGCTAGATTTAGTAATCGAATCGTTACCCACGGTCATCAAACGGAATACACTCGATCGCAATATATCGGACGGTTTAGTGACGGAACGCTTCACGTTAATCAATAACTGTCCAAGCGACGGAAACGGGAAGAAGATAATCGTTGTTATGGAGCTATTCATCAGTTAGCTTTGTTAACCCAGGATTTTCTAATTCGGCTTACGGCGCGTTCACGTGGAAGAGGTGGAGCCTGCAACAAAGAGCGAGTCACGTGAGACAGAAGAGACGATGGCCTTTGTTGGGTTAATGTAATAAACACCGCCTGTAATGGAAACACGAGCAGTCCAGTTGTTGTGAAAAGGGCCCAGTGAGCAGTGCTCTCCCTTCTTATATATTGTGTGGTGATCTGAAGGATTTAAATACCCAGATCGCTGCACGTTTAACAGGTCCAACTCCATTTAATGTAGTTTATTCACAATCAAGGCTCAATCATTCCCCCCCCACAAATTGAGAAGTTAACATGTATAGAGCAGCTGGAATCAGTATAAACACTGCAATGTGAAAAAGGACATGAATTCAAATGGCTGGTATTTCAGTCGCATCACTGTATGTTATTTACATTTTTTAATTCTACCCCATCTTCACGTGTGTGAGGGAGGGAGATGTCGATCATGGCTTGCACACACCCGTTCACTCCTCAAGAGGCCAAATCAGCCATATGTGAAATTGCCTGTATGAACAAAGGGTCAGCAGGGGCTTTAGAAAGCAAATGAATAAGATTCAATTCAACAAATTCCAGCATTTCTATTGCCTATTGCTACACTCAAGTGTTGACAAAGTGGGGAGAGATACACGGTCACCACCTTATATTTGCAAGGATTCCAGCTGTACCAGCCAGTGGGCAACCTTCACTTTGACTAACATGCACTACAAATGTCCACGGCCGGCCCGGCACCGTCGACAAAGGCCATGTCAGTGTCTCCTTCTGTCACACAGAGCGGGCACCTTTAACTAGAAAGTGAGATTGAAAAGCTGTAGGTGTTTCAAATATGAACTAATGGTAGTTCATCATTGGAGTACACCATTCAGTATGAAACAGCAATCCTTTATTTATTCTGTACACCTATTTGGTTACTGCTGCGACATTACAAAATGTTTGCTGTGCTTAAAAACATTGTAGGTGAAAACACAAGGAAGGAAATGGTAATAGAGGTAATAGTTACTTTATTTATGTTAGTTCAGGATCAGTATTACATTTTGCTAAATGGTCCAAAGTGAAAAGGAACTGTTGGTTTGGGTGCCCCATGATGAGCACGGAGGTAAATGCAACAAAAATAAAAAGTAAGCTGTAAATAGGGTGTGGTCCAGTATCGAATGCTGAGAGAGGACTGGTCCCTTTGCTGTTTATGAGGTCTGGAGGAAGGGTTTATTCATCATGGCCCTCATAGCCGTCGGGAAGAGCATTCAAGTGTGGATTGTGGAAGAGGGATTTGTTTCCATCTCCCCATGGGAAACGCTGTAAGAAAAAAATTTACATAATAAGGCAACGCATATTCCAGTAAAAATATAGACAATTGTGGCATTTCTTTAATATAAATAATTTATGTTGCATGAAGTACGACCTTGCTGCGAATGCGCAGGTGGCTGTAAGGGACGAACTCCGGCTGTTCATGGGAATGCTGTTGCTCTTTAAGGTACATGTTCAACATGCACACTGCAACACCAGGAAGGGCAACCACAAAAGTGAGGATCTTCCATGTCCTGCCTGCAAGAGACAATGATTTGTTTTGGAAGAGAATATACACCTGGCATCCAATAACACATTGAGAATGAATGTGTTTTTAGTATTAAAGACAGTGAAGACATATGAAAGGGAAGTTTCATTATGAGCGGATGGCATTACCCAGAGCGTGCTTTACCCTAGTTCAAGCGTGCAACGCCTCCGGCTTATATCCTTGGAAGCTAATAAGTCTATTGATAAAGTATCAGAATACAGTTTTATTGCCAAGTAGGTGTTCACAAACAAAGGAATTAGCCTGGGTGTTTTGGTGCAGAACAATAAGCATTGTGAGGCAACATTAGGAAGAAAAAAAAGCACTGCAGACAAATGAAAACCCTTTACTGTTTGGAAGTATTACATTTAAGCAGGAATCTTCAAACGAGTAATTCTTAGAATAAATTAATAGCAATGGATTGTCAAAATGATGCAACTGGTATAGCAAGCTTCCAGAGTCAATAGTGATAAATGAATAATGTAGTACAGTTTATAATAACGTTTACCAGCAATGTGTGATGCAAAATGTTTCATGTATGACAAAAAAAAAGTAATAATCTTGTCGTTGAACAAGAGGTTCTTCATTAGTTTCAGCAATGACTTTCATCTAAACACACATCGATGGGTGATTTATTGTAGACATTACTTTTTGATTCAATAAATGTGCAGTTCGGTGATGCATTTCAGGTCCATTATACCCCTATCAATACTTGCATTTGTATTTTACAATATATATTATATAGCAGGTCCCAAAGGTGAACAGCCTCTGGCACGTTGGATCAAGGTGTAAAATGCTACATTGGAATGCAGTCAATCAAGGTCACATTCAACATTTAAGCGATATATAAGCATCATACTAGCTGGGTAATATTAATCTGATCGTTTTGCAGAGTATACCAGCATTTCACATTGTAAAGTCTTGAAAAGGTCAGTTTTCAAGAAGAAAGCCTGCTGTCTTTTCCCTCACGCTTATTAAACCTCGTATAACAAAATGAAATACTGAATAATAAATACTACAAATCATCTAATGTTTCACGTTAGATATTATTCTTATCTTGTGTTTGCCCTCCTTCACTGAACTTAGGTCATATAGTCGTGTAGTCTGCCATTCCTACTTTTATCGTTCGACAAGATGATTATGTTAAACATAATGAAGACAGAACTGCGAGGTTTCGAGTAACATTTAACCCGATAAGACCATGTTGTTGCTCTTTCATTACCTTGCAGGACACATTGCTCGTGACACTGCACCACTTCCAAGCGTAATATATCGCAAACCTTACGTAAAAGGTACACGCCATTAAGACAATACGAGCCACGTGAGTGTCATACTGAATCCGTAGGCGGAAATAACAATGTGCGTATGTTAAATGGTCGGTGTTTTGAGCTTATCCTACGTATTATCCTTCAAGGATTCAAAGCAACCGCTAATGCTAACACCGTTAGCTAACGTTAGCTAAGCAAGGTCACTGTCAAAATTTCACAAGTAATCGTAAATATTCAATATGAATACAACCAGGGAATAACAAATGCCCCGCTACGATTACCTGACTGCTCGCCGTGCGCGCCGGCAGCAGCAGCGGAGAGCTGACGCCGGGTTTGGGTCAAAGAAGACCTCAGCAACATCTGAGAGAAGCGTCCGAGAGCCGCCATTTTCCTTTCTGAGAGCCTCGGAGACCGGAAGGAAGACTTTTGAGTGGAAGTATCACGTGGAAGTCAGAGAGCGCCACCGCGGCCCCAAGCGGTGAGACTGCGAACTACAGATACCGCGTAAAAAAATGAAACGTGTACTGACATTCGATCATGGAAGGTTCATGTGTACTTTACATTGACACATGTGGGAATCACCACAAGGGAATCCATTGCTACAATGCACCTTCGAGCTTAAATTGTAAAGTTATTCAGAAAAAAAGTTGCTGAGGTAAGTTGCTCAAAACAAGTTGAATAAGCTCTGAACTGTGGAGATGACGGTGGACTTCAAAAGGAGACCCACCAACACTAAAATATAAAGTTTAAATATAAAATAAAATACAGTCCTCAAGACTACACTACTTTGCATGAAGTCACAAGTAAAGTATACGTTTAAAGTATGGGGGAGCAGGTTGTTCACTCACAGGTATACATAGTGGTTAACTTACACTTACAGTGACACTCAAAAGAAGTTAAATCTGTATAATGTTTGTTTCCCAATGGCCATATCCCCTAAATTGTCTTTGTCTTCATTTCACAAAAGCATCTCACACATCATATGAAACGGAAGAAACTCTTATTTCCTTATTTCTTTAATGTGTCAGTAGATGATAATGATACATTGGAATTGAGTGATTGCACATTATAAAGAGTGTTTAAAGTGTTTCTCTTTAAAGGGGAGGACTTTTTGTGAACTCACGATCAGAGTCTAACTGGAGAGATTCACAGTGTTCTGGTTTTGAAGGTAAGGGATAAATGTTCACTTTATGTTTGCTCCTGAAATTTGTAGTCATTTCTTTCAACATTTATAGAAATTCCATAACTGTAGGAATGGGTATTGTTGTGCATGTAAAAATAATCAGTTCTACTACCAGACTCAATAGTCAGGATATCAACGAAGGTAATGCTTTGATATCATCATAAAAAATTTAAATTTAGCAAAGCGTGTAGTTAAATTAGCTGTATGTGTATGAGCACGTTTGTGAATCATACAGTATATAATGGAAGAATTCCTTTTTTTTATTTATTGAACCGTTAATATTTAACGTATTGGGCTTGAAAACAAACAAAGGAGATTTAGTTGAACGCTGTGGCAAGACTCTGGACTGAATACTTCTTCAAATTTCTTCATCAACTACAAGCTTTTCTCTTTACAAATAACAAATGACAGCAGCATAGTGTGACATATACTTTCTTACAGCATTAAAAAAAAATTCCCAAGAGAATCTGCCCATATTCAGTAATGGAGTCTCAGTATCTCCATTTTGGGCCGAAGGATCAGAGCTCCGGAGAGCACAACATGTCTGCACAAAGCGGTAAAACATGTGCTTGTCCTTTCATTTTGATCCAATAATGTCATATCTCCCCATAAACTGTGACAAAATGTCTTTCAGCGTTAAGAGGTAGGAAGAGGATATTGGTTCGTGTCTTCTATGGAGTCCTGGTGCTGCTGCTGTTGATCCTGCTGATGGTCACTGTGACAAAAGGTATTGACTTTAAACTCAGTTTGATTGCAGCTAACTCACATTCTTTGTCTTGCCATTAAACCATACCTTTTGTATCTCAAAGTCTCTCAGTTCAACCAGGAACTCACTGATGTCAAACTCAAACTGAAGATCCTCAACGAAAGTACTTCCTCGTCCAGTCCAGGTTAGGAAATAGTTTTCAGGTCTGGATTTAATGATGTTCGAGCGATGCCCACGTTACAGCTTCGTTTTTATGTCTTGGCTTCCAAACTCAAGGTGCAACAACGGGGCAGGTGGTGATTTTACCAAGACTTGTTCCAGTTAGAGGTACGGACTGAATCCTTTGATATCAATCAAATTACAATTCGTGTAGGGAGGGCTGGGTGTCTTTCCAGTCAAGCTGCTACCGGCTATCAACCACGGCCGCGGCCTGGAGCGAAGCAGAGGAGCGCTGTCGAGAACAAGGAGCACACCTGGTGGTTCTCAATAATGTTGAGGAGCTGGTGAGGTTCAAGGTTACACCAGTTTGGTTACAAATGAACACGGAACTCCGATAAGGATCACCTGCACACATGTATTATCCTCCCTGCGGTATAAAGGCGTCAAACAACCTTTTTTTTCTTCTAGGACTATATTTCAAAAGTAGTTCATATCAAATATCACTACTGGATCGGACTGGTGGAGCGAGAACACGAGGGACAATGGAGCTGGGTGGATGGAACTGACTTCAATTCTACCCAGACGTAAGAGGACTATCAAAACAACGTCAATTAAAAAAAGCTTAAACTGTTTAACATGTTAGTTGTTTCCTCTCACACTGTCGGCGGTCAGCTTCTGGGACGACGGTCAGCCGGACAACTGGGACTGGAGTGAGAACGGAGAGGACTGCGCGCAGATTCACGCTTCCGAAAGACGCAAACGCAAGATGTGGAACGATGCAGACTGTCATCTGCCGAATAAATATGTCTGCAAGACGAGAGCGTGAGAGACAGAGAACCAACGCGGCTGACGCGCTGTGAAATAATGGCTTGAATTAACAATGATGGAGATTCATGTTTTATATTTCAATTCAATGATTTGCATGGTCACAAAATGGATAAAAGTTGTACTCTATATACAAGACGCACGTGAGGTCTTTGTTGAATAATAAAACAGTTGCTTTTAATTACACATGCAGTTTTATTTTACAAATAAACAATGACAAGATAAAAAAGATTTTAAAAAGGACAACGCAGAAAGGGGGAGGTCCATACTACTCAACTCAAAATGAAAGATTCTCTTCCTGGACTCGTCACACACGCAGCAGCATTGAAACAAACAACACTCCATAACACAAAGATATTCAAAATACAATAACAGAAGAATTTAGTTTTTTTCCATATTTGTTTTAGTGGGAAGTCATCTCGTAGTCACACTCATTTCCAGGGTAGGAAACAGAATCATCAGTCTGCTCCCAGCCCACGTCCGCCACCAGAACCAGTGTGGTGCATCGCCGGCAGGCTGTCAGGTTCAGGCCAGAGGGTCATCGCTCTCACGTGGCACGTAGCTCGGTTACACAGCACTGTGACACACCATGAAGACATCTTAGACGAAGCTGGTTCCCGTCTTAAAACCTCCATGACATTGAAAATATCCCCAATTTTATCTAATCGGACATAACTCTCAAAGTCACCCTGCACCTTGTTTTTCCTACTCACCAAATCGCTTACTACTTTAATATGCAACTTCTTTGTATAAAGATGTAGTACATATAGATACAGTATGCATACACATACAGACACTAAAGCTTTTTTCATATAATTTAGTCTACATCTAAAATGGAGTTTGTGTCATGTCTCTTGTTTTTTTGATATTCCTAAAATAACCACGCTTGGTTAATGTGCAATGGAAAGTCTTGGGAACTCTGATAAGTGCCTGCTATTTGCACAGCTGTTATAGTGAACTCAACTTCTGTTTAAAAAAGGAAAATTCAAACTTGAGTGAGGACAGAGTGAGCCGAACAAAAGACCAAATAGATCAGGGAACATTTGATTAGGACATTTTAAACAACCATGTGAAAATATCAAAATGAAATAAATGAGTCCATGTCTTCCTCCTCAGTGCATCTCCTGTCGATATTCATTCTGATTCACCTTTTTACGCTTTACGTTTTACCGCAACTGTAATGTAAGGTGTTAAATACACGCTGAGGCAATTGCAATTCTCAAGTACGAACTTACTTACGTACGAATAAGCAGCACCTCATTTGAACCCCACACCTTCTCTTCTCCCCTCTTATCTCCACGTTCACTCTCCTCCTGTCATATAAAAGACTGAACTCAAATTCACGTTCTTCTCACCGCAGCCATGAATGTGACGGCTCCTCTGCTGCTGCTGCTTCTCACTGGTAAGAAACAAAACTGGCCAGTACGTATGTGGAATGTACTTATGTCAGGTGCTGTATGTGAAATGCTCTCGGTCACTCATTTCAGAACCGTCCCTTTAAGGATATCAAATGAGTTTCGTATCGTTTTAACCACCATGTGTTCTACTCTGTCTGCCTCACATCTCTTGCCCAGCCGCTGCAGGCCGGGGTGCGCTGATACCCAAAGCCTTATGGCAGTTTGGGAAAATGATCTCCTGCATTCAGCCGGGCGTGAACCCTCTAATTTACAACGAGTACGGCTGCTGGTGCGGCTTCGGGGGAAGGGGCAGCCCTGTGGATGAGTTGGACATGTACGACGCGAGCGCAGCATTCCTCATCAATGAAGAGAATAAAAGTAACTTGTGCTCTGGTGTATTTTAGGTGCTGTAAGGTTCATGATAAATGCTATGAAGCAAGCAGAAGCATTCCGGGATGCACAGCTGTTGTTGACCTTCCTCACATTCAAGTCTATGACTACACCTGTTCAAACAAACAGGTGACCTGCCCAGGTAAGACTGTCAACCCACTGCGATGGCGGATTTAGGTTCCAAAACCAAGTGCTTCTCTAGAACACTGGTACTCATTGATAATGTGAGAGGCAGCTTCATGTTACCGTGTTATTGAGCAGCTGTGTGTCAATTTCTTGACCCAAATCTGTCTCCGCAGCCACCAACGATAAGTGCCAGGCTGCCACGTGCAAGTGTGATCGGGACGCTGCTTACTGCTTCGCTAATGCTGAATACAAGCCTGAAAACAAAAACCTGGATTCCAAAGTCCACTGCGTCAACCGAGTTATGCAAACTCATATAAACTAGCTGGAAAGGGTTGATTTCTAACCACTGTCTTATCTCATTTTAATGTGTTCACAAAATGTGTAACAGGGGCAACATGAGTTTGAAATAAAGTAGGAAAATGAGTTGATTCACTTGACTTGTAGCCTGTGTGTGTGTCTTTGGCTCAAGTATGGAGAACTTGTGTAGCACATATTTCAGTGTTTATTGTATCATTATCCTACTAGAATTAGTAAACAACATCAAAGTTAAGATTTTAGTTTTGCAAAGTTCAGCCCGGTTGCCGTTACGCATCGTGTTCTTTAAGAAATAAGTTATGTAGATGGACCAGGAATTAAAATACATTGTTCTGCAAATTTACAGCATTTTTATTAGATTATCAGATAACAGGTCAGTAAAAATCATTTAATTGATATTAGGAAGATAACAAGTTGGGGTTCTAACAAAACAAAGCAGGCAGCAGCTGAGCACAACAACAGATGGATTGTATGAATGTTAAAATTAGAGGCTAAATCATAGCTCGGTGGATTATATCGGCTTGTAGAGAAGTGTGGTCACATATTTCTTCTTGTATCTGTGTGTTGCGCTGAGGACCATCACTCCATCCTGAAAAACAACCACAAGAACTGTGTTTTGATTAAGAATTAATCAGTTTATGGCAGAAGTTTACTCTCTCCGAGCAGAAATAGTTTGACCTAAAATTAGGTTCTCTCCCGGACGACCTGACAAGACGCCGCATTAAAAAAAAAAAGCACACGCGCTGCAGGACATCCCGTTACCTTGATGGAGAGGGCGTACAGGTGATTCAGCATCACGTGGTTTGGTTCCGGGAGCAGCGTCGGGTCACACTGATGAAGATTTAAAGAGAGGGTTGGATTCGACTAACTTGCATTCCGTCACAGCCGGCTTCTAGAGCGCCGAGCACCACCGAGACGGGCGCGTATTCCAGCGTCCAGCACCGTACTCACAGAAACGCCCGTGTCCTTGTTGAGCAGCACTTGAAGCAGGTGAGGGGGTAAGTAGGGAGGATGCTTGATCGTGTCCTCGGGCTTGGTCACATATGCATCCTGCAGGTAGGGTCCGGGAGGAGAACTGGACAAGTCTGGGGAAGAGAGAACACACGGCTCTATTTTAATACGGTGCTAAATCAAAAGAACGAGGAATAAAGCATCCCTCGGGGTTCGTGCATGGGCAAATGTCATCGACGAATATGATCGAAAAAAGTAATTGTTCGAAAATATTGCATTGAGCTTTGCTATAAATCATCGGCTTTACTGCCCCTGATTACGTTGTCCACAAGTAATTTGTTTTAATATGGCACACATCCTATGGTTTAAAGCTGATTAAAAACCTCTTCAATAATATCTGGGCAGTCTAAAGGTAGTTAATAATTCATCAGTCATTTACCAATGTCTGCAGAATCCTCAGAGTCGATCCGGAGAGCGTCAAAGACTTCAAAGTCAGTTCTTTTCACCTGGATGACATTGTTTACTGTGCCAGTCTTAGACGTGGCCACGGCCTGGGGGGGGGTAAACAGACATTTGATAAGACGCTTGTGATTCTGGAGTCAAAATTTCTACAAAGATGGGGAAAAAAAACAAGTAGATGATCTCACCCCAGTGGGATCCAAGGTCCACTGGCCGTCTACACAGAACTTGTACTGGTGCTCTCCCTCTGGCAAGTCCACAATAGCCACAAAGTTTTTCTGACTGGGTTTAAGAGACATGTGGGTGTTACGTCTCCATCGGTACGTAGCGTTCCAGGATGTGCCGTCTACACGAGTCAAGCTACCTTCTGTTGAGAGGGATCTTGGTTGCCCAGTTGTTAAAGGAGCCGGACACAAAAACTTCCTTGGCGGCTCCCGGCCACCGGAAAATAGTGGGTCTGTCCTGCGTTGGACATTTGCTCTCACTCTCAAGGTCCTGCTGCCAAGCCAGAAATTCCTGTATTTCCTGAGGAGCCTGTACATCAACGCATTGTTGCCATGTTATTGAGAGAACCCGATCTCTGCCACGTCCCTTCCTGACCAAGCTGAGAGAAGGTCAAGGGCAATGTAGAGGTTGTGTATTTGTATGCTTGGGGAAAACAATATTTGAAGTATTCTTAGACATTTTAATATTTGCTTTCTTTTACCATTTTTCGGCGAGTTACTTTGATATAAATATGTTAGAATTTAATTTAGATAAAAACTAGTAGGACTTTTTCGGTACATATGGAGGACTTTGTATGGCCTTGTCTTCATTTAGGACAGAAATTTTGCCAACCCTTTTCGATATGCCGTAATTTAATTTCAAATTGTATTTGCATTAATACAGCAGCGTTCACCGCACAAGTGAATGAAATTTAATTCGTCAATATTTCTGCAAACTTCCCAAACGGTTTTATTAAACAAACAACGTTTTTATATCTATTTCATTCCTTCCAGTCCGCCTTGTACTGCATAATCAGTATTGGCACGGATTAGTTGTTTGAGAGAGGAACACTTCAAACAGGTTGTGCAACGTGATATAAAAAAAAAACCTGATTGAAAACATTCATCGAAAGTAAATATCCCCTAAAAATAGACATAGACTAACATCATACAGGGAAAAGAGAACACATTAGCCACATTATTAGGCATGCATAAATAAATGTTACCATTTTTTAATAGTAGAACTGCATTGTACAATTAAAGTGTCTGCAACTAATGACAGCTTAAAACAATCTGTAAATGATTTTGATGAAATTGTCTTGTTTCTTGCTCCTCTGAATTTGTATCCGTATGGTTGAATGCACTTATTGTAAGTGGCTTTGGATAAAAGCGTCAGCTAAATGACGTGTAATGTAACGTACACATCCAGCGCTTAAAACCAGAGATGCTCACGAGTCATTTTTCTGCAAGTCACTGTTTGAGCAAATCTAGTGCGACTTGGTCTCTGTATCATACCTTTGCGTCCTCTCTCTGGAAGAGGTCCGCGTCCTCGGAGTTGCCCATCAGGATGTTGGGAATGGTCTCTTTCCCTCCCGGTTGTCCATCTCTGTATGACCTCTCACCGTGACCCCCGCTTGACCTGTCGCTGCTGCTGTTCCCCATCCTGGTGGCATCAAAACAGTGTAGGACCCGCGCGCGCACACACGCACACACACACACACGGTCACAATCGTTTTGATGTCCTGGGACACACAGGTTGGGGACCAACAGGAGCCCCGGATGACCGCATGTCTAACCGACCCCCTGAAAACATTCATTTCATATACGTATAACAAAAAACGCACCTCGGTTTTCCTCCCAGATGTGGTTTGGTTGGATTTGGTCTTATCGAAAGGCGGTCTTTGGACTCGTGCACATCTGTTCGTGGCTTGCGGACGCGCAGACGTCTGGCGCTCGGGCCGTTTCCGTCTCTCTGGGCGGCACAAGTTTCCCTCTCGGAGTAGAAACACGAGCGGACTCCCTTTGTTCGTCTCTCCTCCGTCCGCTTACCGACCAACAGTTCTCCTGCTAAGCCCCCGAGCTCAGCGGCACTTTGGGCATTGCTCGAAAGTTAGTTGAAATCCCGTCGTGTGTGTGTGTGTGTGTGTGTGTGTCAGTGTGCGTGTACGTGTACGCGTGCGTAGTGAAGAAAACACTCCTCTTCCGCCTCCTGTGCTCGAGCTCAGGCTGTTCATGTTTAACCCGATCGTTGCCAGCAGATGGTTTAGTGCTAAATGACCTGGTTTCATTATCGGACGAGTTTTTCATCTTAAAATAAAATTAAAAAGTTTTAACAAACAAAAACGTCCGTCGACTATAAAAACGGCACATAAGAACAACACAGGTTTGTTGTATGAAGGAATTAAATTAAAAAAAAAAGTCTAGTAAATAAGTTCACAAAGAAAAAGTAATACTGCAAATAGAAGAAAAAAAAGCCTTATGACATATTAAGAATATTCAAATACCCACTTTTAACTTTCGGCGGCGTCACTGGCGGAATGATATTGTGAAATACATTTACATATTTTGGCTCATCGATCAGCTCCAGGCCAACAAAGCAGCTCCAGGCTGAAGGGCCTGGTGGAGGATTTCTGCTGGTCAGCAGCAGAGTGTCCTTGAGCCACATCACACTTATTTATCGCAGGCGTTCTCACGGCTATCCTGTTTCATTTCATTCACATGTCTGAAGCCTAGAACAGTCCGCAGTATTTCAGTTAGGACGTTGCCTCACCCTTTGTCCTCTTTTCCACAGCACCTGTACTTTCTGTTTCAGCTACAGATTATTCTTCAAACAAAAAAAACCCGATCAACAGAAAACTGTAAAGAAAAATCCATATACACTGTCTGACAGTATCAAGTATCAGCTTGTTCCAGCTGTTCATTTAGGTTACATAACGTTTGCACTGTGTTTGTTAGCACTAAATCAGACACACATACAGTCCTGTCAAACTTATGTCTGCGAAAGCCGGCGTCCTGCATTGTAATGAACTGGTATCGCTAACCATTGCCAACCACGGCTACTCTGTCTGAGGCAAACCCAGTGACATTTTCCTACCCGTTGTACTGGAACACAGCCAACTCAGATATCTAACTCAGTGATATCCTTCCCAAGGTAAAAGGGAGGCAGCTTGACTTGTCCAGCCCTTCGCGGATCAAGGCCCTGCCTCCCACGTATCGGCGGTCTGTGGGTTTATAGCAGTATGAGTGAACAGGAGGCTTCGCGGAGCTAACAGGACCTCCTTCTTCAGCTTCAGGCCGCAACTGAAAGCTGAACGCTGAACTCAACAAATCACCTCGCAGTATATTTGTTTCCATATTCGACTCGGGTCCGGGTTCGACTCGTCGCCTGGTCGTGGTTTCAACCAACCTGGCTGTGCTTGGCTGCTCGGTTTCAGAGATATAGATGTATTGTTTTTCTGCTTTTTCTCTGACCCTGGCAATAAATTCCCCCTGTACTTCCTTGTCTGTCTGCATTTGGGTTCGCCACCACTTATCGTAACATAATTGTTTCTTTCACTTTACACATGTTCGGCGTCAATAAGATGACATACAAGGCTGTTAATGTACACTATCTCCGGAGCGGACATGTAATCACCGTCACCCAATAATATCCTTGGTGTTTTCTTTCTCTAATCTACGTATCCATGTGCCACGACACGTGTTAAATGATCTTCCCGTGCTGCCTGCAGATAACTGCACCTCATTAAATAGAATCCCTTGAAACACGTCATGCTGTAAATATCCATGAACGGGAGCGAAGCATATCGAGAAGCTCTCAGCAGTGCATGACTCACCGGCAGAAAGAAAGCCAGGGCCAGAATGTTGATGGGCCGTGCAGGCCTGAAACAGGTGAACATGGTGAGGCAGAGACGGTATCTCCACAAACCCCCCCATCTCCTCCCCACACACACACACCAGTAGTCAGCGCTCCCGTCCAGTGAGGACTTGGCGGTCATGACCGGCTGGCGTCCCCCGAGACCGCAAAAGCAGAGAGGCGAGGCCTGGAGCTGAGACACTGGGAGAGAGGAGACGGAGGCGAGGGAGGGAAGGCAGTGGAGCAGTGATGATGGAAAAGACAAATCATCCAGCAGAGACGTGAAGGGAATCAGAGGCCTGAAAAGTCAAGAGGAGACGGAAGAAAAGACAGAGCGAGTGGATGTTGGTGTTACAAAGAAACGGGTCTATGACTGCAATGTTTTAGTTTAAAAAAAAAATATGGTCATTTAGACTTTTGCAGTAATTAGGTCAAAATGTACACGTTGCAGAATTTAATTGAATTTCTATAGAAAATATAAAGTAATTGAGTACATTTTTTCATATAATGCACAGTTATATAATGCAAATGTTTTAGTAGTTTTCTCATTTTGTTTGGTATATGTGACATGTGACAATGTGTGAAAGCCTCTCACACAGCATGAAGCTCAGTTTTTCTGACTGCAGGGGACCACACAGCAAATCCAATTCAACAACTTTAATCTTAACTGTATTATAAAACGTTTTTAGTTTTAGCTTTATAAATGAGAAACCAATTATCATATCTTTTCTTTTAGCCAAGTTTCCCTTTCTGTTAATCTCCCGTTCCAAAAAAAAGTACAGTACCCGTATGTGGAATGTTTTAAAATAATTTATTAGGAATTTTAAAAAGTTTTTTTTCAAAAGAATAAACATGACAGGAAAAAGAAAATCAGAAAATGTTACAGTGTTGACAAGATTGTTATTTTTCAGTGAAAACGGCATCAAAGTATGACCTTTGTAGGCCACAGCAGTGTGAGCAAGTATCAAAATGTAAAACCTGGTACTTTGTAGATGAAGGGTGCTTTGTTCTTAAGCTAACATTCAAAATAAAACACATTTATCGTGATCGGCCAGTGCAACGTCCGAGTAGCTCTGAACATACTTGTTTTGGTCTAAAAATAGCTGTCACATTGCTACAGTCTGTGACCTCCAGTGGATATGCAGTGATGGATTGGGGGCTGCAGGGGGGTCGACAGTTAAACAAACATTTACAAGACCCCCCCTCCCCTTCCTTGTTAGAAAAGCCACCTTTCTAAAAGGTTCAACAATCCTCACTTTGACACAGATGTTAATGTAATAATAAAAAAGTCAGATTAAAATTTCACATTTGAAACTGAGGTTCTCCCCCCCCCCACCCCCCAAAAAAAAAAAACCGCACATCGCACATTGGAAACACATGAAACGCTCACGCAAACATCAACGCAACCTGCAGAGCATGTCGGTCACAACAGTGATGACTGTGCACAACAGCTCCAGCACGCGACGTCTTCATTTTCCTTCACAATCAATCAACGCGTATTGAAAATCACAGTTAAAACAGCAATATGACTAAGTAAGAAAACGGCATGATTTTTTTTTTTTACTCACACCCATGTATCCCCAAAAGTAAAGTGTTCTTCCAAACTCGGCCTCCCTCCCCCCCGCGACTCAAGGTGTTTCAATTCTGAGGCAGTTTTGAAATACAGTGAAATAATCCAATGAGATTCTGTATAAAATGCCTGAGGAGGAATACAGTAGGCGGCTGGTCTGATATTCACTGACAAACGTACTGATATGTTGTTAACATCCTCTCTGTGAAAGCATGAGGCCTAACAATCAAGCTCTCCAACACATTACAGTTGGTGAGAGAAGCATCTTATTTGCCTCCGACCTCCTACACACAAGCATCAGCTGCTGCCCTCCTCCTCCCAAGAAACCAGTCATATTTACAATATTTTACAAAATTGTACAGCTCATTGGGGCCTATTACGTAAATGTGACTAATGACCTTTGTCGTTTGAGCATTATTAGTGTAAGATTTTTTTGTTAAAAACCTACAAGACATACACTTTGTGACACATTTCAAGAAAGAGTATTAATCACAAATGATTTGTTAAAATTCAGTATGAACTAGTGACAAATATATAGTTTTTCAGTACAAATTACAGCCTGTGACCTGGCTCCCCCTGGAGATTTTTTTCCATCAGGTTCAAAGGTCAAATAAACCAATAAAACACAATCAAAACAGATAAAGAAACAATGCAGCATCACAAAAGAAAACAGCATGGTGAAACATAACAACAGAGAAAAAGAAAAAACACCAAAATACAGCATCTTATGTGTTGCGATTACATGTAGTCATAAACCTTTTTGCTCATTTTGTGAACTTTCTCTTCTTTTTTTTTTCCAGGAGGGGGAGTTAAGTGAGGCGTCAGTAGGGTGGGTCGGGTTCAGACTGACACCAAGGAGGAGGGGTGAAAGTTCATCTGCCCTGGCCAGAGAGGTGGACTGGACAGAGACAGGCCAGATGAGCTCCAGAGCAGCTTCAACTCCTTCCAGCTCTCAGTCTACACCGAAAAGACACCGAAAAAACACCCAGGTTACTCACAGGCGAGTCCCTGCGAAACAGTCTTATACGTTAGGTGCAACAAGATGAAGACTTACAGTCTCAGTGATACCCGTTGGTGAAGGCCGTGGCGATCAGGGGGCCCTGTGGGAGCAAGCATACAAGTTTTGAGTCCACTAATTGTTTCATTGTATTTACTTCTTTCAGGATGTAGATGCAAATGAGGTGAAAAGTGAGCCGTTGCAGTGTTTTGTTAGAAAGAACAACTGCACACATCCTGAGACGGGATGGTCCAAAACTCTCAGAACAAGTCCCACTAAACTAAAATGGCCAAGATATCACTAAATTGTTCTTTGGTGAAAAACGTATTGCTAAAGAGGAGCAGAGTGGGGATTTGAAACAGATATTCCAAATAAATAATGGAGTTCATTTACAGCATAGTGCATTCAACAGCGGTATCAATGTCAGCCACTTCACAAGGGTAACCAAGTTATTTGCCTTCTTGGAGAGGCTTGGATGAAAATCCAGAATGTTCATCTTTGGATAGAGCCAAGAGAGCCGGTCGTCTTTGTGCTAAGCTAAGCTAACCCGATGCTGGATGCTGATTTACATGTATGGACAGGCGTAAGCGTGGCACAAGTCTTCTCATCTAACACTCAGCATGAAAGCGTGTATTTTCCCAAATATATTGAAAGTAATTCCAGTATAATATTAGAGGGGAAGCAGTGACAAGGTGACATGATGTACCAGATAAACAAAGCCTTTTTTAATTCTCTATCCTTGTTCCCTTTAATTTAACACATTTGCATACATACACACCTGTAATTCATACTGTGCAACAGTTACAGCACGAGGACAGAAACCAGTCCAACGCAGAACTAAATATCGCTGAAATAACAAAGTAAGGGACGGATTCTTACCCCCAAACTGTGGCTGAATCCGGTGCTTGGGGAGGGGCTTGCAGCACTGAGGTAACTGCTGACAGCTGACTCCTGGCTGGCTGTCCCATAAATGTCGGCCATCGGCCCCGGGCTGCTTGTGCCTAAAAATCCACCTGAACGGGACTGGTTGGAGCCTAGAAGCAAAAAAAAAAAAAAAAAGACAATTATCAGATTTTCTACTCATGCGAAAGATCCTATTGAGCCCACCCTTTCTAAAATATTTTCATGATTTTTTCTTTTGCAGCAATATTTTTTGTAAGCGCTAACTGACTTGGTTATTAAAACAGTTTCAGATTTTGAGTTCTGTCACATTTGTACATATTGAGAAGCTGGTGGCTTCAGAAGAACGGTATGGCCTTTTCAATGTTCATACCTCTCACTACTGCTGCCGCTGCCGCTGCCGCTGCCATTGGTCCGTATGCTGTCAGAGGAATGGCTACGCAGGCGAGAGAAGCAAAGATCTATGTTCAATGTTTTGGAGCGCAAACACAAAGAAATGAACCAATAACACTTTAAAGTCTCTCGCCGCTGACCCCAGGAACTTTCTAAACATTTCAACGAAGCCTTCCGAATACACGAACATAGAAGTAAAAACAATCCATGACAGTTGATTGCTGATGATACAGCAAAACACAGACAGAGGGGCTGATCAGGTCACCGCACAGAGCGTTTAAATTCAGATAGAGGCCGAGGACGACTGATGAACACAAACATGCAAACCAAAGATAGTCGCAGACTGAGCACATGCTGCTTGTAAGGTCCAGAGGAGCGACTGACTGACCTGTGAGCTCAGGGGGGTGGGGTGAAGTCAGAAGGGGAGTCCTCTCTAAGTGGAACTCTAGAACAAGAAACATCAGAGAGCAATTGAGACACACACCAACATCGCCACCACCAGCAAGAACAACACACACACACACAGGCAGGGAGACCCCTCCCAGGTGACCGCAGAAGGTACGAGGAGCACACATTGTAGCACACGAGGTTCGAGTAACGCAAAGAGGAGTTAAAGGTTGGAGGGATGATTTCAATGTAGTTGTGTTCAAATCAGTAGCAAGAATCAATATGCAAAACACTTTAGATTAGCTTCATTCTACCATACGAACTAACACTCAATTCCACTCCCTGATATTTACAAGCAGCCATTTAGACTCACAGTGTTGTATGTTTGTATTCAAGACAGTGTGTGTACTGTCTGGTCAACAACACATGATACTGGTTAAAGTAAATTTATCAGTTCAGAGGAGTATTTAGACCAAATCTATCCTGACAATTATGGATTTCTGTGACATTTTGCGACAACATCTCTCTGGATAAACGACTGCATGGATCCTCTGGTGCCATCATCAGGCCATCATTATAATACGCTGGTTCATGAAGCTGCCACCAGCGTAAGCTGTACTTTGTTTTAACTGCTGATTAGCAAATGTTAGCATGCTGAGATGCAAAATTACAATGGTGAATGTAACTATTACATACTATATGACAGCATGTTAGCATTGTCACTGTTAGCCTTGGGCTACAGCCTCACCAAGCTGCTGGCATGGTTGTAGACTCCTTTTAAATGTGCATCGGCCGTACTGACAACACACCTTGTATCTTTCATCATAATTTCTTCAAACAGAATCTTTTAAGATTATTTAACCACAATAAACACAACTTTTTTTCTAAATGTAGTGATGTGTGTATATGCTACAAGGGACACTAGAAGCATTCTAGTGTTTGTCCTTTCGTTGTATGACAGGTGCAGTTATAACCATGAAAACCTGAACACTTGCACCTGCCGGCTTAATACCAACGACGTATGGCCGCGTGTCGATTTCCCCGGACAGACTGATCAGTAATCAGTAAGAGAAGTGTGCTGTGATTACCGGGGAACTGGTAGGTGTATCCAGGAGTGATGCCAGCATAGCTGCGGCTGGTGTAGGTAGCTGTCTGGAAGCCTGGATAACCTGTAGGAACAAAATCCCTGTTAACATCTGGATCCCTGCAAACACAAGGGCGCATGCACGCAATGTATACCAGGTGTGTGGATGTGCTGCTCCCTCACAGTAAGACACGGTACAGACGGTGACATTCAGGTGGGTGATATTCCACACCTGTGGTCTGGATTTATTCTCAAAGAAAAGACTGGGCAGTGCACACTGCAAAGATTTGTCTTTGTACTAAAGAAAGTGACACTTGGATAAAACAGCCTCACCCCAAGATACCACCACTAATTGAATATTAAAACATATATTGTGTACATGTGGAAGTATATCCATTAATCTGCACCGTCTAATCAAAGCCCAGAGATGCCGGAGAGAAAAGAGCTGTTCTCAGACTGAACAGCAGATGGCAGCGTTGATAAGCTCAGCTTCTGACCCACAAACAGGATCTGACCAGTGTTAAGATCGGTAAATGGGTTGTCACCACTGTAGAGGATAAAGTTCAAGTCAACAAGGGGATCAGAATCATTAAAGGGCCATTCAACTATTTTTACCCCTGAGATTCGGTTTACCCGTCATGAGCAGCACTAGTCCGCTTAGGGTAGAAAAACAGTTCGCGCCGCACTTTTAAAGGCCGAGGTCTCAGCAACCAAGGCTGCGTGGTGGTCGCGACCAGTTGAGTGGTCAGCTTTCTCCCCATAAGATGCCATGCTGCATGCAGGGTGCGGCCTTAGTGCAAGAATACTTGTTGTCATGTTCATGGGTGCTGACAGATCCTTCCTGTCCTGATCAATAGTGCCTTACCTAGCATACCAATGCCCAGCATGAAGGCATCCATTCCATAGGGCATCACACGAGAGCGCCCCCTGGCTGAGCCCGTGGGGGACATCACCTCTTTGGGCTGAGCCTTCTTGCACTCCACCTGTTTCCATGCAAAACACGTATGATTACTTTCTAGTTTCCACAAGGGTCTACGAGAGCCTACCACAGACGGACCTGCTCACCATTTTGTTATTGATCTCGTGGAAGTGGATTTCGCAGACTTTTTCCACCACATCCTCGTTCTCAAACGTCACAAAGCCGAACCCTGGGGAGGACAAGGCAGGTTCATGAGTAAGAACATTTCGCACAGCATGGGGAAGATAGACAGTAGACTTTTCTGTGCAGCAGCACAGCTAATAGCCTCCAGTAATCAGTGCTGTAATAGCCGCTTAACACATTTGCCCCCCTTCCCCCGTTTCAACGCTGCTATTCTGCACTCATCCTTTCTTCCCCCCTCCTTCCTGGCCAGAAGGCCCGGGCAAAGCCGGTAGGCTGTCATAATCGATCAGTCCCTTGGTGGGGAGGAGGTGCTTAAGGAGGCTTTATCCTGATCCAGATTAACGGACTGGCTAATTCGACTAGCCCTGTTCGCCTCCTCCAGCTCAGCCCACAGGAAGGAGGCCTGCGGGGGGCGGAGGGTGATCAATAGATACCCTGGAAGGACTGGAGGAAGAGTAGTAAACCAACGAAGACGCGGGCGGATGTAGGGATTGAACGGACACGGGGACGGGTCAGTCTGCCTCACCTCTGTGTCTGTTGGTGGTCTTGTCGAACATGAGCATGGCATCGTCGACCTGGGAGGAAGACAAACAACAAAGTTTTTTTGGCGGCGCTCTCTCTCTTGCCACGAGGCATATTGCCTGACCTCAGCCCTTCTCAAGTTCTGCAGAGAGGCTCAGCAACAGATGGACAGAAAGGAGGGGGAAGGAGGGAGGGAAGGAGGGAGGGCGGGAGGGAGGGAGAGGACTGGAGACGAGCGGCAGGTTACAGAGGGCAGGCAATGGGGCGACGGCAGGGAAATATGAAGAAATACTGTAAAACTAGCCCAGCGGCTGTATATGACTGAGATGCATAATGGGTGGCATGAAAAGTTGAAAGTATTCGCCGCTAAACTGCCCCAGTCCCCGTCCCTTTCACAGAGAGCGCATAATCTCCCCTCCAAAGTTTGGCATTCCCATGGCAACTGTACAATAAGTCCATATGAAAGAGCTCGAGCCAACATCAATAATGCTTTATGAATAGTGGGAGAGTGCCAGTGAGACAGAGTGGGCCGCAAAGAGAGAAACCCTAAAAAAAAACATGGAGCCAGTCGTTAGCAGAAAGGTGAATCCTGTGGGCAGGTGGAGACTCGATGAGTGGGGAGAGCTGATAGCGAGAGGAATAGCGACAGGTGGAGATATGGTGAAAGAGAGCACAGAGAGTCCTGTAAGAGAGGGAAAGAAGAAAAAAAAAGATTGGGTCAAAGTGGAAAGGGAGGAGAAAGAAGAGACAAAAGGAGAGGGAGAACAAAGAGGCCTGGAGGCTTTGTTTGTTGGCACAGTCAGCTATAATTCCTCCTCCTCTTCTCCCTTTGACCTCTCCCTCCGGACTGGCCTCCCTTTATAGAGCAAAGACACAGGTGTCTATTCTACACACACACTATCGGGAATGAGTTTCTAAGTTTCCTTCCTTATGTAAAAAGCTGACATCTTTATACCGTCTGCACACGTAGGTGCAAATTAACATTTGGTAAACGAATCTGGGCTCTCAGTCTATAATAAGTTCACTGGATACAGGCCATTGAATAATTTGTCAGTCACAGGGTCACACAGCCCGCCGTGAGTGTGAGTGTGTGTGTGTGTGTGTGTGTGTGTGTGTGAGGACCCCTTAGGGCAGTTGGCCTACAGAAAGGTCAAAGGTGACTGAGGAGTGTCAGTGTGAAAGGGGACCTGTTACCCTGATGCCTCCCGAGTCACTGCTTCCTCCCAGACTGGCATTCGCTCAACGTCCTGCAACCCGCTCAAGCAATCTGTCCCCGCATGAACCCTCGTTTTTTTTGCGATTCAGCTGATACTTTTATCCAAAAGCGCCACTAGAAACTCCTCAGATTGACACATTTATAAACAATCAATTGATCAGAGAGCGATAGTGAAGAAGTCAAACACAAGGGGACCTAGACAATCCCAACAAGAACACCCGATGGCTCGGCAAGATGCAATCGAAACACTTCCACCACTCAGTTAACGACACACCATTGCTTGATATTTTAAACACTGTGCATTTGAATGGCGTACGGCCGGACAATATTCCCTCTTGTCCTTTTTTCTTCCCTCCTCTCATCTTCCCTGTTATCCCCGGCCCATCCCTCTCCGCGATCCTTTGTCCTCGCCAGGACGGGACACAAAAGGTCCAGTGAGGCAGTCTAATCAGGAACTTCCATGGATGGCTGGAGCCTACATTTCACCATCCATCCCCTCGATATCTCTCTCGGCAAAAATTCATCTAGATGTTATGATTGAGGAGGGAGCGCGGGGAAACTCGAGGCCAAACCTTCGGCACTGAAAATAAAGTGCCACACGGTCGGAAACGTAGTGGCTAAAACCGAGTCTTCACGCGTTTGACTTTACAAAGTGTTCGCGGTGCAGATTGCTGATAAAGTTCATATGATTTTTTTTTTTTGTTTCATCTGATTTTTTTTTTACCAAAGTTCACATGGAACACTGATTATTGACGCTCGGTTTCCCATTAGAATTCCCATTAAGGAGTGCAGGACGGTCCAGAAACTTCCAGTATGCAGATAACTTCTGGGCAAACTAACAAAATATTTGTCTAGCTTTGTACGGAGGCATAATGGCCCCCGTAACCCCCCCCCCCCAAAACCCCATCTTTGCCCCAGTTCCCTCTCTCCGCGGAGCTCTCTCAATCAGGCCCTCCCTCTTGTCGGTGCCTTTGTCAGCCCATCATCTATTCTCTGCCTCATTTCTGTCCTCACAATATCCAAGAACTTCAGACAAAACTTCAGAAAGAAGTACTAAAAAACAAATGCATTAATGAAGGACGGTTTTTCAACAAGAGGCAACTTAAATTTATTGGTCCTAAACTTTTGAGTTGACCCCCGCCCAACTCACGCACACTCATGCTAACACCCCCAAACACCACCTCGTCCCTCCTCCATCAGAACAAAACCCCCTTACCCACAGAATTACTTGGGGACAATGGGCGAGCCGGGTCACCACGGTAACGGGCCAGGAGGGGGTTGTGGGTAGGAGCAGCTGTTACATCAGATTAATTCAGATTCTGATAATCCTTCCTCCTTCTTCACCATCGCCACACACTCACCACAAAACTTTTCTCCCCCGTTCCTCCCCCTTCCTCCTCTACGCTCCCTCGTCAAGTCCCTCTAACTTTGCCTGCTGCCCCTGGAGCCTCCCGGCCTCGTTATTTTCCCCTTTCTACCGTCCACAAGCGTTTTCTCTCCCTCTTTCTCGCCCTCCTCCTCCTTGCTTAGTAACCCCTTCACGTCAAGGCGGCCGCTCGACTCAAAGTGAAGTTTTTCTCAGAGAATTTGTGGTGAATCAGACTCGGCTGAGCTGGCTGAGACGTTGTACTGCGTGTTCCTCTACTGTTGATTAGTTTCTGCACAAATACAATTCTGATCAACAGTGAAGATGTTCTGTCAAAACGCTTTCACCACAGACATCGACATCCCGAAAAACTTTAAACGTTAAAATATCTCTCACCTTCCCAAACTGGTCAAAGTACTGTTTGACGTCCTCGATGGTGGTGTTCACTGACAGGCCTCCCACGAAGATCTTCTTGGTCCGAGTCACCAACTGTAAGAGGAAGAAAGGCAAAGATGAACGCGTTTCTTTCGTCTTTACTGTCTGTTATAGTCTTGTTTTTTTTTGATTATATGTTATATCTAATACCATATTTAAAACTTTACTTTTTGTCACCGCTACAAGTATAAGTCAATGTGCTTTAATACTAAATACTAAAAATAGATAAATTAATTGTATATTTATCGTCAAATGAATATTACGCAGCAACACACCAGTGATATTTTTTTCCTGTAACTGCAATTGTTACCGCATTACAAATAAATTATGTTATCCTCACCACTGCTCCCAATATGTAAATAAAATAATCATTATACTCTTCATTAAAAGCTCCGGTAGACGATAAACAGCAGAAAACTTCACTGTCTTTAGGTGTAACTTAAACCTGCTAAAGGACAGTACAAACATAAGGCATATTGACACAATTTCCTTTACAGGTAATGCAATACACTGTTTGACCAACTAAATGAAAAGTGTTTTTACAACCTGGTGACAATTCAATCATCTGTGTAGTGCACTACAAACAACGCAATCTAAGGAGGCTTGACAATTATTATAAACCTTTCTCTAACCAACCGTATTCATGTTTAATAAAGCACACACATTCATGATGCTATTCTATTACATGATTTAGCTTTGTTAATAAGGTTTGTAGGGGTCATTACTAAACCCCGTGCTCCTCTTAACACTTCCACTCCAGGCCGAAAAAGAATGGAAAACTCTTGTATATCTGTTTCTTGCATGATGTTTGCTGCTTTAAAGTACACAAAATCTTTAAATAAAAAAAATACTGATTCCTGTGGTGGGTGACAAGCAAATCCTGGGTTTTTACACTTTAATTATTTTTCGATGTTGTGCATTACTTTCTCTTGCTTTCATAGGGCGGAAATTTTCTTAAAATTTAGTGAGGAATCAGAAAAAAAGAAGCAGGTCGTATATTCAATTTACACACATTAACAGAGGACGTCGCCCGACATCCATTCAAATTTGTTAACACAAAATCCAGTGTAATGAAATCTTTGGTCAGTGAGCACACAACAGACAAGAGCCACTTTTTTACAGCATCTAACTATTAGAAATTTGAAATAGAAATACATATATTTAGCAAGTTTTTTCTTCACTTAACTTTTTTCATTTTCATTGTGCATTGCATCGCTACATCCATGAAAAGTACATGCAGCAATATCAGGGATTTGTGCTGTGATTTGTTCCCTTTGTGAATAGTACAACACGACATGTAGTACCGACATGGATAAAATCTAATATTAACATTTATTTGCCCAAATACTACAATCTTGCAACTATGGGTTGGAGGTGGACTGTCGGTGCTTTTACAAAATATCTACATCTATCTAAAATCTTTGATAGATAATCATCAGTAATAGGCAAAAAATAAAACAGCAACTTAGACAGTCAGGTGATTTCAGCAAATACTTGGATGTACTGCAATGCAGCTTTCAAAACCAGGAATGGACAATACTTATTCCGATCATGAATATGTAAGACGATCCCCAGCCTAATTCCCTAAAATCAATATTACAACGATAAATTGCCCAGCCTTACAGTAGCTACACACGCACTACCAGTATTCCTTCATTCGTTTAGCCTCAGAAGGTATCTTCTCTATTTCTCACCGTGCTGTTGTTCATTAAATAGACAAACTGCCGAAAGATGTGGACACGGCGTCCTCGTTTAGGTGGGTTTAACAACAATCGGTGTCGGTAAAGTTGTCAACTTTTCAGTCAACATGCGATCACAGCGACGTCCGGGCTGCTCAGATTACGAGGCGTTCGCGACGCTGGGAGACGCACACCCGCTGGCTGCAAACAATGCGCGTGAGAGCAACGGGCGAGAGAGGCGCTTTGACTCACTTTGGGCTGAGCTCTGCGAGGGAACGCCACCTTGGGATCGATCTGCGGCAGAGAGAAGAGAAAAAAAGAGAGGACAGCTTAGTGTTGTGTCATTGATGCAGATACGGCAAGCTGTCACCTTCCTCTGGTGTCACCTTGACATCATAGCGTCGTCTTTCAGGGTGCAATGCATTCATGTCATTATTCCACCTGTTAATCACCGACGCTTAAATCGAAGCAATGATGTTAAAGACACCTGTCTTTATAAGGATCATCACTCTCAGGCCTCACCGTGCTGGAACACAGAAAGACGCCATTTATAACTGCGAAGGAAAACCTGGATGAAGGTGACGTGGAATGAACAGGTCCTGGTGTACTTTGACGTATCAGTAGATGACAAATAAAGGCGAATAAAGCCAAGATCCCAGATGGGATTTGAATTGTTTCCACTGAGGAGTTGGTTCACAGAAACTACATGAAATAAAATCAGCTCTCCTCTGGTGCTATTTAGTGGCACATGGTTTTGCTTTTTTTTACCACATGTTGAGAGATGGACATTACTAATTATATATTTAAAACATTGCCTCTCTTTCCAGATCAAATGCTGCGGGTTACAATGAAAACCAGAACTGCCTTGGGAATCGTTCTTGAACAATTGGACCCGTGACTGCTATTTCAAACATTTTATCACGTTCAGTGTCGGATGTGTGCAACGTGAACGTGCACTTGATTGTAAATGTGTGTGTGTGTGTGTGTGTGTGCAGCTGAGCTCGGGTGGAATGCCCGGGAATGTCCTGTGAACTCCTGCCTCTCTCGTCACTACCATGTGACATGTGATCTCCTGGAATCTCACACGGGCACCGCAATCACAAACACGCCTCACCTCGGCGAGGAGAGCCCGAGAGGGAGGACAAAGCGTGTCCGAGAGGCGCCGAATGGACCGAGGAGGGAGAGAGGAGGACGCGGACAGAGGAAAGGGAGCTGTCACTCAAACCGCACTGACGGCAAGATCCACCCAATTCTGTTTCATTGTTTTGGCCTCCTTTGGCTTTGGACGGAAGTGATGACAACCACAGGGACCATTCATCCTCCTGCACGTTCCGACCGTCCTCTGCCCTGAAGCTCCTAACGTTACGCTCAGGAAGAAGCGCCGGCTGGCCCTTTTTTTTGGTCTCATCTCTACGCTACAACTACAAACACAAACAATAGAAGTATGCACACAATGCGATCGAGCCCACTGAATTTGGGAGAGAACCACACCGTGCCGTGAGGATGCAATCATAGACAGGCTGTACAATTGGAATTTTGAGACCTCTATATTAGTCTAATAGAGGTAGAGAACAACTAGACTACTAGTCCACACTGTACTGCTGATGCGCTAATAGATGGTGAGACAGTACAGAGCTAAGATTAGTCCGTAACCACGAGAGGGTAGAGTTCAACTACAGTAGAGAGCTAGAGCCTTTATGGTAAACAACATGCGTTTACCAGAGTCGGGGTGACGGTGTTGTTTCTACTTGAATAAGAGTTTGACATCACCGTGTGTTTGTTTTGTTGGTCCTTTTCTCTTTTGTTCTAGAGAGCAGAGTGAGAAGACTATAGGCTAATACTGGAGGATCAGATGCAGAGTCTACGGTTTAGTTTCTATGGTGGCTAGACTACTCTGATAGTCACCTCCGGTCACCAACCCTCCTGATGTCCAACACTCCTGTGCACATTCAAAAACAAACAGACACACACACACAAACAAACAAAATCAAAGAAATGGCAGCACACAGCACATCCGTGGGGAGGGAAGAGTGGACATTAAAACACAAAGTGGCCGAAATCGTTTTTTGGTTTTGTGGAGGTAAAAAAAAAAGTTGATCATCGCAAAGTCAAGAGATAAAATCAATAAAATCTCCCTTTTGCTAAAAAAAACCCTGTGTTTTGGTGATTGGCACTTTGGAAGGATGTTTGAGCTATGCTGTTCAGTTTAACTCTGTAAGACAATTTGATGGAGGGCGTCTTTTTGTACTTACCAAAAATCGGACATTAAGACGTTAACATACAAGCACGATTTGTGACATCCAATGAACATTATAAAATGTATATTAAATCAACACCCATTTGGGATGTTTTCTCATTCAAACTGGCTTCAGATTCTGACTACGTCCTAGTCAATTGTGGGTGTGTGTGTGTGTGTGCGCGCTTCTACATCGACGTAGCAGTAGAACACGGATAAAGGAGAATAGATTTAAGATCAAGAAAGAGATTTAAACTGTTTTTCACAGAAATAACATCTTAAAAATCCCCTTTCCCCTACTTGTATTTAGTTGCAGATGGTTATGCTTATAATTACCCAGTTTAAGAGATTACCGATTACAAATTATTATTCCAAAACCTGAAACACGCCTACAGGGGGGATTTCATTTTAAAAAGAAACACATTGTTCTATAGAGAGATGTGAAGACTTCAGAAGCGTTGTTGATGAAGATGCACATAATGAACCTCTCCACACTCTACACGCAACGAGGTAACAGGGATGAAGCCGAATGTAATTCCAGGAGAGGTTTACGAAATCAGGGCAATCCCCTTTGACCAGCTACATCCCGGCCGTGCAACAGTTAGCCGAGCGCGCCGCCCGTCACAGCCTGAGCTGCAACGTGCCGATTGGGCACAATCGAGATCTCTGAGGAACAACTCAAGCTTGTTGACGCCAATCCTATTAGCCAGGAGAGCCATACTAATCACAGATGGGGTCATCCTGCCCCCGCCCCCCCTCTACTTTACACTCAGGTCTGCATGGAAATGGTTAACGGGCGCCACACATATGCCTGATGCAGCTTCAGCAAAGAGCTCAGTGACTTTGTTGTGAACTTCTCCGCGGTGCGACTGCAGTTCAATGGAAACTTTGTCCCACGCGGAGGTGCAGTTTGCATCGGCCGTCGATAACTTTGCAGACAGCAGGGAGCATCCAGGGGGGGAAACTAACCGAGCAGCAGCTAACATTAATCACAGTAAAAAAAAAAAAAAATGCCTTCCTGAACTGGTCAAAACTGAGCCGCATCCGTCCTTCAACACAATAAGTAGCAATAAATTCCCTGTATTTGCTCTTCAGACTCTGGGCTGCGCAGAGCTCTGTTAATTCCAGTGCCGGAGCGGTTCACTCGGTCACAGCATGGCACATTCTTTCTGTTGCCACTGGAGAACTTTTTCTCTTCCCTCTCTAACAGGATAACCTGTTAGCATGAGAGAGAGAGGGGTAGGGGGGGGGGGGGGGGGAAGCAGTCTAAAAAGGCCTACTCTACTCACCATCCAACCCCTGTTGGCGGATCACTGAGCCCTCTCCACGCCAGACACACACATTCTCTGAGGCGGCCTCGGCCCCCACCCAACGCCACCGACACACCCAACTGGCAGCCACAAGGGGCCCTGCCACGGCCCACAGGCCACGCAGTCAACACATGCAGGAGTTCAGAGGGGAATCTCACGTTAAAAGAAGGGTGTCATCATCTCAAAAAAAAAGAATAAACTCAATAAGTTGCTTTTGAGGATGAAGCCTCAGTTTCATGACCTCGACTGGCTGTGACTGTTTATGCCGGCTTGATTTCTAGTATCCAAGAAATGATTGTAAAATGATGTGCATTGTTATCTTCCTTTTCTTTCTTCTGTGACAGAACCATTCTTCAACTTTTTTTGTGTGTGTGTGTGGAGGGGGGTTTGGGGAGGGAGGGGGGGGGGATCACCATGGCAACAAACCCCATGGCGAGTTAGTGGCGTCCAACCATGATGCCGCTACTTGTCATAGCTGTTGTGTCTGCAAGTCACACTATAGCAGTAGGGCACTGGGGGAAACCCCAAAATATACTAAATAAAAACGCAGTTAGACCACATCGAAGAGATTCAAACCTTCTTAATTTGGGATTCATCATGAGGAACGTTTATAATTTCCTTGTAACTTTCTACAGCAAATCTTTTTCTTCCCCTCTTCTTGTCACATTCCTTTCTTCAGCACCTCCACTTATTCTCTAAGGATTTGAGAAGGTGCATCGCTCACAGCACAAAAGGGGTAAGAAGAAACAGCCTCCCCTAATTTCAATACAGTGACTAACCGGCAGCCATCCCCACTCCCACAGAGGAGAGAGGCGGGGGCAGTGGTCCCTATGGCGACCAACGGGCCACATTGTTCCCAGACCGACCCACATTCATTACTGACAAAAAGACACACACACACACACAGCAACACAAGCAATTAATGCATTTTAAGTTACAATTCATCATCGCTGTATTGGCCGTTTTATTTCTTCAGAGATCAACAGGACGTTTTGAGGAGCTTGTTTTCCTGCTTTTACACGCCGATGGTTTCACGTTGCTTTTGCTGATTCCATTGAAAAACTTTTTTTTAATGGGGGTCAATTCTTCCCTTTGGGAACGAAAAAAAAGCTGAAGGAAAGTTTTTGGTTCACTCTTCCTAGAGACCAAATTAAAAAAAGAAAATGGGTAACCCTGTATGGGTCCCCTTGTTTCTATGGAGATTGACACTTGATGACATTTTCTTGCCTGTTTGGCTGAAATGTGAAGACACACACACACACACACATTCTCCCATGTGTCTCTCCACTGTCGACTACTGACTCAATCACGTTAAGAGCTCACATCGGCGTTTTGGCAGCGGACACAGACTTGGTTCGAGGAAAGACATTGGCATCGGGGAACCTTAGCGAAAATATAAAAAAATGCGGCATTCATACACCTCTCTCGCGGATTATAAGAAAATCCGCTAATCAAACACTGAGCAAAGGGATTAGTCGGTAGGAGGAGGTAAATACAGAGAACTCACTGTTTTGGAGTCCAACTCGTGCCTGGTTTGGGCCAAAACTTTATCCACGCCGGCCTGATCAACAAAGGTGACGAATCCAAACCCTCTGCAGACATCAGGGAGGGGGAGGGGGTATTAATGACACGGAAACTGATGGCGACACGTAATGATAGGTTATGAGCAGAGGGAAATCACAGAGCTCAGATAAACTTTCAGCTGCGGCGCAGAAGCCGACCTCACGGTTCCCTCACCTCGAGCGCTTAGTAACCGGATCTCGCATCACCATACACTCTTTCACCTCGCCGTACTTGCAGAAGTACTCCTTCAAACCCTCTGGGAAAAAAACAAACGAGGTGGAGGGGAGAGACGTTATTGAATGAATCAAGAAAATGACAACTTTTCTAATAATCAAAATTACAAGGGCTTGGACTCTGCTGAGATTTGCATCAGAAAAGTGCATACTTCATACGATTAAATGATTAAATCAAACATTGCAACAAGCGATGACCTGTAATCGGGACTTCACTAAAGTGAACAATAATTCCAACAAAAATGTTCATCCTATTACTAACTGAATAAGCTAAATTCCCCCTTTTTAATGAGCTTTTAAGAATCACTCTTTCAGAGCTACCATAGAATGAAAGAGAGCATTCATTCTGGAGCAGGATTCATACTCAAAAGTAAAAAAAATAAACAAATCCAATATAGGCATGCAAGAATACGAGAAGAAATACACCTTTCAAAATAAGTTTCCATCAGTTCCATCTGATTCATGCCGGGAGTGTTAAGAACAGACAGTGTCGTTTTATTTAAGAATAAGTAGTGAAAACCGTTTTACCTTGTGTTGTTTGCCAGCTGAGACCCCCTATGAACATTTTACTGTGGACAAAAAGAGAAAAACATTTTTTGCGTATTCATGAATTGAGGATTCAGGTTAATTCATCTGTATAAATGAAACTGTAAACTGCATTTTGTAAAGTGTAATCCTGCAGGTGCAGACATCCCTTCGGAGTTGATCTGAGGGGAAGCTGCTCTGTGTGTGGAGGTGTGCGAGCCCTGACCGGACCCGGACTCCCCTCCTCTGCAGAATGACCCCTCCGTTTCCCGAGCAGATGTCGCTCCCCAGACTTTCTTTTTAAAGTTAGTTCTTTCCTTACCAGGGGTCGTGGGGGGAGTCCGTGGTGGACAGGCTGGTCTGGCTGCCTTCCGTCTCCATTGCGGGTGCTCGCTGCGCGTCGGGGAGTGAGAGCTGCGTGTGTCCGAGCCGAGCCGTGCGGGAGAACAGATTGAGTGAGAGGAGCGGGGCGGGTTTGGCCCGGGGTGACAGAGGAGGGGAACGGGCCAGATGCTGGGACAGACTCCTCCTCCTCCTCCTCCTCCTCCTCCTCTTCCTCTTCCTCCTCCTCCACCCCCACCTCCTCCTCCTCCTACTCCAGTCGGTCAATCCCGATGCTGAGTCGCTTTTTCGCTCATCCCACCACCGGGGGACGCGGCCCGGGTTTCAAGGCATCGCCTGCCAGCCACGCTGCTTCCGCTGAACCCTCCACAATAAAGAAATGTCACGTTTTTAGAGGGAAGGGATGTTTCGGGGTTTCACAATCGGGGATTTGAGGTAGGCAGGGATACTTATATTTACAAAAAAATGCATAGATGTTCTTCGGCTCAATTTATTGAAGCAAAAGTATTTTTAATTGAAGGTCAGAATGTTAACACATTTCTTGCAAACCAGCTACACAATGTACAAAATAGATCAGGTAATAATAAATAATAGTACAAAAATATAAACCTTTCTTATGAAGGAAACATGTTTAAACTTCCTTTCACAATATGGCAGATTTTGATTAACTTTGCAATTTCCATCCTAGGAAGGATAAAGTGTAAACGAGTAACAATCAGTTACAAGAAATAATCTGCATTTGACAAACTGTCTGGAGACGCTCTTAAAAAAGAACGATGACAACAAAAGGCGTGAAAAAACATATTACTTGTTACAGCAAAAAAACAGTGCATGCGACTTGTAATGATATTCTCAGGGAAGTAATGGCAGCAAATGGTAAAGGCTGTCAATTCAATTCAGAAGTGTATCACAGACACTACACACATAACACGAAATGCTGTTAACTGCTCGAAAAATGTTTTGGTCCTTACCAAAAAGTGAATAATAACAGTTAGTTAAGAAATGAATAATCATTCCTTGATATCAGTAACAAGCTTTAATCAAATTAAATCAACACCAGGCATACTTGTCCTTTAATATACCTACATGCTCTTGTATGTGTCTGAGGGGCTTGAACAACAACTTATGGTTTGTTACGCATTGTTGAATTTTGAACGACTGATCTATAACGTCACTAACATACCTGGGTTTTTGTGTCATTTTAAGTGAATGTATATGCAGTGTTGATTGTTCTGGTTTCATCATCACTACCAACACTGTGTCTGTTTGTCTTAATACACCTTCCATATAGCAAACAGGCTTATGCTATGTGGTGTACAACAGGAGGTTTGTGTGCTCATTCATATCCGGGGTTTAAGTATCTAATTAGTATCAAAGCCAGCACCAGCTAATCTTCTCAACACTGACTCAACATGTGACCTGCTAACCAACGTTAAGGCCAATCGGTAGCCTGAGCAACACAAAGACGACAACTGCTTTGGTTTACGGTGGCTGTAAAATGGCTGCTCTCTTGTTGGGATTGGTGCAAAGTTTGGAAAGTCTGCATACTTTTCAGCATACTGATGAGTCCAATACACTTGGCGCTGGTTATGTCTCCGAATTACACATATACCTGTAACAATAACTTCTTCAGAGAGACACCACAAGTTTGGGGTGTGTAACCCAGGATGTTTGGGCACAGATTTAGATTCACGATTGTCCTTATTAACACAGTCAATCCACACTGTGCAGGCCAGTGTCCTGCATGCACATTTCTATCCTCCACAGATGAGAAGACAAAGTTCTGAAGGTTGGACAGGGGCTATTTGGACAGGAATTAAGGGGTGTGTTAAATTTCTGCATGCATGATCAATGGGGTTGCATGGTGGGGATGGGGTTTGGGGTGGAAGGGAGGGCTTTAGGCTCAGGCAGAGGACGACAGAGAGCTAGTATCGAGAAAACAGGGAGAGACAGCCAGCAATAGCTCACTAATGAGAGATGGACAGTGTGGATTGTAGCTCATTATCAATCAACGTAGCTTTGAGTTCTCCGGAGAGGGAAAATGCGAGCCTTGCTGTGTGCTGCGTGTGGTCCATTTCGATAAACCCAGCTTGTGTGGAGGGGCATTAGTCACAGCCGTATCTTAGCTGTTGGAAATACACACACATCGCCCTCTGTCCGTTTTGGTGAGGAGTTTTCGCTGAATAGTACAATGGGACTTAATTACAGGTCAGTGGCATGTCTCAGGGAGATAGAGGGAGCTCTGTTACCCTTTCCAAATACAGTATAATGCCATCTTCCCAAGGGTGGGGTGGGGTAACAAGAGCTCTACACAAAAAGGTGCTGATAGGCTGAACCTGAGAATGGTCTAAGGTAACCAGGCAGAGAAAGTGAGCGTTTTACACTGAAAGAGAGAGAAAAGATAAAGGACTACATTAACTCTCAAAGGTGTGCTCCCTTTCAGTTTGCCCTCTTTCCTTTCCAGTCCACTTCCAACTTATCATTCCTGCCAAACAAGAAGGGGGGGGATCAAAGACAAAGGGATCATCAATTGGGAAATCAAGAAGTGTGATTGATAGAAGTCTGTGTGAACAGTTACGGAGGAATTTCTGAGTTTAGGGAGAAGTTAAAAGAAATGGCAATAAACATGCTTGCAGTCTTTTAAAGGACAGTCAGGTGGTCTTTAAAAACAATAAACAACCTAAACTGCACTTGACATTTAGACTGGTCCTTCAAACCAGGGAAGGAAACGAAAATATGTCCTCATTGAGAGCAACGGTAGAACACAAGGCAGTGATATAAACATAAACATGGTTATAATATCAACAGGTGAGCAAATGGGGCTCAAAATAATAACATAGTAGTAATAACAGTATTTTATTCCCCCCTTAAGCTTGTGACCCCTTATAATAAGCTGTTAGTTGTATACATTTCAAGTGTTATACAATTGTTGTCAGTTCCACCGAAGAGGGATTTTATCTGTAAACTTCTCACACTCAACTTAGATGCTCAAAACGTTTCGGTACAGATTTATGTCGCAGCGCTGTTTTTTATTCCTCCTTCCTATCACACTAATCAAACAACCCCCCATTTTTGTCAATTGGAGACGGCCTGACCATTAGGTTGGAAACAACCGGCCTTAACTACCCGACTGCATATAAAGTAGTTAATAGAGACTTCATCCGTGGACAAGAACAACGTTCTATTCACACTAATTTATACATAGAATATACAATAAAAAATATGATACTATGTCAGTCCAGGGCTAGTTTTCTGTGAAACGAGTACTTTTACTCGTTCTATTTACTACTAATTTATGTTTTTACTTAAGATTATACACATTTCCCTGTGATATTGGTTATTTTACTGAAGCAAAGGATCTGTGAACATCTTCCACCACAGCATGTAACATTATGCATTGCACACACATGCCAACCTGCACACACAAATAAATGATGTGATGCAGATTTGAACCAGCTTGTGAATGCTGTTCTCTTGGTGATAGGTGATACTGTGTGCATATAACAGCCTCTAGCTTTGGTAACTCTGGTGTCGTTCACGTCCTGAGACCGGCGTGGCGCGGCAGCGCTCTCTAGTGGCGCGTGTGTGGAAAGACGTGTTTCAACTCAGCAAATGTAATGTTGTTCTGGGACTTTATTGTGACATTTATAAATACATGCTTCCACATTCAAGTTTGGAACCCCGTAACTTAAATAAAATGGTCAGAGGAGCTTATCTAAATGTGTCCTAAAAGTCAGTTGGACTGTAACATTAAAAGAAGTAGTGTAAGTTTAGTGTATAAATACGTTGTCTCTACTTGTCGTCTTTGTCTGTTACAACCTGTTGCAGCGCTGCATGCAACTGTAACATGGCCTCATGTTAATTTATTGTTTATAAATTGCACTTTGGTCACTGTTGGGGACTGAGGGAGTGGGGACAAAGTTCACAGGATGCATGTAAGGAGGAGGGGGTGAAGAGGAAGGTTAAAAAAAAAAGAAAATTAACCTCTGATAGCAAAACAGCAGGTGGAGAGCTGAAACCAGGCAGCTCAGGACGCATTCGGAGGAAATTCAACCCAGGAAAAATGAAATTATCTGTTCTTTTAAGCTAAAGAGAGACTGCAAATACAATGAGGCCCAACGCTGCCTGTCTGGCTTGAATGAGCCGGTGCACATGAGAGCCGTGTTTGTTTGCAAAGCGGAGGCGAGGTAAGGCATCAGAGCAATGGAAGAGAGGTTAGAGGAAAGGGCCGCAGCGGCCACGGCGAATCCCGGCCGCTTGACCGCACTTCAGGAGCAGCTGATCTGGGCCCTGCTGGGATCTGGACTGTCCCGGGACATCCTGGTTCAAGCCATAGGAGAGCTGGAGCGAGACAGGGCGAGTGCTGGCGCCGAGAGAGGAGAGAGGGGGGATGGAGAGAGCTCCGAGGAAGGAGAAATGGATTTCCCGCCGCCAATATTCCGAGAGTTGGAAAAGCTTCTCCCAGAGGAGGCGGCCAAACTGAGGGCTGAAGTGGACCGGCTATTGCAGTAAGTAGATCCCGGCGCTGTTCTGGAGCACCTTGGCAACATCAAGATCACCCTAATTCTCAATAACTGCCAAATCCATCACAGCCATTGGGTTGTGCCTGTGTTAGACCTGATCGGGTAAACTTCCAAAATACATGGACCACCTCATCAATACTGTATTTCGTTTACCCCCTCTTCTCTTTCGCCCTCTCTATACCAAAACTAAGGAGCAGTTTACCTGATAACATGCCCTTCTTTGTCTGTTTTCTTCTGAAGTTCCCCTCTCTCCACCAAATCTTCCCTCCTTCTCCTGCTTCTCTGTCTGTCTCTCTCGCTGCAATCTGGCCTCTAACGGGGAATTTAAAAAGGGTTCCTCCTTGCTAGTTACTAATTACCCACCACCATCATTATTCTCTGGCCATTTCTTGATAAATACGCTCCATGCATGGGTGAAGATTAATGGAGTGGGGTTGGTCTTGTCTATGTGTACATAAGGCAAGAGCAGTATTTATACATCTTTGTACACCCTACTTTTCTGTTATTTGAAATACATTGCTATCATGTACTGAGATCTGTCTCTTTAAAAAGGATTAAAAACTGCAAAAAAGTGCCAGTTTAAATATATATATATACCTAGCATTACTGTCTCTGAAATCAAATCTGGTAAGGTCAGAGTTTCAAAAATGTGTGTGTATTAAATGTTCCTGACCTGACAGTTGGAAAGTGTTAAACAAGGCTTCATAAACCTTTCAGTTTTTCCCTGCATGGAACACACAGAGCTGGACTTTGCCCTTTTGTGCTTTCCCTTATCTCTCTCTGTCAATAAGCCTCTATCTACTTCCCCCTCAGCGGCCATCTTTGATGTCTAATGTTGTGGCAAACTGTTAAGCACTTTTTTAAGAAACCATTTAAATATTCATATTTTATATAATATAATAATATTGTGTTTATTTGTATTATTGTCCAATTTTATACACCATCTGCCATAGCGAGTTCCTTTGTATGTACAACATACATACTTTTCTTAATAAATGCTTATTGTGTGGATTCTGATATAAACAAAAAGCAAAAAGCACACACATACTAGAGACTTTGAGGTGGGCGGTAGGATGAAAATAATGATGTCGTTGTCTGATAGGGAGGACCCGTGGCACGTTGCTAAAATTGTGAAAAGCTACATGCAGCAGCACAACCTCCCTCAGAGAGAGGTGGTGGAGTCCACAGGACTCAACCAGTCCCATCTCTCCCAGCACCTCAACAAAGGCACGCCCATGAAGAACCAGAAGAGAGCCTCTCTGTACACCTGGTACGTCAAGAAGCAATGCGAGATCAGCCAGCGTGAGTACACAAGCAGCGGTGGAGCTGCTTTCAAACATACATCAAATATCAAATCTCTAAATCGCTGTGAAAAATGTTGTAAAAAAGCTATAAATAAAAGAAGCTTTTCCTTTTCAGAATTTACCAACGCAAAACATGGCCTTGGATCTGCAGAGGAGCAAGGAGAAGACACCAGGAAGGGACGGAGGAACCGCTTCAAATGGGGTCCGGCATCCCTGCAGATCCTCTTCCACGCCTACGATCGGCAGAAGAACCCCAGCAAAGAGGAGAGAGAAGGTTTAGTTGAGGATTGTAACAGGTGAGGCACAGTGACGCTACAAGGATGAAACAGGATATTGTTCATCCATCTTACTTTTCTGTCACCTTCGCACCACAGTACACAAATAACGGGGCACTTTAGTGAGGTTGACCTTTTATGCTTCATGGTTAAAAAAAATGTTGGCCTCACTCTCACCATTAAAATGTAAAGTATCAGAGTGCTCTTTGTCCCTCAGGGCGGAGTGTCATCAGAGGGGGGTGTCTCCGTCTCAGCTTGCCGGCCTCGGCTCCAACCTGGTTACCGAGGTCCGGGTGTACAACTGGTTCGCCAACCGCCGGAAAGAGGAGGCGTTCCGTCACAAACTGGCTCTCGACACGCCTTTTACCAGCCAGTCCACCTCCTCTTCTCACCACAACCTCCCCCCGAGTCCGGAGCAAGGTAATACCCGTACGGTGTTCAGGCAGGCTTGTGGACTCATGAGTTGAAACCCGAGAGTGAAATGAAAACCTGCCTCGAAAAGAAAGAAAGCGAGGGAGACAAAGTTAAACTTGCCTACTCCGGATCTCAAGGTGTTCTTGAGATGCGGCACTAACCTGCGCACTCTTGCAGACCTGACTCTTCTGGTTCAGAAAGTGCTTCTGTCTCCCTGTTGCTCTCGTGCTGCACCTTGGAGCCGTCAACCGATGCATCTGTCTGACGCATTTGTAAAGTATGAACCCGGTCAGTGTTGCGAGGCCTGACTTCTTTTTTTCCAGGTGTCAAATACAGCCAGCAGATCCTGTGTGACACCTTGAGCTCAGCGAGAGGAAGCTTGGGGGACAGAGTCGGTCATCTGATGGTCAGCCCGATCCAGCTGGAGCCCAGCCACACACTCCTCGAGACGCACAACCCCAAGCTGGTGAGAGCATGTGTGTCATGGTCCTGGTTTGTATTGTAGGCTACCTGTGTGCGCTGCTGTCCTCGTGACCGTCCTCTGTTCTCAGGTGTCCAGCGGTGGCCCACTGCCCCCGGTAAGCACTCTGACCTCGCTGCACAGCCTGTCGGCCTCCCCTGCCTCCTCGCAGGGCCTCATCATGGCCTCGCTGCCCAGCGTCATGAGCATCGGGGAGTCGTCACTTCTCATTGGTAACATCGCCCTCGCTAGTTCACCCTCTCATCTCTGTCAAGAAATAAACCTGAAAAGAACAAATGTGGCCTTTGACAGGTTTAGCCTCCACGCAGCCTCAGGCCGTGCCTGTTATCAACAACGTCGGGGGAAGTTTCACCACTCTCCAGCCAATCTCTTTCCAGCAGCAGCTTCACGGCTCTCCCCAGCAGCCGCTGTCACACCACCTGCAGAGCCACATGGGGGCCAGTCCCTTTATGGCGACCATGGCGCAGCTGCCGTGTCACAGTAAGACCACAGCGACAAACCGGCGTGAGCTCAACGTGTTCTGTCCGAGGGAGGACTCGCTCACCTGTTTTCTTCGTTACAGTGTACAACAAGTCGGATTCGCCTCAGTACCACACGTCCAGTCTGCTGTCTCAGGCCATGGTCATCACGGACAGCAGCAGCCTGGGGACGCTGACCAGCCTCACTGCCGTAAGACAGGTAGCAGACTCATGACGGACAGGTTGGTCTGTTGGAAAAAGGAAACATCCCGTAAAAACAGCCATTTTTTTCCCCCCTTGCGGTAGATTCTCACAGCAGATCCCGAGGAACAGAGGGGATCACCTTTAGAAGAAGACTCCCTCCACCTGCAGCCGCACACACCTGTGCCAGGTACACAGCTGTATATATGGGTCTACTCCTAAACATCTACAACCTTTTATAAAATCCTTGGTATGACATCATGTCTAGTTGAGCTCATTTCAAAAGGGACCTCCTATCTACAATTGATTTTTGACCTTCCAGCTTGACACAAATCAAACTGGACTCATTAAATTGCATCACGGAACGCCACAAAGTGTTCATGGAAATTTCAAAATAAGTTGTTCGTTTTGGGGAAATAGGCTTCCTTTTTAATAGTCAGACAGGAAGATTTATACCACTCTCATTCAATCTGAAGCTGGAATCAGCAGCCGGTCCAGTTCAGCTGGTTGCCTAGCAACGCCATGGTGACTACATGACTCCAGAAAGTCACTGCTCTCCGCCAAGAAAAAGTGTGGCACATAACAGCCTGGTGAACCACTTTTAATCCACACTTCTTCCGCAGACAAAAAGATTGTCAAATGTAGCCATTGTTTGTTCTTCCATCAGCAGTAATGGAAGTTGTCTCGTACCTCATCATATCTAAATATAACCACCTGTGGTCTCTGTGATGGAAGGAAGGAAGGGGAGTTTCTTTCTGACAACAACTTATTTTAAATGATTTTGTGTCAACAGCTTCCTCCGACAGGCTGGAGCTGTATCCTGCCTCTCAGTCGACGGAGAGTCATCAGTCTCACCTGCTGTCACCTTCACCAGCAGACATCAGCGCCTACATCCCCACACAAATGGTCTCTACTGCTCAGTAGAAGTGCTCTGGCAACTGAGCGTCTCCTCCCGGTCAGTCGGGTGGACATTGTGTTTTGGATGCACAGCTACCTGTGGTGTAAATGACCAGAAGAGCCTGGACTCAGGGCCCCGGGGTCGTGTTTCAAAGGCTCTCTGAAACTCCAATGTAATACGAACAAGAAATGGCATTAGAGAAGATTCACTTTTGATACAACAATAAACTGAAAAATCAACACTAAAATGTATTTTTATTAAAATGTTTGGTAACATTAAGAAACTGTGCATTAAATTGAAACTTTAAATTGCATGTTACCTGCATTGATTTTATCACAGCCCTAAAGTACCTTTTTCCCCTTGATGAATCATAAAATCTTTCATGACAAAAGATTATTTCAAGAATAACCATCAGCGATGGAAACACAAGGTTTTTTTTTGAAGACACACTATTGCCGTGTACATACAGATTAATAAAGACATGAATCATTTTGTGGGGGGAAAATATACCTTCAAGCTTGACGGACTGGGTTACAAACACATTAGTTCAGTTCTTCTGTGTGTAATTCTCTTTGTTTCTTTTTCTTTTTCCGTTTGACTTTGACCTGTGTGTCCTCCTGCTCACCAGTCCTTTGAGCACAAGGAGAACTTGCTACGTCCACCTGCTCACTCCCTTCTTGATTCTGCTTCTTCTTTTTCTTCCTCTTCTTCTTCTTCTTCGCTACACAAACATGACTCTCCTCTCCCTCTGCCACTTTCCTCTTTTTCTCATTGTTCTGCGATGCGGAGGGAGCGACGGGCGTAGAGAGCTGTGACGATTGGGATAGGATGTCTTTGACGGACACCGCTGCCTCCATCAGCCTCGTTTCCATCTCGCTGTCGCTATCACTGTGAACAAAAGACGAAGATTGTTAAAAACTATACAAAAAACTAATGAGGTTCTTTGAAAACTAAATAATGAAAAACCTTGAGCTGGGAACGGGCCGACGCCTCACAGGGGCTGGAGGATCATCGGCTGCCTGTCCCGGTACGGACGTAGAAAACAGACGAAATCCTAAAAAAACCATGAAAAAAATAGTTAGATGTACGGACAAGATAATGCAATTCCAATAAAAGCAGCAGGTACCAAAATAGGGAAAGAGAAACTTCACCTTCTTCATCATCATCGTTATCACATCGTTTTGGTTCCACACAGGATACATTTTCAGTATACGTTTCTGCAATGGAACTGACAGACACAGTGTTAAAACATGTGCAGCTTTTGCTCACAGTATCAGGAGATCATTGCGTTAAGAACGTCCCTCCGCAATCCAGCTGCACGTACCCTTCAAGAAGACGCCCCAGCTTGGCCGCGACGTGGGTTCGAAACCCCGGGGTGACCTGGAGCTCGTTGCAGTCGTGTTCGTGGTCAGCGACAACAAAGCTGGTGCACAGATATTCAAATATTTGTATGCAAGTCCGATATTGCCAATGATATAAAGTTAATCTAGACATGCAACAGCTGGAAGACTTTGACTACAGTTTGCTAAATGAAGGAAGATTTGTTTTGTAGGCTACTTCTACAGACACTGGACAGCTAACTTGTCTTCCTTCCTAATAATCATGTATGGATAAACGATATGTTGACAAATAGGCTTACCGCTTTGAAAGTTGCACCTTAATCTCCCCATCTGAAACGAACACACATTTACCAAATGATCTTTGATGCCAGAACTCTCGAGGAGTTTGAAAGGGATTAGCGAGCTCAGTTATTGGTGGCGATGGTTAAAACAAGACTACCGGCTGCGAGATTAAAGCAAGCTGACGAGCCCTGAAGTCCCATAAAAAAATGGAATATTTTTGACAGCTATGTAACTTTAACCAATGTTTAATCGCAACCAGCACGTTTGCATCTGAAGGACTTCTAACTAGGCTCTGGGCACTTCCACTTCATCCGCACCGACACATTCGCCTCGTGTCTTACTACTGAAACTACAGTTAAACGTTCACCTTTCTTTGAGTCACTTCGTGTCTCCCAGACCGCCTCTTTACATCGTTTCATCACTTCATCATCACTGCTGCTGCTGGAATCGTCGGAACCACCAGCCATGTTTTTAGCTGTGGCCGCCATGATAACGCACGTGCTGCCGGGGTCGTCTGTTTTGAGCTGGGGATTCTGGGTAATGGAGTCTGTTCGACGAGGGGAATCGCGTGAACGAAAACCAGGTTTTTCACTACGCTTTTATTTATCACTGTCGTCATACAAACTTTGATCAGAATGGAAATGAAATCTTGGTAATTCTATTCAAATTGTCATATTTTTTTAGACAAAGTGAAACCTAGATAATAGATTCCCCAGTTTACATTTCTAATACAAAGTTTTAAAAAGGCCACCTAATCAAGTCACAAGTCACGTAGCTATAGTAACCATTTAGCTGGAAGATACAAAAGCCCCCAAATCCCTGATAATTTTCTTATGATTTCACTGCTTATCTCTTTGCTATTTTTATATACTCTGGTATGACATTACAATAAAATTAGCCTATGAACAAAGGTGTCTTAGGAACAGGTCACACAATGAATGAATGTTTTGCTCAGTATTCTCTTAGTTCAGAGTGTAGCCACTTCTCAAGGCTCTTATCATCTTATTTTACTACCACCGATACTGTATGGCAAAGCAATGCACTTATTTCTAGTTCTTACAACACTTGTGCTGCTAAACAACAGTCCAACAAACGGCTTTTTAAACCAAATGATTAAAACAAAAAAAAAAGGTCGTCCCGGGTTGTGGAGTGAAGGCTACAGCTCCCTGATAGCACAATTATTGGAGTTCTAAATGAGCTACATAATGGTTTGTCACTGCTTTTCAACAGTCAAATTCCAAATATAGGCGTAATAAGAGTATGTTTCACAACAGTCATACCCGCAATATTGCTTTCTCTTCCCTTCAGACACACAGATGGATGGTTACATAGAAACCCCCCAAATAAAAAAATACCAGGAAATAAGGCACATGGAATAATGTTACAATGTAAGAGTAAATGGATCGTTTTTGTAACATATGAAAATAACCTTTAGACTACTCCCGTGGTTTCGCATGAATCAAATGCCTTGATGATAATAATAATAGCAATGCTGACCATTTAAGAATCCTCTCTGGCCTCTCAGACAGCTGCTGAGTTCCATTCACGTCTGTACAAAGTTAAAAATCAGAGAAATGGAACCGGCTCATTGGACAAAATCCTCAAAGCATTGCTGCTATGAAAAGAGAAATTATAATTCTGCATCTATCGAACCGCCTCAATAAAAATATGTCAACTACCAAGCGTCATCAGCCTGTGCTGTCATGTTGTGTGCTAGCGCGTATTCATTGATAGATTGAGGACCTGAGTGTGCAGCGGCAGAAGATGTACTGAGCAACCAGTTTGATAGGTACACACCACCGCTTCCATACAAGAGCTGTTGTGCCAAATAAGTCGTAAAGAATCAACTCAAGCGGTTAAATAACTGTGCTTACACATTTGATTGGTTAAAGGGGAAGATCAAAGACTTTGAATTATGGCAGATAACGCAAGTCAAGGAACTTATGCGGCTATCTTGTCATTGTCTTCCATCATAGTGCGTTCCAAAGTTTAATAGAACAAACACTATATTGCCAGGCGACTGCCAAGTGTGTTGTAAAAACCGGTAACAGATATTAGCGAGTGAAGAGCTGGCATTATGAAAAAAGCTAATGCTATTCTTGAAAACAGAATGAAAAAAAGTCCTATTAAAAGATAAAATGTTTCTTAGAAAACAGAACGAAAATTTAAATATCTGACACAAACTGCTTTAATGAATGTCAACTGGTACTAGATATTTAAAAAAAGAATAATACTCAAACAATGTTAACTTAAGCTACATGATCATCTATGAATAACAATACTGTAAAAACTCTAGTTAATGCTCGCTTTTCCTTACGGGAAACACAATTGTCACTTGCAAAATTAATCCCCAAATCAACTGATAACATCTATATACTAAAGTAAATGACGTTATGGCTAACACAGTCTAATATTTTAGCCATAACAGTCTTTGACTCAAAATGTCCCTTTCCAGCAGAGACGGCAAGAAACGTAAAGGCGAAAGGGAAACAGGATACTTGCATGACAAACCGAAAGACAGAACAAAAAGGTTACAGTTAGATTTATCAGAAATATTTGACTGAACATTCCCCGGAGTCAAAGAAACTGGGTTCAATGGAGGTACTGATGAATGGATCCTTGATTTCATATTAAGGCAGATGGTCTGTTGGTTCTGAAGAATGTTGTCCAGTTTGTTGGAATGCCCCCAAAAAAAGAGAATACCTCAGTACACCCAAAAGCCGGTCGTTATGCAGGAAATGAATATCCTGAAAAGTATTGCAAACATTGTCCATTCAGGCTTTACAGACCACCATTGTAGGCATAGTCTGCCTTGTTGTGCATGATGAGTTTGTTGTCAACAAAGTAGAAACTGTCTGATCTGGTCTCGTAAGGGTGTGCCACCATTTGGCGAACTGGAGAGGAACACAGAAGAAAAGAACAAAGGAAGGGCAGATGAAGCGGAGATTTAAACATTGATTATTATGGGAAAATATGCATGCAACCTAATAAACATTGGCGGCTGAGTAAAATGAACTCACTGAGGTCATCTGGCAGCTGTGGGAACTCGTAAATGTGTTCGCACGTGTTGCGGCTGTCGGGGATGCAAAATCCAAAGTCGAAGTCAAAGTTCTTGAGAAGGCGTCCCTGGAAGTAATGCCTCTCAATCATACGGAAGCTGTTGATGGGCCGGTCGCCCACCGTGAACTCCACACTGAGGTTTAGAAACAGCAACGATAAAAAAGGACAAGTCAATTGAGAACATAAAAGTCAGATTAATATGCTCTCTGTTTATACGCGCTTCAATCTTACTGTTGATTTACTTACGTCGCACCAACTGTGCACAGTTTTAGGAAGGCTGGTGTAAACTGATATCGCACAAAGCGCCCTGCACTGATGTCCACATCTCCGCTCTCTTCTTCACCCTCAACAGGACCTAATACAGAAAAAGGGTTTAGCTGGCTTGCATCCAATATTCACAGGACATGCCATTGTTCAACATGACGTTAAATTTCCTGTCATTTCAAAAAATATAGAACCTATAATTCACCAGATATATTTAAAAAAAATGGGATTAAGCTGATGTTACACAGTGGTAGTAAGAACAATAGTAATTAAGTTTAAGTTTCCATAGTTCTTTCTTGAAAAGTTGTATCCATTTGTTACTTACTAATACTAGTAATCAAGCCATGAAAATTAAATGTTGACTCTACTCGTGGGACTTTCTGGTCTCTTATGTAATGTATTTCTGGTGAGCACAATAAATAGCATGCCCCTGGGATAGTATGCCGTTCTCGTGCTTGGTGACACGGTGCTTTGTTTGTTGACTGTGAAACACCGGGGGGCTTTAACAGTACAGCTTCTCAGAACTACACAACTTACACAGGGTTAGCTTCCATGTGATGATACGGATTAAAACAAGTCTAATTGAACAGCTACATTGCAAGGAAGTGTAAGCAGACAATCAATAACTTTACAGAGCTGTGGCTGTACAAGAAAAACCTGCCTTGTTGAGGGAAACAAATGTACCAGAGAAACGCCTCTGTGAGCTTTGTGAATAGTTGCATATTTTATGTTAACACGTCACTTACTGCTGTTAGGAGGTTTGGCGATCTCAAACAGCACTGTTCCAGTCTCCAGATCCCTGATCTTGAAACGTGTGAAATCAATGTTGAAGACGTTGTCTTCAGGTTTGCACAGATAGTCTGCGATGTAAAAAAAGTGGCAAGCTCATTTTAAGACAGACATAAGCATTGATCAATCTCACAGCAATTAAGCAACCATTAGTCATCAGTGGAACTTCATTGATATTTGTATGTGCTGATAATTATACTTTGGAGCACAAAAGGATTATCCTTAATCTGAGAACCGGGATATCCCATAATTTCCAACTAGGGTTTCAGTATTTATTACCTGGCTCCTGAGCTTTGCAGTAGTTGTGAGTAATGCAATAGCTCAACCTCCCAGCGTTTCAACAGTGTCACGAGAGAGAGGGGAAGCAAAGCCATTGTTGTTCCAGGAAGGGCCAAAGAAACAATGGAAGGCATTAAGCGTTAAACTGAGGTAGAGGAGGGGTGTCCGATGACTGAGATGGTTGAAGCGGGGCAGTAAGGTACAACTTGGGTGAAACGGTTGCGCTTCCAAGAGACCAAAGGGAAGGGGGCCAAAAAGCATTGGATGAAATTACTGAGATCAAATACAAAACGTAACGATTGGTAGTAAACACAGTGGTATTTGTTAGCTGGAAAGAAACATGACTGCTGTTGCCAAATACTATAATTTGTAATCAAAAAAAAAAAAACGTTTTTTCCCCCCAACTTGCAAGAAAAAAGCTATTAACACAGGGGGCCCTGGATACTGAAATGAGCCCTTCTTGGTGGCCCAAATTCCCTGCTACGCCCCTGGATATCTCCTACTTTTTTGGTTAATGCTAAAGCGTATCGACACTCAACTCAAAACATAGGTAGACAAATGCTAACGCTACTCGTTTAAACAATTGTACATAGTGACTAGTCATTAGATTTAATGGAGACATTGGAGACAACTGATCTGAAAACTCGTCACTTAGCCACAAGTAGCATAGGACACTGTGGCTTAGCCGCAGGTTTAGCCGGTTTAACGACTTTTATTAGGTCTAAATTAACATAACGTACCCTCCGTGACCGCCCGGAGACCCAGGACATTGTCCGGGGTAATATCTCTCCCGAGAGCCCGCAGTTCATCCTCTGTGACCACAGGCCACTTATCCGTTTGACTGCGCCTCGACTTCAGCTTCTTCAGCATTCCGCCACCTGTCTTTCGATCCCTGTTTTTCTTCTCCGACCCGGTGTCTGCGTCCGTCTGACTCTTGCTGACCGTCGGTGCCGATTTGTTTTGCGAACCGTTCATACCAGAGACTGACACGACAATGGAGAGAGGTTGTTTTTTAATTTGAGAGCGACTTAACAAACTGCGGGTGCAATTTCAAGATGGCGTTATCCGTGTATGGGAGACAAAAAAGGGAGATTGTGATTGGCTAAGAGCGATGGCTATTGTCATAGTTACCGAAGGGGTGTGAATGGTTTAAAACCCAGAACCTCCCGTTTCCTCTTTAACTGGGTGTGTTACATTTCTTCTGTTACAATGTCGCTTTTGATTAAACCAGACCATGTTGTTGGGTCTTTAAACATTTGCTTGACACCCAAAACTTGTTATAGGGAGGCCTTATCGTTCTTTTTTTTTATTATTTCCGTTCGGGAAAACTAATTCGTGGTTACTTTAGTATAGCATGCAGTACACTACAGCCGGTGGCGCTAGTGCCGCTCTCCGGGCGGTAGAGCGCCTTCTGTTGACGGAAGTTCCCACGGAAGAAGAACAAGAGCCGCGATGGTGCGATTGAAATCCAGGTAAAACATGTGTCCCTCGTGTGCTGTTTGTTTAAATTGTGCGTGTCCAAAGTTATTTTTGACGGCCCCCTTCTTGGTCGGTAGGTATTTACTGTGCGAAGTCATCGTTCCGGACAGGCGCCACTTGTTGCTGCTGGATGACCGAGCAGTTGCGGCGTCAGTGAGGGAAGCGGTGGCTCGCGTGCACGGGGACTACGGAGCAGCACTGTGCAGCAGCAGGTTCTCTGGTGAGCGGTGGTTCGACTTAACAGAAGTACAAAAATACCCATTAGGTAACATGCCTGCGTTACGTTTACAATTGCATACACAGAGAAAATTCAATGTAGCCCTGACGTTACGTAAATTATGGAAACAATACAAATGCAGGTGGTTTGGCTGCCTTGACTTGAGAATGTGAATTATTCCACCAGCCCTGTAACTCGTGATGAGATTGATCTTAAATCAATCCCATACTAAGTTACACCGGACTGAAGGATATCGTAGTATTAACTGGGCACCCACTGTTCTCTCTCTCTCTTCAGTCAAATATCTGAACGCTCATACTGGAATAGTATTCCTGCGTTTCCCAAAAAGGTGTTACAAACTCCTCTGGTCTGCATTGCCTTTCATTACCAGCATTGAAGCTCGTGGGCAGAGCATCGCATGTTTTCTGAACTGCTTGCATGTGGGAGGTAATAAAAACATCCACCCACATCCCATAATCAACCAGACATGCCATTTGACAAGCCTAAATATGAATTGAACACAATTTTTATTTTTTTTATAGGAACAATTAGAACCTGTCAGAAGTTTCTGATCCGATACAACACCCAGCAGCTCCATCGAATGCTACCTAAATGTAAAAATGAAGGTATGGAATTTAATTATGGTATTTAATTTACTCAACTCAATGCAATAGGTGGTCCATTTATTTATTTAGGATTCATTGTGTAATGCATTAGAATCTTACAACCTACGGTCTTTTTGAATTGTGTATTGCAAGGTTTTGTTTACTGAATACTACACCATACAATACTTAAGAAAATGGCATTTGACTGTTTCATCTTTTTTTTCATTTGTAGAAGAAAAACAACAGGTAAAGAAATCTATTCTGAAGTGCACTCTAACAAAAGGAAACAGGAAAGGATTGGACTTCCCAAGTGATGACGATGAAGATTGACTTAACAGTAAAGGGCAACGGACAATGTTTGTTACAGGCCTGCATTTAAGCATTTGAAGAAATGCATAACTCACTCTTTGGAAATATGTTTTATGATACAGCTTCTCTGAGCAGTTTGTAAATATATCTTACTGACTGTATGCCTATCTTCAATTCAGGTGCACATTATATGTTTGTTACATAAATGATTTGAATTGTCAGAATAGCCTGTCGGCAAAAATATAACTGCAATCCCGTAGTACAAATAATGATGGCCTAATATGGCCTAATTCTGAAAATCATTTTTTTCATTTTCAATAAAGTATTTTGTATTGTACTATGTTTTATGGTTGTTCATATTTTGTCTACATAAACACTTTCTGAAAACCAGTTCTGTACTTTCTATGCACCCAAACATTCACACAATTGGTTGCTAAATGATTTTGTTTGAGATGTGGAATAGTCTACATTCTGTTGATATCAGTCTACATTTTACAGCCTAATCTTTAACAAAGACCATGCCGTGTCAGGTTACTGAAGGATTAACCCGTGTATTATCCCAAACAAAAACTGTATTATTAAACGCCAAAAAATCTGTCATATTCGTTGACGAAGCTTCATCGACTACATTTCCCACAATGCATAGTTCCGACTTTACCAAACAGATTTGCAGGCGGCACAAGAAACATCCGGGTATCTCAGGTTCCCGTTTGGCGACCCGTCGCCATTAGTGCAATCCCGTTGTTACGGAGATATTTTTTTGTCAAAATCTCTAAAAGATCACGTTTTCCAGCTTTTGGAAAACGCTTAACGCCTTTTTGAGGGCATTTTGTTTTCCCTAGCAAGAAAAACAACCTTAAATTGGTGTGTCTTGGCTGCGCGTGGCGAGCTTTCCTCCTCTCAACCTCTCAGCCTCCATAACTTGAGACGCCGAAATCGTGTCTCTTTTTTTTCTCGTTGTTTTTTTTTGCCAAGATGTCGCCGTAATGGGGTCGCCGTGTTTGACAGAAATGAATCTGGGCCTTCGTTGCCTGCCCCGCACTTACTACCGCCCGGTTTCCCCTTTAGTTTTTCCGTTTGATGCTAGAGAGCTCGGCGGCTCTCTACCCGGAGCTCTGCCCCAGAACCGCTCACCGCACGGGGACGAACATGGAGAAAAACCCAAACAGCAAGGTCCCGCCCCGTTCCAGCTCCACGGGCCCGACACCGGGCGACTCTAAACCCAAAACAGGTGAAAAGAGACCTCCGCACACAACGCAGACACGTCGCTCCCAAGTTATCAAACATGGTGTCCTCCCAGCTAAACACTCGTCGCCTTGTGGCCTGTTGGGGCCTCGCAGCGCCTCGGCGGTTGTTTTTATCTGGAAGGGCTGGAGTCACTCAGACGTGCTGCCCTCTGTCAGGCAGCGCTGTGACGTCTCACACGCCACGCTGTATTTTGTAATACTCTCTTTGCTCGGATTCGTGCATGCAGACACACACACACACACGACATATTTTAACGACCCACTTTTGGAGAAAGAAAGTTTTACTTTTAAACTGGTTGGGAACAACTGGCTGAATCCCACGTTGAAGTTAGAAAATGTGTGACCTTCAGTTGCCCCTTTTAATTAAATTCTGCAACATGCTGTCTGTGTGTTAAGGAAACTGTCTGTTGTTGCACTCTCTACGGAAGGCCTGATAGTTACCAACAACACTAGTTATGATACATATTCTACATGAACCCCCAGAAGATAAACAGCTTAAAAATCAGGCATTAGCAAAATTAATATTTTGTGGAAGTTGCGTTTGTAATGAAAGGCAATCAATTTTATATATAAGATAATATTTTGGTGTTCATGTCACTTATGAATGTTTTTTTGTTATTTTTCTCAGAAGGTAAAAACAATGGAGGCTCCAAGCGCTACAGCCGCAAGCGCGAGCCCTCCTTTCCTAAAACTGAAAGTTTCCAAGGCTCTCGCCACACCAATTCACAGAAAGGCAAAAATTTTGAGAAGAGACCCCCTCAGAGAGGTGGAGGACGACAGTATGGAGTTACAGGTGGAGGACGACGGGAGGAGGTGAGTATTCTTGATTGATTATCCTTCAATAACAAAAAAAATCTATCCTGCGGCATAGACCTCATAACAACGATCTAATCAGTTTGATGGTTATCCGCTTCTGCCTGTCCAGGTAGCAGAGACTCGCCAGGCCGAGTTTAGCCCGGCTCAGTTTGCTGGACCTAAAAAAATAAGCCTCAACCACCTGCTGAACTTCTCCTTTGAACCCCGTGGAGGTAACTGTGGCGTCGGAGATGGGGGACCGTTCGGTTGGGGCCGCCGAAACAAATGGGGCCACAAGCACAAGCCCTTCAACAAGGAGCTTTTTCTGCAGGCCAAGTGAGCAACCCCCTCCTTCCAAAGCCTCAGATAACACATAGCGCCTAGAAGTGTGGGAGTTAACAGACTTTGTGTGTTTCAGTTGCCAGTTTGTGGTGACTGATGACCAGGACTACAAGGCTCACTTCACTGATCCAGACACTCTGGTCAACTGGGACTGTGTGGAGCAAGTGGTGAGTTTGGTACATGTGTGTCAGTAATAAAGCCCTCAGTCATGTTCCCACTGATGCACGTAATCACAATCCATCTGTCTACGTCTGCAGCGCATCTACAGTCACGAGGTGCCGTCTTGCCCCATCTGCCTCTACCCCCCTCTGTCGGCCCGCATCACCCGGTGTGGACACATCTTCTGCTGGCCGTGCATGCTGCACTACCTGTCTCTTGGTGACAAGAACTGGTCCAAGTGCCCCATTTGCTATGAGGCAGTCAATACCGCTGACCTGAAGAGGTAAACGTATCTTAAAAAGGCATAACAAGGAAAACGGTACAGCCTTCCCATGTTTTTGTTTGAGTTCTTTGGCAATTGTTTCCTTTTGCAGTGTGGTTGCTATGGAGACCAGGCAGTACGTGGCTGGAGATGTAATCACCATGCGCCTGATGCGGAGGGAAAAGGGAGCTCTGGTGGCCATGCCCAGCTCTCAGTGGGTGAAAGTGGAGGAGCCTGTTCGCTTCGGAGGTGAGAGACGGGGAACCTTTTTATGAAAGGGATTCTTAAATTCCTCTGAAGAAGCATAGTCCTCAAAATGATTTTTTTTTTTAATGTCTTACGTTAATTCTATAGCACAGACTTTTTATGTCCTTGAACAAGCTGGGTTATGTTGTTGGAAGATGTATTCATGTTGTGGAAGTGTGTTAATCCTGAAGGGGATGGTTCCCTCACATTGTATTCAATCCGGTATGACGTGGCTTTTCTAGATACGAGTCTCAGCCCGTACTCCAAGCTGCTGCTGACCTCTCCGACGCAGGTCCTGAGCTTGGTGGAGGAAGAGAAAGCCGTCCTGCAGGCTCAACTCAGCCAGGAAGGGGACGCCCAAGCCTGTTTCATCCAGAGTGCCCTTTGTCTTTTGCAGGTAACTGAAGCTATGTGCATTTTTTCTGTACTAAAAAATGAACTAGTAGACTGTGCTCAGTCAACAAAAATACATACCTGTGGATTGATATTTACCCCTCTAACTTTGTCTTTATTGTTTAGGAGCGGGAGGAAATGCTTCTGAAGCAACAGAAGGCACAATTCGTAAATGGTTTCGGCTTGTCCCTTCTTACTCTAGAAGAACCTGCTCCTGTGGAGGAAGTAGTCACTACCGTCAGCAGCACCAAGGTGACTAAAAATGCATCTTTTTGTCATTTTCGTTTGACAACATTGATCTATTCGTGCCTGGATCAAATTATCTTTCGTGCATATTCTCCCCCAATGCCGAAGCTTCTACTTCTATCATTTTGTAGCCGGTGCTGCAGTACTCCTCTGCATTTGACGATGAGGTGGCTGAGGTCCCAGATGAGGGTACGGCACAGCTTTCAGGCTTCCCTGGAAGTATTTTGGAGAGTGTGGTAGAGGAACTTCCAGAGGCTATGATAGATGCAGCCCCAGAGCCTCAACCCGACGAGGAGAGCGGAGCCAGCCAGACAGAGTCAGGTCGCCCTTCAACCAGCGTGGTGCATGGACCGTACTACTATTTCTACCAAGGTGCTTATATCCTGCTCTCCAGCCTTCTAGCCTTTCACCTGCCCACACAAATAATTTGGTGTTTATTTTTAAGCTTAATAATCATTTTAAATAAAATTAATAGCACATTGCCTAAATACATAAAAACAATGTGATTTGAATCTAGCTAGACTTATCAGCTGTTCATCAAAAGCTGACACATGTATGTTAATGGACAGTGTGGTTTATAGTAATTAAAAGGAAGTTATGGAGTCTAAACATGAACAAGTTTTATGAAATACTTTGTCTTGGCTGTATGGGCGGTGGGTCAGTGTTGACGACTTATTACCTTTTTTTCTCCTTCTCCCATGTGTCCCATCCAGCTGATGACTGCCAGCAGATGTTCCTGCATCCTGTCAATGTACGCTGTCTGTTGCGTGAATACGGCAGCTTGGAGGCCAGTCCGGACTCCATCACTGCCACAGTGGTGGAGATAGACGGACACACAGTCACCGAGGTCAGCAAACATAAACACATACCAGATGCCATTCTGATCATTTCGGTTTAGCTTTTTCAGCAGATGGAGTAATGTGTGTTTAGAGTGTGAGGATGTATGTTTTTCTCCCCAAAGCCGCTTTCACAAACTAATGTATCCTCCATGATGTGTAACTTTGATGTTGCAGGAGATCCGTCGCCGCCATCGCTATCTGGCCCATCTGCCACTCACATGTGAGTTCAGCCTCTGTGAGTTGACCCTACAGCCGCCAATCCTGTCCAAAGAGACTCTGGATACATTTGCAGGTTGGAACCTCTTCTTGGAATGTGAATTTACAGTGGCAGCAGGGAGATTTAATTTAACGGTTGTTTGTATATATTTTCCGTCAAACTGCTAGATGATCTGGAGAAGAGAAAGCGCCTGAGGCAGAAGAAAGCAAGGGATGAGAAGCGCAGAGAGAAGCGGATTGAAATTGAGGAGAACAAGAAGCAGGGTAAATGTAAGTACAGCAGTCCCGGTCACAAGCGAGACATCAAACAATACATATTAGAAATCACTGAGGTTTGTTGCTTAATTGCATTGATATGTTCCCCAGATCCAGAGGTGCATATTGGATTGGAGAACCTTCACCATTTCCCAGCGTTTGGATCTCCTCCTCACAACAGCTGCCCACTAATTCAGCCCGACTTCACTCTTGCCCCTGCGTCACCTCTCAGCAGCAGCCCTTCCTCTGGTGAGGGAAGCTCCTTATTCTGCAATTTATTCTTCAGTGCCGTAAATGTAATCTCTGCCTGTTATGGGTAAGGTTTATGCATTTGGACATGAGTTGAGCATTCCTTTTGTTATTTTAGATGGGATGACATTCCCAAATCTGAATGGGCAAAGCGCTTTCCCCATTGTGGGTAGTGTGGAGGATGACTCCCACTGGATGTCCTTTGCACAGGTGTGTAGAGAAAATGGAAAAATGGCAAAATATTGATACAATAAATTGAGACAGCCTTTTTCATGAGGTAAAAGCATCACATAACTAAAGTGGGTTTATATTGTGCAATATCACCTGTATATTTGACATGCTGTGTCCCAGATGCTGAGAGATGGGAAAGCCAGGGGAGATGCTGGGCCCAGGATCACTCCAAAGAAAGGTACTGCAAGATTATGAATGTGAAAATCTAATCTAACAATTCTAAAAGCAAAACATCTATTTAGTACTAGAGATTAAAATTTGATTGTCCCCTCCTGAAAGATGATCCGTCCAGCGTACTTTATTTGTGGAGATGCATTCTGTGTTGATATTGCTGTACGTGCATGAGTTGGATGAACACAAACCGTTATGCACAACTGCAGGCTGGCTCTTCAGCTAGCTGCAGCAGTCAGCCCAAAATGCACTACAATAATGGTACCAGTGTCATTCCATTGCAGTTGGTAACTTTTAAAGAAATATTGTTTAGAATACTTGCTCCGACTGTCATTGTATCCTGGCAGGGCATTATATAAATATTACGTCCATTTAATTTCCTTCTGCCTCTTTCTGTGGTCACAATGGCCTTTGCATGGTTACGTTGCACCTGAGTAAACCAAACCCCTTCAGAGCCGAGGAGTCTCCAACACAGTCTCAATTGCCTACAGTTGTGATTTATCATTAAAGCAATCCTGACAAAATGCTTCCCTCACAAAATGGGTTTGTTAAACTGTTATTTACCACAGAATAGATTTGTATATTCATACTTGTGTTCGCTGGTATTATGCGTAGCGCGTACTGATAGGTGTGTAATCGGAGCTTTGTTTGGCATTTCCTGTAAAGCCTGTTCTTTTTACGGCTTGTTAAGGAGTGTAACTGCATCTTTTGCCAGATCCATTGCTGGCTCCCCCAGCGGCAGACAGCGATGGAGAGAGCGACGGGTCGGACCGTGTCCCCGTGCCCAGCTTTCAGAACTCCTTCAGCCAGGCTTTTGAGAAGGCGCTCCTACAGCTGGACCACGGTGCAGCCGCTCCTCCACAGCCTGTGGTCGACCCAGGTCAGGCATCTATGAAACAGTTTGATATTTAGATGTGTATTAAGCTACATTGTTTGTTTTAAGACGTGCCCTCATCCCTTGGTATCTTGTCTTTCAGATGACAAAAGTGGGAAGAAGAAGAAGAAAAAGCAGAAACTTCTATTCAGCACATCCATGGTTCACACAAAGTAGACATTGAAGTTGATTTAACCACATTGTTTCTTGAGTTAATCTTCCCGCAGCTTGTGTTTTAACTGCCATGCAGATAATTCTAGGAACTATAAGCTAACGAAAAAGGTTTCAGTAGGTAGATGAAATTCACTCTTGCTTTTAGTCCTATGGGTTTGATCCATTGTTTCGGTGGGCTTTAGTTTAATATACCATATAGTCTTTCATTCAAAGCTTTGCCACAGCCTTCTGGCACACTGAACGCCCCATGGATGTCATTTGTTTGAGACGCTCAGTGAAGCTTTAACAAGCTGCTGGCTCACATTAGATGTGCTTTAGGCTTTTTATGACAGTGTTTGCCATACAATGTCCAACTTTCCTGAAGTTGACCCCGAGCATCTAGGATCCAGGAGGGATATTGATTAGATCTTTATGGGTGCTCAATATTAGAGTAGCAGTCAGCCAGCTGCAGGCGCGTTTTGAAAGATACTCGCTGCTCATACATCAGCGATTAACTTCAGCTTTGAATACATGGAAACAAAGTACACATCAGTATTTATCACAGGTCATTTGGATTAGTATTTTACTACCCTTTGCAAGTAAGAATTTTGGGATTGAGATTGATGCCGTGGAATTTGGAAACAAAAGACTTCACACATAATGTTTAATATAACTGAGAAAGTAAAAAGGCAGTATTGTATTAAAGAGATTAAATCAGGTGTTTCAACAGAAATCCAGTATGTATGTATGTGTATATATATATACATACCCTGTGTGGTTACACCATAAGTATGAACTTTCTTCTCATTCATTTTCTCTGCTGTCATAATCCGTTGTATAAGGTTTACTTATTTTTATCGTTACTCCCCCAGTTAATTTCAGTGCTGAAACTGTGTGAAGTTAGATTGCTGACATTTAAAGAATACTTCTAGAAACCTGGAGAAAAGTGGATTGATCATTTCTTTTTATTTGAGGGTTCTTTAAGTCACCTTTTGATTTTGAGCTTTAAGTTTAAAGACTAGTGAACAAAACTAGTCAGTTGAAAGGAATAAAATGATGCACAAAGAACAAAATGTTTGTTGTGGGTGTTATTTGATGCCAACCATAATAAAGGATATGCGGTATTTAGTTCTCACCACATGAGGGCACCCCTAAAAAGCCAGATGCCTTTACAATTTATTCACCATAGCGGCAGAGACTTATCATAAAAGCATAAATTTGATTACTAAAAAGCTAGGAAGGAGGCTAGACATTAATAAAATGCATAAGGCTTTTAAAATACTTGAATTATGTTGGTTTCCGTTTTCAAAAAGGTATCTTAATTCATAGAGATACGAGCCATTGGTTTATTGTGTACAATCTTTTGAAACTGAGTAGGTTTATTAAAAACATATAATTTCTAAATTAGATGGGGTCATTTTCTGCACGCTCGGATGATCAAGCACACAGAAGTCAAGTTATCCACATTCATCTCAATATTAACCCGGAAGTCTGGAATTTCCACGCTAAATACACGAGTTGCACCGATGGTTGACTGTAACTCAGGTATCTTATATTTGACCGAATCGATGTAGTTCCTTCGGACATACTGTAATACCACCGTCCTTATACTTACTTGGCCGCAATATCAGTCCAATCTATGTTTGTGCTACGCTTTATTTTGAAAGTGCTAACCGGAACACTGATGTCGTGCTGGGTGACATAACTGGTTCGGAGGCTAACCAGCCAGTCGGCTTGTTTAGTGCAGCCTGTCAACAACACTGCAACCTGAGACGCGATAGCCAGTGGGCTGGCTAAGTCGACCAGCTAAGTTAGCCGCTAGCCCCGTGTTACCCAAGTACCACGACTCGTAACTATTCCCTCTTTGTTTGAAAGATGTATCATGCTTTGAAGTTGGTTCGACGAGAGAAGCGGCGGAATTGAGTTTTCCACTCGGTAAGTTGCCTTCGGTTCGGATCAAACAGCCAGCGAGAGACAGGTTCGGTCAGTGTTTCCATTTTGCGAGTCCGGCTTCTCGAGTCGTTGGCTAGCCGTCGCTAGCCAGCCAGCTACTCCTGTTAGTTTATCATCCCTTTTTATTTTGAAGTCTGGAATTATCAGACGAGTTTGGACCCTACGTGCGTCTTTGTCTTTCGTCGGTTTTTGTTCTTTAAAAGTATTCCGGTCGCGAGCCGGACAACTGCGTTTCTTTCTCTTCAATTGCACCGTGATGCGGAGGCGGACCGGGCAGGAGGAAGAGACCTGTCGCAAAGAACGATATTAATGGACATTGCTGTGGTATACAAAGCTAATAACCACAAACGATCTTTATTAACGTTTCTTAATTGATTATCTGTGCACATAACCGGCGCATTCACCTTGGTGATTAATTGTGGTTGCCCCTTTTCTTAGACGACTTATTGTTTGCAAGAATGCCTTAAAGCCGAACCTCGATTGGCTGGATGTCGTCCTTCTTTGTCATTGTCTGTCATGAGGTTTCCTCTGTAAAACTGGCCGAACCAGGTTACTGACGTCCACATCTCGCTCGTAATCCTGCTCCCTTTTTGTACATGCGTCCTGCCAGAAATCGATTACATCTCTCGGCCGCAACAAATGGTATGCAACAACAAAAGCAAGACATGTTGTTTGTAGCTTTCAGTAATGTGTCCAATGTAAGGTAATACTACTTGTAGGCAGTAAAAAGGCAGCCATTCTCCTGACCCCTGCTGTGCTGCTCGACCCACCACCACAGTATGTTTATACTTCCATCCCACTGAAGGAGTTTCCTCTCAACCAGCTAAAGTTCACAAGTCTGTGTGTTTCCTCAGTGTTATTCCTCGTCCTTCTGTTTCCTCTTTCAGATACAATTATCAGCACCTCCGTGGTTAAAACGCAGCTGTTGATCTACATAAAATCAGAAGTGCAGGGGTGACCTCACGGAAAAGGGCAGCAGACCATACTGTTAAAAGGCATTCATAGTTTCAGCTCCCACAAATCTCATATTTATCTATATGTGGTGAGGAATGACTGACAACATGATGAAATCATTATTGAGTTAATGTCTTTTCCCCCATGTGTTTAGTTGCGTTTTAGGTCTGTAGATCAGCTCACATGCGAGGGTGTGACTATGTTTACTCAAGTCCGTGTCAGTGGGAACATTTTCATTCATTTGCTTCTGAATGGGAGCGTGCGAACCGTGAAGAACTCTTCGGAATGGGCCATTCTGTTGTGATTTTTGTTTCCCCGCTGGCTTTGTCGCAGGCGTTTTAACTGGAGAAAGTGGGCTTTATTGACACAACGTGTGTTCCTCTTAGGCTCCTTCGCTCGATGATCTCCAGTTATCTCGTTTTTGTCTCCTGTTTTTAGAAGAATCCGTGCAAGATAAACATGTGACAGCTCATTAGGGGAGGAGCTACGCTCAAATGGAAATGTGGTGTGCCCTTCCAGTGGAATTCCTCATTCGGTATCTTAAGCCTGATTTCCATGTGTTACAACATGGGAACGATAAAAAATGCCGCGGTACGGTTGTGTAGCTGGGTGTCAGGATCTACCTTTAAAGCCACATGGCCCGATCACTGCTGCACCAGTAATTCAGGTTAGCAATACACATAAAAACACCAATATGGTTATTGATCGTAGGCTTCATGCTGAAATATGTGGCCGAGCAGACGTGTGTAGTATGTAGATGTCTGCGGGGAAGACTATTTACAGGAAGTTCTGTAATATTCATTAAGAAATCACAACTGTGGATGCAGAGACTTCCAGTGTGCATGATAATAATGTCTCGTCGTGTCAACAGTATTTCTTTCAAATCCGTGTAAGTTACTTTATCCTGAATTATCCCAAAATAGACTTGATAGATAGAATAGTTTTGATTGTTATGCCTGCGTCTCAGTAAGCCACCAGCATGCGCAATACTAGAACCCTGTATAACTGAAGCAACTATTAAATTTAGCTCTAGTTCTTTTACTTTATTACTTACTCTTTTTCTAATGTGTCCTGTGATGTGACAAACCACGTTTTGTGGAAAACATAAAATCAATATGAAATATGGATTAACAAACTGCTGTCAACATGCGTGCCTCAACCTGTTCGTGACTAATAACCCTAAAATCACTGGCACTCCCAAAACAAAGTCCACAGCAATGCTTAGATAGAGTGAGCGCCTTGAAGCTGATAATGACCTGGACTTACCTAGTTCTGTATTGCATCAATGTAGAGATACTGAACACTTTACTGATACTGAAATCGCTTTCTTTTTTACCAAAAAGGTGGTGTTCCAGAAGATGGCTGCTCAGGTGGAGGTTCAGACTGGCGAGGTGGGGAGGACCGCGGTCGGAGGGCGGCTTCACCTTAGTCCTTTGACCGACTCCAGCAATAAGGGCCTCAATGAGATCTCCTCCATCAACCAGTCCCATATTATCAGCCCAGAACCAAACAAACCTGCCCCAGTCGCCAAGCCACGGCTCACTCCTAAACCCTTCGCCGTGGAGAGAAACCCCACGATTAAGCCCATACTCGCACCCAAGCCCCAGGCCAAGCCCCAGGCCAAGCCCCAGGCCAAGCCCCAGGCCAAGCCCCAGGCCAAGCCCCAGGCCAAGCCCCGGCCAGAGTCCACTCGCCTCGCTGGATACAAACCAGAGCCCCCGTGCAGTCCGAAACCTCAGCAACCGGTTGCCTCTGGCAAACCCAGGCCACTGTTGACTAACCCCAGCCGGCCTTCCCCTACCTCATTTAAAACAACCAATAAGTTGAACACTGGACAAACAACCAAGCCAATCGCTCAGCCATTCAAACCCGCCCCTCCCCTCGACCTTGGAGACCCCAGCAAACCCGTTGTTTTAACAGAAGAAAGGCAGAAACCTCGTTCTTCGAACCTGGTGTACTCAAAGAGTCTTAAACAACTTTCAGCATCAGAGTGGTCTGGATCCACCAAAAATCAAGATGAGAAGGAACCGAGGACGTCAAGCAAAAGCGGAGGCTCCATTACCAGAGCCAAGTCCATGGGTTTTCTTGCTCAGGTGGGGAAGGAAGAAGAAGAAAAGGAAAAAGAAAATCCAGAGGCAGCAGTGGTACTGCGAACAAAGCCAAGGGCGTCCAGGCCCAGACCCGTGTCCGCCATTTTCCCCGACAGTCCGACCGTGGCACCAGCTCCTTCCCTTCGCTGGGCGAGACGACCACTTTCGGCGGATCTCACCGCCAGGTTTGAGTCGATCGGTCTGTCTCTGCACCGTAAAACTCCCCAAGCAAACGCTAATGAGAACACGCCAGAGGAAAAAGAAGCGGCACAAAAGAGGGAGCCGGAGAAAACGCCACAACAAAGTACTGATGGTATAGAAAAGAATCCGAAAGAGGCTGAAGAGGATAAGCGTGCAGTCAGCATCAAGTCCCGCATCAGTCTCCTCCTCGATTCATCCTCCTCTCCTGGGACGGGCGTCCCGGGCCAAGGGTCAGATCTTCACTCTCCAGTGCAGCCGGTCCCTGATACCGAACCACCAGTGGGTGTTCAGCAGATCATCAGGCAGCTGACCGAGGACCCCTCACCAGTCCAGAGTCCTGTAGCCAGACCTGCGCCGCGGCCACGCCCCCTCGACCTGGCGAAAAGGTAAGAGCTGCTCGGAATGGGCTCGTTTTAGACGAGCCCCCCCTGCTCGGAATCTATGGCCGCCGCACAATGCACGCTCGTTACATTTGTGTCTGACTTGATCCCTACTCGCTTGGAAAATCGTGTACACAAGGTCAAAGGTAACCTCACGAGATCGAGGCGGCCGCAGTTTTTGGAGCCAGGCGCTGCCCTAAACCTACTACTGCAAGACCCAAAGCATGATGGGAAACGCCAGACCACAGAGCTGATTTCCTCATAGTTTAACGATCCCCACGTTTACCCAAAAGATCTATTTTTTATGTGTACTTGTAATATGTCACATTAGATTGTAGGCAATAGATCTCATGTTGTGCAACTAAGGTTTAATCTATAAACATAATTGTGTTATTAGTTGGGATCTAACAGGACATTACTGTTTCTGTGACTTCCTGTATATTCTTTTAAAGCTGTTCGACTCGACCACAGTACCTTTTTGACGCCCGCTGCCGCCTGATCTCGTCCATTTTCCATGCGAGGGGCCGCACGTCTCATACAAGCTGAATGTCTCAAAGCCTCGGCTGGCTTCGGTCCATTGTGTTTGTCCACGAGTTCCATTGTCATGCATGGCTTTTGTCTTGTGTGATGTTGTATGTTCATCAGGTTTTCATTCGAGCGGTCGCCAGATCTGGGCAATGTTTTCTTCAGTGAGGCGACAGACCGCGATGAGATCAGCAAAGATCCTCAGAGGAGGGTAAGAAGGGGAATACGCTTCGTAGGCGCTGGTTTCTGTTGTGGTCCGTCAATGTTTAACACACAAATGGGAAGGAATATTTCCAAATATGTCTCTAAACCAAGTTGTATTTTACTCTGTTCCAAATAAAAAGCAAATAGCAGAAACAAGTAAAGTCTGAAAAGTAGATTAAACATGATGGAAGTGATATTGTGCACCTTTTTTTTTTTATTCTTATTATTTCTAACTATTCTAATGACATGCCTGAATTAGTAAACCAAGGGGAAATACAACTTTAACAGTAGTCAGCTGTCGACACCTGACTTTTAATAAAGAACAAAAGAACATTTACTTGGATAACAATTTGGAAATTGTGCATTGCAGCAAAACGAGTTGTCACTACCGCAGATGTGAAACACAATACAGGTCGCACAATAATCATCCCCGGTGACTGCCGGTTATGAAACACACACACGCACATAGGAGATGACTGGGAAAAGGTCAACGCAGAGCGACTTTGATTCCCTCCTCGGCACCACACCCACGGTTATGAGGCCGACGTAGAACAATGGGGATACCATTACTAAGCTGGCAGTTCACCCAATCCCTTTAAATCCTTTTTGAGGGATGTATTTTCTCCTGTTACTTCTGTGGGATACTTGAATGAACAATAAGTGGCCAGTTTGCCGCTCCCACTTAACAATTCTCAACACTTCTCTGAACTTCCTTTTAGATCGAAGAGGCAGCAATCGCCCCCAGTGACCAGAGGACCTTTGTGGATCTAAGTGACTCCCAAGAGCTGCTGAAAAAGGCCTCCGCGCCCGAAGGGCCTAAGGCCGGAAAGGGGTCGGGCGCCACTTTGAAGGAAAGTGCTCCCGGGAGCGACGCACACACAGTGAAAGCATCCTTGTTTGAAAATGTTGTGGAGAGGCACTCTGTGCTGCTGGTGGAGGACAGCAAGCCCGTGAACCAGGCTAGTGAGTCGCTGAGAAGAACGCCCTTTAAGAGCGAACGCGGTAAGGACGACGGAACGATTGTCACTGCCGCCCAGCAAGAGCCTCTATCTCCATCAAGTCCTCTGAGGGTCACACACGCCTTTGACACCGTGCAGGCTGTGGAAGAGAGCAGGGCAGTGAGCGAGGACATCCCATCAGCCCAGCGGGAGGTTAAGGCCATGACGCTGCGCTCCAGGCGCTCCGAGGGGGCCGGATCAGCACTTGGCGAACCAGCCTCGGCTCCGATGCCGGAACAGCAGCCTCGAGTTCTGAGAGTTGGCGCTTTGCAAAAGTGGACCTCCGAAGGTCCCGATACGAGTGTGGACAAAGGGGCGCTCAAGGAATGGCAAAGGGAAGGACAAGGGGCTTTGAACGAAGACCGGGCAAGGCAGCCGGAAGCTGAACAGGAAGAAGTGGCGGCGGCTCCTAAACGCTTGAAAATGCTGCAGTCAGAAGAGCAGCCGAAACCCAGGGCCACCTACTTTGCTCTGACCGGACAAATGCAGGAGCCGGCTTCTCCTGTTGACGGAGGACCAAGCCTCCTGGACTTTGACGATTTCTCCGTGAGGTCCGCACTAGGAGGCTCTCCAGGGAAGCTTCTTACAACAAGGAGGAATCCATCATTAGATAAAGCGTTTGAAAAAAACTCCCAAGATCAGGTTGAGGACTTGATGATGAGGGACCACATTTCCCAAAGAGGGATAAGATCCACTTTGGACGGACCGGCAGCAGAGGAAATCATGCAGGAGGAAAAGCGACGACAACTACAGAAAGAGACGGAACGGCACATGGCAAAAATGAACGAGCTTTTTCTGAGGGAAAAACAGAGGCTGCTGGAAGCGGACCAGGAATCACGTTTGGAGTTTGCACAAATGAAGGAGAGGGAAATGCAAAGAGAATTTGAAAGGCAAAGACAGAAAGCTTTTGAGAAGGAGAAACGGGAGTTCGAGGAGCAACAACGTGCACTGGAAAGGCAGAAACAGTTGGAGCTTGAACAGTGGCAGAAACTGCAGGAGCTGGAGAGACTGAGGGAGATCGAAAAGGAGCGGCAGCTACAACATGAGAAAGAAAAACGACAGAAAATGGAGAGACAGAGAATGATGGAGAGGGAGAAACTGCAAGAGCAGGAAAGGGAGAGACAGCGGGAACAGGAGAGGCAAAGACAAAGGGAGGAAGAGAGGCAAAGTGAGCTGGACAAGGAAAAACAGTTGCTGGAAGTGCAAAGGGAGAACCAGAGGAGAATTAAAGAGCAGGAAAGACTACAACTATTAGAGTTTGAAAAGCAGATGCAGAAGGAAAAGGAGACACAGCAGCTCATGGCGCTCGAGACGCAGAGAATAAGAGAGAAGACGGAGAGGGAGGCCGAGAAAATGAAACAGATGGCATTAGAACAGGAGCTTTTAAGAATGAAAGAGCTTGTTAAAGAAAGGGAAAGACAAAAGGAGATGGAAAAGGAGCATCGGCGAGAGGTCGAGAGAGAAAAGCAGAGAGAGCTGGAGAGACAGAGACAGAGAGATTTAGAAAGGGAGAGACAGAGACAACTCGATAATGAGAGACGGGAATTAGAAAACCAGAGGCTGAGGCAACGGGAAGTGGAGAAGGAAAGGCAGAGGAAAGTGGAATTGGAGCAAATCAAAGAGATGGAGAGAAGACGGCTCTTGGAGTTGGAAAAGCAAAAGCAAGCCGAGAGGGACCGACAGCACATTTTGGAGGCGGAGAAGCGCAGATTGAGGGAGAGTGCGGAAAGGGAGGAGGCAGATAAAATGAGGCACGTAGCCAAGCAGCAGGAAGGGGAGAGGCAGCGGCTAAAAGAGAGGCAGGAGAGGGCGAGGATGGAGTCGTCGCCTCTCAGGCCTCAAGTGTTGGATCTGGACTCCGTGCGCCGAAACGAGTCGTTCTCCAAGGCCCCCTCTCAGCGCAGCGACCCCGCGACTCGTTGGAAGGAGCCGTCTGCGCGAGGGGAAGCGCCTTACCGACCCGCCATCCTCGAAATAGACTCCTTCACGTCTCAAGTTCAGCCCTCTCCCAGCAAAGACCCGTTTGCCGTTTCTGGTATTCAGGGAGTGGACGCGGCGTTCGGAGCTAGATCACACCCGCCTACGCCGGACGTAGATGTCAGCTGGAGGCTGCCGCAACTGACCCCGGGCATCACGAGCCCAGTGTGGACGACGTCTCTCCAGGACCCGTGGGAGCTCCGGCCCGTTGAGATGTCCGCGGACAAACCTGTGGCGCTGACCAGAAGAAGTAGCACCAAGATCAGCCCCGAGCAGCTCCTCCTCAGGCAGGGGGAGCGGCTCCTGGCTCCACAGAGGCCCTCCAGCAGCGCTCCCGAGCAGCAGATATGGCAGCCGCCGCCGCAGCAGCAGCCGCAGCAGCAGCAGCAGCCGCAGCACCAACCGCAGCCTCAGCAGGCTCCGGACAGCAGGGGAGAGGTGCTCGCCCAGAGGAGATCACAGGGTTCTCAGGTGGGTGGGATACATCCATCTATTTATTATATTCAATAGAAATTGTGCTGAATTGTGACATTTTGACAAAATAAATTTGACTAATATCGGGGTCACTTTTGGTTGCAAAAAAACAATATGGCGATTGCTGGAATGCTTTCGACTGGAAACCAATGGTTGAGATCAAGGTGACGACGTCCACTTCTATTCCCTTTAGATGTAGCCAGTTCAGTTCATGGAAACGGTTTTCATTTTTGCTCTCTGAATGAGAAATTGGGTCCAAACCTTTGACTCCTACTTTTTTATAATGACATTTTTTGTTAATAATCATTTTTAATTGCTCCAAGATTCACTTAATATAGTTGATGCCAGATAAAGAGTCATGTGGGACAAAGTGCACACAATCATACCACGTTGTACGCGTGCCATAATTAAAGTGCCAAAATGTAGCAACGGGCTCTCCTGTTCGTCTCTGACCTGCTCACTGACCCCCATCAGACGCCTCGGGCCTTCAGTGGCTTCCTGCTTGTACCCAGAATAAGATCTAAAGCTGGTTAAGGTACCTTTAGTTCCCGTGGCTCCCTGGAATGTGTGCATGTGTGTAGGTTGTGTGTGTAAGTATTAATATTGTTATTGCCATTGCTTTATTGTTCCACTACTGTGTTGTATATGCGTGAGGTATTTGGATGTATTTCATCTTTTTTTAAAATTGTTTTGTGGTGAAATGTGATCGACTAATGCACTGCTTTTACCTTTTACATCCCAAAAAGCAGAACAAATCAGAGACTGAATAGTCAGTTAGTCTAAATAAATATTCAGTTAACAAATGGCTATTTCTCTGATAAACTGGTCCCACTAACGTGTCACCAGTGAGCAACTTACTGTTGGACAAAAGGGGCTGTTGTTCCAGCGTGGACATTTCTTCTTCTTTTCTTGAACTAATCTTTTATTCTGCCTTTGCATATTTGCTGGGTACCAAATTTAGATTTTTCAATATAGTTAACATTTAAAAAATGTAATAACCTACACATTTACACAACCTGGTCCATTGAAATATGCTGATTTAGTTAGTTGAGTCATACTCATCCGGCTTGGAGGACTGTGCTGTGTATGTGCGGTGGGAGGGTGACCGTGTGCATGCTCCCCATCTCCCAGTTGTCAAAATACTGTTTCGTTACTGTGTGTGTGTGTGTGTGTGTGTGTGATAAATATTCCACCAGTTCAGAATCAGCTGTCCCATTTGAAAGCAATACAATGGCACTGCTGAAAGGACTCAATCTAACTTTTTATGTGGCATGTGAATTTCTCACTAACTCCAAATACACCGCAGAATCCAGCATGCTAATGTACAAGTTCAAAGTAATATGTGTGTAAGGTTATATGGTGTGACATTGACACTGTGTGTGTGTGTGTGTGTGTGTGTGTGTGTGTGTTAGGAGTTAAACAGGATGCGGTCTCGCAGTGTTTCCCGGCGATCGGCACCTTCGAGCGGTGTTTTGGAAAGAAGCCTTTCCAGGATGAGGAGTCGCAGCGCCCACCGCGAACAGGACGGCACCAGCTGGGTGAGTCTGACTGCCGCTCGGCCTCTGCGAACGTTCGACAGGGTTGCAGGAGAGATGTGACGCAATGAGACGAGGAGCCGCCGCCTCCTCCTCCTCAGCCTTTGCTTCGGTTTCATGGCTCGCTGTAATTATTATAATCACTGATTGCAGTTTGGAATATTTATCACAAAGCTTTGTGGAAACAGGGAGGGAAATCTGTGTGCACTTGTGTTTGCACTCTGAGCGTTTGCACTGTGAGCGTGTGCAATGTTGTGTTTGTCTTTGATAGTGTGTGTGTATTGAAAATAGACGTAGGTAGAGGAATGCAGTTAGTTGACTGACAGCTGAATGACGTTGTTCTTGGATCAGTAAAGAGTCGGTGACTAATACTGAAGGCAAAGCCTGTGAGACTCTCCTTCACCTGACACATTCCATAATGTGGCCAAAAATCCTCTCGGGCCTGTAATTCCGGATTGGATGAGTTAAGTGCTTAATGAGTACATTTTCTCACTGCTCATCTTTTTAGAAAGCTGTGAGACAGCTGATGCGTGAACGGCCTGGAATGATCATGTGTTCCGCCGCCAAGCAGACACTTCCTGTTTGCGTGAGCGTATTCCTCCGTGTTGATTGGTAACTCTTATTATTTCACATCTCGCCCCTGTCTTGTTTGCATATATCTACGAAAAAGGATCTGCATATCTGCAACTACACACTTTATATACACTGAAATATCTTTTATACTTAAGCATGCCCAGTGTTTATTCATATCGGTCGTTGGGCTCAGATGACCTTTTGTCACGGAGACTCTAATTTTACGCTTGGATTGAAGCCCTACCCCAGGAAACCAGAAGTACAGCTTATTGTGTCTTATAATTGTATGCTGTGGGATACAGAGCTTACTACCACCACCTAGTGGTTAAGTTTTACTTAATTATCACCCTTTCACTCTTGTGTTATTGAGTCTGAAAAAAGCTCCACCACAGTGATGTGGTGCAACTAAAGATGTAGCAGCAGGCAAAGTAACACACACTTGAAATGTGGGATTTCACCCTCGTATGGATTGTCAATGACTAATTTTGACATATTTCACACATACACATTTGCGGGAACCTTTTAATGCGACTACTGGGTGAACTGCAGGAAGGGTGCGTCACTGCTTATTTTCCATACTGACATTTGTTATTCAAAAAGATGATTTGTGTCTCTGCTGAATTTCACCATGATATTTCTTGTAGTGTAAGAAAGTACTACTTTAAAAAAAATATCAAATACAAAGCTGCAGCTAACAATTGTTATTTTGATCAATAAAAATTAATATAATACAATTAGTTCTAGTTAATATTGTAAGAAAATACATATCTGAGTAAAGTAAAACTGAACAGAAAATACGATGTCTATATATACAAGTTAAAGAATTTGACTTTAGGATTTGCAGAAATTACAAATAATGTCAAATTCAGAGATTCACGAGTTCTGATATCGTAAACCGGTCTAATTTTCAAAACGCTTGATCGGGTATCTATGACAATTCTATTTTACAAAGTTGGTAAATCAATGTTTAAATAAAGCCTGTTGTCTTTCTCAGGGAGGTTTCTTAGTTTCTCCCACACAGTGAGCCAAACAGCTTATTAATTAAACCCGTATGAAATCGGTACAAACCCCGGGTCTCCGTGTCCGGTCTGGAAAAGTAAGATCGGTGCAACGCTTGCCAAAATACATCCGTGCTCCCTCAAACATGATGGTTCTTCCCACCTCGTATTTACTGGTGGAAGAGTCCTCCGACTCCCACCGATGAGCTAATCGATGTGTGGTGACATCATTGCCGCGGAGGGTCTGAAGCTGGCGAGTGGGGCAGAACAGAGATGGGCACCAGGCTGAGAGCTGTGTTGTACATCTGGTACTGTTGCCTGACTCCATACTGGGTAAGTGACAACTCCGCTCTCTGATCACAGAGGTTCCTCCGTAACGCATAAAAGCCGTCTGACTTAATTCCGATAATGCTAATAGGTAGTTATCATATACACCGAGCTGTGGCTACTTAAGTTGCATCCTGTTTCATCTCCTTTGTGCGCTGCTAGTTGGGCTTTTCTTTGGGGCGGCGCACAGATTGATGATGTCAGCAGAAGAGGGGGAAGTGATGAGCAGCCATGACGCGGCATTAAGAAGCAATTGATTAAGCAATGAGGCACATAACCATTATCATTATTTCCTATATAAATTTTAAAAAATGTAAACGGTATTTTGGGATATGTTCATGAAATGTATAATTTAACATCCAAAATTGACCAGTAGTCTAATGTGTTGCCTTCAAAATGCTGACTTTTCTAAACGCCCAAAAGCGTTAATATGATAAAAACAGCATATTTCCTAATTTGCGAAGCTGGAACCAGCATTTGTTTCACTGTTTTTTCAAATTTAGTACATATTTGTTGGGGTGATTTCCTTTTTTATTGAGTAACTTTTTTACCAATTATTTTGAGCCTTATTTCACTCCTCACAAATAGAGGATATGAGTCAATAGTAATGTTACTAGTACCACTCGCTAGAGGAAAGTGATGATGTTGCTGCTGTTACTAATACTGCAGTAACCTTCATAACGCTTCAGATGAGTAATTCAATTGCATCAGGCTGTGTCACCTCGTCCTTGCTTGTACCCAACAAAGAGGCAGCCATTTTCCGCCCAGCGTGATCGTGAGAGAGGTCAGTTTGTGCGCCCGTCGAAAACTGAGAACCCGACACTTCAAAGAGAAGTGAATCAGATTACCTGCAGGGGGCATATGTGGACAGGGATTCAGCTTGAAAGAGCTGTTAGCTGCACGCTGAAGTGGGCCTGCAGTGTCCCGCTGCGGCTTTATTCAGGTTACCGGTTCACCGGCCCCATAAAACAGACGTCCAAAATGTTTCCCTGTCTGTTTCGGCGAGACTTGGACAAACATCCACTGGACTGTTGTGACGCTTGCTTTTGGCTGCACCGCGCTAACAAACCTTGTTTAGAGCCACACTCCTGCATGAGAGCACTTGTTCATATCTGTTCGTATCTCACTTTCTCTGGAGCTGCCTCTCCCTGTTTTTTTTTTTTTTTTTTCCTGCTGTCACGTCATCTCTCATCCCTTCTTCTACATCGGTTTCCCTGCCTCTCCGCGTTGGCGCTGACACTTCCCTGTCTTGCCCTGCAACTGAACGAGGCTGGAGCGATAGAGCGCCGCACTGCATAGCATATATCACCCTCCTCTCTCTCTCCCTCCCGCTCTGTACCAGGGACCTCCCATTCTCTCTTTAATTCCCTGACTCCGTTCCACACTCCCTCTCTCCACCCAGTTTCTCCTTGACAGTGAGTCCTACAGCACTGAGAGCAGCAGTGCTGACGCATTTTCTGCTACCTGCCCGTACCTGCAAAAAAAAAAGACGAGGAGAGAAACCTTTATACTCTCGTTCCTTGATTTCCCCCCTTCTGGATTTGACTTCCCCAGCACGCTGCTCCGTGCTGTTTCCTCTGTCTGGCGCTGCATGGATTGCCCTCTGGATTTCCTTGTGGAATACGAATGACTTTAGCAGCTTTCCTTTTGCCACCAGCTGTCCTGCACCATATCTCCACGCAAGCTCCACGCAGCTTTTGCCAGAAGGCAGCCGAGTGTCTGCCACCATGGAGATGTAGTCTATGCTAGATGGATGGATTTTTTTTGTTTTGGAGTTGACGCATCATTGAAAGCTCCGGGAGCGATGTCATTGAGGCTGGAATTTGCACAGAGGCTCTCACATCTGGATAATTGACAAAGAAACGAATTCTCATACTCTGTATTACCAGCACATGTTGTGGCAAACGTAACGAGCATGTTGTGGATGAGATTTCTTTTATTATTGCGTGTCTTTTCTGTTCTTTTGGTAGAAAGTGCAGCAGTTGTTTAGGTTATTTCACAGAGTAGTGCCGTGCGTAACTCCTTGTAAGTGCTGCTCTTGCATAACCTCCAACCCACTCGGTTGTTGTCCCGAGCACATTGTCTCTAGCAAAGCAAATCTCTGTGTTAGAAAGCTTCCTGATTCAGTTGAGGCCGACGGGCTGGAGCCTTGACAATGATGAGTTGAAAACAGAGTCCCAACTGCATTAGGACGGCACTGCAGGAAGGCCTTTTAGAAGTGAAACGGAAGGGGACACTCTGTCCTGTAGCGGTCAGGGACGGACCGGCGTTATTCCTCTCTGCAGCGCTGTGAGCAGCAGACTGCATCATCCTCACCACATCTGACTGACTGTTGTCGTCGTACCTACGACCCCCGTCCCCGGGGCTGCCCCCTCTCCAGCACACCTGGCCGCTGATGACCGTCTGTCGCTGCGACAGTATCGAGAGTCTCGGCGCACCGACTCCGTAGCGGGCTGTGATGGAGTACCTGGGCGACAAGCTGACAGTGGCCCAGTCTCAGATGTCAGGATGGGTGGGAAACGTCCGTCGCTCCCTTCACGGGGCACTGGGCTTTTTGTCCAGCTCGGGGGAGAGGGGAGGACAAGGGGAGGACGGGACGGGGGACTTCAAGAGAACCAACTCCCTGCGCTCCCTGGCCTCCCGCAGCAGGGAGTCCATCCGCAGGTTCTCGCTGCGCAGCCAGCAACGTCTGTCCTTACGCAGGCGCACCGCACCCAACACCCCCACCGCTGTAAGACGCACACACACACACACACACACGCACTTAAAGTACAGACACACACCAGCGAAGCACCTCTACCACGGTAATCCTCTGATTCCCGTTTAAACAGAAGTATTTAGCCAGGCACTAAAGCGATTCGTATTTCCTCTGACCCGAGGAGTTGGTCAACTATGTGGCCGCCAGCTGTAGGACTTGAACATCTGTTGAAGTTAAATTAGGCCCAATTGGAATTCAAGGCATTTTTCAGCAATGTTGGTGCAGTCCTGTAATGTTACTGTGGTAGCAGCTGCTCCTTCTGCAACTATCTGGTCTCCAGCCAGACGTGTGAAGAACGTGTCAATCTGCCTCCCTGGTCTCATCTGTCTCCGTCTCTCGCGTTGTCTTTGGCACAATGTAAACCATTCTTTGTTTTGTAAAGCCGTGTGTTAAACTGGTTCTTCAGGTCATTGTGTCCCCTACGTTTCTTCTCCTTTTTTTGACTAGATGATTGACACAATAGGGAAAAACAAGATTAGGGAAATTATGCTGTAGAATTTGAATTCTCTAAAACTAAACTGAACACAAATCTGATTCCACTTGTCTCCACCCTGATATCCATCCTGGCCTGAGCTCTATATAAAGGACAGATTTTGAAATTCCATGTAGGGCAATGGATACATCGCTATCTTTAGGTTACGCCTGTTTGCTGAACTGCCGTCCAGCGCCTCGTGACTCACAACCCTCATTAAGATAAGGACTGTTTTCTATCTCGCCCGTGTGGTCCCCACTTGTGTTGCGACATCCTCTTAGACCTGAAACACCATCGACTGAGGTTGTGGTCTCTGGGAGCAACGTGCCCCCCTCCACCCACCACCCACCACCGGGCCTGTGTTAAGTGGGTGAATGACAGTAAGAGGCCGGTAATGGCTGAATGGTAATGGACTGTGTCCACATAGCCAGTAAGCCAAAGACAGGAAGCAAGCGATGTGTGGATGAGATGACACTTTTTGTTCCTCCTAATTACAAAATAGTTCAAACTTGTCTTTATGTCTATAGATGCGGACTAAGTGGGAGCTGTATGTATAGTACATGTACCATACTAGTGAAAACTACATTCCTGACAATCTCTACTGTTTAGTGTCCCCACAGTCATGTTTTTGGTATTGGGTGGCTCTGAAAAGCTGTCGCCGCCATTATAGGAGGTAATAGAAATAGAGATTAAAGACATTAAAGGTTTGATTGGATTTGAGTTTTTTTTAATTCACCTGTGGCATGCAGTAAGAGTTTGCTCGGACAGCATTTTTTTTTATCTTTGACTTAAAATAAATAAATCCACTGTTGAGCTCAGTCAATGGGAGATGTTTGTTTTGCGGGAGGCCAGTCTAACCTGATGACTGGACAAACAGGTCTGTGAGAAGTATGTTAGCATTACTAAAATAAAACACAGATTTAACAACTAGAATGTCATGGTAACTGTAATTGCTATCGTTATCTTAATATTATAACTATTATGTCGACATATAACTGCAGGTTGTTTCTGCTTTGTACCTTTAATCGTCTTTGGGGTCAGCTGGTGTGAGTGTGTGACAAACAACAACGCATTGATCTGGACAGTGAGGAGCACGGATGCTAATAAAATAATTGGCATATTTGCAAAAATCACGAAAACACCACCAAGCTGAAAGAAATGAGAATAATCCTCAGATCCATTGCCCTCTGAGCAGAACTGTTAAGCTGAGTCAGGTATTTGCATTCTTCCCGTTCTTACCAGACTCCTGTTGTACAGCAGTGAACCTGTGTCCATATGCGCCACTTGTTTAGCAAAAGAATAGCACGGACATGAGACTTGTGCTTGCCGGAGCAGTTGTTTTGAATATCTGTAGGATATTGATATTGATTACTGCTGCGTGCATTACTGCTCCCACTGCGCCCCACACAGATTGATGAGAGTGGAGAAATGGGGAGTGGTGGCGCACTGCCGGTGTACCGTCGTGATTGAAGGTATTTTCATGGCTGTTAATGATCTCACGGTACTTGACATGGTCATGACCAAACCCATTTACAATAGCTTGGAGAAGCTCATAACGCGAGCAGGATACAGCCACAGTGAGTTGCCGTGCGATACTGAGGTGTGTGTTTGTGTTCACACCTCAACAGAGATTTCTGTGGTTCAAAACGTCTGATCTGACTCTGCAGCACACCTCCTTTTCAAGGAACACTCTCTATTTCCCTGTTGAGGTTTTTAGCAATCCACAAACCGCAGTCCCTCCGCCCTGGTGAGTGTGTCGTCGGGCTACGTGGTGCCATCGTTGTGTTATTAAGTATTAGTTTCCAAGGCCTCGGTCCAGCCGCTTCCTCCGCAGATCGTCGCTGAGCCCCGTTTAGTGATCGGCTCTTTCTTTACTTCATCCTTCCATTCATCCGCTCTTTGTTACGTTGTTTCCCCCCGACGCACCCTTCCTGTCTCGGAAGCAGGCTATTGCAAATGTTATTAAGGAAAAGCCTCCCCCCCCCACTGACAGCTACAAATCATTGCTGCTAGACCTGTTGGTTCAGTAGGCCTGCCTATTGAGGCAACCATAGCCTCCTTGTTCGCGGCTGTTAGCACAGCCTGCACTAGTGGGTTTCCATTCAGCAGAACAGTTGATTCCTCTCAGTGCTTCAACGGTTTTAAGTATAATTGTTTGTCCGGTACACCTGTCGAACGTGGCTCTGTCTGCGCGTTGATGCAGGCGGCATCAAAAGAGAAAAGTGAAATGCGTGCAGTTGAGGTAGAGTACAAAGGCGGTGAAAGGCCCTGATTTTACTGAATAAAAAATGGTATGAGAGTATGAAAGGGCCTCTAAAAGGCTTCCAACCGCTTTGAGCAGACGGCCGTACTGGTGCCTCTCTAACGTGTTCCAGCAAAGGCAATGTTTGTCTGTACTCGGGTGAGGGTGCGATGGGTGTGTTTTGAGGTTAAGCAACAGGCGCATACAAAGGATAGTATTTTTTTAATTATTATTAGCATTTTATGAGACCTAGTTTTGCCATTTTTCACAGCAGTGTCTGTGATCACACAGGTCAAAAGCTGCCTCATTTCACACCTCCGCCCAGCTGTTCAATGTCTGCTTTCAATTGACATTAGTGCATGATTTGGGTGAGAGGTTGTGTATCTAGAGATAAGTGGCGTGACCCTGTGACGTCGACATGAAAAATGTGAGTCCTCTTCTTGAGAAGAGGAGGAAGTTGGGAACAAGTACTTTCTCTGATGCAGGGAGCGATGTTGAACGTCACTCTCACTGCTCCGCGTTCTCTTTCCTGTCAGGAAAGGCTTAGCTGATGAATGACATCCTGCCCTGCGGTCCTTCTATTCGTTTTACTGCTCACTTCGGCTTTATTGTATTCCCTCAATCCAAATCACACCCTCACTCTTCTTTCTTACCCGCTTTCTCGCTTGCGCTCTTTTTGAAGTACCCTTGTTGTATCTCTGCTCTCGGATGCACAAAGAAAACAAGGATCGCATTCATGAGGCTCTGAGAATGAGATCTCTGATCCGCTGTCTGTGCTCACGTGAACATCGCCAGTGATCGGCCCTCATGGTCTCCGGACCTGGGCCATTACCGGACCAGGTGTATCACATTTCCCTGTCCACCCCTCAGACAACATCTCGGGACAGAAGGATTTTCTATTGTTTTTCTTATATAGGCCATGGTTATCAGTTCATGAGCAGGCGTGCCTCTGTGAGCCCTGTGTGCTCTTGGGACAGTATGTCCTCTGTACTGCCTCATTAAAAGAGACATGGTCCAGTAGACCGCAAACACACTCTGCAACCCACCCATCTCCTTTTTTTTTGTCCCCACTCTGGGGACTATTAACTCACCCTTTCACCTTTTCATTACCGTACCACTGCCGGCTGCTCAAGTTCCACGGGACGCAACACTGTTGGCTCTTCAGTAGCACTGATGACATTGATTACCCACCTACCTATCTGAGCTTGGCTCAGAGTTAAGCACTATGCAACACTTACCACGCTGACCAGTTCAAATGCCCGGCGTCAAGCCAGAGCTTCTGCAATATTGGTGTCACTCTTATGATTTCTTCTTTTATTAATAATTGCTCCCTCCCTTTGCCTTCAGGTGCAGCAGAAGCAGAGCGACAGTGGTGAAGAGGAGGGAAAGGACTCGGGAACTCCGGTCCGCGACACCGACAGTCAGTACGGGACCTGGGAGACCGGACTGCGCACCGAGGACAGGTAGACGAACTAGTTGTGTCGGATGTCACAACACAAGTCAATGTTCACAAAGTATTCCAAGTGTTCATTGCAAAGCAATCAGGCTTGAAAACCCAGTTCATGGTAAGCACAGCCGGTCAAAGTTGAAAAGGGAAACATCTATTCAATGTAAGCCATGCCAACAATAAATTATTAGGGTCATCTTTCATCTTAATTTTCGCTCCTGAAAGAATGTCTGAAAAATCAGATGATGTGGTACGTGGTACCACCATTGAAACCACGACGACTTCAAGGGTTGTGGTCTTAATACCACATGACTGACCTGCAATCCCTCATCTGAAACCCCAGATACTGTCACAAAAATACACATGGGCCGAATGTAGTTAATGGCCCACGTGTTCACACAATTGCCTTTCTTTTCTACACCGCTTTATTTCCTCTATGTAGATGAGTCACTGTGTTTTGTGTTTATCCATGCAAACATTTTGTTTGAGTTGCAAATGCTACACATAACACACCTTTGGGCTGAAGGTGACCCTCACGCTCTCATTGGCTGTGGCTCCCTGAGTGATAAACCAACAGCAACCGTCATTTCAGTCGGAGCATCTCCCGACAGGACAACACGGTGGTTACATATCCGCCCGCATGCATATTTTTTAGTCAGACATTTGCTATATGTAGCAGTTAATGTCGGTGACCAGTACAAACTCCAGATTATGCTCTCACTGCATCTAAGAGGAAATAAACTATTCCACTTTCAGTACACTTGTACAACAATTTTTTTAGCTTATTTACATGTAGTACAAATTACAGTAACTATATATGAACAACTAAAAGCAAAACTGTGCAACGTTTAAAAGTCTCCTACAACCCAAATTGAAACCTGCCTGTAGGCTTGTCCTGCAAAACTAATGCAGAAGTTAATTATTAGCTTTGTTGGCTTATAAATTTGGCAACTTTTTAAAGATTTAACGCTCTGGTGGGATATTGTTTTATGCATAACGGTTGGACCTGTTCTGTCATTTTTAAGGTTTAAAGGAATGAAGTTATGCTAGTTGTCTCTTTTTTTCAAAACCAGAAACTCTTGTTACCGATTCATGTGTATAACACACACAACGTGATGCCTTTTTATTCAGTGATAAAGCTCAGAAAAACCAATGTTTTAGAAAGAAAGTATTTGCGTACTTTTTGTGTTTTGAGTGAAAGTAAGCCTGACCACCATTTGAAAAAATACATCGATGGTTTTCTTATCTTTCTGGGAATTGATAAGAAAACTGAATAGCTCCAGTGTTTGCTCCTCTGTGTAAAATGCTGCATCGCATTCCATTGCAGTCCGCCACTGACCTCCTGTGGAAGCAAACAGAATGAATCGCAACATTTACATAAAAAACAATATGAATGGATAATTGTTGCAATGCAATTTAGTAAAAAGTAAGAAGAAAAATAATTGTCTATTCCATCTATTTTTGTAAATCCTTTTGTTAAGGCCTGCAGCTTGTATTCAGGTGCTTTGGCAAAAGGAACGCAGTGACTCAGACTCTGTTTGATTGTAACCGTGGTAACCAAACACAGTTGTTTGTTGAGGTGTTAGTTAACTATTTTTTTCTATTTTAAACTTTAAGCCTCACTCCTGCCACTCCCAGCTCGGATAGCAATCCCAGCCCTTCGTCGGGGAAGCCGACTCCCACTCGCACGTCAGGTGATCACGCCTCGCCGTTTGAGACTGACGCTCTGGACAGCCTCCTACCCTCTCCCTCACCTGGGAGCCAGCCCCTCTCTTTCCCCGATGTAAGTGCTGTTTGTTTCCTCACAGATTCACGTTCTTTTTGAAGGCCCATGTGCCTTTACCAGCGTCTTATGTCGGATGGTGGTTTTAAGAAGTTGGCTTTTGTCTCAACGAATACTAATAGATGATCAGTCTTTTCGTGTTTTAGCAGCAAATGCATTGACGCTCGTCTGTCTGCACGTAAGCTGATGTATTTCTCTTGTTTTTGGGTGTCCAGACCCCGACCATTCTCTTAGACACCAGCGCTCTTCGCTCCAGAGCCCACCTGGGGAAGAAACGAGCGCCGCGGACGCGGCCCTCCAGAGCTGCCCGTCAGACGGAGGGAGAGGGAGGAGCCACTGACGACTGGCTTTACACGGACTCAACAGGTTAGCGCCAAAGATGAGCTAACGTCTCCAGGAGGTTTTACTACCCCCCCCCCCCCATCCCCTAAGCTACCTCCTATCAACTGATTACTTTATGCTGACATTGGGTACTAAATATGTGTTCTCCCTATGAAAGAGGCAAAAGCTGAGACTAAGGACGATGACTCTGACTCTGGGGAGCCGACCAAAGGAGTAGACGCCAGCGCTGCGGTTTCCTCTCAGCCACAGAGGATCGCCCTGTTCCCCGGGATGGACCCGTCAGCCTTAAAGGTGATCCTCCCTTGTGCATTTGTCAGATGTATTCACCATACGAGCTTGTCATATTTCTTTTTATGAAACACAAATATGTATTGTTAAGCCCTCCCTGCTGGTGTTATGCAAGTAGGGCTGTAGGTGATATGTTTGTATTTGTTGGTATTAAAAGCAATGTCCTAATGGGTCTCATTCCTGTTGTCAGGCCCAGCTGAGGAAGAGGGGCGACTCTGACAATCAAATCGATGGCGCGGCTCCCTCTTCCTCACAGCTTTCTCGCTCTCCCAAGTCCCCCTTTCTTCCCAGGGCAGCGCGTGTACTGCCCCCTGCTGGTGGGAAAGAGAATGGGTAAGACCCAAAAGTTACAGATAGTGTTTTGGTTGGACACAAACACTTGTGTATCTGTTAGCCCCTGAATTAACTGTACTGCGCGTGTCTCATCTGTGTAGCGAGGAGGACTCCCCCCAGTGGTTGAAAGAGCTTAAGTCCAAGAAGCGCCTGAGTCAGTATGACAATGACAGCTAAGTACATAATGGGGTAAGATCCTTTCCCTGTGCGTATTAAACATCAAATGAGATTATTTTCATTCATGACAACGGTTTTTCTCTCTCACCCCCCTCTAGGTTGCCTTAACAGATGAATCTATATGAAACTGAAGCCTTAATGTTCGACACGGAGAGGAGAGGTGAATCTACAGCTGCTGTTGTATTTTTTTTCTATTCATTTTTTGTTCTTTTCCCATCTGGGTTGATAAATGTGCATGGTGCCTTTTTTATGGAGAGTCTGCTGGTGGAAAAATAAAACAACGAGCAAGCAAGCAAAGAAGGAAGGGGAAAAAAAACATTGGGCCACTTTGCTTTATCCATTTCATGATGCTTGAACCTGTTGAAGCACGTCTGCACCCGGAGGCACTTCACACAAACACTTTAATAGGGACCAGGAGAAATTGGGCGGGAAAGGCGATTATTGGCTGTTATTTCCAGTCCAGCCAAATTTCAGGAACTAGTAAGTGTGTGGGAGCACGACGTCTCTTCATCCTAGACGACCTACATCACATGCTGAAGGACAATCCAGCGGATCATTTCCACGGTGTTTGTATCTAGTCTCCTTTCTCGTCTAATACGTGCACACTGGCTGTGTCTGCGTTGGGTATTTGTGTGTTATCCGTGCCGGTTGTCGATGGTGGTCACACAAAGCATTGCCACAGGACAACATTTCAGACACTAATGATCTTCCTTCTTGAACAAATCACTGCTGGTTGCTCGTAGAGAGTGTATCATGTTAGTAACTGTAATCAGGAGATGTTATATTTGTATTATCATTGATCTGACAGAGAGATATTTTTTAAAACATTTGGATGCATCACTACAATGGATTGGTGACACTCCACAACGCTAAACGTGTCACAGTTTCTGCATTCTGTAGCTTGTGTTTTTTTTGTAAGTATCTAAGAAGACGTACAGGGGACTTTGTATCGGTCAATGCCTACTCCTTATCAGCACAAAGACACTATTCAATCGTTTAAATATACAGTACCAGTCAAAGGTTTTCTCATTCAATGAGAAAATGTGTCCCAAGGTTTGACTGTAACTGCATTAGACCACACTAATCAGCCTGTGTTCCCTCCTTAGCAGCTTAAATGATTGTAGCTGTAGGCATTCATCACAAGCCATACTTTCAAATTGTGGCCCTGACACACTCCTCAATCATGTTTGAAACGTGTGTGTGTGTGTATATATATATTTTCTCCAACAAATGTGCAATTTCCCATGATTTTGTCCCCATCAATGTGTGCATGCACAATCTTTGCTGTCGAACCAGGCGTTGCTCAAACTCACTGGCTCAGAGCGTCGGGGCGTTCGCTTACACTACTCCAATGTTCACTACATTGTTTAGATTACTACCTTCCACGATACTCCCAAAAAACATTGACATTTGCGCCTGCTTTTCATCTTATTCCTCGTGGTTGTCCATCCAGCCACACTGCACTTTGTCACTTGATGCCCTGCAGATCTGACCTACGCCTCCTCTTTTTGGCCCTGTGTTGTCGTCTGTAGTGTCGTGCAATGCAAGTGAATACGTTAATCGAGTCCTCAGAGTAAGTGTCCCTGGTTTCTCTGTAAATGAAGTTTTACTCTGTCATGAATTTGAGGTTTATTTTTTCATGTCTTTGTTTGTCCCTTTTTTTTTTTACTTTTTATTTGAAAGTAAAAATGTATATAGCACTGTGTTGTACTGGCCAGTGTTCTAAAGTGAATACATTCTTAATAAAATGTACTCTACTTGAGCTACACGTCTCTTGTCTGCTGTTCCCACGGCTGAATGTAACCGTGTGGACGTTACTTTTCAGTAAGCGTTGTGTGCCCTCGTAAATCCAGCTTTCTGTCCATCGGAATCTCTTCAAGTCTTATTTACTCGAGTGAGGTCTGAGAACGCAACCTTCAAGCTCGATAAGCTTCTTTGATGCTGCTGCAGATTCGCTCCAGTCAAACCTGTGAACGGATGTATCTGATCCTGCTGATAACACAAACCCAAATCTATGGAGGGGAAACGCGTGAGGTGTGTGTGTGTGTGTTTGTGCTGAGCGGAGCTGTTTGCTGAATCCTCTTGGCTCTCTCTCTCTCTCCCGGTGCCCGCACACAGTGCTCGCTGGCAGCCAGGCGGACCGGCAGGGCAGCGTGTGCCAACACAGCTGCCTATTGAGAGGCAGCGTAACGGACACAATGTGAGCGACAGACTTGCTGTATCAACAGCTCGCCCCTTTTCTGCTGTTGTGGCCAGAAATAAACCATAAATACCCCCCCCGTCCCTGCCCTCTAATGGCTCAAGCTCACCAAACACCACAAGTGGCACCGGGAAAAAAAAGGACACTACCACTTCCTAGCAGGCTTACCCAGGTAAAAAAAACAACTCACTGGACACAGTCGGTGTAATAATTCCAATGCAATGGAGTTAGATGGTGCTGCATCGAGTGGAGACCAAGGTTTGGATGATTTTGGTATCCTTTTGTGATAGAAGATACTTCAAATGCCTGTATATTCTTAATGGATAATGATGTACATCATTCTGTCAATTCAATGATAACAATTTTTATTGTCTATTTGGAAAAAATGTATACATTCCTCCTATTCAAGGGTGAGTTATAAACTGCAGCTGTGACATTGAGACTTCCTCCTGTGTGCGTTCATCTGGCCGTGTGTGCTTGATGGATGGTGCTTTGTCTGTGGGTGTGCTGCTGCCAAGAAGTGGAGGAGCAGTGGATCAGGAGTATGTCGGAGCAGCAGAGCGCCCCGGAGCAGCTAGCTGCTGGGAAGAGCCAGGGGGGAGCTGGAGCCACTTATAAGGTACTGGAACTTTGGCGTGAGAGACGGAAACCCGGTTTGACCAGGGAAGGATTGTACGGCGACTATCGATCTCTTTAAAGTCTCATTATGTGTCCTGGTGAGTTATTCTAAGGGATTCTGCAGTATTTATAATGGGTTTTTATCTCAATTGCAGAAATATCTTCTTTAAAACCAGTATGAGCCACTTTGAAGGCCTTTCCCCCAAACTCCTCTCTGTAATGTGTCGATGGTGGTAAACCTGCACCTCTGTGGTCCCTCCTGTGTGATCTAGGTGTTGCTGTTTGAGTTTGAGAACTTCCAGGGCTGCAAGGCGGAGTTTTCTGCCGAGTGTAAAGACGTGACGGGGAAGGGACTGGTGAAGGTTGGATCTGTGATAGTTGAGTCAGGACCGTAAGTAATGCGCAATGTTTAATTCCCGTATTGCGAAAACAAAACACAAGTTTTAAGAAAAGTGTTTCCTCAATAACTCTGTCATGTTTGGTATCCGCGTCAGATGAATTTCATTCAGCTCTTTTTCCTCTCAGCTGGGCAGGTTATGATAAGCACGGATTCACAGGGGAGCAGTTTATTCTGGAGAAGGGCGAGTATCCACGATGGGACACCTGGACCAACAGCCAGAACAGCTACACCCTCTTGTCTCTTAGGCCACTCAAAGTGGTGGGTTACTGGTCTCTATACAAAAGTGCACTCATCAAGCTCTCTAAATGTGTTCAATGATAAGTGTCCCACGTGTTACTTCTGTACACATTATATTTATCTTTATATTCAGCGTCTACTGCAGACCGTTAAAAGACATGTCCATGCGTCTGGTCTCCCTTCTACAGGACAGCGCTGAACACAAGTTACACCTCTATGAGAGCCCTGGATTCACTGGGAGAAAGATGGAGATCGTTGACGATGATGTGCCCAGTTTGTGGGGCCACGGTTTTCAGGATCGTGTGGCAAGTGTCAAGGCGCTTAACGGAACGTAAGACCCTCCTTATATCCCCCCCTTTCATTTCTCTCCGCTGTTCATTTTATTTAATGTACCTTCACAACTCAAATCAACTCAACTCAAATCCTTTCTTCCAGATGGGTCGGCTACATGTACCCAGGCTACAGGGGGCGGCAGTTCATCTTCGAGAGAGGGGATTTCAAGCACTGGAACGACTGGGAGGCCCCCGCACCGCAGATCCAGTCTGTCCGGCGTGTGCGCGACATGCAGTGGCACAAGAGGGGCTGTTTCACTGCCCCCGACCCGGCTCCGGCTCCTGGCCCCAGACCCGGCCCCGGCCCCGAACCCGACCCCACCCCGGCACCTCCCGCCCCTCCCGCCACGGCTGGAGCCAGCTGAGCAGGATCCTCACACATCTGCCTCCTCTTCCCACAGCCCCCCTCCCCCCCCACGCTGCCGACAGTGCCTGCCCTCTACCTTAACCTAACCACGGCGAACAATGCTTGTGCAGAATGAGGAGTGCCATGTACGTTTCAGTGGCGAAATAAAGATGTTTGACCTGGGGTTTTGCACTACTTTTGGTCGATGTTACACTTGTAATTCACAGTGGAGACGGCTTAAAAAGCACATGAAAATAATGAGGCCTACATTTGGCAGATAAAGTCTGTGTTTTGAACTGAAATAATGTGCAGGTTGTGTGAGCACCTTTTACTGGCTCAAAGCCTCATCCAGCAGCATTAGAGCACATGACTTAAGCAGATTTGTATCCACATATTTCCTGAATAACAGCAGTGGAGGTGATTTCACACTTGTACACACTTAGTAAAAACACAACACAGTGCATTCCCTTCCACAGTCATCATTGTGCATTTCATGGTTGATGATGTTATGCTGCATCGTCACCAAGTAAACATCAGGAGCTGATATCAACTACGGCGCACACACAAGTTATTGTTCAGTGCGTAATGAACAATTCTCCTACACATGTGAGTGACATGGATCTCCTATTAACTTATAGAAGCATACTGCATATCCCCTTCTGCCTCCGGCTCTGCTCCCCTATCCTCAAGGTTTTCTCCGATCAGTAATAAATATACAGCTGTGAACACATCTGTAGCATATTAATATCTAGCACACTGGACTATGAGGAACCTTTTGGTTGGGTAGCCGTTTACAACAACAAACAAATCATGATCAGGATGTCAAAATCACCTGATATTCTTAATTATTCTGGAACAAATGTATCCCAGATTTTGTTGCCTGGCACTCGTGCTCCTGATTTGTGAAATTACGTATTTGAATTTTTGAGTTTTTGAGGTCACATTGCTGCATTTTAATCTGTAGTTTTCACCTTAACAAAAAGTATTCTAGACATAAACTCAAATACCCAGATCCCTAATTCAGATATAGACTAAAACAAGTTATACAATATGAAGCTTTTCTCACCCTCAAATTCTTTGAAAGAACCCTCAATGGATGCACAACCTCCTATGTTTTCTATACAGTAGGTAAGCTTAGGGTGTGTTTTTAATCATTACAAGTCAGATGGCAGTACCCCACTGCTCAGTTTCAGTCAGGTATCGCCCTTCTACAACGGGGATACATCCAGACGCCGATTGCAGATCTAACTTGCAATCACAGGAAACACAAACACCTAATTAATGCTCTCATATAAGGTGGTCCTGTTTCTATTAAACTGAAAGTGAGTATAATGACGTGGTAAAACATCAAATAACATAATTGTCACATTGTGACGTGACATATGAAGATTCATAGACTCAAGTTAGCCAAAATCTCACATGTTTCACAAACTCTTCTCCTAAAATCTCATTATATTGCATGCCTTGTATAACCTATGACATTAAATGGGTGGATTAGGGGTCAAATGAATAAGCAGTATTCTAACACTGGATTGTGTGAATTAATGACGACATAATTTAAGAAAATTGAGATCAACATAGTCTGCATCAAGCATTTGCATGGTCATATCTAATGTACCTTGCAGACATGATTTGGAAATGCACTCGCAACTCCAAGAAGGCATATAAACTGGAATTAGCATGTAAACTGGAATTTGCCTTCTTGCATGTATTTTTTTCTACTTCATCATGGTCAGTGCAAGGTCAGTTCAGTAATGACTGCAATAAAACTAACAATAATAATAACTATACTAAACATTATCTATATGTATTTATCACATTTTCAAAACAAAGCTACAACGTATGTGAAATCAGGATTACAATATTTCAGAACTGCCATGAGAAAAATACAGTAAGATAATAGAAATAGGGAAGATACCAAATTAAATAAAACATGCAACAACGATATAAGATAGAAAACATGGTAATACCAATTAAACCAATGGCATATAAGTTTTGAGAGATTGCACCAATAATGCGAGTCAAGTGAATTGAAATGAAGTGGAAGGAAAGACCTCGAGGTTGTGGAGTAAACAATATTTTTACTCACAATATTTGAAAAAGTACAAATTGTGCGAAAGGGAACTGAAATACATGTATATTCCCCGAGAGAAGCCCTTTAATACATTCTGTCTATAGAGGTTTGTATCTATCCTGAATAGTGACACATTATCTCTTTGAATCCATAGTATTTAAGCTATAGGTGTTACTAACCCTCTAAATTTAGCTAAAAATTATGAATAATCATCTTTATTTCTTGATAAAATGTGTCTTATCATTTGCTTTTTTGATGTATATATATGTGTTCATTAAACTTTTTGCCATTACGGTAAACAGGTTTGACAAAAGATTTTGAGCTTCTAAACAGCGGGTTCGAGACATTTTTTTACATGACAACTTAATTTTTCTAGAAATGTATTTTTCCAATAAATCCACTCATATATTCCCAGTTATTTGGACTGTTGTTGAAATCAATACAAATCTCTACTGCACAGTCAAATCTTTCACTATCCTTCTATCTCACTCTCTCTCTCTCTCATTGTAGGTGTGGGACTCTTGGCACTGTTTGTGCTGAATCATGTGGACATCGAACAATGACTGGCTGGACAAAACTGACAACTAATGAAATAACTTTGTGGGAGTGTGGCAACAGGGTGACCCCTCATTTCAGCCTGCTGGGCCTATGACAGGCCGACCTGCAGGCTGGCTCGGACACGGTGGGTGCTGTTGGCAGAGTTTCCACCCCTGGGCGTCCCGTATATATTGAGCTCACCGTGCAATCACAAACACACTGGCATAGACAGGTACTGGTAAGAGGTTCATGTCCGTCACACTGTATTTTTCCAATCATGTTTACGCTTACTGTTTTTAACAGTATTTGTTTTTGTTTTGGTGCTTGAATATTTTACAGTCACCCATGTTGCATTGCTGTAATTTTGTGTTCAGAAAGCGTCACACTTCAGAAATTTGTTTTGGAGGGAAAGGGATGGGTATATAAAAGTAGGATCAACTGCGGTTTGACCTGTGCATACTTTACATTTAAAGATTGCTACTTATTTTAATCATGTAAACCTCACCACTGAAATTACATTCTTTCTTTTCAGCTTCATCTTTGCCAATCCATTCACTATGGCCTCAGACCACCAGAAACCAGCATCCAAGCAGCAGCAGCCAGGCACCAGTGCATTTAAGGTGAGCAGAAATGCAGAAACATGCAAAGATCAGATCAGTTGCAGTTTAATTCGTACTGCAGGAGTTACATTTATACCTGCCCTATTTGGATACTTAAAATTCTAATTGAAAACAGATTTACACAAAGTTAAACCAGTAACTCAACCATTCACGCTGTCTGCTTTTCTCCCATTGGCCCACAGCTGGTTATCTATGAGCAGGAAAACTTCCAGGGACGCTGCCATGAGCTGACTGGTCCCTGCAACAACCTCCAGGAAGCAGGCGTGGAGAAAGTGGGCTCCATACTGGTGCTGTGTGGACCGTGAGTGTGGGTCGGAGACAGGCAGAGCGTTAAAAAATGCTTTAGAACCAAACAGCCAGCGAGTGACATGGGGATCAGGGACTCACATTGTGTATAAGCAACTTGCCAAATAAAAATCAATCATAATTGTCCACTCAGATGGGTGGGATACGAGCAGGCCAGCTGTAAGGGGGAGCAGTATGTGTTTGAGAAGGGGGAGTATCCTCGCTGGGATTCCTGGACCAACAGCAGGCGTAGTGACACCATTGTTGCATTCCGGCCGATTAAAGTGGTAAGAAAGATATCTCCCTCCGCGCCCCTCTTCAGTCGTGCCATCAGTTGGTAAACAAATCGCCCACTGGTTTAATGCTCTGCTCCTCTTTCAGGACAGCCAGGAGCACAAGATTGTCCTTTACGAAAACCCCAGCTTTGCAGGAAAGAAGATAGAAATCATAGATGACGATGTCCCCAGCTTTCACGCTCACGGCTACCAGGAGAAGGTCTCCTCTGTTCGGGTTCAGAGTGGCACGTGAGTCCATCTTCTCCAACACCAGAAGTTGTGTTATTCTGCAAATAACTCCCCATCTATAACTGTCTCTTTTCTGTTATGCCCCTCCATGCCCCTGGTGCAACAGTTGGGTGGGCTATCAATATCCAGGCTACAGAGGCTATCAGTACCTGTTTGAAAAGGGGGAGTACAAGGACAGCACTGAGTTCGGAGCCCAGATTCCTCAGATCCAGTCGGTCCGGCGCATCAGAGACATGCAGTGGCACCTGAGGGGTGCTTTTCATCCCGCTAACTAAGCTTATGACTTTTTTCCTGTCATGAACCCTGACCTTGGCCTCGCTCCCTTCCAGCATCGACCCCTTTGTTCTTCATTTACACCAAGCTGCATTTGAAAATCTATTTCAGCTGTTGTAGGAGTGACATTCTTTCAAGCAAAACAATAAATCCTCATTGCTTACATTTGACGTGATTGTTTGATTTAATTGCGTTTCTCCCTCTTTCCCTAAGTACTCTGCCTCTTCTCACAATGATCCATTGTGGTACCATAAGAAACGCCTCATGTGCACTTGACACCTCCGACCAATAGGTTGTGCTGGAGGGACCGACGAATGACGTCACTTCCTGTTTCCCTGCGAAGCGGAGCTGACGACACATTACAAAACAACATGCTACGATCTACTCGTGTAACGCTTATGTAGTTTAAGTAGGAAAGTATTTAATCTAGTTTACTACGTCTACGTATTCTTATTTCAGATCTTGGTTCATCGGAAACTTTGGTATGAAAATGTTATTTGACAGAAATGTGACTAACGTTACTCAACGTTTGCTAGTTAGACAAGAAACCGCTTGACGTTAAAAATTGTTTTTTATGTGAAATTAGGTGGTGCGTGGTTAAATTGTAAAAAAGTAATTTCAAACAGGCAAGTTAACGAATTGTCAACGGTTTTAGGGGTTGTTTGTATCAACTATTATATTATTATTTAGGAAAGTGTAACGTTGAGATACTTGATACTTGTTACCCCAGAAGCACGTTTAAAGTTGAATTAATCATACAAGTGTTATTTATTTTGCCTGCTTAAGTTAAAGTGAAGTGTCGTCTACATGAGCACAGACAAAATGACTGCACTAAACACTAAAGAGCAGTTTTGTATACGAGTAGCGCCTTTAATAAGACAACTGTGGGATCACTTAAATTAAGGGAATGATTATGCCAAATTTGTGGGTCTTCAACAAAACGATAGAGCTTAATAAATGTGTGTTTATTTTACAGGCTTTTACTTAGAGATGTGTTTAACCTTTTTAAAACAAATTTCCTCCAACAGTGAAGATGCCTATCCTGTGCAGCAACTGTATCGACAAGCGCGCTGTGCTGAAACGTCCGAAAACCGGCCACTCGCTGTGCAAGGAGTGCTTCTTCTGGGCCTTCGAGGAGGAGGTGCACATGACGATCGAGTCGGCAAAGCTGTTCAAACCTGGGGAAATAGTGGGAATCGCTGCCTCGGGGGGAAAGGACTCGACGGTGCTAGCACACGTAATGAAGCTCCTAAATGAGCGATACAACTATAACCTTGAACTGATGCTTCTCTCGGTTGATGAGGGGATCTCTGGTTATCGGGACGACTCCTTGGAGACAGTGAAGAGGAATCAGCAACAGTATGAGCTGCCATTGAAGATCGTGTCGTATGAGGAGCTGTATGGCTGGACGATGGATGCAATAGTGAAGCAGGTGGGCCTGAAAAATAACTGCACCTTCTGTGGAGTGTTCCGAAGGCAAGCGCTAGACAGAGGCGCCATCATGTTGAAAGTGGACAAGATATGTACAGGTAATTCCAAAGAGCGTTTCAAAATACAAATGGCAACATTGTGAAAGCGCAGTCTTCGTCTAAATTTCAAACTGCAAATATTTTGTTAGAATTTGTTACAATGACTGGATTGGTGGTGTTTTTTTTTCTACAGGTCACAACGCCGATGACGTGGCCGAGACAGTTTTGATGAACGTCTTGCGAGGGGACATAGCTCGCCTGCGGCGATGCACTGCCATCTCCACAGCCAGCGAGGGTGACGGCGTCGTGCCGCGCTGCAAGCCCCTCAAGTATGCGTACGAGAAGGAGATTGTTCTGTATGCATACTTTAAGAAGTTGGACTACTTTTCTACTGAATGCATCTACTCTCCCAATGCTTATCGTGGCTACGCAAGGACCTTCTTGAAGGACCTGGAGAGTGTAAGGCCTAGCTCCATAATGAATATTGTTCACTCGGGGGAGAACCTGTCTGTTCGGGAGGGGGTGAAGATGCCTGTGCAGGGCACCTGCAACCAATGTGGCTATATCTCCAGCCAGTCTCTGTGTAAGTCATGTGTGCTGCTGGAGGGGCTGAACCGAGGTCTGCCGAAGCTGGGCATTGGCAAGCACCACCGCCTGCATGACAAAATCCTCTCCAAGGAGCCCCTCACTGAGCGGGAGCAGAGAAAGCTCAAATCAGTAGACTTTTGAAAATGATGATCCCGTTTTATTTGCCACAAGACGTATAGTAAGATTTTAAAATAAACCATGGTTATTATTCCATATCAAATGGCCTGGTCTGATGACTCAACTGTTATTGTCTTCATTCATCATCCATAACATATATTTTAAAAGTTGCAATGGAATATTTTATTGGTAAAAACTGAGAAAAAGCCATGCCATTTACGCTCCATAGAAAGATAGTCCATTCACTGTTGTCATTCAGCTGATTACCAGAGATCACTGTGACACTACGTAGACATACCTTTTTGTGGTTTTAAGAACTATTTCAATGTCTATCAAAGCGTTGGTGCCAATGTCCGTCCGAGCTTTTAAAGTTACTTTTACCAGTATTGATAGTTATTGATCAGGATCTCTTGGCTTTCCAAATTCTTACATATGCTTAAAAGTGTTAAGTTCTGTACACCCTCTAGGGTTTTTTAAGTTCAGAAACGAGGAATGGCTGGTTTTTCAAGTGACATGGTTGTGAATATGTTCTCAGCAATGGCCTGTTTATTTCTTCTTTTATTTTTCTTCTGTGTGTTCCAATGGCTGTGGATCATACGGTGACAAGGGACCGTAAATTAATAAATACATTACCCCTATCTTCATGTTTCTCCGTTTTTTCTTGAGTCCTTGTATTGATTCATAATAATGAAATGTATTCACTTTAATCAGTCTCATTAATTGGCTGTTCCGCGTCACTATGCAGTTCCCGCTTGTGGCCGCTAGATGTCACTCATCACTGAGTCTCAGTCAGAGCGCGCGGCCCCGCTAAAGCCCCGCATGCACATATTGCAGCGCGCTCCCGAGACCTGTCCCGAGCAACTTCCACTGCAGCGGCCAGTGGGGGAAGTTTGGAAAAGAAAGTTCAGACTTCGCGAAGTTGAGAAGCTGCTAAACGTAAAACGGAGACAGGCCGAAGTCGGGAAGCCACCATGGACGACTTGGGTAAGTCAATGGAAGTTTGTGAAACGTTGTTTCTCCCACAGCGGTCAGTGAGGAGCGGGTAGCGGGGTGGAGGAGTAACCGTTAGGTCGAGATTTAACGTTGAAAAGCCTTGTTTGTGGGTCACCTTACTCTGGAAGGGCCGGTTATTTCCTGCCAAACAAAAATGTCACCCAGCAGTAGGACTGTGAGAATGTGTTTACATTTCACCCGCTTTGGTTGTAATTAAAGCATCGAAGTAACGTGGCGGCTGCGCATCGTTAGCCTTCACCTCCTCCTTTAAACTCTCCCTCCCAGCAGTTAACGTTACGTTAATGTCCGGCGCACTTAAACAAACGGCCTCTTTTCTCCCCTTTTTGTGTGCCGGAGGGGAGGGGAGATATTTGTGTGACATTTTGACACCGAGATTCAACATTACCTCCTCAACTTGTGCCCACAGGCTATTCACTCCGGCTTTGAAGTGCAGTCAACGGGCCTCCCCATTTAGACCGCTCGGTGCGGCACAATGTGGGCTCGACCGCGGCCTGGCCGGCTTACAATGCGCCTCCTGTCTGATGGAGTAGTCATAACTTCTAGTAATACCCAATTACCGACCATACAATGCCATTTTTTTGTCCTTTTTTTCCTCAAATGGAAATAAGGGTAAGGCCTTGGTACAAGAGACAAAGGTGTGATTAGGACAGTAGAAAAAATGGAGATTGTGCTCTATGTATAATACTTTAGTTGGTTAGTCGGAACCATACATGAAATCAAACCTAACTTCTTATTTACTATGTCAAGGGTACTGTCAACACTTTCTCCAGGAGGTGAAACAGGGGTGTACAGTATTATTGTAGATAGGACCCTGACCCTGTCCTGCTTTAAGTGTTAGATGGGCTCTAGCTGGATTGGAATTTGTCTGTATACATGCAGCACAGACCGTGAATAATGGGGATTAGGTCTGTACATTAACGTTTTAGAGTTGCCTTTTAAATCGTGTGGTATAATAATTATAACATCCACTTTTGTCATATTACTAGCTACCTAGCTTCCCTGTGAAGCGGAGCTGACGACAGATTACAAAACAACATGATACTAGCTATTGCTGATACTTAAGTAATATTAAAGCCTTCGTTTCGTATGTATTTTTGGATGTTTATGGCACTCAGAGAACTGAGTTGGGGCTGCGATATCTAACTAGTTTTCGTTTTTCATTTACATTTGGGATATTTTTTTTCTTGGATGAAATGTCTATTCTACAAAAAAAATTGAAAAATTCCCATCAAATCTTAAACCTTAAAGTGACATTTATTAATAACTTTTCATTAACTAAAAGTCTGTTTATTTTTTTGAAAACTGTTGCGATTCTTTTCTGTCAATAAATCACCTTCTCCTTTCAGCACAAGTACATTTAATCTGCCCCATATCCAATACCAGAGAATCTGTGACATATCTCTGTGTCATTATCTGCTCCATCTATTTTTTGTACCTCACTAACCAGTTACTTCTTTGGTTCATTGACCTTTGACCTTTGGCATTGAACCTCTGAACTTCTAATTCTGGTTGTTGTAGTTTTCACCAGCTGGTCAGTTTGCTATTTTTACTTTGCTAATTCAGAATGAATCATCCCTTCTGAAGTCTGTTGGAATACTCCCATACCGATCTCCAAATACGAGCTTAAAATGGATTTCTGTCTTGTTTATAAGTGGAGAGACGATGTGCTGCATTTTGAGTCTGGCCCGATCTGAGAATACCTCCGGAGCTAGTTAGCCGCTCCAGCTCCCAAGGGCCACTGAAAGAGATGATTGTTGGTCGAGAGGAAGCCGGCAGCCTCACCGAAGCAGCGTGAACAGCAGGCCGACAGAGGGGGCGAGGCTGCTGAGGAATGTCAAACATTACTCTGTGTCGGGGTCCAAATGCTCTCCGGGTCATGACTCTCCTCCTACCACTAATCTCAGGCCTGTGCGTGCTCTCACCAGAGGGAGGGCACTCGGTTTCAGCCGCTCGTTAAAACGGACTCTGTGGTAAATGGGCGCCTCAAGCTTTGAGGTCTGGTAGCCTGACGGTCACGCAGTTGTGAAGTCGAATGGCCCGCTCTCTGGATTTTTGCTTCTTTGACCACATCATGTGGAAACCCCCCTCCCGTATCCTCCCTGATTATGCAACAACAAACCACGTTGATGTTTGTAAATCCCTGATGAATGTGGTTTACTCTACTTCCACTTACCCTCGTTCCGCTAACAAGCCTCCATGTGTCCTTTTCTCGAGGCCTACTGGTGACGGCCAGGGGGGACATGGAGCTGTTTGGAAACCCGATCAGACTCCACTCTACCCGTCTTCTTTCATTCCGTGTGTATTGATCTTCTCACATTGCCGAACACTCGAGGAAGGGAATTCCCTCTGCTTGGTGCGAGCAGAGTTCCTCTGAGTCAGATCTTTCCACGGGTTCTCTCTGATCAGTCTTTGTTCCTGATGAGGCCCAGTGGCGGCCCTCACCCACTCACCCAGATGTGGCCCTTAGGCCACATTTGACACGTTTTCTTTTGGCTTGTCCTGCCCCTGGGCTTATTGTTTGTGTGGTGTGAAGCTCCCCTCAACTCCCTGTGAATTCCTCAGAATTGTGTGAGATTCAGGGGTACTGACCTCACTGTGCCGTGGAGGTTCTGCTCGCCGTCTGCAGGTGGACAGAAATCAGATTAGCACAGACATGAGAAGGGTTACTAAAGTGAGAATAACACGTATGCATGATTGAATTGCTTTTTGGCTGTGAAATCTCACTGTTCACAAAATACAAATGATTGAGATCCAGGCCTGGATTACTGACGTGCACAAGTAGCCAAGGACCCCGGACCCCGAGGGGCCCCTAAAACCCAACATTCACTGTGTGGTCAAAATCTAGTTCTCGTATCTTGCACATATTTTATTTGATACTTTTTGTACATAGTGTATTTTCTTAAAATACGTGTTCAATAAGTGTTCAATCTTATTGCAATCAAACTAATTTGGAGAACCCCGGGTGAGTGGCATATTCATCCAGCCCTGATAAAATCAACATAGTTTGAATCGGTGTGTGTGTAATCTACATGTATATCATGTGTGTATATATTTAGATATGTCACACTGTGTGTTGTAACAAGTGTCTTGTATCCTCATACAACACTGTCACACACTGTGTGTTGATAAATAATATTTTAATAATGTTTTTGAATATTTTGCTGCCTCCTACACAGACCATCATGTAACAAATAAACGTCCGGCTGGATAACTTTGTAATGCTGGTATTCAGGAACAGTCATCTGTCTTGTTGTAAGTAAGACTCTGTACATGGTTGAAATAAACTTGCCCTAATCTTTATTTATTTAACTTCACCAGAGGAGCCAGATAGTGGGCCTTAGCTGACCAATGTACAAACATTGTTCAAACCTTCCAACCACCCGAGAGGAAACACATGTTTAGAACATGCTTATACATCCAAACTGTATCCATTTAGATGCACATACAGACGTCAGAACAATGTGGGCCTCAGTCTGTATTTTGAGTGTATCTACGGGACGTGGCTATGTGGACTGAAACAAATGGCAACACCTGCTAAAGATTCCTTCTGTAAACACGCAGCAGTCTGTATATTTACTGTAATATAATCAGGTGTCCACCTGGAGTGGAAGTGGGCTGTTGTAGCAACGGGGTCTTAAATGTTTACAGCGTTGGAGCAGCATACCAAAAGATCTTAGAAGGTCTAAAGTTCTCCCTGTGTCCCGGCGTGTCGGCGGCACAGAGTTAGTGTTACCACACAAGCTTTCATCACCCCACGAGAGGTGCGAGGACCGCGCATACCGCTCCTAACCAGCGGGCTCCCATGCCCGGCTAGAAGGGAGCTCCTGGCTGTAAATCAGCCTCGTTGCCGAGCTCCACGCCCATCCTGTTCTGGGTCTGGGGAAGAGAGCTGCACGGCTGACCTCATCGCTTAGGCAACAGAGCCTGCCCCACATCCTGAGGAAACCGAAGGGGAAAACAATGAGCAGAGTCTGTGCTAGAGGCCAGTCGACTCTGGTGTAGTGGGCAGCTTTTTGGCCCTTGGTGTGTTTTGATTTTCCCTGTTGTGCGCCGTCGTACCACAGTGTTGCTTACTCTTTTCCTCCTGTCATGCTGTTTCCACGCCTTCTCTGTTCCCCGGCCTTGTAACGTGACCTCAGAGCAGGACTGAGTATTTTCCCAACAGGTCAGGGAAATGTAGTATGAATACGAGTCGCTGCTGGGGACCCCAGCGGGGGTCGTCTTCAAAGAGCAGGGCAGGAAATCTCCCCAAACCAAATGTTTCACGTAACAAAATGCTTGCTCATCATTTTGATGTCATAAACTAATTTAATGAATTCAAGGTATCTAATTCGCCCTAACATTTTTTTAAAAACTACTCATTTGATCTCCGATCATGAGTAATAACCTGCAACTATATGGCACTGCCTTTTCAGACAGCTTTTGGACAGAGAGATATGACTCCTCAATCTGCCCAATTACTCCCTTATGGCACAAACGCCTACTCTGTGTCGGAGGGCATGTGGCCCTCAAACATGCTATGGTATGAATGTGTCCTCAGTGACTGGGTATCAGTCTTTAGACTTTCCCCTGTCATCTGATTTAATGGCCTGTGGGGAAGTGCTTTTATTTTGGTCCCTAGTTCTCTCAAGGGGCGTGTCTAATGTTTCGGATATGGGGCTGCTTGGCAGTGTATTTTTGGGGGTATGTTTATTTTGAAGAAATCACCCTCGGATGCTTCTGTCCTACTGATGGTATTCTGTTACACTGACTCATTGGTCCGTATGAATCTGTGTGTGCTTGTGTACAAACGGGTGGCCACCTGTAAGTCATGTTTGAAAATGTCTCTCTTTGCTCATCATTTTATTGGCTTGCACCCGTTCAATACTCTCTTTTACTCACGTTCCTTCTGTTTGTCTGTTCCTGGTTTCTACCCAGCCTCCGCTGCCTGTCTCTCTGGCATCTCCACCCTCCGCCCGCCTCTCCCTGGCCCCCGTCTGTCCTGTTTGATATAAATATCGTGTTGGGTTGGCCCGATGGGGTAGAGTTTCGCTGTGGGGCTGTGGCCAGGTCTGCTCTTTTGCTCCCTGGCTATAAACAGGTGAGCTGTGGACCCTGGTGGGCTATCTCCAGTGCCCACATGTTAATAGAAAGGATTAGACAGCCCTGGTGCCCCCAACACCCTCCCTCTCCCCTTCCCTGCTAGCCTGAGCTGTAGACCCTGCTCTGTGGGAAATGGGTAGTAAAAACATTGACATCCCTTATCCTGGAATTCAAAGCATGCCGTAGTTAGTGGAACGGGTCCCGTAATTGTCAACACATTATTTTCATTTTCCGGACTGACTGACCGGTATTTTGTGTTTGTGTTACGGGTTCTGTAACTGAAACCCCTTAGGTTCAGGTTAAATGAGTTTGTTATTCAGGTAGACCGTGTCACAAAGCCTCATTTTGTCTCCAGATAGGATGAGTTGCATGTGAGACGATGCCCTGCCCTCAGCCACCTTCATCGTGTACTCCGCCCCATTGCTTTCTTCCTCAGAATTGGACAGAGGAATGTGTGGAATTCCCCATGCACCTTCGCTCCCATCTGATAAACACTGCAGGACTGTGGCCAGGCCTTGAGTGGGTGAATGGGAGGCGGGGGAGGGTGGTGGTGGTGGTATGTGCACCAACAGAACAGGACAGTACATGCACCCACTGCCACAAGAATGTGTACAGTGTCCACATGTCTTGAGAGTTGTTTGTTGAGCGTAATGGAGATCAGCGACCACAGCGTGGCCTCATGATGGTTCCCCTGACAGACGGCCACTGTCTCATTGTTGACTGACATTTGATGTTTTTAGTCCTAGTCATGTCCTTTTTGATGACTGCTTTATTCCTCCAGAGCTTGCACAATAGGCTATTGAGTCAGGATGCTGTTATGGCAGAATTGGACTTTGTCCATCGTGCCGCCCCCCACACTCCGCCCCGTCTGAAATGGAAAAGATTAGCCCGTTACTGGATACAAATTCTTAATGTTTTAACTCTGCATGGATCAAGGTTGTCTGGGACCGACGAAGGCTTGTTGTTCGTCCTCATGCTGAACTCAATGCTGCCCTCCTCAGGGGGGATGAGGAAAGACCTGCATTAAAATGATCTTAATGGAGTGATGTGTGTTTATTGCATGCTGCTTAGGCTAAAATATGCCTAATGATCTGTGAATTATGGATTTAGAAATGTGACTTTTCTGATGCTTTCCTTATCTTTATCCTAATGTAGAAATAGCAGAATCTTCTGTGGTGTACATCACACTGAGGTTATGGTGCAAGCCATAACAGTTCTGCAAATGTCAATAATTTGTATTGTTGGGCCTGTGGCAGAATCACAGATGTGTTCAGCAGGTGGGAGGGGGGAGTCATTTTAGACATTTCTATACTCCTTATAAATCTTGCCTCTGTCTACATGTGTTCGGGAATGCCCCCGGCAGTACTCTCCTCTTTGGCAAACCCAGGACGAACTCTCTAGGAATAGATTTCCATGATTGGTCTTTTATTATTTTTGACCGCAACAAGAGAAATGGATATCTAAATCCTAGGCTGTTTTCGATATAACTCATTTGTTTCCGAAACTAGCTGTGGTATTTTTGTATGTGGAGGCTTTGTTTCATGAGTGACGAAGTGAACTTCAGTAAGACCTTGTTCAGCATGTCAGCACCAGGTGCAGATTATTTTGAGCTGGTCGTAATATTTCAGCACATTTGAGCAGACATGGGCTACACGCTGAGCTCGCTGCTATAAATAGGCTTGTGCTCGCGTGGTTTATGTCAAACTTCATGACCTAAACGTTTAGCCTTTGGGCTGGATCTCCTTTTTGTCTGGAGACTGGTTACCGAAGGGGACACCTTTATCACCCTTATTCTATCAATCCATCGCAGCACATTTGAGGTGAACATTCAAACCTGAAGTCACATGCTTTCGGATTCAATTGAAAATGACCAACATAAGCCTGACCAGCATCTGTAAAGTTATCACACTGGAGACCATATTCTTTTGTAAACGCAGGTTTAACGGTAAGAGTACCTCATTAGAGAGACTTTGGTGATATCAGGGTAAAGGAGCACTGAAAGGATACCATTATTGAATGTATACGTCACCCAACTCTGGCTCTAATACCACCCCCCCCCCCAATAGGTTGGCCACATATTGTCCCTCCTTGTGGCTCATGCTATCTTTGTCTGTACTACTGTCTGCTTCACACACATGCGGAAAGATATTACAGATACAACAAGTGGAAACAATAATGTGAGTATAGATACTTGTTTTTATTATTTTTCTTGGATTACAGGCGCTGCTTTATTGTTTCATTAAAACACTTTGTTGTTGGATGTTTTAATGTTGACACAGACGAAGGACAAACGTATCCAGGCTATTGCGGGCCTTTTCCAAATATTCTGTGTACATGGTCTTAGTGGTCACTTAATTGCGGGTGGTATGAATGCAATGTTCACTGAAGAATAAAGCAGCCTTACAATTTGTCAGTGTTGTGCAGTTAGATATGTACCACTTGCCTCCAGCTTTTGATTTTAGTGAAAAATTTTCATTATTTTTGCTGACGTACATTGGGATTGATCTAACATTGAATTAAATAATAAGTATTTGGAGAAGATGAGCGATTATGTTGACAGAAAAGAGGCTTCAAGTACATCATTTTTGTAAGAATTGTGTTTCTTTTATTTGCAGCGCTCTTTGAAATAACTTAGTCAGGAGAGGAATTTCAAATTTTCATACAAGAACAGATTTAAAGATTTAAATTTACGTACGTATTTACGTACATATTTCAGAAGCCTCGTCAGCCATCTGACCTCGTGGCTAGTTGGACAGTTTTGGACCCTGCTTCTCTCATGTTTGAGTTTAAACCTTCGGTAATTCTTTGCTACGGACTACTGTTCCAAGCCTCTCCATTGTAACGGTATGCCGCAGTGATTCCTTCTATTCTGGACCGGCTGAGAATGGATGGACGGTGTGATGTAAGGGTCTATTTTGCTCCCTCGTTCCTGTGAACACAGCTGGGTAACACTGTAGCCCCTCGACCCGGCACTTTGTTCTTATCAGTCTGTCCTGTTAAATTCACACAGATTCTCATAACCGAGCCAAATCAAAGACATCCATAACGTACAGAGCAATTCCACCACTGTAACGACCGACGAAGCTCATTGACAGCTCTCATTGTCAGCGGGGTTATTTATAGTGTGTACCATTTGGAATGTGTTGGGGATTTCAGAGGGAAATTTATGAAGGGCTGATGGGTTGAGTTGTGACTTTGGACTCTGGGATGTACTGGGCCAAGGCTTAACCTTTCTGTTGAATGCTTTTTTTTTTTTTTTGAAAAAGCTTTTTTAGGTGACTGGGGGAATGAGAAACACGCTGCCATTGTCTGTTTACAGCCTGACACCACAGTCAGTAGTCCTAACAACCCAGTAAAGAATGAATTGGTCTCCAGGGCGACCATGTTTGGAGATCGAAATATTTTGTCTCAAAGGACCCACGGCCTGACTTGGTCCGAGGTTGATCAAGATTGTATTTATTTATCTATTTGAACAGCAACTTGCGGGGCAAATGTATGATATTATTTTTTTTTTTTATTATCTGAAATACACACGGACAAATGCACCAGTCAGAACTGCCGTGCGCTGTGCGACTCCCTGATACGATGGCAGGGAAACACTGTATTTCTGGTCGCTGAAATGCTGCAACTATCAATGCTTTCAGACGCATTACTGGCGGACCTGGAATCGACTACGTCCCAAATCTCAAAGCGACCCGTGTTCTTGTCTGAGGAGACGCCCTACTCCATCCCCACCGGAGGACACCCCTACCAGGATGTGTCGGCCCCACCTCCAGTTCCTCCTCCACCCTCGGCCGAGGCTCTGAACGGCTCCCTGGCCGATCAGCCGGACTCCCACCACTCCTCGCTGCAGGTCTGTCTCTGTAGTGGGACCATGCTCATGAACCAATGTTTCTTCATGAAGCCATTCGTCCAACAGGTTTCTCACAAAAACAAAAAGTACAAAAGTACAAAATAGTGGCACGGCAAAAATTGGATATTATTTATCCTTGTGTGCTTGTTATCACAATCTCTGATGTGTGACAGGGGGAATCAGTCTTGCACAGACAATGAATGTAAAAATCACAATCCCAAATTGTCCCTGTGCGTCTCACTGATGTGTCCTCTGCAGTCGCTGGGCTCCGGCCAGAAGAGCTCATGGTCCAGGGACAGTAGCAGCTCTCCTTTGTCTCACATCGAAGAGGACCACGTCTACAGGTATCCCGTCACACGCTTTACATGTTGTGTGTATCGTTGTCACCGTAGTCGCAGTTAGCAGTTGTACCCCGTCTGTCCCCTCTCCAGTTTTCCAAACAAACAGAAATCTGTAGACTCGTCAACAGCGGCCATGACCTCTGCTATGGGAAGTAACCTCTCGGAGCTCGACAGGCTGCTGCTGGAACTCAACGCAGTGCAACAGAGCTCCCCTTCGTTCCCCACTACAGGTACATGCAAAGGCCTCAGCTTTATCCCTTAAGTTCGCGGTGGGGGAAAAACGAGTTTGTTCTGTTGTGTGTCCACAGAGGAGGCAGCTCCGCCTTTACCGTCCTGCAGCGTCACCCACTACGAGAACGGCAGCTCCTCCGACATCATGGGGAGCCCTCCCCCACTGGAGAAACCCAAGAGGAACGGAACAAGGCTGGAAGAGGCCCGACCCACTGTGGAGAGTTTGCTGACCGAGCTGGAGGGTCCAGTGCCTTCACCCAGGTGCTGTATACACGTGTTCAGCAGTATACAGCACAGTCTGTGGAAGGCAGTACATCTTAAAACAAACTTAGAAGGATGTGCTACTCTAGAGATCAGAGCTTCCCAAAACATTGCTATTTGAAAGGAATCATTTCAACGTTCAAGGTCACGTGGTAGCACATGCAGGTTGGATGACTTATCCGTGTATGACGTGATCCTTGTTTGGAAAGAGTTGGCCTTGTCCTTTGTCACCCTTTAGTTTCATCTTCTAAAAATGCCGAATGCGGCAGTTCTGTCAGACATGTACTCAATTCTTCCAGCACATAAAATGATTATGTATTTAACGGTTGCCTCAGTTGCAGGGAGAAATAAACCGTTTCAACGTTTGCGTTTGCAATTCCTATTATGATTTTTTTTTTTCCAGCTCCTCTTCTCGCCAGAGCGATTTGGACTCCCCCTCTCAGCAGCAAGCAAGAATTTCTGCATCCTGCGCCACACGGGAGCTAGACGAGCTGATGGCCTCTTTGTCTGACTTCAAGGTAGAGAGCGGCACGACTCCCGGGACGGCTTCAATGTTTCGACAAGAAACACATTCCTGTTGACTTCTCTGTCCTCTTCCTCTTATCTTGCTTCTGCTTCTATGTCCTTCAGCCCAGTTCTTTGGGCTGTCCTCTGGACCCAGCAGGAGCGTCTTCCAGCTTTCCTCACCTTCCAGCCTCTCCCTCCGTCACCCCGGTGGCTTCTCCTTTCCGTAGTCCGTCCCATGCGTCTGCCTGTGGCTCTCCTCTGTTCTCTTTGCCTGCTGGTCTAGAGCTGCACATAGACGAGGGCGGAGGAGACGGCGGCATTTCGGTGTCCCACGCGAACCGTCTCTGTCCTCACAGTCCTATATCCACACTGTCTGCAGCCAGTGACCTAGACCTGGACTCTGTCATAGATGTCTCTGCCACTGTGCTGTCGTCCCAAACCAAGTCTCTGCTTGTCCTCTCCCAAGCTGCTTCCATTAACTCCAACCTTATGAGAAATAGCCCAAGTCCTTCCAATACCACCACCACCCCCTCGTTAACCTCAGTTAACACTGTCCTGGACCAAAAGTCCTCCAAGTCATCTAGTCCCTCTGTGGAGCCGAGCTCGCCCTCGACAAATGTCAGTAAATTCCCTTGTGATCCCGAGACTATGAGCAAGGGATCTCCTTCTTTTCATGACCTTGTTTTAAATTTCTCTTCTCCGCCTCATTTTACAAACCTCTCCCCACCTCGCTCAGCTCCAAAGACCCCTTCACCCATCCCTGCTGCTGTCGCTATCTCCCCACATTCTGCACATGTTTCCTCAAAAACATCCTCGCCATCTCCAGTCTCTCCGGTGGTGGTCCCCTCTCCACTGGCCTTCACGAGCACCAGCAGACAGCTGTTGGCGTCAGCGCCCGCACCTCAGAGAGCCAGCCCCTTCTCGGTGCAGCAGGCGCCCATGGTGGAGCCCTCCTTGGACGAGGAACTAGACAAGCTGCTGGCCATGAGTTTTGCACAGAACCACTCGGCTGCACATGTGGAGGACCCACAGCTGAAGATGGAGGCACAGCGTTTTGGCAGGGGGATGCAGGAGATTCACGAGGAGCTCATCCTGCCTATGGACAGATACAGCGTGCAGCCTGACACTTTCACCAGCGCCACCAACACCATCACAGATGAGTCTGTGGACGGAGGGACCGATGGGAACGGGGATCTGGACTGGGCCGACGAGGAGCTGTCGATGTCCTTCCACGATGGACTGGATGGCACAATGACGCCTTACACCGAGAGGCCGTACACCGATGGCAGCATGACCCCGCTGACGGAGGCCAGCTGGATGGATGAGTCCATGACCCCGTCTTCGTGCCCCGGGACCCCTGACGTGGGCCTGGACCTTCCCCTGCTGCAGACCCCCAATATGGACCGAGTCTCTGCGTCCGGACATGTATGCATCTCGCCTCCTGCTTGACACGACGCCGGTTTGATTTGCTCACATTGTTTTTCTCTTGCTGAAGAGACTGATGCTTCCTCACCAGCTAGCCTCTGCTTCAGGTTGTTTTCCTGCTTTTATTTTTTAAACACAATAGCAACTATTTATCGGCTAGTTTGCTGACTAATATAATTTTTGCACTTGTCATTTCAAGACATTCAATAAATCTTCTTTAGCATGGTCAACTAGGGCTGAAACAGGCAAAAAGGGTTTCCTGCTTTTTAAAATTTGATAATACTTCAAAGTAAATATCTTTGGCATGCAGGCTGTTCAGGACTACATTTATAATTGATTTTAAAAATATTAATAATAATAATCTGAAAATCACAGAGCCGTCGCTGAGAATCGTCAATGGGGCCGACAATATGCTCAACTTTTTTTTTCTTTTTGACCGTCCAATTTAGGAACTAGACAGACGTATGAAGTATAGAAGTATGATCCGAACCTATCTTTAGAAGCAGCCCAAGTATAGAGCATGGCGCATATGATCCTCCTTACCTGTTGCACTGTGAAGACCCCTCGTGTCCCCTCAGAGATGCGGGCAGGTTGTTTAGAGACCAATAAGGCTGTGAGAAGATTCATGGGTAGTTTTAAAGGCCCATGACATAAGCATGCAAGAACTGCATGACGTGTGACTCTGAGCCCCTTGACCGCAGCATCCTGGCCTGTCATGGATTTTATTTTTATTTTTTTAATCTCAATTTGTGTGACCCGCCTGCTGCCCCGGAGCTCTACTGTAACTGCTCACCATTCCTTCTTAGATAAAGTCAGTGATTAGGCGCACTAAGGAAACTCCCAACGTGCATCCCATGTCCCGAGATGGCCACCTGCGCAGGAAGATGGGACCCATCATTGTGAACAAGAACACTTCTCAGGACCGCCTCATAGAAGAGCTTCAGGGCAAGTTTGGCATCGGTCGCTCGGAGCGGCGGCGGAAACAGTCTGACGATTGGCTGACCGAGGGTGTCGTGGTCACATGCAAGCCCCAGCGCTTCCGTCCCGATTGGACCGGCAGCGAGGTCGACAAGGTTGGCCTCGGTGTGCTTGACCGGTTTCCCAAATATTTTCATTCCTGATTAATCCACCTTTTCCGTTTTCTACACACTTTGCTCTGTGTTCCTTCCTTCTTTTTCTCTCCTCTTTGTTCAGGTCGTGATTCCCCCAGAGTCGCCTGTCTCTGTGAGGAAGGTCCTCCCGCCTCTCTCTCCCACTGCCCTTCGCCGCCCCCCAGTTATAGAGGAGCCCAAGCGACAACTCCCAGCACTGCACCCCCCTATCCCTACTCCACCACCTCTCCCTCCACCTCCTTCTCCCCCTCCACAGCCTCCCCACATCCAGGAACCCATTCCCCCTGCGCCTTGGCAGATTGCAAAAGCCACCCCACCTCCACCACCCCCACCCCCACCCCCACCTCCAATTCCGGAACCTCCTGCCGCCAAACCAGAGTCCCCTCCTCCCGTTCTTAAAACCCCAAACGGCCCTTCGCCCGTGACACCAGTGACACCAGTGCCCCCCAAAGCCCTGGTGTCAGTGGGCTGCCAAACAGAGTATGACCCAATCTTCCCTCCAATGCAGGCATGAACCGCTGTCTCTTCTCCCTTTTGGCTTTTTAAAGCTTTACATGTTTCCAGCCTTGTTTGGTTCAATTCTCGTGCCAGGCTCGTCTTTGACACGTAACTAACTTGATAACTTAATCCTTTCAGATTATGGCCCAAGGGAAGGGTGGCGTTTCTGGTTGTGCTCCGACACAGGTCAACAAGCTGGACAACATGCTCGGTAGCCTCCAGTCGGACCTCAACAAACTGGGTGTCCAGACGGTGGCTAAAGGAGTTTGTGGGGCTTGTTGTAAGCCAATTGTGGGACAGGTGAGGCTTTTTTTAAAGAATATAAACACTGGTTTTATTCATATCTAAAATCAACCTCCTTCATTCCGAATCCTCTTTTCTGTCTGTGTAGGTGGTGACGGCCATGGGCCGCACGTGGCACCCCGAGCACTTTGTGTGCACGCACTGCCAGGAGGAGATCGGCTCCAGGAACTTCTTTGAGCGAGAAGGACAACCGTACTGTGAGACTGACTACCACCACCTGTTCTCCCCGCGGTGCTACTACTGCAACGGGCCCATACTGGATGTGAGCCTCTGCTGGTTACGTCTGTGCTCAATGTCTGTTGTAGAAAACACTCAGCCAACAACGCGTGTTGTCATGTCTGTTCAGAAAGTGGTGACGGCGCTGGATAGGACGTGGCACCCTGAACACTTCTTCTGCGCTCAGTGTGGATCCTTCTTTGGCCCAGAGGGTAATCACATTTATTCTATTCAATTTTTTTCAATTTCAATTATTATTCAATTTTTGATTTACAATTCACTCACAATAGTACAAACGATTCTGTTTGCATTTCAGTTGTACGTTATTTTTAACCGGTTTGTTATTTCTCTGAAGGCTTCCATGAGAAGGATGGAAAGGCCTTTTGCAGGAAGGATTACTTTGACATGTTTGCACCAAAATGTGGCGGCTGTGCCAGAGCCATTCTGGAGAACTACATCTCAGCGCTGAACAGCCTCTGGCATCCCGAGTGTTTCGTCTGCAGGGTCTGTGTCTTGTCATTCTAGTGTGATGTTGTGTAGCCGAGAGAGACTGGGAATACTGGAATGAATAATAGCTTCAGAATAACGGCATCTCCCTCCGTCCCCTCTCTTGTTTTCGTTTACAGGAGTGCTTCACCCCGTTTGTCAATGGAAGTTTCTTTGAGCACGACGGGCAGCCTTACTGTGAAGTGCACTACCACGAGCACCGCGGCTCCCTCTGCTCCGGCTGTCAGAAGCCCATCACGGGACGCTGCATCACAGCCATGTCCAAGAAGTTCCACCCGGAGCACTTTGTCTGTGCCTTCTGCCTGAAACAACTCAACAAAGGCACCTTCAAAGAACAAAACGACAAACCGTACTGCCACGGCTGTTTCGTCAAGCTGTTCAGTTAGGGAGGTAGGAAGAGCAGCTATGGATCAGGGCTTAGATCAGTGCCTAAAGCATTTTGGCACAGGTGGGGTGGGAGGGGGCTGTCTGTATTCTGATAGTGACATTGGAAGTGTGTATGGGTTAAGTGTGTGCATTTGGTCGAAGCAGCAGTCTCTGATAAAATACTTTCCGTCTGAAACTTGGAAAAACGTCCTGTTGTCCCAATGCCAGCTACGCGTTTTGCATTCAGACTAGAAGACAGAATATTTTTGAGTAGGTCAAAAGTCCAAACTGTGACGCAGATATACTTAAAGGATGACATTACAGGGTTCTTTTTTTCAACTCAACACTGATGCATAAAAGACTACGTTTCCTTTCTTAATCCCCTGAAATGTGTTGGATACTTTCAACAGGCAAAGTGCTGTAGTTTTCTGTGTTTTCAAATATTTTTGTTTTTTTATCTTGTTAATGGTGGGGAAATCTTACCAAACACTGTAGAAAATCATGAAATACTAGGCGTGTCTGACATTGTGGCTCACTGGTTGAGCGGGTCATTTCAGAAACCATAAAAAAGAAACATTTATTTCCCACTTGGTATGAAGTTGGAAAGAGCAGGTCCATAATATCACTGTAGTGTTGACTGGAAATTAGTTTGTATGTGTGAAAAACCAGAAACCAGGTGTGTACACAGATTATGTATTAATACCAGAATGTCACAAAGACCAGTTTGAACTCAATCAGTTTTACAGTTTGCCCAATTTGCGTGGCAAGCCACACTTATATTTTTAAATCAAAGGCAAACTATGCAAGGATGAATCTTTCCAGTGATTTTCAATGAAGACGTTCAGTGTGTAGTCAGCCACCAGTAGCTGCAGTATTGACTCTTGGTCACAGATGTTCGAACAGACTTTGTGTATTTGTGCTGCCAAATCATTCCTTGTATTTACGCAGACGAAAGGAGAAAACCATCTGAAATCTTGTTTTTGCAGTTTTGGAATCACACAAAGATATTGGGAGTATATTGTGCATCTCTTAACTGCCGTTACTGTTTCTAGGTACATTCTGACAGGTTTTTTGTAAATATCAAAAGCAGCTACAAAGTAGGTAAAACGCTGGCATGCTTGGCATGTACATATGTTTAATAACCACTCATTCAAAGCAGGAGGGGGGCGGTGAGGAGGCATATCAAAGATATTTTTGGTAGCATTACTGTATTGAGAAGCTGAGGAATGTTCACTTCATGTATCTTTGAAACAAGTTCACAAAACGAGCTTCCTGTGATATTCCAATGACTGCAAGTGGGGATAAAGAATGTTATATTTTCTAATGTAAAAGTCTGTGCCATTGTATCAGTACATTGTCTAATAACACTGGCAATTTCAACAAAATAGTGATAACAGGTCCGTAGTCTGCAGTTATGTTTTCATGTATGAGTCCATGGAAAAGTAATGGCATTGGCCTGGTGACCTGGTGGTCAGTTGGTGACTCGTTTCCTTCAGCGTGTTCACCAGTTTGGGCCTTGACACGGAATCATAACATGCAGGTGAAACATTAGGACTTCTGTCTTTTTCAGGGAATTCTATAGCCTTACATCTTTACTCACTCTATTTAAGATAGCGTGTAACAGTTGTCTTTTCCAATCAATTTAGTAGAGTTTTATTTAACCAAAGCCATACCTTATTTGAGTTCTGTTTGTGTCTTTTCATCTTTTTCTTTTCACTCTGAATGTCAGTAATAGTGCATAATGTTATTCCTTGCATCTAGTCTGATTGAGCAAATAAATTCAGTTTTGTTTCTAAGTAGTATTCAAGGGCTTCATTTGGGATATCTTTTCATTGGATGTCTCGATATTACACACAAACTCATGGAAACGCAATGCAACACACACTTTATTCCTACACCTCTTTCCTCAAAGATTATTCAAGTATGAATACAGGAGCAATAGACATAAGTACCAAAAGCCATTCTGCCTCATCATTTAAACTTGTATATAAAAATGTAGGCTGAAAGTGGCATTGGTAAGACAAAATGTAAAAAAGGCTGACTGCCTGTTTGTGCCCAAAATTATTAATTTAAGTAGACATGTGCACCTTGGGCCAAAGCACTGCATGAACTGCTTCATCAAAATGTTGTAGGATGCGCTATTGAACCAACTTGCCACTCTGAAGCGTTGAAAACCCACAAGCTAACAAAATATAGGACTTTAAAAGAGTGTTTCATGTTTGTTTCAATTTCAAGCATTTGAAGCCCCCAAAATTGTCTTTGTTTTTCATGGTGAAAAATGTCATGAGAAAAAAAAAGTGAAAATATATTGGGTGAAAAAATGTAATCAGAAAGAGTCAAAATAAATTAGTTCAGGTTCTAAAACAATTCAAATCGTAAAGTAGATTTTATTTAACTGCATAAATGGAGTACATGGCCTGCACCAGTTGGTGGGGCTACTGCGTCACTACCGTTGGCCAACCGCCACAAAATATGAAGAAAGAAGAAGAAATGAAAGTCATTTCGTACTGTGATTGGACAGAAAGATCACGCGGTTTATGTCGTCATACCCGGCAGAATGACATGTTTATTTTTGCTAACATTTCAGGTAAGTCGACCTAATTTTTCAAGGCTGGTAAGGGTTTTGTGAATGTATTCTTTTATACGAAACGGTTCGTCCGTTTGTTAAAGTTCAAGAAACTAAGGTCTTGCTAGGGTCAGACTTTAGCCGAAGCTCTACCTCTGTTTTAAGTGTATACAACTTATTAAATACCGTTAACCAACATGTAACGTTAACGTTATGTGTCCTTGTTTATCAAAGAATGAACTGTGTTTTTGTATAGCTGCATCTAATTTTATATAATGGGGTTTCTGCGTAAAGTTGATCAAATTAACTTTTTGGGGTAAAATCGTTTGTTTTTAATCTGTATTAAATAATTGGTCCCGGCGGTTTGAGTGAAGGCTTTAATTCAGCTGTAGATCAATGCGCTTTAGTAGGTGTATACATAATATACATATTGAGTTTCTTACATTCTGTCAATGTAGTACAGGAAGTAGTTTAACCTACAGCTCCTTTGTGTCCCTGTCCAGGAGTCCAGAGTGACGCTTACTCACCTACTGTTCTGTCAGGTCTCATATTTCAGTCAGTCAGCTGTGGATTTACTGCTTTTTCAATGTGTTTTCAGGTATCTTAATGCCAAGTGGACTCAAACACTGGCTGGACCACAATGGCGTCCTACTTTGACGAACACAACTGTGAGCCCACCAACCCGGAGGAGCAGTATCGTCAGAATGCGCTGCTGGAGCTGGCCAGGTAAGGAGCAACGCACCAATACCAGGCCGGTTTCCCGTCGGTCGTCGGTCTCCAGTGTTGGGATCGATTGGTGTTTGTGTGCAGGTCTCTGATGCAGGGCTTGGACTTAATTGATTCCGGGGCGTTCGACTTGTCCGACTGGGACCACCGTCTCCCTCCGCCGGCCGCCAAAACCGCTGTCCAGACCCTCACCGTGGTCATCATTTCTCCAGAGCAAGCAGGTGACCGAAATGCTTCACCAGAATCTCTGCCTCTCTTACGTCATAGCAGTCAATACATTACATTACATGTCATTTAGCTGACGCTTTTATCCAAAGCGACTTACAATAAGTGCATCATGTCAATCATGTTTCACGGATATTGAGTGCTGGCCGAGGGAGAGATCATGCTTAGAGACTGTCTGAGAGAAAGGAGGGAGGATTTAATTGTGGTTGTTTTTAAACCAAAAGATAAAGGTCTCAAGTGTCCGGTGTGTTTGCTGGAGTTCGAGGAAGAAGAGAGCGTTCGAGAAATGCCTTGCAAACATCTTTTCCACTCTGGATGTATCCTGCCCTGGCTGGGAAAGGTAAAGCTGACAAATGCATCATTAACAAGTACATTTGACATCTACGTTATGGTTGGAGTGGCTCCTTAAAATTCCTCATGAATCTTTTGCATGTTTTGAAACGTAGACGAACTCCTGTCCGCTGTGCCGGCTTGAATTACCAACTGACAATCAAGAGTATGAGGAGTTTAAAAAAGACAAGGTGAGTGTGGAAATACGCTTGGGACAGAATGCGTCGGCCCCTGGGTTGAATATTGTTTTCTGTCCCCGTAGGAGAGAAGAAAACAGAGGGAGCACCGGCTGGAAGACCTACATGGAAGCATGTACACATGACTTAACGGTGCCGCCGTCCACGAGTGGCACGGGGACATTTTACAGGAAATTATGAGAGACATCACAGTTTTAAGTAATTGCAAAATGCTGCATTCCGGCCATTTCAAGCATGCAGATGGAAAACCTCACGTAGGCCTCATATCTGTAGTAATGCTCAGAAGTATAACAGACAATTGTCCGGTTCTTTGGATTCATTTGAAATGGCATGAATGCATCATGTTCTTTTTCTATGTAGTTAGGACAAAAACATTTTAAGACAAGTATGCTGGTGACCCTGAAGCATTTCTCTTTTTATTCCATTTTGATTCAAATCTGCAATCTTTAAACACACAAAAAACATCTGCCGGGCTGTATTTGTCAAATTAATTTGGTTTGTTTGAACAAAGGAATATATTTTATTCACTGACCCTTTCTCATCTTTTTTTTTTTTTACCCCCCAAAAAATAATCTAATACACTTCGAAAGAGTATTATTTTTAAAGTGCACTGCAGGGATGGAATATTAATAATACAAGCTTACATATATTGCATCAGAACACCACGGCCTCATCGTCGCACAGTAAATGTGGTCTTCAAGCCGAGGTTCAAACCCTGAAGACGGCTGAGTGGTACCCGTCCTCACGCAGAGTAAACTTCCCTTTGCCCTTTAACTCGTCCCGTGATGTTTGAGGAGACGACGACTCCTTCTGGCCCTGACAGAGGAGCAATTAATAACATAACCAGTAAGCTGTAGGCGGTTTTGGATGTTTCTACATCACATGCAGAGTTCTACACTACAGCAAGAGCCTGTTTGCTATTTGTGCGCGTGGTGAGACACAATATTAACCCTTCAACCTTGATTACTCAACTTTACAAGGTGGGATTACAAGCAGCAGTGTATGTATAGATGCAAGTTAGCCATTCTTGATGTTGAATTCCAAAAGTTGTTTCTATTTGTGTTTCAAGTAAATAGACCAATATTTATATATGCAGTATCGGTCACAAGTTAGACACACTGTCTTGTTTGAATTGAATGACCAAATGTGTTCAAACTTTTGACTGGTACTGTATATTTTTTATGAATATAGATGTATACACACACACACAACCTCCCAAAGACTAACCTCAGCTTTATTAACTTGAAGATACCAATACTATTCCACTACTATTCTGTCAATATAACATGTACTGCATGACCATGATCATTTTGCGTCCGTTTTAAGCAGCAATCTAGTGATCACTTTGTTGTGTATAAGGACACAGAGGTAACAACTCATGCAAAACCTCAAATCATTCATCATCTTTTTGTAATATTTCAATATAAATCTGTCAAACGAAAATACATAAAGGATTAATTGAATTACTTAAGACCAATCTTACACGTTTACAGAATATAATAAAGGGGAGAAATCATCTGTGTTGACTTGCTTCATACAGTTTTATAGACATTGTTTCTGTCCTGGGTGGTGGTTAGCACTGTCGCCTCACAGCAACAAGGTCCTGGGTTCGACTCCGCCCAGTGGCCTTTCTGTGTGGAGGCTGCATGTTCTCCCCGTGTCTGCGTGGGTTCTCTCCGGGTTCTCCGGCTTCCTCCCACAGTCCAAAGACATGCTCTGGGGATCAGGTTAATTGGGGACTCTAAATTGCCCGTAGGTGTGTGAATGTGAGAGTGTGAGAGTGAGAATCGCCCTGCGATTGGGTGGGAAAAAATCCCGGGCCCCCCCCCCCCCCCCCCCCCCCGCGACCCTGTGTGCAGGATAAGCGGTTTGACAATGGATGGTTGGATGGATGTTTCTGTCCTACTGAGCTATGGGGATGAGGCTGGAACAACGGGCATGCATATACATCTGCAGCGGACACACAGTCTGCAGTTTGTCTGTAGCACTGCATAGACACCATTGTGATGTCTATTGTCTGGTGACGTTCACATTCACCTCTCTGTGCACTCTGAATAAAACTTTCCAAAGAGCTGCAGAGAATTCCTCCCGTTGCCTCACACTTAACAGCAAAACCGTTCTCTAAACTAATCAGGTTTCCATGGGTATCAAATGATTGTTGGCAATGAGCACATTAAGTTTATTCAGGTGTGAAATGGTGTAAAAAAATAAGGCTATCTTATCTAAAAAGGGAAATTTATCTGTGGTTTTCAACTACTTGTTTCGGCTGTATTCCGCTCTGCTGACATCATTGATGTTATATTAGGACTCTCTTGTCTAAGCCTTCGTTTCAGATTTGAATGTGTGCGTTGGACCAAAGGATCTGCACTTTGTCTCAATAGGAAAGGTAAATATTGGAAAATGTGTGAATCAATAATAAACTGATCTGGGAAAAAAAATTGGGGTAATAACTACCAAAAGACTTAACCAGAGCTTAGTACTATAGTACGATACTATTTCACACTGTCTACATGTATAAGCATGATGTCATGCCTCGCTTCTTTGGGAAGGAACTTACAGGTGATGTCGTCCAAAGGGAAACAGAGACAGACTTTGTGATTCAAGAACAATCCACACAAAACATATAACTTACCATTTTTATTTCATATTTGAATATAAATCTCTGTCAAATGAAAATAACTAAATGATAGACAAATTGTACATATTTACAGAATTTATAAAACGAAACTAAATCTGTGTCTTGTTTTGGGGTATTCCATTCTTTGACACATTTTAAAATTGAGGAATTGTGTATAATACCTTTTTTAGACATTGTTTCCGTGTTGCTGTAAAGAGTTCAAGATGTGTACAAGTCAGCTTTTCGTAACATTGGATGCTTCCCCCAACCACGATTACCAAATGAAAGCTTACTTGAGTGTACATTGACAGAAAAGGAAAAACATGTAAAATCTACCTTAAGAGTTTGGTAAAGATGGTATTATGGAACAGATGTGTTTACACAATACATCCGACCCTGATGTGAGGCCTCATACAAGCTGCCGTTTGTAGTCACACCGTGTGACGTAGTTACAGTTTGGTGAGATAGGCTACAACATGATAAGAATAAATGAACATGTTCCCCTGGCACAGTACGAGGGATATAAGGCTTATCAATTCATACAACTAATGCAACGCACACAAAACCAATAAACTCTAGTGAATTACAGTCTTTTTTTGGCAAGATTTGCAGAGCAAGACAGACTCGCTGCAGTCCCAGAAATAATAGCAAGTTAAATAATTGGCACAAAAAGTAAAGAAAACTGACGTGACGTATGATTGCGCAGCTCGTGTAACAGCAGATCCACGGTCCTGTGGAAACGCAGATACTTACAGAGACTGTGGATCGCTGAGCTGCCGTCATATAAAACACTTTTCAGACCGTCGAAGATGGGAAACATGTTGGAACTCTAGCTTTTCCTTCAGAACATCAGACCCACAAACGATAAAAGAGGTAGGTGATGGGACCTTTTTGAAAACGTGTATTGCTGGCATCCTGTGGTTAGACAGTTCAAAATGTATCAACACTACCCGGAAGGCCGGACACCGGGGGGCACCGGGGGGCACGGAGCTGCTCACACAGGAAAAACAGTCAGATTATTCCGCTTACGTTTGAGCAGTGGTAGTTTGTGGCAGTCTTGGTTATTCACAATTGTAAATATCACTTCAAGAGCAATTGGCAACAGGAAATCATACACAACCTTAATAAATAACATACTCTACTCTCAGTCTACAACCGGTGTGGTACTATGCGTCCGTAACACTGCATAGACACTTTTGAAACGCCATGAAGTTTATCGCACAAGGTCTACAAGCGGCATATTCGTCCTCACCTCATCCTCAAAACTAAAATAAGGCTTCCAAGGGTCCAGCCTGGAATCAAATCAGTGTGTGGGCAAGAACTACGTTACTTTGGAAATACGTTAGTCGGATTACGTTTACCTTCACATCTACTCCTTTTACTAACACATGTAGGTCACTTAATATGTTTTGGCGTAACAAAAAAAAACAAAAGAAAAGAAAGAAAAGCCCTGTGTTCAACTTCAACACATCAAAAAAGGCAATTTTCACTGCAGCAGAGTGGAACATCTCAGATGATTGATGGCATTATTGCACCAGACTCAACAGTCAATTAAATAAAAAGATAGCATGAAATGTAAATGACACAAATAAACTCATGGGACGTGTTGGATGATAACGGAATGACATCAAAGCAGAACAGAGTGATTGAGATGCACGCCGTCCGAGTCCTTCCAACAGAGAACGGCTATAGTTCTTTATGCAGCAAACCTGCACTCCCACACATGAGTGACATGAGAATGGTCTCAAGAATCACGGTGGCTCAAGATACATGTATACAGTTTGTAAAACAATGTTAAAAATACCATCGATATTTGCATTCAAAATCATCTGTGCAACCAATTAAATTGTTGAGTGAAATGAATGATTTTTCTCATTTGACAGACTGATATTAAAAAAAGGCCATATGCTTACAGCCTGTAAAACATACAGAACTGTTGTTCTCAAACATTCAACATTTTGTACTTACTTTGCAAAGTCAAAACTCAATCCTAAATTGTTATCCTCTCATCCAAAAACATTGCCGTGCAGAGAGAAGCAAAAGGCCAAAACAGGTGGGCCACGCTGAGCGTTGGGTGGTCCATGAAGGAGGGTCTGGGACACAAACCACTGTGGGCTCACCAGTGATCACCAGTCAGAAAAAACTGACGGCCATCGCCAGTGTCGCCCAAATCAGCAGCCATCTTGGAAAACGTTCATGGCTCCGGTGCTCCCGCTGGCTCCACACGCTCAACCACCACTGAAAGGGATTTGACTGCAGTGGCTTGCGGCAACATTGAAATCAAAAGGGATAGTCGAGCATTGCAGATGGGAAAACCTGGTGTTGGTTCGATGGTTAAACATACCAGGACTTCTCCTCCTCCTCGGATGTCCCGTGTTCGCCCGCGATGGACCTCTGCAGACCGTTGGCCAGCAATGCAGAGCTACAACATGGCGATGCTCTCTGGCGTACAGTTGAGGTGTGTGGACGTGCTGCTTCCCCCGGGGGACTTGAGGCCCTTAGTCGCCCCACCCATTGTCGAGCCTCGGGCCCCGGGGCCCATGAGAACCCCTGAACCGATGTGGTGACTCTGCTGCAGGCCCACCATCAGGGTCTCGCTGGTGACGGTGCCAAACTCGTAGGTGAAGGTGCCGTAGAAAACCAAGATGTCCACCGTGAAGACCCACTCGCAGATGGCTGCGGCGTGCTGCAGGACAAAGCTCTCGTGGATGAAGAAGATGCCGCCTGGAAGGAGGGCAAGTTAAGGGCAACGAACGGGTCTCACAAGCGATCCAGGGAAGAGAGAATACAAAATGGCATTAGCTTTGTCTAGACGAATCCATTATACAAGGATAAGTTATGAACACATCACAGCGTGGCAGATTTGAACTCATTATTATGGTTGAAATTGAATTTGGCTTTGCAGCTCAATAAAACAGATGGGTTTAAATAATGAGATAGCAGACATAGAGGATTATTTTCGGACTCCGAGCCCAAACTGTCCTCATCATTGCCACGAGACAAAAGAGGAGAAGGCATAACAAATGAAGGTTCGAGGAGGAAACGCTGTTACCTTGGATACCACCAAGACGAAAACATCGGCATCCCAATAGTTAAATAAGATTACAGGAGAGAGGAGCGATAAAAGGAAGACCAGACAAATGTTGTTATGGACAAACATCTTAATCCGGGCAGGACTTTCCCACAGCTACTGAAGTAAAAAATAAGATGTCTCTCCAATGTCTTTATTGGGTGACACGACCGGATTGGGCGGTGAGTCCAGTGATCTCAGGACAATAATGGCCTGTAACAAGGTGGAGGATTACCAAGACCTTTCCTTCACTATGAACTGCATCGTTTAAATGAAGAAAAACATGTTCAAACAAAACAAAACTCTTGCCGACATCTCGGCTCAGAGTCGTTTCAGTGTGCAAGGATCAACAATATTGGGACCTTAGATCCAGGTGGCCTAATTTGAAGTTACAAATGGCATTTAGTTACAACTGTGTACAACTTTTTATGTCAAAATGTCTCCTGAAGAAAAAAAAAACACATATAAAAATTGCATGTAGGTACAACATACAGCACATGACTATTTGTGCACAGCAGGGGGGCGCTAGTGAGTGAAGGATACTAAGGACGAGGGACACCATGGCTCCCAGTGTAAGAGCAACTCGGAAATGGGCCATCCAGTAGTCAAGGGCAGTCACAGCCACCCGGTAGGTGAGCACACACTGCAGGCACACGAACAGCAACCCCGCTGGAAATGCCACTCCAGCACCCACATAGTGGAGAGATTTGGCGTGATCCACCTGACAAGCACAACGTTACAGTCAGGGGGGTCGTTTCTACCCGTCTGATGTAAGAAGAAAAAACAACAAAAAAGGAGGAGAAAGGAGAAGCAAGCGGTGACGTAAATGTGAATGAAGATCCTTAATATTCACCTGGAAGTTTCCCACCATGAGCAGACCCAAAGCATTGGTGCAGCCGGACACCAGAGCGCTGGTGTTGATCCAACATCGGTGGCTGTGTTCGATCAACTGGGCGTAGCGCAGAAGGCACACCATCACCACTGCAAGACACAGCAATCCACCACACAAAATGTCATCACCGCTTTTACAACACGTATTAATTGTGAGGTCACTGCGACAACGACCTGTGATCACCACGCTCTCATCAGGAGACATTTGTGCAACAGTTGAAGAAGAAAATGAATAATGAAGAAGGAAGGGGATAGAGAAGACTTGAGGTCACAGTGATCTCGATCATGGACCCCCCCCCGACTAAATCTTAAGAGTTTCCCTCTGGGCGTTCCTGACGAATGTAAATGTAATATGAACAAGCTGCAAACACAATGCCGCTGGCAGAGAGGCATAAAGATGCAGTAGTAGAGTATGTGAGGAGACATTTTTACAAAATGTTAGAGCACGACATAAAAAGTCACAGCTCATCATAGCTCAAAATCTGTCAACAAGAGCTGTTGACATCTCAGGTTGCATGAGGGTAGATTTTTGACAACATTTCTTCCCATTTCCCCATTTCCATTCACTCTTTAAAAACCATAAAGTAGTAACACCAAACGCAGTAAAACACGGTTAAGTTAAGTTATACAATAGTGAGAGTGAAAATGTTGCTGAGAATAGATGGAATAACAAACAATATATATATAGAAATAAATATGCAATGAAACATAACAGATGGGGAGAAATGTCAATTCACACCCAAAAGAAAAGATAATGTGAAAAAATATATTGATGGTGAAAACAGAAGAAGCGCATCAATTAAAGCAGGAAGGTGATCTGGGGAAGCGCTGAGAGGTGAAAACACAAGCGAGGGGGGAGGGGGAGCAAAGGTGGAAGACCACGCAGAAGGGAGGCCGGAGGGGGGAAGTGGAAGGAAAGTCGCATTCATTATTGATTAGAGAGCACAAGGCTATTTCAGGCCCATCCAAAGCTCTCGGAGGTTAGAGGCTGGTGTCTGTGGGCACCCTGGATTAATAGAACCTACAGAATGGATCAAGTCCTTCTCACAGCTGTACTGATGGAAGAGCAGGAGGCAGCGCTTTTATTTAGTGCATAATCCCCAATTGTACATTGCATATAGAATAACCAGTTATAACCATATAATTGTGTCCATTATCAGTCCTCCTTCTGCATCATATTTGTTGTTGGTTCTTTTTAGTCATGGGATTAGGAATAATTCCACATTGTGGAAATAAAAATGCTCATTTTCCTTCTTGCTGTGAGCTAGATGAAGACACAGATGCCATGCCGATATGTCTGTACAATAAATATGAAGCTGCACCCAGGAGGGAGGTAGCCGAGCATGACAAAAAGACTACAAACAGCGAGGGGAAGTGCCTTAGAAGCACCATTGGTGCTGGGGTAAGAGAATATTTGGACTAAATCCTTTTGAGGCGCCAATTTATGCATGAAAAGTATAACTCCAAACATTTTACATTGGTATTATTTTATGTTGATTATCTTATAATTATACTACTGTACTTTATATGCTGCTTTTTTATTTAGATTTCAATAAATTTAGGATGGCTCCAGCGTTATATTTGCACTCGCTATAGGGGCGTCTCGCATTGTTGTCCGGTGACCCCGCCGGAGACACAAAACACAGCCAGTCGAGATACATCGAGTTGTTAAGCTGAAGAAAGAACACCGGCACACACATTATGTCTTTTAATGGACTATCTGTGTGCGTGCGGTTCGAACGAGGTCTTACCCATGAATGCTCCAACGTTGCCGATCAAGCTGAACAGGCAACTTTCAGGAGGGAAGGAGCCACATTTACTGTAGCAAATTGAGACAAAACATTATTTCATTATTAAAAGTTAGGAAAATAACCTACACCTACTTCATTCTCTGCACAGCCACAGATTAAAGTACCTTTACCATTTGTTTCAAGACATAAAGCCTTGTAGGTTGTTTAGAAATAAACAAAGAGATTATGGTTACACACCTGCGAATGTCAAAGACTCAGATTTCCCGTCTGGATGCACAACTTAAATGTAGACAAGGTCTTTCCTCTATATAAACCGAAAGTACACTCGCCAGTCTCACGGTGCCTTCTCCTACAGTGCTTTTGGATTTGCTCTCGGTTAGAGGCTTATTTGCAGGCCAAACCGACCTCGTCTTTGCACACAACAAGATGTCAATTCAGGCTGCGGGGTTTTTTTTTTTAGCTTTTGCATAGCGCCTAGACAGAGAGCGGAGGAACGGTGGAACAGCAGACCTGATGAGGGGGATGTCCTGGATGGTACAGCAGGTCTTGGGGAAGCCCGGCCGGTGCGTCTCTTCTGTGCACGTTACATTGTAAGACCTGGAGCAGTGAGACAACACGTTCTGTTCATTCCCTGCTGTGCCCACACTCAGAAGAGAAAATATGATATCAGGAGTCTTGTGCACGTTTCCTCCATTAACAAGAAGGAAATCACTCACCAGTTCTCCACAGGACAAACATGGTGATTCATCACGGCCATCGCGTACCTGTAGGGCAAAGAACACACCACAACTGAGAGCAAGTCATAGCAAAGGCCAAACACAGCGATGGAATCTCTAATGATACGGGGGACGGCGATATCAACAAATAAAATATTAAACTGGGCTTCAGAAAAAAGGGAATTCGGCACGAGAGGATTCTCACTGGAGCATGTGTATATACTCAAATAGTATCGACACATTTCGGTCTGTGGGTAGTTTGGGACGCCCAGTGGCACAACCCAATAACCGAGCACGCTGATGTACACCGGATGATGTTCACGCGTGGCGTTTGCAGTAGACACAGCAGAGCGTTACTGTAACTCACACTATCCATATTCCTGTGATGGAGAAGGCAGACAGGCTGACAGGCAGGACGATCCAGGCAGTCATTGGGCTGGCAGTGAGCTGGCTTTGTCCCAAGCATGGGGTGAGAGGGGGGGCTTAGGGCTGGAGTGGCGACACGACAGGGGGGACCAGGTAGGGGGTGGGTGGGGTAGTGTGGGGTGATAAGACACAGGGAAACACACAGGGGGGGGACATGAGAGGAAAAAAGGGGAATTGGAACAGCTCTTCTGCTCCACGGGGCCCTGCAGCCGGCAGCAACCTGGAAGCAGAGAGGGGGGGGGGATACATGGTTAAATATATGGACAAATAGACGTTCAATAAAACCACTGTGACATCCATTATGCTCCAGGAGTTACATTGCACTGAGGGTTTAAAAACAATTGTTTATTGTGTCTAATTTAGAGCTGAAGAAATGTATTGATTAGTTGCCAAATATTAAATTATTCTCAGATTCAATCATTTTTTAGGACGTAGTCCTTTTGGAGAGCATCTTTCCCAATTTTCTGACATTTTAAACAATTATGATTCATTGATGACAACAGAGGTGAACACAATTCTGTAGACTATGCAGAAGTTAGATTTCGCTTTTCTGCTGCTTCCCACTGGCGATGTATACGAGCAGATGAGTTGGTCTGTCTTTAAGATCTGATTTAAGAAACAAAATCGGATTTGCATTCATTATGAACATGATCAAAGACCGACTGCCTCACATCACATCTCTCTAAGGTTGACAGCGAGCTCACACCACTAAGTGGTCTATACGTTTACCACTAAGAACATGGCAGAAGCATTTCCGCATCTGCCAAATGTTGGTAATAAAGAATGAATGTGTTTTATAGAATATGAATCTATGAATCATCATCTCATGAATCATATTTTAAAAACTGAAACTGGTGTTTGTTCTAGATGGTTTAGAGAGCTCAAACATGATTTGAACAAAATGTTCCAAAAATAAGCCTTGGTTTGTGCTTCCCCGTTTCATTGGGACATTACTCGACATCACACAGGTACCTCTTGAAGAGAAATGAACGGAATCATGAAGCTGTGAAAGGTGGCGGGGCAAAGTGTGACCTTGTGAGACCGAGGACTCAGCCGAGGACGCCACGTATCACTTTACAGTGGACACTCGTCACAAGCGCGTCTTCTCCTCGGACAGTGAACAGGACAAACTCCTCTTGAACTAATCCAAATGACAGAGGGAAGGCTGGAACTCAAATGTATCATTTCATTTGCTTTGCTTTCCTTTGAATTAGTCCTTTGGGGAATTCTGCGTTGGTGATTTTGTTCATTTCTCATAACTTCTATCAGATATTTTACACATGGTTTTCAGTCGCTAACTGGCTCGGTATCAGCAAGCTCATGTGATCCCGTCCACTTCCTGTGTTATTATTTTAAAATGTTTTACCATTTCATATTACAATGCACACGCAGTTCAAACCAGGCATTGACAAAATGGGAAGAGTCTCATTTCTGTAAACCCAGACCTCAATTATTACAATAGAGCAGCAACTGGTGATCAATCCGTAGATGACGTTTATGCCAACTATTTACATGATATATTCATTGTTTAGAGGCAATTCTCAAAAGAATATTTTTTAAATCATTTGTATCTATTTAGTTTCAGTGTATTAAATGTGGATCCATTTTCCCTCGGTCTTCTATGATAACAAACAGAATGGACCTTGGTTTTAAAATATCTGTGAGACTATTTTTAAACACGTACCCTTGTGCTCTAGGAATTGGTGAGGGATGCATGCACTTCTATACTGGTGACAACATCCTGGTAGGACTTGTTCTTTAGAGTCATAGAGATGTTCTTTGTTTACTCTAAACAGAATGACCTGTTTAGTGGGTAATAAATAACTTGCATGGATGTACATTATGTCAGACATATTTTGGTAATAAATGTTCCTGATTTTAAGTGTTTTTTTTTAAATTGTTATCATCATAAAAGAAACATTATTTTAACATTACAAAAAACTCACACACTCAAACTAACTAGTAATAACAGAAAATAGCAGCAATGGGTCAATTTATCAATAACCAGTGAAAGTTCACAATGCCGTTCAAGTTACAGCTCAAGTTGGACAGGTATTCATAATTAAAACTAAAACCCTGGACACTTAATTACTGAGTAATCATTGACAGACGCGAGTGTGTGTTTATGTATATGTAACGTTATGGGTGGCCATAACACCCCCAACCCCCGCAGCCATTCACAAGGAAATATCGGTAAAACTCGGTAAAACTGTGACAATGTAATAAACAGTGAATAAATGATGTTCAGCTATCGGCAGTGGACTACTGCAGACGAACAGACCGGGAAGCATCACTGAGTTCGGCAGCCTGCGCTAAAGAGCCGGTTAACGGCACCGTTAGCCTCGTTAGCTTCAACCTAGCTAGCTTGTTAGCTTGCACTTTACCAGTTGTCTTGACTTGCCAGCATCTTGATTTCCGCTAACCTAAGTGATAGGCTGCTAGACAGAAGACAGTTAGAGGACAAGCAAACTGTTCCCGATGGAGTAGTTAGTACAGAAAGGGCAATGTACACCTACCTTCAACCTGCTATGCCCCACCGCAGACCTGAACAACCTTGGTTTCCCTTTAAAACCAGCGATTTCTTATCAGACGAGCCTAGCGGCATAAGTAACGTCCGGTTGTGAATTTCAGTATAAGACAGACTGTAACAGACTGTAAGAATGTCTTTTTGAAAAGTACTGTATTCCAAAAAAAATGTTTCATTATAAAAAACTCATTCTGTTCATGGAATTATTTTAATGTAACAGTGGAAACATATAACATATATATTCATATAACGGAATATATTTTGCATGAAGTATTCACACACAAAACAATTGATACCTTGGAAGAGTCCCATCCTTGAATATATGCACCCAGAAAATAATATAGATGCCCACGTTTTTGGTGCCAGCTGAATAAAAGTCACTTAGATGTCAGTTGAATTTACAGTTTCACTACGTGATGAACGTGGTTTATTTTTATATGATTTCTTTATTTATAAATAGGAGGCTTTTATTTTCGCACAACCCCCCTTATTCTGGTGTAACTAACAGGCTTGGTGTGCGATGCCTCTATTGCTGATCACAATTTCCATTGATGGTGAGCTGGTGATGTTTCATTTATAATACATATAATACATAAGAGGGACATGGTTACACATGTTTCTCTTCTGAAGATGACATGTGTGTAGGACAACATATCTGGAATATAAAATGTTACACAAGTACAATTAGGCAGTAATTAGTTCCTCCACACATGATTCCCACCCACACGAAACAGCTGTCCAATCACAGCTTGAGCTGCTCTTAGGTTAGACTTCATGAGGTAGAAAACAAATTAAGACTCAGACGAACTATAATTAGTGAATAAATGGAATAATAAAAAGTAAGATGTAAATGCATTTGAAAAAAATGTTTATCTTGCAGCCGGTATCAGCTGGTTGCAGATCACCATTTCTGGTCATGTGGGGCTGTTAATCAGCAGGCCAATAATCTGATACCATTAAGAGGATTCAGTTGCGAGCAAAGTTTTGTTTCCTATACCATCTGGTCATGTCCCTGTCAGAATCAGAATCAGAAAAATGTATTTGCCACGTATATTGGACATTGGGGGAAATTGTCATGGTGGGTGGAACATACATGGCATTGAACAAAGGAGAATAATTTACAGTAATAGAGTATAAAATAAAATATAAAAAACGAATAAAAAACGGAAGTGCACAGGTAAACAGATAACAATAGACACAAGTGTGTGATGGTGTCAAGTGTATTTGAAAGTGTCTTAGTGTGTTCAAACAGAGTCAGTCAGTGGGGGAGCCGGTCTCTGTCGATGAGCCTGACCGCCGACGGGAAGAAACTGTTTGTGTGACTCGAGGTCTTGGTCCTGATGAACCCAGCCTCCTGCCTGTCGGTGAACATAATGTTTTTAATTAATTTAATTTAATTTAATTAGTACTCATATAAAAACTCACTTCAACTTCTGCAGAACGCTGCACCCCTTCCAAATTAGGAAGTGGTCTGCTGCTTAAAACCTTTTTCCTCCTTTAAGTCCATCCTACCCTCCAATATCTGCATTTTAAATCATTGCTCAATAACCAACATAAACAACCCATTGTAAATGATAAAAAAAGGACAGTTGACACTTTTATTAAGTTTGCAGAGGATTTTGTAAAAACAAATCATCAAAGAAGAATTCTCAAGCAAAACAATAGATAGAAAACACACATGGATATTTTGCAATGGGACTTAATGTTTGCATTCATAAATAAATATGCCCAGAACAGTACGGATACTGGGTCTGTTCTGTCTTAAAATTACCCAAATTTGATCTCAACTTGCATCAACTTGCATCATGTAACCTATCAAATAATAAGAGATGAATTCATGATGGTTACTTGTAAATGAATATACTTATATACACTTGTAAAGATATGCCACGCAGCCAACCTCATGTCAGCAGGCAGCTCAGCTGGGGATAATGGTATTTAGATTTCCTGTAAGCACGCGGATCCTCTCAGTCAGCAACATTAATGAGGCCATCAGGCATCCTGCTCACGTCCTGCATACTTAGGTAAAGGGGGGTATTAGACAACAGTATTGCTGGCTGCTCTGAGCGCTTGGTCTTTTGTGTAGGTGGGGGATCGTCATGGGGAGCAACAGCAAGATGACAAACTTGTGGAATAGGAGGCAAAGTCTCTTCCCAAACTACAAAGTAGCAGATTCAGACATTATTCGAAGACCCTCGGAGATTGCTTATCCATTGGCCAAGGAGAGCTGCGTGAAGACATGGAACTCCATGCAGGAGCTGAGCAGGGACATCTACGACATTTATGCAGAGTATGAAGATGAAGAGGACGACTATGCTTCGAACGTCCTCCTCAAGCAGAACTTTCCCTCTAAGAAGAACTACATGATCAACATAAATGTAGGGGGGAAGCCCTACCAGATAGCCTACAAGACGGCCGCCAAGTATCCCAAGACTAGAATAGGGCGGCTGGCCACATTCACGGACCACAACCGGAAGCTGGACCTTTGCGATGACTACACCGTGACAAACAATGAGTACTTCTTTGACAGGGACCCAGATGTCTTCCACAGCATCTTCAACTTCTACAGGACTGGCGTGCTGTGGATCAAGGATGAGCTGTGCCCCCGTAACTTCCTGGAGGAGATCAATTACTGGGGCGTGAGAATCAAGAACACCAACCGCTGCTGCCGCATCTCTTTTGAGGAGAGGCAGGACGAGCTGAACGAGCAGCTGAAGATCCAGCGGGAGCTGGAGGCAGAGGTGGAGATCGAGGAGAACGAGGAGCTCTTTCACGACATGTTCCTGGGTCAGCAACGCAGGGCCATTTGGAACCTGATGGAGAAGCCGTTTTCGTCGGTAAAAGCCAAGCTGATGGCGGTGGCCTCCAGCATGTTTGTCCTGGTCTCCCTGGTGTCCATGACCCTCAACACAGTAGAGGAGATGCAATACCTAACTCCGAAAGGTCAGCTCAGCGGTAAGACGTACTGGGAGTACGTGGAGTCCATCTGCATCGCTTTCTTCACGATGGAGTACCTGCTCCGTCTGGCGTCCACTCCTGACCTCAAATCCTTCAGCAGGAGTGTGCTCAACACCGTGGACCTGATCGCCATCCTGCCCCAGTACGTGCAGGCCGTCCTGGAGATCTTTGACAACAAGGAAAACTACATGAAGCATGAGGCCGACATGCAGGCGGTGGGGCAGGTGGGACAGCTGGGCCAGGTGTTGCGGATCATGAGACTGATGCGAATCTTTCGTATCTTGAAACTGGCGCGACACTCCACAGGCCTGCGGGCGTTCGGCTTCACTCTGCGTCAATGCTACCAGCAAGTGGGCTGCCTCTTCCTCTTCATCGCCATGGGCATCTTCAGCTTCTCCGCCATGGTGTACACCGTGGAGCATGACATGCCACAGACGAACTTCACCAGCATTCCGCATGCATGGTGGTGGGCAGCAGTAAGTGCAGCGATGGGCGGACAGACAGTAGAGTGGAAGAAATATGGAAAGCAAACATCAAAAAACTTAAATAAATCACTTAGTAACAGACCTAAGTAACCTAATTCATCAAAGCGTAAGGAAGAGCCCCGTCTTTGAGTTACTTTAATGGTGACAGTCGCTCAATAGTGGTGTTTATCGTTGATGTTATTAGATCACATTGCAGCACTTCTTTACAAAACCCAATGAGGGCAGGTTTACTGCAGCATGTCTCACATACGCATTGGTATGTGTAACTTTTACCAACATATTGTATATTTACTAATAAATAATAATTATTCATGGCCAACGGTCAGTTTCAAAAGCTGGAATAACCTGGTGAATGTTTTATGTTTAGATATTTGATGGATTTATGTCCAATTGCCACAAATGAACCCATCTTTGAGTCATTGGTTCTGGGTCCAATCTCCTGCTGTCCCAAAACTTTAGTCACGGGTTGAGACGGCAGCAGGGCCTCTCACTAACAGTAACACTCCTGCAGAGAGAAGTGGGAAACGTTTTTAAAAAGGCTTTAGGGCCAGCTTAATATTGATTCCCCAAGATGAAATTGTAAGATTTCTAGAATTAAAAAAACAGATCTAATTGAAATTGAGGCGCATGAAAAAAGAACAACAACAGTTGTTTGGTTGAGTTGATTTTCATGAAGGGAGAAGGCCTGATAATGTGACATCAAAACTAAACATAATACAAATGTTTCTAACATTGTAAACTTGACTAAGTAGACTAAGTATACAAAGTTGTTTTTTTTGTATTTGCCTGTGTCACTACGTTAAGAAGACATTATTGGCGATGTCCTGCCTTTGAAATAATTCCTGCTACCTAAACCTTGCTGTGTAATACAGACCCACGGCAATGCTTTTTATAAAGGTGCCAAAGGTCGGAATCGACGACATGGATCAGCACAGGTCTACTAAACGAGACACAGAATGAAGCTGCTGGTGTTTCTCCATCACAACTGACTGCTCTCCTTCCCCCTTTGCAGGTCAGCATCTCCACGGTGGGCTACGGAGACATTTACCCAGAGACGATACTGGGCCGTCTCTTTGCGTTCATCTGCATCTCGTTTGGAATCATCCTCAACGGTCTCCCCATATCCATCCTTTTCAATAAGTTCTCAGACTATTACGCTAAACTCAAGTCCAATCAGTACACGTCCTCCGTGAAGAACAGAGGGATGGTGAGATTTTCCAAGAGGACAGTGAGTAAGTTCAACAACTGTTTTGGAAGTCCCCAATGTCCCGCACATTGATTTGATATGTGACTCTTTATGAATAAATAACTGTAAAACTGTTCAAACCAGATTGTACGTTATAGGGGACAAATAGGTGGAACAAGGACAAAAGTTGTGGGTTCAATTCCAGGTAGGGGTGCATCTAGACACGTATTTAGCAGCTTTTGTGGTTTATCTTGTCAAAATATACTGTCAAGAAAAATGTAGGGAAACCTGTTCAAAATGATGCAACACACAACACAGAATGTTTCCATTTGATGTTCTTCTTTTTTCCCTATGGTTTGTGGCTTCAGTGAAGTTGGAACGTGCTTATTTTTTATATTGTCAACAATATATTGGATCATACTTTTCTAATTATGTCTTGGGCACTAGAGATTGAATGAATAAAGCTTGTATTATTAACATAGCAGCTCTCAAGTCACTGCCTTCTGATAAACACTGTGCTATTATTAAACTCTGTACTGCTCCTGAAAACCGTCTCCTCATTGACTAAAAACTACGCCTTCACATTTACTGCTTCTAAACTGAGTGGTGTTTATAATATATTGTCAAAAAAACATAAACAAGAAACTGACAATACAGACAACGCCACAAACTACAGTGTCCCAAATCTGCTGAATCAACACACCGAGACTGCAAAACAGATGATTTTATGACTGAATGGTATCCCCAAGTTAAGGTCTGGCAAGGTTTTTTATTACTCTCCATTCAGCAAGGTGAACCTTAATGAACTTAATACTTTTTTGGTGAACAGTCAAGATATCAAAGATGCTTCCTGTCCGACCATATTGGATTTTAGTATTGAAACATAATAATGACCGGAGAGACAATTGTCTGTATACAAGCTTTTAAAGAATATTTTAATGGGAAACACACAGAAATATATATATTACATTTTTTAAATCTCTCTCATATATATATATATATATATATAAAACAATTAAAAACAATGTTTTAAAAATATTTTACACACAAATAAATAAAAATCATATTTCTATATTGTGCACCTACACAACAACATATTTTAAAATAGATGAGAACATTTTATTTTCTTATGATTGTGGCAAACAAAAAAGTTATCATCCAGCCTATTGTACGTTTGAATCGCTCCTGAGGTTGATGTTCCCTCCGGCAGACGGCAGCACGAGTCCTGTGGCGTCTCTCCTCTGCTGGTAAAGTGACCTCTGCTGCTCGCTGTTAGCCTGCTCCAAAACTATGGCTCCTCCTGTCGCAGTGTCGCCTCTGATCAAGGTTTGTGTTACGGTTCACATCGTGTAAAGAGGCAACTCGTGTTTGACCGTGAATGACCTTTGTAATCGTAGCTTTTACCTTCACAGAGCACGCTAGCCTGCTAGCCGTTAGCCGGGATGTATGCTAGCGCGCAGCTAACGTCCACGCTAGTTTTAAACGCTCAATCTCACTAAAACAACATCTGCGCTGCATTAACGCTTTGGGAATGTCGTTGAATGTTATTCTTTGCTGCTAACGTTACGTGCATGGATTGAAGTGTACCCCCATCATCATCATCATCATTGACAATGCTAATTGCTAAGAAAGCCGAAGTATAACTCGCACTGGTTGTTATAAATAGAAATGTCCTTGGATGTAATGAACATTAATCCTCTAAATCAAAGACATTGTATAAATGATAATTGTATAACGTCCTTCATCTCAGCAAAAACTAAACGCATCTTTCGTTAATTTATTTATTTCAGCTGTAACTCAAGTTTTAGAATAAATGTGTCGTGCTCGGTGTCGCCCCCTGTTGGCTCATTCTGGGGCTGTCAAACCACAAACGTCCGGTAGACTGTTTTTATTTGAGAAAACATCCTTCTCGATCTTGTTTTTTGCCGAATTACAGTGTGGGTCCAAACAACCACTAGATGTGCAGTGTGTGACCATGTGGACAAAGTGTAAATACTTTCAGCACTGAAAAGTATGTGTGTGTGTGTGTGTGTGTGTGTGTGTGTGTGTGAAGCATGAAAGACTCGATGCCATGTCAGTAAAACTACTGAAGTAAATGTCATTTCCATTGATAAATACAACATATTTTACATCATTACTTGATTGAGAATTTGAATTGACTTTGAAGGGACTGCACTTAATTTGCGTGATTTTCTCCTTCCACAGACGGCGAGGTATTCAGCGTTGATTGCTGGCATCATCTATGGCAAAAGGAGATATGGTGAGTTATTCCTAATATTTATCAGGCTCTTAACTGGAAGAGTGCACTGAGATAAACCCACTGTACTGGAAATACAAGTAATGTGTACGGCATGTGAGAGTAAATCTGACACGTAAACATAGTCTAAAACCTTATTCTTCTAGAAGCAAATAAATGCATAAACTTCATCAGATTAAATATTTTAAAAAGTCTTGAACTTCATTCCAAAGATGGACAAAAATGCATTGCCAAAACACGACGGATCTCAACTCCGTTGCGTTTTATAAAGGATGTGACCCTTCAGGCCCTTGTATAGATAATCCTTGCTTGGTGTCCTTTACAAGATGGCCCCTCGTATAATGTTACCAAATGTCATTTTGTAATTCAGTCAATATTGATTTCCATTCTTGGTGCTTAAAACAAAACAACCTTTGCTTTCCTCAGATAACTTGAAGCCGATTGCAGCTGAAGAGAGGAGGGTTGAAGAGGCGGAGAAAAAGGTTCGCGACGAGCAAGAGCGCATCGCCAAGGAGCTAAGAGAAGGTAATCTCACAGACTTAAACCCCCCCTGTCAACTATTTGATCTCCAGTTTGATATGCTGATTGCTAAATGTCCTAATCCCACTTTTTCTTTTTTTTACTCTTTGTTTACAGCAAGTGAAGATACTATTCTGAAGTGAAACGGGTATTCTGTGTCTCTCAATGTGCAATTCCCAGCCTGTTCCTCCTCCTCCTCGAGTAGCGGCGGTCCCGACCCGTCAAACACCACCACCGTGTTATGGACGTGTTCACTGTTACCTTGTATAAAACAGCACCTCTCTAGTTTGCCAATAATCAATAAGACATTCATTTTTAGTTACATTATTTAAAGTAAAGCCCTTGAACTTTTCATTGTAACACTGAAACTGCACTCATAAGTTATAAAGTTCATGTTGTAAATTAAATACCTAAATAAATACTGTCGTCTTTGTTCAGTCATTTGATTACTCCTGTTTTCTCCATCAGTCAGTGTTATACGTATTACAAACATTATATTGAAAAGAATAAGAACATTATTTTGCCTTCAAGTTTTAGATGTAGAAGTTAGTGCAACACCTTTTAATCCCTGGTTGTCATGTAATATCTACCATTATACATAAATGTACAACTGCTCAAGAAATTAATTTATTTGATGTTGTTCTTAGCTGACAATCTCAGTCTTTGAAATTACAAACACAACTGTACTCTCAGAACAGGACTGCCTGTATTACTGTAAATTAGACCAGAAGTATATCTTCAGACTTTGCACAGAAAAGATATCATATATAATAAGCACATTGATCTTTAGAAAATGTATTTACACTGTACAAATGTATTTACAGACAATATGAATGCTATTCCACTTGGTCTAGTGCTCCCCCGTGTGACTGGCAGGCAGCGAGTACGGGCCAGGTCTTCCCCAGTAGTCCACCGCTCGGACTCTGTACACACCGCCGACCTCCTGGTCCACTACGAAACACAAGCATGGTGTAAGGGCGTATTTCTAAGGCTGGGTGTCATATGGTTTGACAGATGAGGGAAATTCTTACCAGGTGAATAAACATAAGAAGTGAAAATGGTGTCTTGAGTATTAATTCTACTGCATTCCTTGTCGTCTTTGGAGAACTCCACTTCAAATGTCTTAATGCATCTGCAAATACAAGAGAGTTCAAATGCAAAAAGGTTATGGGCAAGACACAATATGAAAGGAATGAAGCTGTACCCACTTTTGCTGGCAGTGTATATGTGCACCTACTTGGAATTGAGACGGCGGTCTGACCAGACGATCAGGACGTGGCCCTTGGTGATCTTGATGAAGTGTAAGCCATCGATCTATTTAAAGGTCAAATGACCAGTCAGCTCAGTTCCATATAGTTTTTCTGTTGTCTGTGTAACACGTGCATCCATCCAGCTTTCATCATAACACAAGCCTAGTCTGTTATTATGCTCACATCCCAAAATGGCACTTGTGAAAGAGGGAAACAACATCTGGTTTGATTTAACGTTGCTAATGTGTCGGTACCAACCTGTTCCGGCCAGGCTTTGGGCAGGACACAAACATGGACGAGCAGGACGGACGGCACCGGCAGTTTGGCTTTCAGAGTCAGAGTGTCCGCGGCAGGAACTTCCCGAGGTCCTTCAACGCGAGCGTCCTGACAAGGACTCATCGTTAGAGGGTCAAAGCACGTCTAACAGCAACTAAAGAGAGGGAAAGGCCCAAATAGATCGACGGTATCGGCTCTGCCTAAATGTTTATGGTGCTGGTGACGGCAAATATATTTCAACAATTAAACAAGATTTCACTGAATACGGGAATATACAGTTTAGAAGCATTTCAGCCACAGCAATGACTCTTTACAACAGCATCTTGTGTTCTTTTTCTAACTTTGTTCGGTGTTTCACTATGGGAGATTCCCATCCCATGAACGAAGTTAGAAAAAGAACCGAGGTTACGTTAAGTAACCCGAAGTTTTCACTACTCACTTGCAAGGGTGTGATGTATTATTGCAAATTGACCCAATTATTTGTCAGATTTGTAACTATTAGTGTATTATGTGCTGCATTCACAAGTCCTTAGCTTTCTGCATTAAATAAAAGAAGCAAAATGTTTTCACACTCGTCAGCGTCTTAAAATTAGTGTACACAACTTTTGGAAAATCAATAAAGTATACTGCAAAAACAAAGTTAATTTGGATGATATCGCTCACCCCTCCTGTTTACCTGCACAGCCCTGAGGCGCCTGAACTGTTCTGCTGTGGGGTAGTCGGGGCTGCCCATGCTCTGCCACAGCTGGTGCGGGTTGGTTACATTGTTGTCAATGTAATACATGATATACACAAGACCTGGATAGCAAACAGGAAGATAACCTTTTAAGACCGTATTAAATTCAAACGGACCTACGAACACCTTTTATACTACTGAAAGAATGTCTTGCTAAACCTACCCGTCTGTGCAGCCAACCCTTTCAGCGAAATGGTGACATCATCAGTACTAGTAGAGGTGCTGTTGTCGTCACTGTTGTAGATCAGCACGGCTGCCTGCCAGCTGTCTGAGCCCCCTGGTGTGACAGGCTCGTGGATGCTGGCCAGAACTCCCACCGTGCCGTTGTTACTTCCTGCTGGGCTCAAAACCTGAGCCAGGATCTGAGTCTCTCCTAAAATACATACCAGGCAAGGCACCGGGGATATTAAAATACACCCAAGGCAGATCAGGCAGCATCATCATCATCATGCAGACCTGAGCTTGCTTTGGGCAAGCGGCAATTTTAGAAAACCCACACGTGATTTAAATCAATTATAACTCAACCACACACTTCCACAGAGGCACATCGACGGATTGTCACCTAACAAAGCCAGCAGGCCCATGACGGTGAGCACGGGCTTCCTGATCAACTGGACGTGAGGTGGCTCGGTGTTGTTGACCTGGAAGCGGGCAGCCAGCGTGCGCTGGGTGAAGGGGTGTGGGTGGTAGCTGAGGAAGGCGTTGTCGTTGCTGAGCAGCGTGTAGTTGATGTTGCTGTTTGGGTCGGCGAGCAGCAGATCCTGGTGCTGGTGTATTACCTGATGGAGAGAGCAGGGCAGTGAGTGTCATTTAGAAAAACAGCGTGAACAGCCAAACCACAGTAATTGGTATTATTATTTGCATTTGAAAATGGGCTTTTCAAATGTTTCCCAACGGTGTTAATGTGGGCTGTAACATTCAGGGTGTACGAGCACACAGTGTACTGAATAATAATCAACTGGATTAAATAACTAGGGTGGAATGACCATTTTTGCCATTTTGTCTCTAATTATTCAGAGAACTGAAAACCAAATGATACCCAGACAATTTGCTCTTCAATTCAATTCTGATTCATGTGATTTCATGTTCTCTCCTCCATCCCTTCACCTCACCTTCACCACCATCGCAGCGTAGGTCACATCGGCCCTCCACTCCTGAGGCCTGGACCAGCCCACCAGCGGATCAGCCTCATCGTTGTAAACAGGGAGGCTGCGGAACCGGGGAAAACGCTGGGCGATCTCCCCCACGGTCTCGATCTCCTGCTGGAGGATGGGCAGAGAGTAGCCTCCTCCCTGAGGACCAGCGACTGAAAATTAGCCTCCAAAAATAATTCTGATTGCATTAGTTTTATGATGAATTTGGATAATGGATGCATTCATAAATATAGTATCACATAACCCAGGCGAGATGGATTTCAATAACATCCGTTGTGTCGGTTCTCCAAAGTGAATGCATCAAAGTAGATTCTTTTATTTTATAGTGAAAGAAATATCTTCACAGCAATAAATATGACAACCTTCTTGTGCAGGGCGATGTAGTCGATCCGGACCCCGGTCTCTCCTGTGAAGTAGTTGGTGCCGTTGTAGCAGTGCTGCAGCATGGCCCAGCAGTATGGGGAGTGGGGGGCAGAATGACAGGAGTCACCTGGACCCCCAAACCTCAGGAGAGGGTCTGCAGCGCGAAGACCCTCCGAACAGGCATCATAGTAGTTTAGAAACCCTAAAGAAAAGTGGTGGTTATCACACTGGATGTAGACAGTAGTGACTGATTCGAGTCTGATTGTGTTAAATGTCAATATCAGCCAAAAGTAGCTAAGTATGTGTTTGATCATGGATGTACAAGTTTCCAATACGCATTTTTTGAATATGACGTAGTAGTACAAACAAGTACTTTCACAATATATTTGTGAGAGAAAGGGAGTACGGAATTGGATGTGCAATTATTGTGCATTTTATTGTACCAATAGCTACATTTTGCAATGATTTGATTGAAAAAAAAGAAAAAAACTGATCCGGCAAAATGTCATGTGGGATGAATAATGGATTTACCTTGAATTGACACAGTGACATTATCAAAATCGTGGTTATTTGGCTCATTCCATGTTTCAAAGTTCCACTGAGAGACAACTGCCAGGCCATATTTGTCTGTAATTAAACACAACATTATTCACATTATGTAGGAAAAAAATCACAGTGCAGTTAAATTTCATACAACATAATAGTGACAAAACGATGGCACTCACCAATGTACCTCTTGGCTATCAGATAAACCAGATTTCTCCACTCGACAACTTGTGATTTGTTCTCAAAGTCAGTGAAATAGTTAAAGACGCTGCCCATCAGTTCAAAACCTGAACGCAGGATGTCAAGGAATTAATTAGTTAGGATTGTTACAGCCACATGCCAGCAAAATAACCCACAATTCTTGGGTAATTGTGTCTTTTTCATTTATCTTTTAACACAAAAGGTGTAAGAGCTTTGAAAAGGCGGTCGGAGGAACTCTGTTTTACTGGCACGACATCTCCTCAATAATATTCAACAATCATAAAACAATCACTAATCAATGAACATCCAGGATCTATCAATATCTATCCTGTAAGCACAAATCGGGAAAACAGATCAGAACATCAAGAGGCAAGTGTGATGCATTTTAGGAAAACACGCATAATTAATGTGGTTCAATACCTGGTCGGAGTCCATTAATCCACAAGAGCTCTATGAGCTGGTCGAGTTTAGTGAAGTCGTACTGGGGTTTTCCTCCAACATCTCTACAGCAATGAAATCAGACAGTGGTACTTTATTAGAAGGAACACTACATAAAAACTGCAACTGATAATCTAAACAAATCCATGGCATTAAGTGTCATCCTTTGGTCATGATGGCCGGAGATGCGTTCACTTGCTGGTTTACTTACTGTGCAGTGACCAACTCCAGCATCCAGTGTATCCGGACCTGCTGGATCCCTCCGTGGGGCACTGAGCCCACGTAGGCCAGGTTCAGCTGCTGGTCGATGCTCAGGTCGAACTGGTGGGCGTGTGTGTGAGGGAGCGGGGGACTGTGGCACAAACAACAGCCTCCTGTTTACGCGTTTGACGCAGCAGTGACACACGAAGCCGTTTTGTAAATACGTTTATTTTTACGTAGCACTTTCGCGTCACTGGATGCGTTTCGCTAAAAGAATTGTAAATAACCCAGATTGGACGTACCAGAAACCAGTGCTCCTCCAGAACGGTTTAAGATCTCCCACTGGTCTCCCCACATCGACTCCGATGACATATGGAGATAATGAAGTTTCTGTGACGAAAAGAAGTAACACAGCAAAGATGGAAAAAGTTTTCCGCTGCATGTCCGGGAGTGGACATGTCCGCTTATACGGAGTCACGCCAGCGTAGTTGCCCATAAAAATATCGTGAAGTAACAAGGGGTTGAATTAACCACGGTGTACCCTGGCGTTAAGCATTGTACTCTGGGTAAATAAATTAAATGAGTCGTTTAACGCCTGTGTGATGACGGCGGGCAGACTGTCGCGGGCCGCTGAGCACGATGACGTCGAATGTGCGCGACCCTCAGCTTGGGTTTGTTGTTGTGGTTGGGAAACCTACAGAACGTTGAAACCATTTTATAAAATTCGATTTAGGATGAGAAAATATGCCACATGTGTTTGGACACACGTGGCGAAGTAGCATTAATCATTTAAGAACAAGTGAAAAATACTCTTATTCATTAGTGGTCAACTACACCGAATGCCGTTTTCATAAGGCAGATGGAGAGTACTTTAATTTTTGTATAACTGGTAGAAAAAACCTTAGACCAAAGCCAAAATGTAAGGTTATTTTAATTACTAGTACTCGCTCAAAGGGACATCTACCTATATATTCCATATGAAGACAAGTTGCACACTATTAGGCTTACAAAAGTCATATGATGGAAACTACTTCCATGTAGTATAAAAAGTTAGGTTATGTTGTGGGCACAAAAAGGGTTAAACAAGTAGCTGTTAATGGGACATTTATTTAAAAAAAAGAAAAAGTTGGGAGAATCAAGAAGGCATGAAAGGAAAATTCAAATGTAATTTACAGTTGAACTCAAGATACTGTTAAACAGCAACAGTTATACACAACCATTTACACAACCTGTACAAATATTTTTTCCCGAAAACTTGCAATTTTAAATTCAAAATAACTTAAATAGGCTTCTATGTAAAAGTGCAAATCCTTAACATGGGATGTCTGAGCAACACCATGGCGACGGAAAAGGTGTTGGATGAGTTCACGCTGGCTAGCAGGTGTTAACTTGTAAGGCATCACAAGCACATTTAAAAACACACACATTAAAAGCAGCATTATATATATATATATATATATATATATATAAAAATGCTGCTTTTAAAATATACATTTGTTTCTTTAGTATGGGATTGCGTAATTATGATGCCTTACATTGCATTTCTGCTTTGATACTGAGCACACTTTTTTCTCTCAAATCAAACTGATATTGTAATGGCAATAAAATAGTCTCGGAATTTGTGATTTGACAGTCCAGAGAATTCTTTCTCCATCCCGCATGTCCTGAATAAAACCAATAAAACAATTTAGTTCAGGGTGTGTAGTGTTCATGGGGGGAACGTTTGGAATTTCAGCATTACAGTTTAGCAACAATACGCTGTTAGCTGTTGTATTAAGTTAGCAATAAAATCACAGTTACCAGAGGCCATTCTATACAGGATGAACCCAGATGCGGTGGGGCAGTAGTACTCCACAGGTTTCAGGCTTTGATAGTGAGACAGTGTGTATACATACATACAGGTGAGATTGTGAATCTGCGCAGTTACAAGGCATGAAAGTGGAAACATGTTAATGCCAATACTTCACAGACTCTACAAGCATCCTCCTGATTGATAAGGAGGTGAGGGGGAGAGACCTAACCCACACACGCTTTTGGGCTTTACATGCTTCTGTACTAACATGCAGCCAATGCAAAAAATATAAACTACAAAGGGTGTCACCACCATGTATAGGAGAGTATTATACAACATATCTGCTCATGAAGCACTGGTCACCATGGGTTCTACTGGAGAGGAGACTGGAAATGTGTTTGGTAAATAAAACTGTTTGGGCATTTGCAACACAAAGGAGAAAATAGTGTCCTGGGTGTGAAAGACATAAAACAGACTAGGACTTCTGCTCAATCCCTGCAGCAGACTGGGCTGCGATCTCCGGTTTAAGGATCTGGTAGGTGATGAGGTACTCTGGGTAGGCCTGAAGGAAACAGCAAGAAATAAAGATTTTTAAAATGTTTTTTTTTTTAGCTACATGTTATAGGATGAATACGGTTTAAGGAAAAAAAAAACCTGGTAGCTTCCGTGTTTACCTGCTCTCCTCTGTAGATGACGTACTCAGCGTAGGCCAGGCCATTTACACTGGGCCGCCCAATCACAGAGTGGTGTCCTGGGGGGGCGTGGGCCATTTTCATGGCACTGAATTGTAGGAAGGACTTTCCCAGGGTCACTCGGCAGAACAGCATCTGCCTGAGAGGACAGGTGATAAGGGAGAGGTCAAGCACAATCGTCGCAAAATAGTGCATATAAAGTAGTGGCTCAACAACCAAAACAACTTTTAGTGTTGTGGTTTGAAAATGCAGTTGAACTTTGACAGTCAATTTTCCTCTCACGGCAAAGTTACCTGTGGCACAAGTAGCAGGATCGGTCTTTGTGCGTCGGGCACCCTGTGCCGCCACCAATGCCGTAGACGTACTGATTGCTCTTTGAGGAGTTCTCTGCAAAGTAGATTCCTGCTCCAAACATCCCCCCTATATAAGCGTGACGCTCATCAAAGCCTTTGTGGATGATGGCGTTGATAAACGGGGATCCTAATGGAAGATGCGGCGACAGTGTCAGAGTGATATTATAAATAGTACACGCCTGACAAATAAAATAAACTAAAGCTCTTTGTACGAACAATGTCTGATGCTGACACAAAGTAAACACGCTGTTGCTGAGATGTGACTCTGAGTGCAATTACCGTGAAACAACATCCGCTCATTGTGATGGTTGTGGTTCTCATCTGCGATCTCCTTCTGGCGGTGCGTGTAACGTTCCCTCAGCTTCTTATTTACCACCTTTTGAATCTGTGGGGCACAAATATGAAACATGACATGAAGATGTTTGAGAGGCAGGTCTGCCGTACACCAAGAATGTTATGTTGACTCCCCTCCATCACTTCAGATCCCTTTTATTCGTTTTCATCTATACGGTCTACCAAATAAATTGTTCCTATGAAAGCTGCTCGGTGTTCTAAACAGACAATACAAAAGGATTCCTGGTTCCGACCTTGATGATGTTGTATTTGCTGAACACACCGCCAGCGTTGCCTCCGTCTCTGTGCTCCCTGATGGTGCTCTGCAACTGAGGGACAGGCAAAAAAAAAAGTTTTCTATGCACTGTACAAAATAAGAGCGCAGTGGTATGTGTAACTCAAAATGATGGGCCATAGCAATTAACCGGACACGATAAACAAACCTCCTCCTCCACAGACTGGTACTCCTTGTCGTCTAGAGCGAGGTCTATCAGGATGGTGCCCTGGTTGGCACAATGGAAAGTCAGGTAGGGGTTGCCACCTGGCTGGCCACCAAGCAGCCTCTCAACACCCTTGATGAGCTTATGTCGGTGGCCATAAGCATTAATTCCAATCTCCTTCAGCTCCTCGTGACCCATGTCAGCCAGCACATCCAGAGAGATCTGGAAAAAGGAAAAGATAAAACGTTTACAATCTCCTCTACTAGTCTAATACCGTTGGCCTGTTTGCACCAGATACCAGCCAATTTAACAACTGGACAACATAGTTGTACTGTCTATTCTATGATATAAACAAAGCCTAATCTTATCAAACACTAAAATGAATAGGTAAACTAGACTTTATAGCTTTAGATTTATAAAGTATTTCTGCAATGACCGACCTGCTCCCTCTCAAAGATGTCCCTCAGGTGCTCAAGGCCCAGGCTCTTCATGAATTGACTGATATTCATGTCCAGCATGGCCACTATGGAAAACAGGGAGATACAGTTGAACAACAATAGTTCAATGCCAAATATTTTTCATACAAATTTTAGTTGGTAGACCAAAAAAAATACACAACATACATTTTTATGCATAAACTAACCCAGTATTTGTATTATAGATGCAATAAACTTACTCTCCCCCTCCTTCCGGTCAGTGCCTGTGGCTCCATCTGCCACACCGGAGGACCCGGAGGCAGCCGCGGCGGTGGCCAGCTCCGTGAGCGGACCGGCAAGGTTGTCTATGCTGCTGGCAGCCGACAGACAGGATGGCGTGGAGACGGGGGAAATGACTGAGGCACTGACCACAGTGGCCTGGGGCTTGAAGCAGCTGGGCAGGGCGTCTGGGGGCATAGCGTCCATCAGCAGTGCCCGGATATCGTCGGCCTGCAAACGTGGCAAAAGGAAAAAAGAAAAAGTGTTAAGATTACATCCCTTTACCTTACATTCTATTTTTCATCTCACGCCTCTAAAAGTGATCAGTTTGGCGCGTTTACCGTCAAAAAGAAGAAGTCACTCATACTGAACAATTTTGGTGAAAACATTTGTCAAATGTATATCGTGTTCTACATAATCCCCCTCCCCCCAACTTGTCCAAGCCCAAAAAACTAAATTAACAGCAGTGGTGAAGTTGTCAATGTATTAACAGAAGCCGTTACCGTGGCCAGGTCCAAAGCAGTCTGACCCTCTTGGTTCTTCATTGTGGGGTCGGCTCCATGAGCCAGCAGCAGCGCACAGAGCTGTGTACGACCCTTCTGCGCTGCCTCGTGAAGGGGTGTGAAAGCCCATTTGTCTGTAGCATTCACACACGTATTGTACTTTATCAGTAAGGCTGCGATGTCCACATGCTGTGAGGAAGAGCGAAAGAGGGAACATCAGTCCACCAGCAACAATTTTCTGCAAGAAATGTAGTTACTTTGTTTCTGCCATCTTGAAGATTTTTTCAATCCCACAGAGTTGATATTTGATTAAGTACTGAGTTTGTGTTTATTTTGATGAAACTGACCCCATAAGAGGCAGCATTATGAAGAGGGATAAGGCCTCCTTTGTCCTGGGCGTTGACATCAGCTCCATGCTCCAGAAGATACTCGGCCACTTCAAGGTTGTTGTACCCGGCTAAGGAAAAGGAACAGGACTCATTTACTTATTAAAGTGTGAATTCGCCAGGAAAAACGAAAAGACAAATATACAAAACAGAACCAGAAACTTCAAAGCAGATACTATTGATTACCAGCCAGATGGAGTGGGGTGGAGTTGCGCCCCTGTGTGTCTCTGCAGTTGATATTTTCAGGGGAGCAAAGTTTCTGGACTCTGGCCAGGCAGCCCTTCTTGGCGGCGTCCAGCAGGGCGGCATCACCCCTCAGCAGGTCCTGGATGTCCGTATCTCCATCTTTCACCATGTCCAGCGGCTGGTTGCCGTCACGGTTCTTCTTTGAGGGGTCGGCTCCGTGCTGAACAAAAGAGTTTGATATTTTTATCATTTTTTTAATAAATGTTTTAGGAGAGAGAGGCAGTCAATTTCCCCTCCTAATAGAACGATCATAACAATAACAACTTGACAATAATGTGTCCTCACTTTGAGCAGCAGTTTGCAGATCTCGTATTTGCCTTTGGCTGCAGCCTCGTGAAGTGGGGTGAATTTCCACAAGTCGGCCACATTGACCGACGCTCCATGTCTGACCAGCAGCTCAGCCACTTCATAGTGACCGTACGAGCATGCGTTGTGGAGGGGAACCAGACCACTGGGGATTGGAAATATCAAAGAAGCATGAAGTGTTGCTTACTTAAAACGTTTTTGGGCTTGCTGAAAGCATCAATGACTGGCTCGAACGATTTAAAAAGACATTGTTAGTTTAAAAAAAAAAAAAAAATCTACCCACAATTTCCATTTCGATATAAGCTGGCGGGTAAGATGGAAGAACTTACCCCTTGTCTTTGGCATGGACATCAGCTCCATGGTGCAGAAGGTATTCAACGACAGCCACTCGGTTGTAACCAGCTGCAAAGTGAAGAGGAGTAGAGTGGCGGCCCTCCAAGTCCCGGCAGTTTACGTTTTGGGGTGTGCAAAGTTGCTGCAATACAGAAAGACATTAGGAGATTTTGTAACTCCAAAAAGTGGTATAATACACGCAATACACTAAACTACTAAAAAAAAAGAGGAGCCTTAAGGCGGATTTAAATTTTTTTTTAAAAGAAAGCCAATTTACAACCGTTATTTTATTACAAATAAACGGCGACAAAATGAATAAACAGAACATTGTCAAAATAAAATGTATGTCATTTAAAGACCAAGTTGAAGCCACAGCTAGTACTAATATAGAGATGATTCCGTGAACTTACCTGTACTGTGTCCAGATCACCTGCTTTGGCTGCCTCCAGAAATCTGTAGTCCACGTCAGAATTACGCGTGGGGACATTTTCTAAAGACAATAAATAAAAAGGCCGTCAATACAAAGTAAAAATGGTAATCCAATTAAATTATTTGAGCACTGAAATCAGACTAGAAAATCTGCCATGAAAGGAAATTAAATGTTGGAGAATTTGAAAAAATACCAAATCTAAACGCAAACAAGCAAACAATGTTAAAGAAGCGCGGCGGGTGTCATTACCATTGAGAATCTGTTGTACAGCCTCATTACCCATCTGCGCAGCGGTAAAACCCTGCAGAGACACAATGGCGGGGTCGGCCCCGTAGCTCAGCAGCAGCTTGCAGGTCTGGATGTGACCAGCCAGTGCAGCTCTATGAAGAGAAGTCTGACCCAGCGTGTCCACAGCATTTACCTGAAGTCACAGCAGCTGAAGTTACAGTTCAGCAATCTCGCTTTTAAGCAATGAAATTTGAAAAAATAAAGACACACCTTTGCTCCATGTTTCTGCAACACTTCCAGGATGTCGTTGTGAGCTCTCTCAGCAGCAACGTGCAATGGAGTCATGAAGCTGGAAGACAGGGCAAAAGTTATCACTTTTTTTGCAGGTAGTATTTGTGCTCTTAATAGCAATTCATGTACATCATCATGCCGTCAACAGATTTTCACTTTCTCTAGATGTTCTGTGTGGGAGAAATCCCAAGTAACAAAATCTCATCAAATTGTAGTTTATTTTCAGTGTGTTAAAAATAATTGTGGACTTACTCTTTGTTCTTCTCGTTGATGTTGGCACCCTTGCGCAGCAACAACTCAGTCACTTGCTTCCTCTTGGGGTGTGGGGAAGCCACTGCACAGTGCTAAACAAATTCAAATGTCAACATTAGAGCAGTGCAGGACGAATGTTTTTACTAGATGCCAGTTTTAATGAGTTGCAATTTTTAATATCAACTTGAATTGTAAACAAATGAGGAATGTTGGTTCTGACCAGAGCAGTCTCATTGGTCTGAGGATGTTTGAAGCCAATGATCTCCAGAGCCAGCGTCTTCTTCACTTTTGCCATGTCTGCCTCTCTGGCTGCCTGTAGCAGCGAGTGACCTTTGAACTCATCTAAATCAAAAGAACAAGTCGAGTAAATGGAAATTGACATTTTCAATGACAGAACACACACACACACGTATATATGTCTGCTGTGTGACTGGGGGAACACCTACAGGTGAGCCTTTCTTTAAGTTCTGGAGTTGGAGCCATGTCCACCGCGCTCTTGCTGTGACAGTTTAGCAAGGTGGGATCGGCCCCGTGGCTCAGCAGCAGGGAACACACCTCTACTCGGTTCTTGGATGCTGCCTCGTGGAGAGGAGTGAATTGCCACAGGTCCATGGCGTTCACACATGCTCCATGCTGCAGAGACAAAAGCACATCACAGACGTTTACAGAACCTACAGTAAATTAAAAATAAAATACAAATCTTTGTAACATTCACACTGTCAATTTGAAACTGAACCCTTTTGTGAGTCTTACTTTCAGCAGAAGCTCTGTGACCTCAAAATGACCGTAGGAGCAGGCATTGTGAAGTGGAACAAGGCCTCTGCAGGGACAAGGTTCCCAGGTTATTGTCATTATTAAAAACGAATGAAAACCTAAGTTGTGTTTAAAAATAAGAGTTTTACCCTTTGTCCTTGGCGTGAACATCGGCTCCATGCTGCAGAAGGAGCTGGACGATGCGGACCCGGTTGTAGCCGGCAGCCAGATGCAGTGGTGTAGACTGTAAGAGAGGATGACTCGTTAGCACACATGGTTGCTAGTCCAGTGTGGGCGGCCTTCCATGGCCACAGGGGCAAGCAGCTGATTAGGGCCAAAAGCATTGTGTGACGGCAGGCTACGCTCGGCGAGTTGCATTATGAATGGCAGATACAAGGTCAAAATAATTAAAATGTCCTGTTGATATAGTGTCCAAACTGAGGGACAACAGGCAACTTCAACCGTATTACTCATCTAACCGGACTGCAATTTGACAACGTCAGCTCAACAAAATATTGAGCTTTTTTTGTTTTAGGTTAGATGACGAGAAAGGTTTGCTAATGCAACGGTTAGGACTTTATTTCAAAATGACTGTATAGGATTTACGGTTGGGTGCTGATAGCTTGATCACCATGTCATTTATTAAGAATATTGGATATTCAGGTAATCATGAAGCCATATAGAAACATGATGTTTTACCTTTAATCTTTGAGTATTGCTCAAATTGTGTTGAGCCCACCAAAAAAAGTGAATTCAGATTAGATAAAAAGCCATCAAATCTCAACTGTAATAGGAAGTAAAAAGCTATAATGAGCAGGCTGAGTATTTGAGAAAGCATCTCTGCAAGCTAAGTAGATGATCAAATAGCCTTTTTTCAGCCACGGAAAATGACATTAGTCCAAGTAAAGCTGCCAATCCAACTTCAGCATTTGCATTTGTTCTCCACTCAAAAATCGAGCTCAGGTAAAGCTTACAATGAAAAACGAGGCTCATCATTCCTTTCCATTTCCATGCAGCGATATAAATATTAATCCCGAGAAGCCAACTGCACAGTGGTAAAATCAGATGGATGAGTCAAATAATGGAGGCCCCATTCGGTGTTGGATGACACAAGCGATCAAGAGTCATTTCATGGAGAGTAGCATTTCACTAGAATGATAGGTGACAAATGTAGTTCATTCACACAACTGTTCCAACAGGAACAGTAAAGTGGAGACTCATTTCACAGACGGATATTCAGGATTCGCTTTACAAAAAACAGAGGTGCAGGCCTTTAGGCATGCATGAGTGACCATCAAAACACATTAAATGAATAAAAGAAAAGCCTAGTGGCTGAAGAGCAAGTGAAGTTGGAGAAGAGCGGGTGAGTGTGCAAGGAGAGAACGGACGCTGAAGAAAGCAGGCAGTGGACATTGTAAGCTCCTCTCCAAATCCCAAAAGATGAATTGTCACCATGACACCAAGTCACTCAGTCCCTCCCTCAATCGCATGCGACGCACACACGCAACACACACACAGAGGAGCATCAGGGTAAGGATTCATGGAGTGACCCGTACACCCACGTCCATTATCAGCAGCAAGTGACAGCCAGATTATTGGTCAGATAAAAACAATGGATTATAAAATCACAACAGTGCATCAATCAAGTGGCCGTTATCAAAGTCAACTTACCAGCATTTTTTGGGATGTTGACTGATCGACAAATGTTGCCAGAGTCACACGGAAAACAAAACGAAAAATAATTACAAAATGACAGTATCTTTCACATCAATTCTTTTCTTCCTTCTTGGGTCAACGAAACACAAGCTGTAGTTATGAATCACTGGTTGATTCGTCAAACATGGTTCCACGTTATGGATGAAGGACTCTCCTCGTCCGTTTTATCCGCTGCCTTGTGAATAGCCGAGGACTGGTTAATGGTGCTGCTAGTTGAATCCCAGGCCAAATCTACACTGGCTCAGATTATGCAAACTTTACATATATACACAGCAAAGACAAGCAAAGGAAGGACTCGTATTTTCACTGCTGTTGAAAGAAATGTGGTTAGGAATGTATGAAATGAGAATGTGCTGATATACTGTAGAGACATGGCTTTTATGGCACTGCGGAGTTAGTGATCATGTTCTTTTCTGACTAATTTAAAAGGAATAAAGACAAGTAGGCTAGGAAAGTTATACTACAACTCACATAGCAATTTTAACTGGCAACCTAAAAAAGAAATATTAGTGTGTCCTATAAAGTGTGTCTTTGTAGTATTATTGCTCTAGAGCACACTCCCAGAGAAAACGAAAATTAATGTCAAATATAGCACGTCATTATCTAAACACTGCTTACAATAGCAAACCAAACAATAACATTGAGTTCATAAAACCAGAAATTTACACAGAAATTAACTTAAGTATAGATTTCAAGATGAGAACGTTACGGCATTTGGCATGAAAAAAAAAACATCAGCCCGAAGAGACAATATTGCTACCTGGTCCAAACTAAACTGTGAAGCAAAAGGAATGATTTGGCTACATTATTTACAGAAAATTAATGAAGTATCAACTAGCCTAAGTAACCAAGTTGTGTTGTTTCAAGTGCTAAAGCAGCTGACTACTCAAAAATTACACCTACACACAAACCAATTGACATAAATCCTTTTTAGAGTTGCACCTCACAAATGAATTCAGCCACTAGCAGAGTTATAACGCCCTTTTCTCACACTATGACTACTAAGGTTAAAAATACACTAAAACAATTTTGCACTCCGGCACAATTCGTTCTATAAAAAGGTGTTGTGGCGGATATCTGTCTGGTGTGTGATATGGTGCAGTGATAGTGGCTTATTTACCTTACGGCCATCGCTTGCATGGCAGTTGACATTCAACGGAGTCAGCAGTGCCATCAGCTTTTCTTCATTTCCACTCCTGTTAATGCATGACATCGAAGAGACTGGAGTCATGAAACAGTTCATCAAATCCCAATTCCATGCGTTCATTTCGGATACTTCATGATCTTAAGAGTAATTAAGCAGGGTTTCACCGATGCTACTTTATGAGCTGGTCAGTCATAAATCACGCGTGTATCGCTGCCGCAATAGGCAGGAATTGTAGCCGTTTGATTGTGGCCAACAGGATACATTTGTACAACAGACCAGTCGGCCTGATACTCACCTTGCTGCCTCTAGAAGTTCATCCTTCTTGTATTCACCTAGAAGAAAAAAAAAATAGGATTAGAGAAAGGATAAGGTCATTTTACCCGTTTTATTATTTTTAGTTATGGTTGAGTAGCTGGACACTAGAGACAATGCAATAAAAAGGCTGTTGACAAAGCACTTTACTGCATTGACATGCCTCTGCTTCACCAAGATAAACCATAACCAGCTGGGGGTCATGATTGTCCTACAACATTATTGCAACTACGCAGAAATATTTTTAGCTTCATGTCTTCAGAATGCAGTCCATCTGGACAATTACACTTAGACTACAGGTTGCGTAAAAGTGGGAGACAAGCAGCTGAAAGGTACTGACCAGTGAGAACAGCCTTGGCTGAAGGGTCGGCTAGATCCAAAGCAGATTTTCCATCAGTGTTGCGGATGTTTGGATCAGCACCGTGTTGGAGTAACACTGTGTGAGAGAAGTGGAGATAAATACAATAAATTAAGTTTTGTGTACTGTGGCAACCAGCATGACAATTACACTTTAAAAAAGGTTGGCTATAGCAAGATGTTGCTTGTAGAAAACACAAACCTGTCAGGCTTTTACACATTAGACAAGCACAATCTTAAAAACCATCACAGATTTGCATAGTTGCCTGTGTTTGAACATAACTAAACGCATCCTTACCAATGCAAACATCAATCTTTCCCTTGATGGCTGCCTCATGCAACGGAGTGTAGTTCCAGTTGTCTCTAGCATTGGGGTCTGCCCCCTGACACAAAAGGAGGCTGACAACTTCTGCGTGACCAAATGAGCAGGCATTGTGTAGGGGGATAAGTCCTCCATCGTCCCTGGCATGAACATTGGCCCCCGTCTGCAGGAGGTGCTCCACCACGTCTTTTCTACCAAAACCTGAAAATAGAATTTCAATGCATTTAACTGTAGCTTCTCCTCAGTCTTTGGCTGGGAGCGGTGCACAAACATTAAAAAACACAGGAGAGCTTCTTCCATCTATACTTGTTGAAAATTGAAGGATTACACTGAACATGCCGACAAAAACGAATTATAAAGGCAACATCCGTTTGGGATGCAGACTCTTGGACCGGATTTGACGTCACGTGACAGCGTTGTTTTGACCAGAACTTGGGCTAAAGATAACGGCGCAGCCTTTATCCGTCTTAGATCAGCGTTGCATTCCCGAATAAAAAAATAGTTAGATAAAATCGTAATGATGATTTACCACCAGCTTAATCAGAGGTCGTTTCGAGTTTCCTATTTGGGAATAATTTAGTTAGAATACTGACGGTCATCAAATTGGGATAAAGCCCGTCACATTAGCTGGTTGCTGCTAGGCGGCCCACCCAGACGTGACTCGCTGCCGCTATTTATTATCACAAGCCCAGACACACAAAAACACAGCACAGACCGTGAATACATCGGTTCAAAAACAAGAACATTAACGTTAGCTAACTTAGCTAGCTAATGTTAACGATTGCTAATTGCTAGCTAAAAGCTAACGTTAGCAGACGTCGCCAAACACGGCGAGTGTAGTTGAGCTCATCCGTACCCGCAGCGAAGTGAAGGGGAGTCGATTTCCTTCCAGCCATGTCCTTCGCGTTTACGTTAACGGAGTCCACAAGTCTCTTAACCCGGGATACGTCTCCGTTGCGGCAGGCCTCGAACAACTCCCTGAACGCCCCGCCGACGCCGCTGCTCCCGTCGGTGGGACTGGCGGCTGCGGAACCGGGGCTTGAGACGCTGCTGCCGCTACCGCCGCCGGAGGTGGAGGTGGTGTTGGTGAAGCTCGTACTGCTCGCTAGGACCGCGGCGGGTGAGTCCGGGGAGGCCACAGCCGCCTCGATCCCTCCGCTGCATTCCCTCTCGCTCTCCGGGGGTACAGGGCCGGAGGTCAGCAGAGACATCGGCGGAGAGGCCGCGGGAGCGCCTGAAATGAAGCTGTTTCTCGGCGGAGACTGCAAAGTACTTTGCTGTTGTTGCTGCTGCGAGGAACGACGAGACGCCGCCATTACAGCAGCTCTCCGACGACAATAAAAAGCGGCTCCTCCTTTCCGGTGAAAGTGGTGGTGCTTCCGGTCAGCTGTTTACCATCCGTGGAGGTTTTACAGGAAACCCTCAATTTATCATACATTAATTTATTTACACGACCATTTGTTTCTCAGAAATCAATAAGATATGAAAAAAGACAAAAAAAGATTAGGTCTAAAAATACTTCAAAAAACAGTAAAAATACCTCTCTAAAAATGTCATAGAAAAATTAGGTCAAAAGATACTCTGAAAAGCCCAAATGTGTAAAGTGTTTTTAGAAAAAAAGTCAAAATATGTAGTAAAAAAATGCATTTAAAAATTGTCAAAATCATTTTGAGATAACTGATGGACAACATTTAAAACGTGTGAGAAACCAATAGACAGGAATGTGGAAGTTGTGGATTGAGGACGGGTCTAAGGAAGGTTTGCGCCCTCAAAAACCATGGCCATATATTCAGTCATTTCTTCTGCCTTGTGTGAAAGCCAGATAGACTACAGATATATACACTTTATACTCTCAAATGTGAAATGTGATGCGGCTCAGCATGTCCTGAATGTCAGGAAAATTAGATTTAAAACAAAAACTTGAAACGTGTGAACAGTATTTTATTTTCACAAACTTAACAATTTAGGGACAAAACATAAACCAAATACACTTTGGGTTCACCCCAAGCACCTGTGGTGGATGTGAAAGGGTCTAGGGAAGCAAAGGAGAACGCCATGGTGCCTGCAACATTGTTCAGCATGCCCGGTTTGGTGGTGGGTCAGTGATGGTCTGGGGAGGCATATCTATGGACGGACGCAAAGACCTCTACTGGCTGGAGAACAGCAGGCTTGAATCCAGGGTCAGACCCTACGCTTGTGCAGTAGGTCCTGGCTTCCTCCGGATACACGGCAATGCTCATGTAGCAAGAGAATGCAGGCCATGCCCGAAGGATGAAGGAATAAGGGCACTCATGATCACCTCACTTAAACCCAATGGAACACCTCTGGGACAATAATTGGGGTTATCAATACAGAAACATAGGAAAAGTTGCCATACGAGAGGAAACAATCATAGTTCACACAAACACCCAACTTAATAGGCAGGTTTAGATTTGAAAGGGCTCATTTTCATGTCAAAGCAGAAATTAGGTACCAAGTATATTTGTTCCCCCCTGCAAAATGCATCTTTAATTTAAAAAGATTTAACTTGGAACAAAAGAGGGACACACTACAAGATGGAGACTAAGGAGTGATTATGATTGTAGTAGAAAGTAAAAAAGCGTCAGTTGTTTGAGCTTTATTACCATCTACATTCTAGTATGTGGAACATGCAGAGCTGAAAGCTGTATAATAATGCATTCTGGGAATTGTAACTTGTAAACATGTACAAATCAGTAAAGAATTGTAAAAAAAACTAGTGAGTGGAAGAGACTGCACAGCAACAAAACAATTACTAATTATGCCACAAGAACGGTGGCTAAGAAAAGTATTGAAAACTTAAAAACTTAAAATTGGGTTTAAAGTGATCTTTAAACTACTAAAACATTTTCCCCTTTTACACTGGACTCAAAATGAAAGTATGTTTGTATTAGTATGCCACAGAGTTATTGCAGTTATGTAGTATGGTGTTACCTTCACAAAACATTTGCTTGCTTTATCACGCTGAGAATGGCGAGGCAGCCTTCTCAGGAACATCAGCAGTGATACATCCGTAATATATCAATATAAGCATCATAGGCGAACCTCTACTGTATACTCTAAAGTCACGCATGTCAATGATCTATCCCTCATTAATTGAAATGAGTCATTTGTCATTGCACTCTTTAAGTTGTGCCGGCCTTTCCGGGTGTTGCCGTGACCGGAACGGTTTACTTGGTGCAGTAACTTCTGCAGCTCAAAGGAAGAAGAGCTTGTCTGACAGCTGGATGGCCGGCTCGGCGTGCAGGAACTGGCCAGCCAGGAAGGCCAATTTGTGGGCGTACTTGCACGGTGCTGGAACACGAATTGTGCCCGGCCAGTTCCAGTACATGTGGCACATCTTGAAGGTCAACCTGGTGTGGAATCAGAGAACCATGTTAAATAGTCACACAATTGATTAGGTACACAATGTCTCACATCAAATGAATTCTAAACCAACAGTCCAGTAGAAGTTATATTTTTATAGTGCTAATATTGTTCTGGGTTTATAATTTGGTGTATACATACAGATTTTAATTTTGTATTTAACACACATGCTATTTTCTCTTATTTCATTATTTCTTTGGTTAGGGCTGCAACTAACGATTATTTCTTCAATGAATCGATGAATCGGATAAAGAAAAAAAACAGCATTAAAAAGCTTTAATTTCCAACCCTTTATTCTAAAACAGAACTGCAAATTCACATTGCAAAAATACTACGGACTCACTGACTACCTTTACATGGATCAAAGTTTTAGTTTTCTGCCATTGTTCAGTAAAAGACAATAATACGTCGTTTTTGCAGTTAATGAAATTGAAAAACATTATTCCGTTTTAATGCAAAGGTGCAATTAACTACTGCTATTAACTTCAGTGGTAAACTTGTTTGACTGTGGGGAAACTATTTTCCCTCTTTTATTTATTGTAAGACAATATTTGCAGCGAACAAGTCCTGCTGACAACCCCGTTCTACATAATGTTTAAGCTGATTACCGTATTTTCCACACTATACGGCGCACCAGATCATAAGGCGCACCTTCAATGAATGACCTATTTTAGAACATTTTTCATATATAGGGCGCACCGGATTATAAGGCGCATAAGATACTGCAATCAAACGTTTGACGTCGGGGTGGGTGGAGACTGTGCTTTCAGGGTCCGATCGTTGCTGCGAGGTGCGTTCGCTCCCGCCGCCCCCCTCGCCATCCACGCCTTAAATCTTCGCCTGCTCTCCAGCCACGCCGTCTGCCAAGGGCTCCTTTTACAATAACCTATTTTCCCCCGTTAAGATGGTTCAGCTACTGTAAAGAAAAGGGCACCGTCTCTCGCTCTTTAATCTCATTAAGTGCTCGGCAAGAACGGCAGCTTTGTTTCTCCGACGTGCCCCTGAAACAAGCTCCATATCTCACACGCTTAAGCCCGCTCAGCATCTCGCCGTCGTAGACCGAGCTTTGGCATGTTTGGCAGAGCACCTTGAGCGCCGTGTACAACTAGTATGAATCAACCAATTAACCAATTGATCCATTTCCATCGTTTTTTGAGAAAATTAAAGGCTTTTAAGTGCGCCTTATAGTGCGGAAAATACGGTATATAATTATACACATATATAAACTCAATGATAGCACGATTAAACCGTTCATTACCAACATCTCAACTGCAGAGAACTATGCTCAGTTTGTACTTGAAAAACGCAATGCTGTATATTTAATATGGTTATCAAAAGTTAAACTGACAAGAAAAAAATAGAAGCAAAAATGAAGGTAATGCTAGAACTAGAAAGGTATTAATTGCTTACATTGTAACTTAGTATCAGCAAGTACTCAAATGCGCCTTCTGGCTACAGTCAAAGCCAGACTGGGTTTTCTGTATCGAAACAAGGCATCCTTCACACACTCTGCCAAATTGAATGTCCATCCTTCCTCCATTTAAATACCGCGATATAAATTTATAAAATGGCATCAAAGACCACCCTCAGAAAACTGGACACACTCCACCACTCAACAATCAGATTTGCCAGGTCATCATTGTAATTGAGAGTTGGTTCCTAATTGATTTTACCTGGTAAAAAATGTTAGTACTTGGGTCTATAAATAATTGGCGCATCCCCATTATGATTACCTTTGCAAATGGTCAGGTGTGAGATTTGCCGTGTTGTAGAGAGCGATGTAGCGCGTTGGAAGTCCACAGCCTTGACGACTAGTGTGTGCCAAGAGATAGAAGTCCACCCTGAACAAAACCAATGCAGGGGCTTGAAAATCAATATAGCCTACAGCAGATGAGAGTATTTGATTGATTCAGACCAAAAACTGTCAAGAAGTCTTACTGATCGTAACAGAGAACACGTATTTGCACAAGGATTTTACTGCAGAAGGATTAGACAACAACCACCAAGGGTCATTTGTCTGACTGACCAGTCCTTCTGAGTGAGCGTGTGATCCAGAACAGTTCCGGGTGGAGGTGTTCGAACGCTGTTTGGAGTCCACGGTTGATGAGGGTGGTGCTGATGCGCTTTTGGACCACAATGAAGACCAGCTTGGGCTCATAGCTGGGGAAAGTCTCGAAGCATTTGATCAACTGTGGGATCTCGTACTGCGCCAGAATGGTCAGCTGACCATCGGACACGCCATCCCGATACACAACAATCTTCTCCGGCAAATTGTGGTTCAACTGTACAAATGAACAGACACGCGGGTTGCGTCAGGTGTGGCTGATCTATTACAAATATTTAAATTCTTTGAAGAGCCCTCTGTGCTTTGATAGGCGGCATAACACATGTAGTAATCTAAGGTTACCTTTCCAATAGAGAAGCATATAGGTGCTTTTATTAGAAAATATAAATAGCATTTCAGTATTTATCTTAATTGACAGCATGCAATTTGTCTCTCCATGGTTGAATTGATATATGTAATGCAATTTTTTCACTACTTACCTCGTAGTACTTATGCAGTGCAGCCAGTAAACAGACTCTGAAGCCATTGATCAGTTCCTCATTTGGTGTCTGGAAAGTTACTCTGGAGTACCAGCGAGTGAGCGAGCTGGACAAGAAAAAAAACTATGCATTTCTGTCAGGATATTACAACCATCAGCACAAGTCAATGTGGCAACAGAAAAAGTCAAATAGTCGTTCTCCGAAATAACCATATCGTTCTCCAAAACACCAACTCTTATTAGCACTATAAAAGGCACTTATGTTGGGGATGTTCACAAGATCTTTCTGCATAACAAAAAACTAAATACAAATCAGCCAATCTCTGAGAAATGTCTCAAAAGGTTTGTCTGCTTTGTGATGCATCTCCTAGCACGCTCAATGTCTGACCTGGTGGGAGCTTCAGCCAATGAGAGCAGACGTCACTCGCAAAAGTTCCTTCACACAAATACATTTTCTGAATGTAGAATATAAAATAATAAAATAAAAAATAAAAAACTAAGCAGTAACTAAATGGGGTCCCACACAAATAATAAAATAGTTATGTACAAAACTAATAGAATAAAAATCTAAACAAAGGGGAAAACGTTGTACCTGTTGACACTTGCGACGAAGCCCATGACAGACTGATGCGCCTTGCTGGGGTCATGATGGACATCAACTCCCACCACCATCAAGTGTTTCTATGAAAAGGTCAGAGAGGTTCATCCTTACGCTATTGACTACACTAATGATACACCGGTGTTTCCCCTAACATTATATAAATTCCTGTCTTTGTCAGGGCACCCCCCTACATAATGGTAAAGGAAACACTGAATACCACATCTTTGTATCTTTTTCAAATAGTATTGTGGTAATAATGTTTTATTTAACATCAACCACAGTTCTCCACGCTGTATTAGGCTTATAACAAATAGTACTATAATTAGAGGTTTTCCCTAAACAATGCAGGCAAAGTAAATTTGGTGCTATATTACGGCTTCTTGTGCCATGATACTCACCAGAGGGACATTGACAGTCCAAAGTTCTCCTCCTAACTTGCAGTTCATCTGCAGGAGCACCTTTTGGGCAATACTCCGTAGCTTCTGTGGCTTGGAAATTGTTCGGACGTTGATGGCCTGTGGCACAATCAGAAACAAAATCTTAACTGGGAGTAAATATTTAACACATTTCTTTTCCTCTAATTCATCACCAGCCATGCACAACCTCATGCTTCAGCATTACGCACCTGGGATGGGATGGGGCTCTTGACACAGCAGAGCTTCTTGATGGCACTGTAGAGATCGTCTCTGTTCCCTTCCATGATGCAGACTATGAGCTGCATATTGGGCTGTAAACAGATAAGCAACGGATTGTTACACAGGAAGAACGTCGCTGGGACCAGACACTAATCATTTCTACGTGGTAAAAGAAAAAAGAATTGTGCAGATGTTCGAATGCATTTGTGAGGCAACTTCACAACAATCAATAATAGTGCCAAAGAAAGATGGATCTCTTTATAAGGCTGAAGGCAGCCAAAGATACAACACACACTGTGTGATGCAAGCTTTGAGAACACTGGGAAATGCAGTCAATTATATAAAAATATATATATTTTCTACATAGGTACAGACACAAGCTTGTATGTTAAATTAAATTATTCATACAGTTTTGTGTCTAAATCTTTGTGTCATACCTCATTGTTGACCTGAGAGTGGATGCTCTTGAGGTATGTCTCAGTGCGATTGTCCCTCAGCTCTACACGAATGGGTCGCCGCAGACTCATACCAATCGGCCCGGCCACCTTGTTAAAGGTGGAAACCAGCTCTTCAGCCTGCTCTGCACAGCGCCGAGTGTAGAAAATGGCCCAAAGGTTCAATGGAATCTAAGAGCGAGATCAAAGTGAAGAAACAAAATAATACAGCAAGCACTCCTTTATAGACCGACGCCTTGGAACTCAGCTTACGGTCAGTTTATTAACACTAGATCATAAGCAGCAAAAAAAAGAAGGTTCATCAACAATGAGGAGCTGCAGAGATTTGTCTCATACTCACGGAGCTGATTGAAGCTTCCCTGATGACTTCTCTGGACCAGGACACATCAGCAGCGGTGGTGAATGATGTAGACTGCAGACAGATGGTTTCAAGGGGAAGAGTTCTACCTGCAGTCTGCAAGAGAAAAAAGGTAAAAAAAGGGTAATGGTAAATAAAACTTTAATAAACATTGTATTCTAGCGACTTCCCATCAGTCTATTGTACATTAAAGCTGCATTTGAATATCCCCAGGATGGTCAGATATAATTCTAAAACCAAACTCCATTTAAGCAGTTGCTATTAGGAACATATTCAAATTCAATTGAATTCAACAGCAGAGCCTCACCACCACGAGTTCCGAGTCAATGTCCAGTCCCCATTGGCTGAGCTCCTTTGCGCTCTCAGGATTGGTGTTGATGTTCTTTAGCAGCTGTTTTATTGAGTGGGTGTTCTGCTCAGCGCTCATATTGATATGCATGGTCAGATCCTACAACACATTAAAAAACACAATTTACTACAAGTTCTTATATCAACATTTAATAATTTCCAATATGTTATACCTTTGTAAACATTGTCAACAAATTGCAGAATTACATATCATCTTTCATATTATAATAATGAGGCGCTAACAGCTGTTGAATGGTGTTGCTCCTAAAGTTTGAACTTATAAAGCTGCTCTCAGCTCAGTTGGAAGATTAAGGACATTTCAACCGGAAGTCAAATTCCCATTCAGTTGTACAAACCTCCAAAGAAATTTTAAAAAAAAGTTGAAAGACACATTGACGTGGAAATATAAATAGAAGGGAAAAAACACCTGTGTGACAAGGCCTGAAGAAAGAAAGAAAACATTGTTTACCGTCATCGACTTGAAGTCCTTCTTCATTCGTTCTGGGATTCCCGTCATAAAGGAAAGTTCTGGTACTAGAAGGATCTCTCCAGTAATGATTTGCTGTAAAAATCCCATGTTATAACATTATCGCCAACGTTAAATAAAAAACATTAAATTACTGCTTTTGTCATAAAAATGTATTTTGCATTATGGAACTAGTATTAGTGTTGCGTGATTAGGTCATGCAAGCGTGTCTCCCGCATAGAAAAACGTGAGTTTGATATTACAATAATTGTTTGCTTGGAAAAATATGCTCATTGTTAAGACGTATTGTAGCCACAAGGTGGCATTCTGATGCAAGAATTCAGATGACAGCCGACTGTCTTGATCATCTATGATTAAACAACTGATACTGGAGAGCCGTACCTTCCCTCCAGGCTTGGCTCTCTCCTTCGGCCGATGCATGAGCAGAGGTTGGTCCAGCTCTTTGATTGTAATCCCATAGTGCTTGCTGATAAAATGTGAAAGCCCCATGGCACATCAGCAATAAATAGGTGTGCTAATAGAATTGTATAGCCGCTATGGATTAAACGGCCACCATTTCAAATCACGTATATGACTGCTATATTTAGTCAAGAGTTCAAGGACAGAGCAGCCTCACCTGTAGTATTCCACAAAGGTGGACTTTGTGCCATCCATCAGAGTGAAGGAGTCTTTGGGGGAGTTGTCCCAATCAATGGCATCAATGCGGTAGGTGCGGTTGTTGTAGCGGGTGATGACGATGCTGCCAACGAGCTCTTTGGTGCATTCATCCTGGAAGTTCTCTTTGCTCTGTCTGTACAGTGCGTTCCTGGTAGACAAAGCAAAAGGCCAAAAGGTCATGGCTTTTCCATTTTCGGTGTAAATGGACCATTTTATAAATAATCTATGGACGCAATAAGCTTGTCGTATTTGCCACTGCCCTCTAAATGCAATCCCATTCCCATAGGGAAGGGTGATAATGGTCGAGTATATTTCTAGTTCCTTTTCAGAGGACAGATGGACTAAGAAAGACTCCTCTCACAACCCGGTATTCAAATATGTATGACTACATAGTGGAACATGACAATCATGTGTGCGGGTAGGTCACGGCATATTCAATGTCTCAACTTGTATGAAAATATCTACAGGGGACAGAAAAAAAAAATGTAATAGATGCATTCTGTAGATTATAATAATTTGCTACTGTTCATGTGATGTGTGAACTCACATGACGTTCAGCACAGAGTCATTTCTGAGGACTTTGTGAGACACGTCCACATTTAGGTACAGGCCTCCATCTGTGCGCTTGATACTGGTGGAGTAACCCGGCCACACTTGCAGCCTGCAAAAAAAACAACCGACAAGCAGGATAAAGAATGGATGATAAAAGCAGACATATGTCCTTTGATTTTAAGATGTAATTCAGTACCAACCGATGTTTTTCTAGAACGATTGCACTTTCTGGGTCATAGTGGTTTCGACCAACAAGCTTCAGGCCAAGGAGTTTCATTACCCTTGAAAAGCAAAAAAATTTCAAACACGTCTCGTCAAGTATGAAAAGTATGTAGAACCAAAGAAATCATTCTCATCTGTATAAGGTCTATAATGTCTTTTGAAAATGGATTAAAAGTATTTATAAAGCAACATTTAGAAGCTAAACGTCTGATTAGCTTGAAAGTACCATGTAAGTTGTTATTCTATTAAGAATTGAAATGCAAAATGAACCAAACCATCTTGAGGGAGAAGATTGACAGAAATGCTGCCTGTCTGTTAATTGTGTTATCTAAAAACAAGTTAGCCTTTAGACAGTTTAGGCTGGTCAATATCAATTCAGACACCATCATTTTAGATCATATTTCATCACAATGATTATATTAAAACAATAAGTCTCATTTTGATTCCATTTGTGTAAAATATGAAACAAATAGTCTGGCTGTTATAAATACCTCTTGAGCGTCACATTGTAGAATGGGATGCATAGATCCGAGTTGGGGGGCAAAATCTTAGTCATCTGGATTTGTATTTCTATTTTCTCATTGTCAGTCCGTCTCAAACTGTTTAGAACAACCAACTGCAAAGTATCAAAATATGCAAAGTTCAGCAATGTGAGATTTTGCATTTAGTTTGATGGTTGCGTTTCAGTATTCTTCAATTTTACTTATTTTAGGAAGTCGGTCATTTAAAATATACAATTCAAATCCAAATAGAAATAGAAATACAGTGATTGATACCTACATCTTTCAGTTTAACGGGCAGGAAGAGTATGGAGCCATCAAAAGCTACTACTTCTCCTGTGGCTGAGCGGTGATCTTTCATCATTCCAAAACGCATTGCCATTGATTCAACATTTGGACTGAAAGATATTGAAAACAAAATTCATGAGAACACAACAAGCACTTTTATAAATGGTTAGAAAAAAGAAAAGAAAAAAATCCACCTCATCTAAAGTCATTATTTTTTCAGAAGATCGGCTAAGCTTCTCACATTCATTTTCGGAAGTTTCAAGTACTCTGGTTTCTGGTTGATTAATAAAGAAACAAAGTAATAAGACGGGATACTTACACAAAGGTAACATGGTACTGATAAACCGCTTCATTTTTGCATCGGATTAAGATGTGGTTGGAGCCAAGAGTTATAGGAGCTCCTTTTGTTCCCATCTTATTCATTGGCTTACTGACCAGACGGAAAATAAAAATGCACAAAAAGATCATTTTAGCACAAGTAACTTTGCTATACTCACTCGTCTTTAAGAATTAAGTGAAAAGTGGCCCTAGAATAATGAATTCATCAACATAATGATTGATGAAGGCCGACTTATCAATATTAATTAATTAAAGGTTAATTATTTAAACACATTTAAAAAACAAAAACCGTTAATATGCTTTCAATACAGCCAAATTGCCCATAATGTGTTCTCTGTGCATCTTTCCGTGATGAGGGAGAGACTTGTGCCGATTGGATTGTAAATAAGGGCGATAGACGAGAAATAGGGGATTGTATTTTTCTACGGCGACATAAGGTGATGTGACCTATACGGACTATCTATATAATTGGCGGAGTGGTTTGTTTGCCCGTTTAAATCGGTGCAAGTGAATTTTACAAATACTTAAAAATTAAAGTAGTTTCTCCTCGTCCTGGTTCACTAAACAGTCGCTCTATGAGAGTAGCTGACGTTGGGGATGGGATTTGGATGGTGAAATTAAAAAGACAGGATTATGTTAAATGGAACATGACGCTGTGGTATTCGCGCTAGGCATTGACTGAGCGATAAAAAGGGAAGGCGTTTCAATGAAGGATGAGGTGTTTTAACAATAATAGTGAATAGTTCAAATGAAAATGTCACCGATAAATGTTTATTCATGAGAGTTGTTCTGTATTGTTGCACAAAAAAAAAGGTCCAGTCTGAAGTATTTAGGAGCATAGAACATCTAACAGAACTGTATACCCCACTACCCAGCCAACCCTTACCAAGCGTGTCACTATTCCATCCCTTCAGGCAATTCAAACTGCGCCAGGCAGTGTGACGCGGCGGGCTACCAATGTAGATATGAAGGGCTCATACGAAGCTCAAGAAAATATCTGGTTTCAAGTTATTTGTATTGTAATGAAGACCACTATGAACACAACGTTCCTTCTTCTGCACAGCAGACCTTTAAAGTTGCAACATTTCAAAGCTCTGTCAGACGCTGAGACATGAGGACATTTAAAATAAGTAGAAAGTAAAATCCTGAATTTTGTAAAAAATGAATAAATGTACTACTAGACTACCACTACAAGCTTCCAAATACTTTAACAGTAGAAATACAAAAAGAAAAGTAGGCTTACGGAACTTCCTCCATTTTCAGCTCCATCTTTGCAGGTGCAACAGCAGAAAGAGGAGCCTCTTGAGTGGTGGCAAACGGGGGCTTGGTTCCTTCACATAAGTTGCATTTTAAAATTTAGAGCCATCTCATAAGTTTCTGCCACTCATTAACTAAATATACACTACCATTCAAAAGTTTGTGGTATTTTTCAGAGCACTGTTTTTCAATGAAGACAACATTAAGTCAATCAGAAATACACTATGCATTATTAATGTGGTAAATGACTAGTCTAGGTGAAAACGTCTGGTTTTTAATGAAATATCTATATAGGTGTATAGAGGCCCATTTCCAGCAACTATCACTCCAGCGTTCTAATGGTACATTGTATTTGCTTATCGCCTTAGAAGACCAATGGATTATTATAAAACCCTTGTGCAATTATGTTAGCACAGCTGAGAACGGTTATGCTGGTGAAAGACGTTATAAGACTGGCCTTCCTTGGAGCTAGTTGAGTATCTGGAGCATCACATTAGTGCACACATGTCAAACTCTCGCCCCAAATCCGGCCCGCCCCTTGGTGCGGCCCACCGGATGACTTTGCTATTGTGAGGATTACAGAACGATCTTCACGCATGCGCTTTGGCTTTTATAATCGATTCACTGCCAACTGCCAATGTCTTGACTATATTTTCTGCAACTCATTTGATAAATTAAAGTGTGAGTTTTCATGGAAAACACTAAATTGTCTGGGTGGCCCCCAAACCTTTGAACGGTAGTGTAAGTCTTAACAACTCATAGGCTGAAGGGCACATCTCTTACGTTGCATTCTTAATCACGTGTATCTACCTGTGAGGGAAGCCTGCGTGTTTCGGGCTGCTGGTTCCTCAGAGGCTGGAGAAACAGACTCGGCACGACCCGGGGGAAGAGGAGGAAGAGCGCGTCCTCTTCCTACTCCAAGGTGAGGCATTGCTGCTCTTCTAAGCCCCACCATCGTGTCAGGGGAAAAACCTCGGCCACAGAAACTGGAAAAATTACAACGATTAAGTCTTTTGCCTGATATTTATACAAACGACATGGCTCTTAAAACCAATCCAGTTTTATTGCAAATATTTTGGCCTATGACTGTAGGCATTTAATTTGATGACTGCTTATCAGTAGTTTAAGACTATTGCAAGAAGTTGGTCAATTAAATACACAATTCAAAATTTAAATACAGTAAGTGACCATTGACATGTTAGGTTACATAAATAAATCTGTAATCAAAAATCAGTTTTTATGTGCACACTTGAGTTAATAGCATCAATAGTAATATGGTGCATGTTTATTAATACACTGGAATTCCACGTCTACCTACCCGCTGCCTCTGCCCATCACCTCGTCAGGTTTGCTGATGACACCTACTGGGGCTCCCTGCAGGATTACATCACCCAAATCTCCAGCTGCTGCTCCTCTTCCTACGACAACAGGGTTAGTGCAGAAGGTCACGTTATGGATTAAACCTTGTTTCTTTGAATGGATAAACAGGTCACCCTGTTGAGGTTTGCACTTGCCATAGTTCCACACAAATTATGTGCGTGCACACTGACTCCACCGTGGCAACCATTAAACCTGGGCTACAGTCAGTCAAATCAAAGGTGAGCTCATTATCCCGATTAGGTAAAAACAGATTAATACTGACCCACTGGTACTGTTCCTCTTCCCCATGAGGTAACTGAGGGTTCGATGCCCATTTCTCTAAACATTGAGACCAGTGTTGATCTTGGACCAAAGGAAGGCACGTCAACCTGTAGGCACAAAAGATTTAGCAGCCCCTAAAAGGGATAATTCTGTTTTTTTTAAGTGGAGTCAGTGTATTATTTACAGCAGACCAGCTTGGACAAATAAAAGGAAAAGCAATATATTGCTTTTAACCCGGACCGCAGCAAAATGTACATAAAAAGGCACACCTTAATCAGTTTAAGTGTACACTAGGGATGGGATGATATCAGATTAAATCACAGATTGCAATAAAACATTTCTATTTGCGCATCTCAACAAGGGACTGAGAGTGAGTGTGTCGGCAAGAGCTACAGAGTGAAGGAAGAGAGCTACCGTTGTCCAGTACAAAGCACTGAATCAGAGAAGAAAACCCATTTCATTGCGGTTAGGTTGTTAAGCACAACCCACACCTCCCCACAGCGCTACTCAAAGGTTTTGTGTTAGCGGATTTTGAATGAATGTGGCTAAAGAACACATTTCATTCTGCTCTGCGTGTGTCTGACTCACTCTCTGGCCCCAAAAAACATGCATCCATTAAACCGACCTAGAGGAGAGAGACTGATAACACCATGCATCTTGGTTGGAATGCACACTAATTGGCTTGGCGATTCACACACACACACACACACACACACACACACACACACACACACACACACACACACACACACACACACACACACACACACACACACCTCAAAAGGCCAAAGCCCCAAAAGGGAAGAAATTGTTTAGTTCGAGTCTGTTTTTTTGGTAAATGCTGCAGTGTATAGAATACATGAAATTCCAATATTGTCCTATGCCTACTTTGAATATAAAATGGAACAGAAATATATCCGTACTCGTTAGAAATGGAAGTTCAGTTCAGTCGGAAAAGGCTGTAAAACGGTAAGCTAGAGCAATAATAATACTCAAAATGAAGTGCACACACAAATTGAGTTGGCCTTTTTAAAGTGTGCCTCTTTGTTTAGGAGGCTGCAGCCTCCCGGTACGCAGCAGTAAATAGCTTCGCTTCCATGCCTTCGTATCCCAACAGAGTGCTTGGTGACTGTAGAAGCAAAAATATCTCACACAACCCCACTTCAACACACACATAACTTTATAATTGGGGAATATTGTTTAGAAAATGAAAAAAAAAACTTAAGGACTTTTATGTGTTCTAACCTCTGTCCTGGTCAAAGCAGAGGTCCCCTCTGTAAGGTCTGGCGCCTTGGTTTCGCGTGGAGGCGTCCGTCCATGCAGCGGTTCCAGATCCGGCAGGACGGAGCCTCTTGCAAGTCCTACCTTTGGTTCAGCCGACGGGAAGAGCAGCCCTCTACCCCGGGCAACCACGTGGTCGGTAATGGGTAGAGTCGCCCCTCGTCCTTGAGGGGTATCGCCACAAGTCAGGAAACCTCTGGCTCGTCCTCCACCACGATCTTCAGTAGAGAGAAGCAGCCCTCTGCTGCGTCCTACAGATGGCTCCTGAGGATGAGGTCTTCCTCCACGCCCCAGCCCGGGGACGCCCATCATACTCAGGATGGAGGGCTTCTTTGGATCCATTTCATCAACTTCTCCAGCTGACAGAACAATGGGATGACTGCAGGGAAAAACACCCGTGGGGAAAAGTTAGCACGTTTGTCTCATTACTGGCCTGCTGCAGTAGGAAATAATTCACACACCAATTGAATGGCAGATATTTGGAGAAAATGTATTTTCTCACGTGTTGGTAAGTTGTGTGCTTAATGTGTCTTCAAACTTTGATTTTTTTTATTTAAAAGTATTGCTCAAGTTTAAATAATGTATGTTAATTTATTAAATTAAATAAAACTTGTGAATAAAGGATTCGCTGTCACCGACTAATTCAAAGGCATGGTCAAGAGGCCAATACCAGCGCACAGCGAATTCACCGGCGTTAGCGTTTAACAGACTCTGGTTTACAAAATGTTAACTTTCATCATTGAAACTGTATTGGGCTCAAACGGTAAGGAGCTAACGCTTACTTTAATACCGTTAAATCTCCAGTATGCATTACACGTTATCTTTTTATAAATTGTTTTTACTGAGTTAGTTCAAAATTGTCCATGTTAGGACACCCGGACGTTAACGCTACATTTATTTGCGAAGATATTTATTGTGACATTCATAACGCAACTTTTGAGGGTAACTTACTTAGCGTTAGCTAAGGCGCCCTCAACTTAGCTGTCGAATACTGGAGTTAAGCCATTGCGTTGATAAGCGTGGCACCAGTTAGCGAAAACAGCAGCTAACGTTAGCTAACGGACAGCACGTGTTTGGGGAAATTCACACCGACAACGTGAAAAGCACTAAAAATAAGATGAAAGCGAGATGCTACAAGAAAACTCAACGTTTTCGGAAAAAAACAGTTATTACGGTTATAGTCAGATAACTATAAATATGACACAGCGAACGGATATATTTCTCACCCGGCACGAGATGTCCGGTCCGCGCTAAAAAAAACAACAAAAAAAAACACCTGCTGAATTCAACCATCGGTGGGCGGTTTTTTCCTCCTTCAACCTTATTGGATACTCAGTAGATTCTCCCGCAAGCCATTGGTTTACAAACTGTCAGTCTTGTGTTGTTATTCTTCGTGACATTGAGGAACACAGTTGTGTCGCCCTCTGCTGGTCACGACTCGCCTCGCACCTCAGCGTCATTGCTAGTGGTGGAACGCAACGCAAGTACATTTATTGTGCTTGGGTACACTTTTGCAATACTTGTATTAAAATTTCATGGTAGTTTATACTTCTACCCCGCAAAATATTTTGGTAAATATTGTTGCTTACCTTTAGCTCCACAACATTTGCATGAGGTAAATTATTAGATAAAGAGATAAATACTTGTAGGAACCATTGTTCACGAGTTCGCTGGTGGAGGCGACAAACGGGCACTAGGGATGGTCAAAAGGACTGACCTGGGGCCTGTTGGTTGCTGAGACCAGCCACAACACCATCTCTTTTATTAAATACATTTGATTTTAACCTTTTGATCAGCGATGACCTCTGTCCGTCCGGCGTTTCTTCATTTTTGAATACAACAGTATACATTTTTTTTAAATGGGCCATGATTAGTATTGTACATATTGATGCTAATTTTGTACTTTTACTCAAAGAACAGTTCCACTGCAGGACTTTCTATTGTAATAGAATATATCTAATAGACTGTGTGAAATATGTACTGTGGAATCTCTTTAAGTAAAATACCTCAGTATGTATATCAACCTCTGAGTGCAAATGTGAAATTGTGGGAAATGTGTACTAGAATGGTAATTATGTGTAACTTACTAACAATGAGGCCGTTAATGTGACCTGGTTGTCCTTTACAATACTTATGATCTATATTTAAAGGGCACAGTTCAGTTGCAATGTAATGTGCAAAACCAGTTGACATTTTGTAAAAAACTCAAAAACACTAAAACCGTAACATTTCAAATGGCTTTTGGCATTTGGGAGTTTTTTATAGGGCATGATTCAGGATGTCGTGTTTCATATCCACACAGTTCATACACTCGAACTTGGGAGAAACATAACTTTCTGCTGTTGGCTAAACAAAGCCTAACAGGTCACCGGGGCAAAAGTATCTTTCTACAGCTTGGTGATGGTGGATATTATGGCGTTACGATATGGTGACAATAAATCTCACTTTTTTACGAATCTTCTGTCTTCAATAATTGAGCCTGATCTATGTGGGATGCAACACTCACCACCAACGGTGACGTTAAGGAAAACGATTACCGACGAGGCTTCTGACTGCCAGACACATGTCCATATTTAAACATTCTGTATTTGCAGTGTATATCACAGCTTATGTGGCTTCCAAGATAAATTAGTAATACAAGTCTTATCGATCTTTTCTTTCACTTTCACAAACAGAAAATAAACTAAAATGACAGTTGCAAACTTTAGGTCTGCTGCTGACGTCCACTTGCATTGATTGGTGTCGCCGAAGGAGTCGGATCAACATTCTTTACAAAAGTCCAAAAGCCCGAAAGCCTGTGGAGCTTTGATTTTCAGGTCACCGGCCAGGAATATTGGCAATTAGCCTGAACTCTTTAGAAATAATCACAAAAGGGCTCCCAGAGGTATTGAGGTGATGATTTTGTGCTCGCACCACCTCTCTTTAAGAATAAATGAATCACTGTTCCGGAGAGTAACCATTCCTTTGGTCATTTAATATTAACTACTGTGTTTTTTGGGGGCGTTACCAGACGAAATAGAGTGTTTAAGATAAACTCTCTTGGAGTCGACTTTTAATAAGAGCTGAAGAGAAAACAGTTATTAATGTTTGGATGAACATGGCGTTTTTTTTCCCATTTTAATAGTCAGCCTTCAATGGATTCCATTTCATCTTGGTGCTTGAAGGACAACGTCATATAAACAGCTAAAATAAAAAGGTTTATTCTTCATTTAAGGGTTGTAATGCCATCTGTTGACATATTGAGGTAACTGCCACCAATATGAGAATCAAATTGACCTTTTAAAATGAATTTAAACCACTCGTCGACAAGTTTTCTTCATATCACGAACCAACATTAGAATACAACTTGATATTGTCGCTTATGTTAAAGAAAATGCAACCTATCAATATGTGTAAATATGTGTGTATTGGCTCATTATTCACTTGGCTCTGAATAAATACCTCACTGAACCAAGCCTTGTTTCAAATTTTTCAGTAATCAGCAATCAGTAACTGTTTAGCTGTTGAAAATGAACCCAGGGGAGTTTGAGGTGTTTGGTATTTTGGAGATATGTGGCTTTCTGTTGTGTGGTTTCCATGTTCGGCATTCATTTATATAAATACATATGTATTAATTATTGGATCAATATGTTATCTGTGGTGCGTCGATAGCAGAGACCTCAAATACCACGATAGAGAGAACAACTGATCTATTAGTGTGAACCGATGCCTTTATATACATTCCATGTCAAAATAGACCCTACACCAATGGAATAAAGATAAATCCATTACATTTATGTATTTGTTATCTGCTGGCAAACAACTCTATCCAGCGAACTCACAACAACTTTGGCAGTGACGCTAAAGTATGATGGGTTTGACAAAGAATGGCAAATGGCACACAACTCTTGCTGTAATTACCTTTGTACATGTTCTTGTAATTTAATCACGATGGAAGCTGCTGAACAGCTGATAATAGAAAATGTGAAAAGAAGAAAAGCCAAATAACATTAATGTCACAGAGCATAAAGGACTTTTGTTATGATGGGAATTAGCAAATGGGAATTTGACTTTTCTTGCTCCACATGAATATATGTATTACCTAATAGTCTTGCTGATGGATCTATTAGGATTTAAAGTATATATTTATTTTACAAAGTCATACAACCTCTTTCTTTGACGCACTGTGATACGTGTTCTGAATACTTATTCCTGCTTTCATTCCAACCCTTTGGTCTGTAATGAAAAGAAAACACATGAAAGCTGTGAGTATCCTTTTACTGTTTCAGAATGACACTTTCTATCAATTGGGTTCAACTCTGATGGAGATTAGCTTTATTTTGAAGTGTGACCTAATTTAAGTGACATGAATTATATTATATGAATGAAAGAAAACTGGTTCTATAATACTATTCCTTTGGAACTGATCTTTCCTTTGAGCTCAGCACAAAACAAAAAACCCTTTGTGTGTGGTTCACTGGTCATTTCTGTGGTAAGGTTACTTCTGAAATGTGTTTTTTTATGCCTCTTCTCTCTGACCTTTAGTTGCTGTTATAAATTAGCCATTTGCTTCCAAGCTACTGCTCTGTGCCTTTTTGTGTCACCTTATTGAGGTTATGTTTGCAAATCCTCAATTTACTGTCAAGAAAATGAGATAATCCATTTTTATCTCCCCTTAGGGTGCGAAGAGGGACACTTTACACCTGTCTGCCTTCAACTGTAATCTACATTTGACTTCAACTGACTGACCGATAACATTATGCCAGTTCATGTCAGGGGCAAAGACGGACTCTGAGTCAACATAGTCAATAGCATAAATAAACATTTCTAATGCAGCGTGTTTTGATGAAGCCCTTAAGGGATGCTTTTGGTAGTTTGCTCTGGCATTTAAACATCAGAAAATGGTCAACATGCTTTTAATTACAGGTAAAAATGTAAAACTTGATGGCAGCTTGTATCATTCCTGTGAAAGGACGAGTTTACGTAACATGTTGGTTTCATTAGGGTTTGACAGCCCAATTAGAGGGTATCGAAGGCTTGTGAGCAAAAGTCACATGGATTAACAATTGAGCTTGTTTTTTAAGCAGATTAACCTGACATCTGTAACTGGGGGTTTCGGCTGCAAGGGGATCAAAACAAGTTTTGCATCTTGAGGTGATTTCCTGTGATTGGGTAAAATGAGGGCGGCACGGTGGCACGGTGGCACGGTGGCGTGGTGGTTAGCACTGTCGCCTCACAACAACAAGGTCCTGGGTTTGACTCTGCCCAGCGGCCTTTCTGTGTGGAGTCTGCATGTTTTCCCCGTGTCTGCGTGGGTTCTCTCCGGGTACTCCGGCTTCGTCCCAGTCCAAAGACATGCTCTGGGGATCAAGTTGATTAAATTGCCTGTAGGTGTGTGTGACTGGTTGACAGGATAAGCGGTTTGATTATGGATGGTTAAAATGACGCCAACTGATCCAAAAGATAAAGATCCATTAACGGTGAACAATTTGCAGCTGTTTCTGTGAAATCCATACCTTTTTAACCTGTGGGAGGAGTTGACAGAATCACTGACATGTTGACAGCTTGATTGCCTCAGACACTGTCCGCCCAGTAAAGATGACCTGTCTGCTCTGACTGCATATGTAATTTCATAATAACTAAAAGAGACCAACTTTACTCGACAGCAGAAGGTCCAGCAGAAACCACCAATGGTCACTGGCATTAATCGGATGTGACAATCATTACTGGCCTGTCTGTCAGACAGAGTGTAGGTAATGATGACTAGAGAGCCTGGGCTGTGGTTGATTGCATGTGAGGTTTGGAGAGGACCGGTGATGCCCTGCAGGGTGATGTGGGAGACAGCGTCGGCCCCCTCGGAGCCAGAGGGACAAACACACCACAGCTGTTGCTGCCTGGACGATGATGCGAAAGCAACCTGAATCCAGGGAAGCTTTTCCCAGGTCCTCGCTGTCTTCTAAGATGATCGGCAGAGCCGTTTTCTCTTTTGCTTCGTCTTCTGTGGCTATTTGAGGGGCCAGGGCCACCAGGAAAGGCATCAGAAAAGCATAGTTGAGTTTGAGTGAGATGGTCTATTTTTAGGCAGTTCATTTTTGCTGGAGGCGCTGGCAAAATGCCATCGGGTTCTTTGCCTCTCCCTCATTCAAATTCCACATGCAAGTGGGAAAATGTTTTTTTTTTCTTTCACCCCTCGCTGAATGATATTTGTTATGGATTCATAACAAATATCTATCTCGGGGATTCATAGATACTATTATAATATATAGAATGAGGAGGGGATGTTGTGGGGGATGTTGGAGGATTTTATTGAGAAACATTGGAATCGAAAGGTGGAAACCCTTATATTCTCTTGAGAGCAAACCATAAATAACCATAGGCTATTTATGGGTTTGCATCTACTGGGATGTCCTCTGAAACTGCTGCTGAATCGCATGTCTCGCATCCAGTTGGTCGCCCGTGCGCCCGAACTCATGCGTCACGTTGACAGGTGTGGTTTTCCGGAGCGCAACTCCCCCCCCCCCCCTCCTCCCCCCATCCCTCCCACCAAGAGTCGATATTTGTCTTGTGAGTCGACCTGGAAACAAGCACTTCGTGGGCAGCTGTGTTCATATTCTGGAACTTTTTTTTGTATGCCATAGTTTTGGAGTAAAAGTGTTTTTTTTTCTTCCTCGTCGGGATGGAGCACGCGATCATGTCCCTGGAGAGGGATCATTGATAAATAGAAAGCAGCCGGGGACACCAGGCAGTAGTCATTGGCCGGCAGCTGCGATGCCGCGCAGCTGCAGCCGCCTTGAACCAAGACCGCTGGACAGCAGCCGAAAGCAGGTCACACGTATCCAAATATGCGCGTAAAAGGAGTGCACCGGCGAGGCGTCCCTTGCGTCCCTCACGAGATAAAGTTGTCGTGATGTACAATACTTCGGAAATTGAGCTCACTTTTAACAAGAGGGAGGACATTTCCGAAGTCATCAATGGCACTCTGCAGCTTCCCAACAGCGTCCTCGTCACCATCGGTCCCACGGCCATGTGGAACGAGTCGTGCGGGGAGCAGCTGCAGGATTTCGGGCACCCGCAGAAGATCCTGATCGGGGTGATGTTGGCGATCATCACGGCGGTCACGGTGATGGGGAACACGCTGGTGGTGATCGCGGTGTGCGTGGTGAAGAAGCTGAGACAACCTTCTAACTACCTTCTGGTATCTCTAGCAGTGGCGGACCTTTCGGTGGCAATAGTTGTGATGCCTTTCGTAATAGTGACAGACCTGACCGGGGGCAAGTGGCTTTTTGGAGAGGTATTCTGCAACATCTTCATCGGCATGGATGTAATGTGCTGCACCGCCTCCATCATGACCCTGTGCGTGATCAGCGTCGATAGGTGAGTTGCAAAAGTTAGAAACTGAGAAGGAATCTTGTTCATTCACGATGGCACATTGTAAATGAACATTTCCGCATGCGCTGCGAAGACAAGGATAAGACAGATACAGGGTTTATTTTTATATGTTGCTCCAAACCACCGAGGGCAAGAACAGTTGAGGTTCAAATGAAGCCTAATTGAGATGGAGATTGACATTTAAATGCCTCGATCAAGATCACCCGCGATCTGTCATTTTGAATCTACTGGAGCAGAAAAGCAATGAGCAGACTGTGATGAATTAAAGACGTGCCTAATTATGGTGATCAGTGTTCCCTGTAGTTACACATTTAGTACCAGCCTATCAACCTCACAGCTGATGACTTTTATATGTGATTTACATCTTTCAAATCAATCAAGTTGAAGTGAATCTGAATCAAATCACTTACATTGCTGATGTATGAAAATACATGCTGTAATAGTTTGGCGTTCTACATTAATCATTTAAGGTGCTTTTTAAATCCTCCACAGTAATGTGCAATGAATTCCACATTGCGAATGGGGAAAGTAAGCACTCATCCCGCCCATCGAGAGCCACTCAGGTACACCACTGTCGGAGGGCTTGTGACGGATGTGACGGATGTGACATCTTCACTGCTCCCATTAAGACACAATTAAACCAAGTCAAACGAATGGTGCCATTGTCCTCATTGAACGTAATGAAGACAGAGTCAGTGCATTACACCAAGAATTATGAATGTTTCCCGCTCGAGGATACGTTGAGCACAACAGACTTAAGTACGCCTGAAGAGTTAATGATGTTATGGGAGGAACTGGAAAGATACCGGTCGTTACAGCGTGATTGACAGAGCTATGAATGTGCTTTGAGCTGATGAAAAGATGAAGTAGTTGATTAAATGCCACGAAATGAAAGTGCGCACAACCACCGAACCATATCGTTCTAGAGCACTTAATCCACGATCTCCTGCTTTTTGTGGACCTCAAGACCAACTGTGTATTTCAAACAAAGGTGGTTTTAGGGTTATTTTTGACACCCGAGCTGTACAGACAGCTCTGTAAAACGCTTTGAGCGCTTTCATCTCCGTGAAAACAGGCTTGTTCTGATCAAACAAAACATGTTCGGTACATGATTCACAATTGGGGTGTTAGAGATAATTCATTTACAATGGTAATTGCCAATCAGACACTTGATTTACTGTAATTATGTTTAACTGGGTGTCATTTTGGATTCCCAAGGACATGCATTGTAAAATTAGGCAGAACAGAAGGATTGAGCAGGGTCTTTGGTTGCGGCTACAAAGTCCCTGAGAACCAGGTGCTGCGCTGAAGAATCACATTTATCTCTCGCAGCCAGAACACATGAATGTATATGCCAGTGGTCCCTAGTTTATGGAGCCAATTCATGAAGATTTAACACTACAACCACTCTTAAGATCAGTATTACACTTGGATAAAGGATATATTTAAATAATGATTCAAATAGATGCAACATGGGCTATATCTTCATCTCAAGCATTGGTCGAACCTTTAAAACGCTGCATCTTACATTTCCCATATTGCAAGTGGACAGTGTATTTTTGTTAGAGCACCGATGCCCGGTAAACACTTTTGTATTTCAGCCCTTTCACCTTTAGAACATTCCATTAACAGCTAAAGAAACCCTTATTCAAAGAAAAGCAGGTAGTAGTTACTCATTGCACAAGTAAACTGAACAATGCCGAAACACAATCCACGCTGGGCCTCTTTAAAAAAAACCAAGGAATTAACCAAATTAACAAGAAACATAAACATACGAACCTGGAGTGGTTGTGCACTTTAGCCAGTTGTCAATCCAGCTTTGGTCTAATTCGACAGTCTCACTATATTGTTACTCAATTTTCAGTCGTTGTTTTTTTTTTTGAAGCATTTCAAAGATATTCAAAGTATTTGAACAAATTTTTAAATACTATTTATCCTCTCTTTGCAGTCAGTGACAGTGGATATTTGGATTAGGAATTCAGGTGTGAAATAATATTCTCACTTGGGTTTTACCCTAAAATGTCATCTAGTTTAGTGGAGCGAATTGGGGGCCCGCTATATGCAATACAATATCGGATGCTGTGAATCAATTTCTGCATCATATCCTTTCATCATATAATGCAGTAAATGCACAAATGGTGAATGGATAAAATAACCAGAGAAGAAAATCTAGTGTGTGAATGTTTTAATCTAAGTACGCAAATTAAAGTACTTCATGACATGCACACAAAAATCATATAGATAGTCTTTCTCGTTGACACCAGGATCTGGAATACATCCAGAAATATGAAACAAATTTGTCTCAACAGACATTATAAGTCATATGCCAAAATCTTTTTGTTTGATAAATTTGGTAAAAGAGTGTTGTATTTCAGAGTTATATTTCACTTACATAATAAACACAATAACCATACATTTGTTAAACTGAATGTTAAACCATTGTTTTCTTTTTATCCCCCCCCCCCCCCATCAGTAGAAAAATAATCTCCTATAGCAATGACTTCACTTATAGATCTGAGTATAGCGACCTTTTCTGACCCGATACAAGAACGCTACGTCAAGAAAAGGTTACCCATCTTTTGGTCTGGGTCACATCAAAATAACTACAGAATATTCTCTGGTAGTATTGATTTTATACTGTCTGTGATAATGTGAATTTATGGCTGTCAAAGGCAGGCTTATGGATGAGTACACACTCATACACCTCATGCGTCTTCAATTGGAGATTGACAGTGCAAATTGAACCTAAAACACAGGAGCACAAAGAGTCCCGTCTCAGTGCGTGCAAGTAAATAAAGAAGAATTTATAGATGAATGTGAGTCTGCTCTTTCACAAGAAATGCTCAGCCACTTTTGTGACCACATCTCTTAAAAGTTAGGATTTCTTATGGCTACACTCAGTTTTTACCTTCACTGAGAGTAATATACTGTATGTTCAATAATTTAAAAGTCAAATATGAATGATTTATTTACAACAGTGGGATGAGAAGGCCGTCCTTTTCTTTAGATTCCCACATGTCTAAGAAAACCCAGCTCTAAAGGAATGGAGAAACTTGGTATAGCATGAGACATAGTTAAATTGGAAAATCAATGTAGCCTTGTTTGTCTATCAGTGAACGTGTGGATGTGATGGATGTGATGTGGGCTAAGAAAAAAATAACACATTGCGGCGGTAACTTTTCCACAAAAATCCGGTGTAGGTATGACCACACCCTTAAGCTTCCGCAAGGGATTTGAGGCAGGAAATCAGAACGGACCCTTATATGGCAGCAGAATTAGCTTCAGCCTTTGCATTCCTTCTGCCAACTGGTGTGTCAGCGATGAGCCGGGTTTACACACAGCTCCAGCAGTGACCCCCTTTCCACATCTGACTATATTTGTGTGAGGTCGGTGAGTAAGTTCCTCCCAGGGGAGGCAGCGCTTGGTTTGTCCAACTGGGGAACATCCAACCGCAGCACAGGACACAGATGACTTCACCCAGCTGACGCGTCCTCAGGTAACGCGATGTGACGCCCGAGCTCCACTCGCTCAGGCCCGACTCACTTCCCACTTGTCGGGCCACCTTGCTGAAAGGCACAGGATTGGACAACTCCTCCTGGGCCGAGGTGTTCAGATCAAAGAAAGTTTACCTTTACACTTGTGAAGGGTTGCTAAATCGGGACAAACATTCCGTCTGTGGAGCCAAATAGGACGTTACACTGCATTTGTTATGATCACAACCGGTTTACAGAGAGTACTTAGGGTTAGGATTTAGAAACCACAAGCTTAATGTTTAAAGCCATTACAGCTTGTTTCATACAGAGAGGACAAACTTCTCTAATTTTTCAAGAGGAAAAAGTATTTCAGGTTCAAATCCACGTCACGTAAACAAGGAGTTTTTCTGGAGCAAAACTGCTGTCTCTGAAAACATTTCAAACCATCATTAAATAGAAATGCGCGTAGAAGGCTTCTGGCAAGTTGTACTGTCAACCGCGGCTCCCTCTCCGACCTGTTTGACTGTCCGTTTGGCTTCTTTCACAGAAGTACAGGAAGTAAGAGACAAATTGTGCACCGATCATGTGGTCGAATAAGGTGGTATGCTTGGGAATGGAGCCAGACGGGGGTTGAGATGACTGACAAACAAAGTTAAGGGAGGAGAGCAGAACGGTTGTTTGCGATTTGTCTTTTGCCTTTGTGATCTTGGTCTTTTTCACTGATACGAGGTCTGTGATTTAATTTATTTTTTAAATGTATTGGTCTCTGTAGGGAGCCACTTAAATTTGCCTACCTAAAAATAATCAGTGAGCTCTTGAACCACATCCAGCTGGGCATCATAGTTGAATAGTAGTATTGATGGATCAAAGACTGAAATAAAATGATATTTCACACATTACAATTAAGTTACACAGGGGGTTGTTTCCGCTTTCATGCTGATTTGTTTGAATGATAATTTGGTTAAACCCAAATACTTCTGTTTTCCTTCCTTGAACTACAATAATACACTATAATTAATGATCTGTGGGAGTTTTATGAACCGAGGGTTGATGAAAACTGTTAGAAGCCCTTGAGGGATCAAACTTTCATCTCTCAGCAGCAGCAGTACGTTGCACCTTCATGTGCAATTAGAAGATGATGGATTACCAACAGGTGCACAGATACACATCTGGGTGTTATTTAGGTATTCCCACCATGTCACCCTATTTACCCAGCAATCTCTGAGGACAGGAAGAAGAAAAGGCAAAAGTGTAGAGGGTGACTTTAGTATGCCATAATTCAAGCTTTGTGTTTGGCATAACAAAGGTGGGGTCCATTATTCATCGTGATTGAACAAAGGGCCAACAAGCATTTACCAAGTAGTGAGATAATGAGTTTCATGTTGATGGAGCTGAGAGGCTACAAACACACTGTGGATTTCAGATAATACGCTTTCAACGTTAAGCATTGTTTTTCTTCCAGAAAATGCAACTTAGGTTTTGGCATTTAGTTCAACTGCAAACATGAACTGA